TCATGTTAGAAGTTTAACAACTGCATAAAGTAGATAGAATGTGAAGTAGGTAGAAAAATGTAAACAACTTCTACACAAAATACTAATTCACTAGTTATACCAATTGTCAATAGAGCATTTTTGTGGCAAATGAGTATATATTTTTATTTCTTTTCTTTCTTTCTTTTCGTATTATAGTTGATAAAACGCAAACAATAATTAAAACAGATAATGAGTAACGAACAACATATATAACCATCTATTTTATATAACGAACAACGAAGGAATATAATCATTTACTTCTCATTAATAATATATGTTAACCAAGCACCATATAACAAGTATAACATATTATATAGTGAATAATGTTATGTCGTGCATACAATTTAATGATTTTGTAAACTACTACTTCCTTAACCAACCTTTTCTTACCGCCGAAAAAAAGTTCATACTTTAACATTAAACTATGAAAAACTACAAATATAAAATAATAATATCCTACATAAATACATGTATGTATAAAGACAGATGACAGTAACGTTTTGATATACATGTACATGTATATCCGTAGTATACACACAGCAGGAACGCAGTGGTCACTGAACTTTTTGATGGTCATATTTTTTAATTAGTTGAACAAATATGATTAAAGAGAGAGATTATTGATCAGCAAAGAAAGGGTAATGTTTTTTCCCGCTATAATTACTGTTTCATGGCAAAGGATTAAACCGGGTAAATTCATGTTTTTCGCAGAAAGGTCAAGTTAAATATAAGACTCCAAGAAAGGCTCAGCGATTTTAGGAATTTACAGATGCATAAATCGCAATTTGAATTTATATGGTTTCTAAGACATGGGGTGCATAGATTCCCCCGTTTTATGCACTGTGGAGTAAGTGCAATCGTGTAAACGTGTGCTTTTGTGTGTACGTACGAGCACTCCATTGTAATGTAAAATATTGCTTCAGACTTGCTACATAGAAAGACCACATCCGAACAAATATGTCGTAGATGCAACAGGCACATTTTCCCGTCCCGGCACATGAAAAATAATACAATGTTTCTTCAATTTCCGGAGATTTATGTTAGATATTCTTATATATTATCTTCCTCGCTGAATAGATGATACTAGTATTCGAATGTTTACGTTACATAATCCTACTATTGAACCGCTCTAAACGGTAAATACTTGAAACTCCTTTTCTTGTCGGCTTCGGTCAGGAAATTTCTGAGAGGTCTTTGAACTGGACATGACATAGGCACCGATGAGCATTTGTTAATAACATTTCAGGTGAATGAACCCCGAGATATGAAAACAACGTTCATGGTCTTGGTTATTGATATTGCGATAACTTTATATGTTTTATATATTTTATAGCATTAAAATTGATTACTGAAAATATTTTCACAGGGTTAGTTTATGTCTGTTTTTATTTCATTTTATCAACTCTAAACGTACGGACACTGTATAGCCAGCTGTGGCGATTTATGTCTTAATTTTTGCTACATTATCATCAAATGTTTATTCCAAGAGGAACAAAATCAGAACATTCTAGATTCCTTTCTAACACGTAGTTTGCATATATTTTTACTTTGTTTCTCATGTAATACTGCAATCCATTTAATGAATAATTACAAATAATGCAAGTTGTTTATGCACAGTGTATGTACGTGGACAGATGCTGTCATTTATAATGACCATACGGAGATGTATTACTTATGTCCTCTGGGGCAGGCAGTATCCATCTAAGAAGACGTTGACCTTTTTGTAAAGGTCATGTTGTTTCAAGGACGATTTTTATTGTTAAACCGGAGCATTTGACAAATTACCGTTTTAGCTTTTTTATGTGATCAGCAGTATTTTTCATTTTTGCCTTTACCCTTGGTTTATTAACCTTTAATCGACGTTCCCAAGACTTTGTCAGGAAAAACACTCTATCTAAATTGCTCTGTTTCCTGTTGTGACAAGGTCCATAACAATTTAAAATGTTATAAAGATTAAAGTTTACTAGGTGAAATGAGAAATGGATTTTTCTAAAATGAAGAAGGAGGTGATAAAGAGTAAGAGTCAGTGAGTGAGGCAGGATCATTTTCAAATGTATTGTACATAGTTGGTCTTTTAATAACATAACGAATTAGCGTATATTGACTTGAATACAATCTAAACAACAAAATTGAATGCATGTTTTTAAGTCAGAATATAATAAAAATGATGATGATAATAATAATAATAATAATACAAATGTAATAATACAATTGTCATAATAATAGATCTAATAATAATAATAATAATAATAATAATAATAATAATTATTATTATTATTATTATTACTATTATTATATTAGTGATAAAATGATGATGTTGATGATGATGATGATGATGATGATGACGACGACGACGATGACGACGATGATGATGAATTTACACAAGGTTCTCCATGAGCGCTCTTGTCACAGAATTAACGATGTGTTGTTCACAGCGATCAAATATCAAGGCCGATCTTTTGACAAGAAATTCTGTGAGGCTACAAATAAAAGATCCATTAATGGTAACATTCTCTGTTTAAGTGGATCTTCTATAAAATATTGTTGTTATTGATAAAGACGATAACATTAATAGAGGGCAAGAGTGTCTGTACTGTAACATCTACAATAATGATCTATTATTAATTGACATTAAGCACTTCTATATACGGCAGTGATTCTCCTAAGAAAACGTGTTGTTATAGTAACGTATTTTGTAAGGTGATAGGATATAGATTAAGTAATCGTATACAGCCTTTAATTTCTTTGATTGTTTTTTTTTTCTGAACCATATATAGTTCGAAGATGCAAAACATTTGGAAATAGGGAAACTTACTTACAATTATGTCTATATCGTACATGAATTTTGGAAAATATAATAAATGCCACAGTTATTTTTCCTTTTTACATACTAGTACTTTATGTTTCACGATAACGCAGTTAAAATATAATGTATCTAACTGAAAAAATAAAGGTATCTAAATGAAAATATCAGTTCATAGCAAAAGAAATCGCTTATAAGAAAGTGACTGAGTGCTTAGTACATGATTATTTCTCTTTGAGTAGATTACATCATGGAGCTAACTATAGAGTATATATGTCTGTGATAACATGCATTGATATCCGGGAAAATATTCCAGGCCAACAGGAACTTTATCATCTTTTCCAAAATTGCATGTATTTCTGTAAGAAAAAACAACACAAGACTGCAATGGTTTAATATTCTTTTATTTAAATTCTAGAAGGACATTATGATAGGGCTTGAATGTTGGTCTTTATGTACAAGTAAGCGCTCTTTACGGGTTAAGCACGGCGCACCTGTTTTAGACCCTGGAGTGATTTATGGTATCTTTATCACAAGTAGCCTCTTTACAGAGGCTTGCTCGTAAATGGTAATAGTGCACTTTTCCTTATAACTTTCATCCAGATGGTTATATATTTGTCAAGGAAATTCGTTCTCTACCATAACACTTATTTTACAAGGTGAACACGCCATATGGGAATGCACGTTATTGCATGTTAAATGTAGCGTTAAATGTATCTTAAGTGTACTGCGAACGGTATGCAAATAAGCTAGACGTGTTTATTGTTTGTTTTTACTATAAAAGGAAGTAGGTCGTAAATATTATGCTGACATACATTTCAAGACGATTCATTGAAACATTAATCATGTCATTGAAACACTTTCATGAATAAAGTTCATTACAGTTTGATTAATGTTAATAAGTAGCGTTTTATTTCTTCCTTATATATGGCCGAGTTAACAATGAGACGATGATAAATTCATCTACTTGAGCGAGATAATCATTAATTGTAGTTGATGGGAGTTATTACATTTTCATTTGTAATATCTGTAGTGTTAATTGGTATATCTTTTCTAAATACTCGTTTTAAAAAAAACAACAACAAAGAAAAAAAACACACACACGTGCACGCATAGTAAAAATTCATTTCACCATCTATGAAGTATGTATTTGCAAAATTGATGATAATTTGCTTGGTAGATATAATCGCATTTTTTATTTATCTTTTTTAGTTTATTTGATGGTAAAGTCCGTTTCTGCTAATATCATGTTTGTAATAAGATACGTCTTAGAGCAATTATCATACATTCATGTATCAGCATTTTGCAAATACATGTATCTTCCAAGAATCATTGTTATGAAGGCATAAAAACAGTGACATTTTGATGCCCAGTAATCGCAATTCATACAAATTCCATGCTAGCGGCAAAAAAAAAAAATAAAATAAAAAAAAATCATCGGATGTTTACAACAAACCAAGTACGTGCATTATCTATACCCGAACAAATACAACACAATATATCTTATTGATATTATAAATGAAGAGATTTTGCAGTTCAATATATCAGACTATTAAAATGTGTCTCTAAAATATACAATATTTAGAAACATACATGTGAAAACATTTCAGCAAAACTTCATAAAACTTAGGACTAGAATGCCCCAGTGTAAACCTGAGTAAAACTCAATTTATAATAAAATGAAAGAATGTGTACTTAAAGCAGAATCATAATTTACAGCTAGAAAATTATTATGTAGTATGTACATGCAGATTATTATCTTGAATAAAACCACAGAGCTCTATGTATATTTAGCTCCATAATAAAACAGAAAGAAAAAAGTTAAGAGCATTAGAGAAACGCAATCGAGCAAATATATAACATAAGCACAATGTAAGAAGTTATGTGAAATTAAAGCAGCATCATACATGTCTACAAAACTTAAATCACAGCTATAAATACGCGAGAAATAAAGTGAACTTGTAAAGAAAAAAAGATAGCCGCAAATTAAATTTTATGTCGTTGAATAATCTTTCGTTAATTTCCGTAAATTTCCGTGCATGCAACAAAAAAACATTAAAATTCATTTCTAATATTAAGTTTGACCAAGTAAATATCTAATTATAATTACATTGACCTAGTACAAATGTTTCTAAACGGGAGTTTTATGGAAAAAAATAAAAATATCAGAGATTCAGGCACTTCCGGTTAATATCCAATATGGCGGGGAATGAGACAAAACTGCAACTCTTCAATTCAAAAACTGTTATTTCTTCTTAGGATTTTATACTTAGATCGAGAAAATAGATGTAAACTTCAGTTATTGATATTGCCTTATAAACGCACTCATCAAAGATGTGTGACGTATGCTCAGATTTGCTGACAATTCTTGACAATTGTAAGTTTCGTTTCTCCTTGTTCTCTCGTGTTCAATATTGCAAATTCATTCTGTATGATATTGCTGTTCATAGGCTTAATAAAGGGCATTGTCGTATCGTGATAATATAATTTAACTTTTCCTATCAAAAATAATTGTTTTTAAAGCATGCAAAACTAGACAATGGCATAAAAAGATAAAAAAGTTGTTCACTTCTGTTAATAGCAAACAGTTTTGTGAGAGCTATGATGGCCAGACTTGTAAAACTTGCCTCATGCTGCTGAATGTTCAAGTGAAGGATTGCATAGCTTCTCGAGCTGTCATCCAATATATTAGACATTACATGCTTGTTATATTTTAATTTGCAGAAAGCCTGAGTGGGGCAGTAGTGATATTAGATAACAAAATTAACATGTATGACGTGAATCAATCAAATTGAAATCACATTAAAATCAATAAAAAAATATATATCTTACGAGTTGGAGAAAAATCCTTAGTTAAGTTGACTGGGCGCCACCATTTTGAAATACTTTAGAGCTAAATATAGATATCAGGGTGCTTTTGAGTCTCTACATAATTCAGACTATTTCTACAAGACGCCTGCAAGATAACACTTCCGGTGAAAGAATGATGTACAAAATCAGAAAATAAACATACATTTCATTGATATGAACTACATAACGATGATAAAAATAAAAGGTTACTTTTACCAGCCTTGACAAATCCAATAATTTCACTCGCCTGCACGCATTTGCAAGTAAAAGTTTGGGCCGGGCAAGACCATCAGGGCGTGTAAGATTTTTCAGATCCAAATGATGTTTCTCAAATATTAAATATAAATGAAGATATGCAGTAAAAAAATCAAACAGCAGACGCCATTTCAATTGTAATACTGTCAACTGAAAACGAGAAACTGACCTTATGACTAACTATAAAACTTTACCAAATGGGTATGATGAATTGATTCTGTAACAACAGCAGCATTCGACAATGTTTAATACATACGCATTCGATAATGTTTTATACTTAGCCATGAGGTGGTGTGTGTAAAAATTTGAATAGAATAAGTATTCAGGCTATGTTGAAGATTATATAATAAAAGAATAAGAAGTATTATAAATGTTATTGAACAATATGTAATTGAATAAAGCCAATAATACCGATATAGACCAGTAATTAATAAAATTTAAGTTTTGTGCGTAATTTTTAGCTCGACTTTTCTATGAAAAGGGGAGCTATCCTACTCGCCCCGGCGTCGGCGTTGGCGTCACACCTTGGTTAAGTTTTTCGTACCACCCCACTTTATTTCAGAAGTATTACAAGTATGGCTTTGAAACTTACCATACTTGTTCACCATCATAACCTCCATCTACAGACAAGAGTACATAACTCTGTTCAAGGTTTTTGACAGAATTATGGCCCTTTTTTGACTTAGAAAGTGTATTGAGCTTGGTTAAGTTTTTTGTACCACCTCACTTTATTTCAAAACCATTGGAGGTATTGCTTTTGAAACTGACCATACTTGTTTACCATCACGACCTTCATCAACAGACAAGAGGACATAACTCTGTCAAGGTTTTTGACAGAATTATGCCCTTTTTGACTTAGAAAATACATTGAATATGGGTAAAATCCACTTATTGCCTTAACCCTTTGAGATATTGCTTTGAAACTTTTAATGCTATTTCACATCATTACCCCCATCTGTACGCAAGAGAAGGTAACTCTGTCAAGGATTTGTTTTAAAAATTAAGGCCTTTTATCGACTTAGAATCTTGGTTAAGTTTTTAGTACCAGTCCACTTTTTGACTGAACTGTTTGAGATATTAATTTGAAAGTTGGAATACTTGTTTACAATCATGATTCCCAAACATGTCCAGGAGAAGGTAATTCTGTCAAAGATTTTATTTGAATTATGGCCCTTAACTGTCAATGTTTTGTATTATAGGCAAGCACTAAAAAACTTAAAAAATCTAAAAAAATTCATTCCTATCCACTTGTTCACTTTACCATAAATTATGTCATATAAACATTGCTGTAATATTCAAGGGTATCAAACAACTAGTTCACTTTAAAAATACAGAGATTCTTGTATTGCCTTTTACTGCAAAAACTTTTTTTATTGGCAAGCAATAAAAAAGTCGAGCGCGCTGTCTTACGGACAGCTCTTGTTACAAATTTTGTCTGTCAAAATGTAGGGCAAGTTAGATCTATGAAGGGCGAGTAAATTTGGAGGGTAAGTGGCCCTAAAACAATTCATGGAGGCCTGCTTTTACATATCCTTTTTGATAAATCAACACATTAAAAAAAGACGTTATAAAATAATAAAGTTAAAACAACAACTATGATTTGAGATTAACTGAAATGGTGGACAGGATTTTCCTAATGCCTACACAGTGGTCCCCCTTTGCTTCGCTATAAAGAGCGTAGCCAATGAAATCACTGAGGCGTTTGAAGATATTCGGAAATATTCAGAGCACTCCGATGATAGGTTGATGATAGGTTGAACACCACCAATTTATTTGTTTCTGTTTCCAGTACAAAATATTTGCATTTACTTATTTATGAAGTGCAAAAAAGAACGGTTTACATGAAGTTGTTATGTTTGAATCATAAATCAGAAGAGCTGTCAGCGCCATAGGTAGCAGCTAACTTCATATTAAAAGTCAAGCCTGACATCTAATAGATATTGCTCATAATGCATAGCAACATAAAAAAAATGTGAAAATATTGAATATCTTGCTTTCAAGCTTTAATGAAGAGTTTATCAAATATTCTTCTTATTTCATGCACAATCTTTAATAAAAAATCTCAATAGAATGGAGTGTAATTATCAATTTAAGATAAGATACAAACAACATTCTATTTTCGCCTAGCTGCCAAACTGGTTAAGTAAAGCACTTTACAGATTGATTCAGTGTTTGAAATTAGCAGTAGTCCGATAGTCCCTGACTACTTAATTTCTCCTCGGGCTACCAACTTTTCACAGTAACAAGCCTGACCAGGCTACTGTATTTTCAGAGGCAATATAAACAACTGTTTTGAACAAACGAATCATGCTAGTGAAATGCCTTTTGCGCTAATGAATATTCCAATCTGGTAGTCCGACCAGCCTAGAAGATTCAAATCCTAATTTCTTACACTGTTGATTCCTAATTTTTTAACAGAAAAATATATTTGCATGGGTAAATATTTCTGTTCAAAAATATTTCATTTGAAACTTTAAATGCATTTGAAACTTCAAATATAGTCTGACTCTTATAAACGCTTACATTCAATTAGCTACCCCTAACACAGGTAAATATTCACTGTCAAAAAATGTAAAATCTAACGGAAAAAATCGAAAAGTTATGTACAATCGATGTTTCACAGCGTTTTGATTGGTGGAATATTTTATGTCTGCACTGTTATCTGTTTCACATGGTTCGATATTTGTATATTGTTCTTAATATGACATTGTTCTGCCAAGAAGTAATAATCATCAGATTATACATAATTACATTTTTTGTACTCATGGAAATGTTAGCAAATTATAAGAAAACCTTATGGCAATTTTCATTTTTTGCTCATATTTTGTTAGTTTGCAAGTGTTATATTTGGGACCTACTTTTAACTCTTGCAGTTGAAGAAAGAAGTCAACATGGGGGCTTTCATATGGACAAGAAGGAGATTCTCTCTTTTGTTTTGTATGTGTGTCTGTGGCCTCAAAGGTAAGTTTGATAGAACAGTTTTTCATTATTTTTGCGTTGTGCAGTCGAGAATTGTAATTTAGGGTTTTGCCTGGTTTTTTCAAGATTTAGGGTTTATCACTTATACCAATCACCATACCAACATTGTTTAGAATGGTTTACATTACACAAAACATTAAATGTTATGCACATACTGTTAACAGTAAAGTTGTCCCTGATTTTTGTACCCGATTTTGTTTGGGATCCACAGTTATATACTACATATAGTCTAATTGGTCTATTGCTCATGGAGAGTGTCAAAATGAAGAAATTTGTCAAGGAAACCCTTGATGACAATATGTTTTAAAGATATTAAAATACAACATTAGAATAATATTGTCTATGTTGTTTTGTGATTTTTTCTATAAGGAAGAATAGATTGATTGTAAACAGCAAGAATTAAAGCATAAGCTGTGAGAATCAGAGTTGTACTTCATATTCTTTTTGAGGAAGGTTTCATTAAATAATTATACAGTGAGATATTAAATTGTTGTTTTCCTAAACTGCTCGAGTAAAAGAAATCTGACCAATATATTTTCATGTATTTTGTATTGAAATTGTATTTATACATTGATTGTTAATTAAATTTGTAGGCAATGTATGTGCTGCTTCAAGGACTATAGGAACTTTGAGAAGTTGAACACAATGGTTCAAGATACACTAAGTGTAGGTATCAGACTAATACAGACCTTGCCCGAGGATAATGAAAGAGAACTCACAGAGAAAGAAAAAGAAGTGACTGCTGGAAAAGGTTTGATATTACACAATTTAAATAAGAATGCATGCACTTAATTTGTACATGACATTGTATTCACAAAGTGTAAATGTATAAATGTATATGACATCTCTTTGTTTTAACTCAATAAAGAACAGTTTACTGAAACAAGTTATTAATAAATTTCTGATTTAGAAAATGCAACTAGAATTAGAACAAAAATTTGGGGTTTATATTTGCAAGTACTAGTTTATATTATTTTCCTATAGTTACTTTAATGTACAATTTTTGGAGCTTTTAAAATTAATTTCTTTCTTAAAAGTATCTATGTCATACAGGTAAGTAAGTCTGTAATTTAGGCAACATATTATGCAACATTATTAAGTTGTTTTAATTAATAAAAAATCTGTAGATGACAAAGAAGGAAAGAAGACATCTGATGGAACTGAGGAAGAAAAAATGGAGAATGAAAAGAAAACTGAAAGTGATAAGGAAGACGAGAAGGAGAAGGATATTTGGACAATAGAGGAGAAAGAGAAATTACTTCAGTTTGTCACCAAAGTCTTTCTTATGAACTTTCCATCTTACATAGCATACAAACATATTGTACACTCAAGTTTAGAGGTAACATGATACTGATGCTAGATAAATAAAAATTTACCATGATGAATTTTAAAGAAATATTATGCTCATCTTTGAGTAAAATATTTTAATCAAATAAAATTATTAATTTCCATTAAATCCATACTGAATGTGTTTAATTTGAATGAAAGAATGTACAAACTATGCATGGGAAGCTGCGTTCCCTATCACATGTCAAGTAAAATTGGTCTTTTCTTAAAGAAAACTGCCAGTCCTTTTAATGACACTATATATTTATAGATTGTCCACCTTTAGTGTATAGTGTGTAAAACAAAACATATCTATTTTGATTGAAGTCGAAACATGTTTATTTTATAATTACAAAGAGACTGTGTAGCAATTTTCAATATTTTCAAGCATCAAATTTGAGCATAGTATATCTTTAAGTGGTTGGTGAACAAATATTTTGCAACTATGTTTTCATTTATGAAATAAAAGTTGATCTTGTTGCTTTCATTAACGGACCTTTCCAGTGTTTTAGTTTTATGTAAATTGGCTAACTTGTTATCCAATTGCTACACTGAGATAATACATAGTCACTGGTTGACCTGGTTTGCACAAAAGAACACATGGTTATGTTTGTGATACTGTTTGTGAGCAGTTGACCTAGCAATGAATGGAAAAGGTGTGGCTAAATGGTCCGCTACGAAAAACCGGAAAGGTCCATTGTCATAGTGATTAAAGTAGCTGAGATTGAATGGTTTCGGTTGCATTGTATGGGATTTAACGTTTATCATGCTAAATATCTTAAATGGACTCGTCAATCTGGACAAAATTGCTAATCATTTTCAGGGAAAATTTCAAAATATATACTGACTAAATAGCAAACAATTTAGACAGTGATACTGATCTGGGTTTTAAAGTTGATCTTTAAAGTTTTATTATTTGTATTTCTTAAAGTTTTCGCTACATGTGGTAAGATATACAAGTTATCATAGGGATCTCTTATGATACATTTATTAATTAACAGTTTTAATATTAATTTCAATCAGTACTTCAGGGCTCACACTGGCTCAAATAAAATAATAGCCAATAATTTTTACTTAAAAAAATAATAGCCAAAAGTTCAGCGGACTATTCACGAATTAGCGATTAACAACATAAGCAGTTGATTAAATAAACATAACATAAATTCATATCTTTCAGTTTTATAAGGATTCTCTAATAAACTGATACATTTGTGTATATTGATAACTACCTTTTTTTTAAATAGAACCACAACTTTAATTGTTATTATAGAACAGAATAAAAACGTTATAATTAGTATAATTACTGTATAACAATAATATTAAAGATTCATTATAACTTTACATAATGCTGTTATCACACAACTTTTTTTGTTTGTTCTAATCAAATTTTGTCAGCTATAACCACTGTCAATTTCCACATTTCACACAGAACTGGAGTAGATCTAGGTCATATTAGCCTATAGAAATAACACAAGTTTGCAAACTCATTCACAGAATGCAGCCTTATTTCTGAATAGTTAACTGAAAAATATCATCATCACCAATGTAATACAAATTTACTGCAATAGTAGTAAAGATTTTTAAACAGGACATAGCTTATTTCACCTTTAAATAAATATCAAAATTATCGGTGTCGCGAAAATATGTGACAATCGGATTTTTCCTGTTTTCTGAAGAAATATTCACAATTTTGGTTGTTGTGCAAATAGTTATTTGGAATTTAATACTTTTTAAATATTTTACCATTGTTTTCCACTGGCGATTTAGTCAATTAGCTTAAAACAAAAAAAAATAAAAATTTGCAATTACTGGAATTCACGGTAAATTTTGGGTAAGTCAATATCCAGTTTATCAATTTTAAAACGATTTTTGTGGCTAATCGACGGATATTTGATGGCTATTATAAATGCTGGACAATATCTTTAAAGTACTTATACAATTATACATCTCGCATGTATTTTATCACCTCGGGCAATATAGTTAGCAGCACGTGACCGGTAAAAAGTTGACACTTAATTAAATGCACCCCGCTGGTGTTAATTGGGTCTTCTGCATTCATTATCGATTTTTATACCTTGTATAAACACTGTTGGAAGTAAAAAATAATCGCCAGATTTTGTAGCCAAAATGCAAAAATAATCGCCAATCTTATAAAATAATCGCAAATGGCGACTATGGCGACCGACAGCGTGAGCCCTGGTACTTAATTAATGCAGTGTAGTGTAGTGTAGTGTAAATGGTAGTGTATGTAATAAAGGATATCCTGCCAGAATGTACATGCATATTTTAAGTAGGCTTGTTTGTTACATTTTGTATTCTTATTTGATTACCTCATAAAGATTGGTGCGTATAAGAATATTTTCAGGTTAAGAAATGTGAATGATCATGTTTTCTATTTCCATGGGTGCAAGTTTTCAGGCATATGCCTGAAGTTCAGGTGTTTTTATACTTCTGAAAGCACTCTTTTACTATATAAAACCAATACAAATAATGCTAATTTCAGGTTTTCTGATATTTTTAACTTGCACCCATGTATTTCCAGGAATTATCCCAGCAGGAGACAAGTGCACTAAACAATTATTGTGAAATATCAGTGAGTATTTTCTCATTTTGTTGCTATTTATAGACCTTTCAATTAATGGTTGATACGTAGAGGATATTGAATGAGTGAAGTTTAATGCTGAATTTATTGAACGAGTTGAACAATATTATTTTATGCAACAAGTTCAATAAATTTAGTAATGAACTTACACAAATTTAATATTCTATTTATCACATACCAAATAAAAAGACTGTTTGAAGTGAAAAGGTACCATTTTTCATTGAAACATGTATAGTATAACGCTATCATTTAGCGTGTCTTAATGCTATGTTTATATTATGCAAATGAAGTCACGTCAAAAGTATATGCATTGCCGTGCAACACCATTTTTACGGAGTCACAAAATCGGCACGGTTATGTGATAAAATGATTTATTAAATGTTCTTCGTGCAGTGACTTAATTTTTCCTGTCTATATCAGGAGCCAAGCAGGACACAACAACAACCTATTGCAATTTCCTGTTTGTAAAATAAAATATGTAATTATTGACAACATGAGTATTGTCCTTTTTATATGTATGTGCAGCAGAATTTGCCTGTAATTACCCATACAAAGGAAAGCCCTGAAAATGTCCCTCTCTAAAAGTTACAGGCACTGTTCATTTAAAAACATAGAGAAAGCTCTGTTTCATTTTGAATAGGCATTAGAAACAATATCATATATACATGACAGCAAAATTGATTTTATTTTTTTCAAAAACATCACTGTAATTGATACATTAAGGTAATATTTTTGTGTTTTGTATTTCAGGATCCAGAAGTGCCGCTGTTTCTATTGCGCAATGTTTGTTTTTTCTGTGATACAAATGGTATAGGTTCTCTGAAAGTCTGTTTTGAGAAAGCCACTCCAGATACTTTGCCATTCAACTTTGCACATATTCTTATCACCTTGATAGCAAATGTAACTATATTTCATTATATTTTGAGTAAAATGCATGTGTCTGTTTTTCTAACCCTATCTTTATATATAAATAATATTGTTGATATGCTAGTATTCACTATTGGTAATGTGTGAAAATTCTAAATATCGCTTTCTACATTGACAGACTTATAATACTTGATGAAATTAATTATATTTTCTTTGTGTTAAAGGATGGTTAAATATTTTGTATGGTTTTCATATGGATGAAATTTAAAACTTCTAGTATAGTTTGTAAAATTACAATCAGAAAAGAAAATTGCAAGTTGGTTTTCAATAAACTTTCGCTAGAGTAATCAGAGAAAGCTAACCCCTTTTATTAGCTCGACTATTCGCAGAATAATCGAGCTAATGCAGTCACCCATTTGTCGGCGTCGGCGTCGGCGTCCCTGTGGTTAAGTTTTTGTATGTAAGCTGGTATCTCTATAACTACTGAAGGGAATGGATTGAAACTTCACACACTTGTTCTCTGTGATTATCTAAGATGATTGGCACAAGTCCCATAACTCTGATTTGCTTTTTTTCATAATTATGCCCCTTTTTCGACTTAGAAATTCTTGGTTAAGTTTTTGTATGTAAGCTGGTATCTCCTTAACTACTGAAGGGAATGGATTGAAACTTCACACACTTGTTCTCTGTGATTATCTAAGATGATTGGCACAAGTCCCATAACTCTGATTTGCTTTTTTTCATAATTATGCCCCTTTTTCGACATAGAAATTCGTGGTTAAGTTTTTGTATGTAAGCTGGTATCTCCATAACTTCTGAAGGGAATGGATTGAAACTTCACACACTTGTTCTCTGTGATTATCTAAGATGATTGGCACAAGTCCCATAACTCTGATTTGCTGTTTTTCATAATTATGCCCCTTTTTCGACTTAGAAATTCTTGGTTAAGTTTTTGTATGTAAGCTGGTATCTCCTTAACTACTGAAGGGAATGGATTGAAACTTCACACACTTGTTCTCTGTGATTATTTAAGATGATTGGCACAAGTCCCATAACTCTGATTTGCTTTTTTTCATAATTATGCCCCTTTTTCGACTTAGAAATTCTTGGTTAAGTTTTTGTATGTAAGCTGGTATCTCCATAACTACTGAAGGGAATGGATTGAAACTTCACACACTTGTTCTCTGTGATTATCTAAGATAATTGGTACAAGTCCCATAACTCTGATTTGCTTTTTAGCTCACCTGTCACAAAGTGACAGGGTGAGCTTTTGTGATCGCTTTTCGTCCGGCGTCCGTCCGTCCGTCCGTCCGGCGTCCGTCCGTCGTCCGTCCGTAAACTTTTGCTTTAAATGACATCTCCTCATAAACCACTGAGCCAATTTCATCCAAACTTCACAGGAATGTTCCTTTGGTGGTCACCTTTAAAAATTGTTCAAAGAATTTAATTCCATGCAGAACTCTGGTTGCCATGGCAACCGAAAGAAAAATCTTTAAATATCTTCTTTTAAACAACCCTAAGAGCTAGAGCTTAGATATTTGGCATGAAACATCTTCTAATGAGTGTCTACCAAGTTTGTTCAAATAAAAGCCCTGGGGTCAAAATTGGCCCCGCCCCGGGGGGTCATTGATTTTCCCTATATGCATATAGTAAAAACTTAAAAAATCTTCTTTTAAAGAACCGTAAGAGCTAGAGCTTAGATATTTGGCATAAAACATCTTCTAGTAAATGTCTACCAAGTTTGTTCAAAGAAAAGCCCTGGGGTCAAAATTGGCCCCGCCCCAGGGGGTCATTGATTTTCCCTATATGCATATAGTAAAAACTTAAAAAATCTTCTTTTAAAGAACTGTAAGAGCTAGAGCTTAGATATTTGGCATGAAACATCTTCTAGTGAATGTCTACCAAGTTTGTTCAAATAAAAGCCCTGGGGTCCAAATTGGCCCCGCCCCAGGGGGTCATTGATTTTCCCTATATGCATAAAGTAAAAACTTAAAAATCTTCTTTTAAAGAACCCAAAGAGCTAGAGCTAAGATATTTGGCATGAAACATCTTCTAGTGAATGTCTACCAAGTTTGTTCAAATAAAAGCCCTGGGGTCAAAATTGGCCCCGCCCCGGGGGTCATTGATTTTTCCTATATGCATATAGTAAAAACTTAAAAAATCTTCTTTTAAAGAATCATAAGAGCTAGAGCTTAGATATTTGGCATGGAACATCTTCTAGTGAATGTCTACCAAGTTTGTTCAAATAAAAGCCCTGGGGTCAAAATTGGCCCCGCCCCAGGGGGTCATTGATTTTCCTTATATGCATATAGGAAAAACTTATAAAATCTTCTTTTTAAAGAACCCAAAGAGCTAGAGCTAAGATATTTAGCATGAGACATGTTCTAATGGGTGTCTACCAAGTATGTTCAAATAAAAGCCCTGGGGTCAAAACTGGCCCCGCCCCGGGGGTCATTGATTTTCCTTATATACATAGCAAAAACTTAAAAATCTTCTTTGAAAAAACCCAAATAACTAGAGTTTAGATATTAAGCATGAAACATCTTTAAGTAAATATCTACAAAGTTTGTTCAAATAAAAGCCCAGGGGTCAAAACTGGCCCTGCCCGAGGGGTGTCATTGTTTTTAACTATATGTGTATAGTAAAAAACTTAAAAAATCTTCTTTTAAAAACCCAATGAGCTAGAACTTAGATGTTTTGCATGAAACATCTTCTTATGGGTGTCTACCAAGTCTGTTCAAATAAACAAATAAAAGCCCTTGGGTAAAAATCGGGCCGCGGGGTGGGGGGGGGGCTATATACAGGTGAGCGACCTCAGGGCCATCATGGCCCTCTTGTTTACATAATTTTGCCCCTTTTTCGACTTGGAAATTCTTGGTTAAGTTTTTGCGTGTAAGCTGGTATCTCCATAACTACTGAAGGGAATTGAATGAAACTTCACACACTTGTTCTCTGTGATTATCTAAGATGATTGGCACAAGTCCCATAACTCTAATTTGCTTTTTAACATAATTATGCCCCTTTTTCGACTTAGAAATTCTTGGTTAAGTTTTTGCGTGTAAGCTGGTATCTCCATTACTACTAGAGGGAATGGATTGAAACTTCACACACTTGGTCTCTGTGATTATCTAAGATGATTGGTACAAGTCCCATTACTCTGATTTGCTTTTTTTGCATAATTATGCCCCTTTTTCGACTCATGAATTCTTGGTTAAGTTTTTGCATGTAAGCTTGTATCTCCATAACTACTGAAGGGAATGTATTGAAACTTGAAGAGTTTGTACCTTTTCGGACAATTTTATGTATTCATATAGGTAAGCATTATTATACTCAGTGAAACACCCTTGTGACAAATTTTCGAATAGTCGAGCGTTACTGTCCTCCGACAGTTCTTGTTGTAAATATAAACATTTTAACACCCATGGTGATGATTAGTCCATTTGTTTATTTCTTATCGTATTTAAAGCATGAACTTATATTTTAAGCATATTGTCGTTAATTTTCATTTAAATATCTGGTCAGAAAAGAGTATTTTAAAAAGCAAAAAACTATTGGTTGAAATCACAGACTCAGTTTTATTGAGTGTAGAGATAATGGAAAATATGACATCTAGCAACACTTTAAGCAGTGTTTTATAATCCTCAACAGTTTTGGAGCCAGTGATCTCAAAGGACAAGATAAATAAATATAGCAACACATAGATGACGTACAAGGCACCTACTGTAATAAATTTAGATATACTGGAAATTAGAGATCTGTGGAAGCCATTGAAACAAAGACATATACAATGTAGATGTACTTTAAAATTGCATTATCTAAATCTGTTAAGGGGCATCCCTGGCCTAGTGGTTATGGTCGTTGACTTGAAGCCACTTGCCGCTCACTGCTGTAGGTTTGGGCTGCACAAGCATCTTCAGACTCATTCATGTGAGAAAGCTATCCAGCTAGCTTACAGAGCCTCAGTGGTTCTACTCAGGTACCCGTTTGTGCCTCCACCAGTAAAGCTATGACCTACACTGTGTTGGTGCGATGTAAAACCCAATTAAAAAAAGGAAATCTGTTTTATAGAGTCTTAAATGAAAGATATACCATAGTGCAACATTTTACATCCACTAGCATTTAAGCAGGTTTAAGCAGTGTTTTCGCAATGTACTTTTTCAATATAATCATACAGCTGTTGTATTATTTGTTTGTAGCTTCGATTATGGATGAATATTCCGACTGTGATGCAGTATATTGTGCCACTACGCACTGCTGTGATTAGGTAAAATCTTAGTTTTTATTTTTGAAAAAGTAGAACAAAATTCAAAGCTTGTTTGATTTGAATAGTACTCAGTAATACATCGGTTTATACATAAGTAGAAAGTTGCTTTGAAAATACATTAATCGTATCGGGCATTTAGGTTGGATAATAAAAGATTTGATCTTGATATCATTAAATGCAAGGAAGTTGTTAAAATGCATGCTATTTGTTTAATCAACTTGTTAGGTTAAAGAGTTTTGATTGTCCACTCATTATATATTTTGAGGGACAAAAAAGGGGCCTTAAAGTACCAGGTTTTTTACTTCTGATAATTAAAAAGAACAACTTATTTTTTAGCAAACTAATATGTCAGAGTTTATAATGTATGTCTTAAAAGTGCTCATCTTAGCATATAATTATATATAATAGGGACTTGTGAAATGGTTTAAGATTCTCTAACAATCTCTTAAAGGTACATTTTAAGGGCTTGTAGCAATTTTTTTTTTGGAAGATCTAAGTCATTTATATGTGGCATGGATCAATTTATTTATGATATACAATGTACATATATCATACAATTGTGTTTTAGGTACATGTGTAAACTATCTGACAAAGACCTGAGAATGGCAGGTAACCGCAACATGACAGACTTGATGTGGGCAGCAGTTAAAGAACCTTTAGAAACCCATTTTACATTTGACAAGGATGGGTTAGAACTAGCATTTAAATACTTCACGTGTTCAACTTTAACAATAAGACTTGCTGGCATTGCTCAACTTAATGTAAGTATATATATTTACAACAGATAGCAGATCAAAATTGGCATCAAGTTTAATGAGTTTTGTCTTTTATCTTTTGAAATTATATTGTTTGTTCAGCTGTAGAACTGGTTTTAAACAGTATTCTGAAACAAATTTATGTTTTAATGTGAGTGTTCCTGGATTTTATAACAATGCATAGCTTAATTTTTCCTGAAGAAGCTGTAAACTTCTCTTTATACTGGCAATATTAAAAGAGTTGCAGAAACAAATTGTCAAGGAATAACATGAACACAAACTGTCAAAACTCTAGTTTGTGATTTATTGCTTTTTCCCCTAACATACATGATACGGTATTTTTATCAGATTCACATCCTTTAAATGGTTTTTTTGTTGCTTTACTTACTAACTTACTAGGCTTACTCAAGTGCACAATCAAGTTGATTCTTTCCTATACCTCTTTGACTTAATAAGGATTAATAACATTTTTTGTGTGAAATATAAAGGAATGTCATGTGAAAGATTAATGTTCAATGTAACTCCTGTATTCACAATTTCAGAATCAAATAACCTTGTACAATGAGAGTTGTAACAATGAAACATTGATGGATGCAGAAAGGTTAGCTTCATTTAATTTCTTATCTCTTTGTTTCATTAAGAGCTAGTGTAATGTACATCTATGTCACTTATCTACAAAAAATGAATTCTCCAAGGTTCCTTATTTAAGTTACTATCAATTCTTAAGGTGTCACATTGATATGTTAAGATATTCATTCAATTCATGAAAGTAACCAAGTTTTCAAAATATATAAGGGGAATGTTGAAGCAAGCATGATCATTTTTATCAAGGTATCATGTTTGCAAATTTAATCTAAATAATTATATAATTATTGATGGTATAACAATAACTACTTTTACTCCTGTATGATCACCATGATACATTTTGTGGTTTATATTACAGAGAAGGTCGTCAACTGGCTGACTGGTTGATAGATAGTAAGATAATAGAACATATATTTGGACCCAATCTACATGTAGAGGTAAGTAATACAAATTTGTATGCGAGAGAGAGAACTTAGAGTGGGAGTGCAAAAAGATTTTCCTTAGTTAGTGTGTCATATTGTCCTGTTGTCATGTTGTCTGTAAACTGATATAAAGTAGGATGTGGGGGATACCTTTAAGTAGGATGTGGGGATTACCTTTAAGTAGGATGTGGGGATTACCTTTAAGTAGGATGTGGGGGATACCTTTAAGTAGGATGTGGGGATACATTTTAGTAGGATGTGGGGGATACCTTTAAGTAGGATGTGGGGGATACCTTTAAGTAGGATGTGGGGGATACCTTTAAGTAGGATGTGGGGGATACATTTTTAGTAGGATGTGGGGGATACATTTAAGTAGGATGTGGGGATACCTTTAAGTAGGATGTGGGGGATACATTTTAGTAGGATGTGGGGGATACATTTTAGTAGGATGTGGGGGATACATTTTAGTAGGATGTGGGGAATACCTTTCTGGCTATACATGCCATATATGCCTATGTTTTCGAACACAAGAATAAAAGTCTTTCCATGGCTTCTAGACTTGGTCAATTTTAGATACATGCATGTTTGATTAAACTTAGGTTGCTGCAAGTTGGATTTGATTGGTTTCAAATGTGCCTTAAAGATAAAAATAGTGTCACTATGGTTTGTCCTTTAAATGTTAACTGTCATGTGGCTGATTGGGTTTAAGTAATAAGAATGATTTTGAACAAAAAAAAATGATACATATATCACATTGACAGAACTGTTGACCTGAAACAGTGTTGATATTAGATTTGGTTGTTAATTAACAAAATACCGTATAAGTGGTTTTTTCTGCGGTGACTTTATTTCTGCGTATTCTGCGGTCAGTTTCAGCACCGCAGAAATAAAAACCGCAGAATATTTCTCCATATTTTTTTAGCCTGGTACAATATGTGTACTGCATTATGACCTATTTCGTCTCAAGTAATAACGACTAACGGATTATAACGGTTAGCGGATTTAATTGTCATCTGATTTACGGTAAACTTCTATCAATTTTATTAAATTAAAGATACTACCGGGGTATATTTTTCACACGTCATTTAACGCTGATCAAAAGATTTATACCTTTCTTTTTTTGCGCATTATATTTGTTTGCAAGCAAACAATATAATTGTTTGTAGTTACTATACAGTTTTGCTGTGACGACAACAAATGCGAATGTGTACATGAAAATAAAATAGAGTAATGTGACTTAAACTTTGATAAGTCGCAGAATTTAAATCACGTTTTTCCCAAAGAATGTGCCGCAGAAATAAACTCCACAGAAATAAAAACATGCCAAAATCTTGAAAAACCGCAGAATTTGGAGCCCGCAGAAAAAACCATTTATATGGTACTTTATTCTAAACAATAATTACCCTTTTCTGTTGGTGTGGTGTTAATTAAATGGCAAAGTGAGAAAGGTGTGACCAGTACAAATAATATTTTTGACATTTATTTGATGTGATATTTTGTTGTTTCAGTTGATAAAACAGAGTCAGATAATTCTGAATTTCCTGGCTGTAGAAGGTAGAATCACTAGTGAACATATAGATTGTATATGGGCTGCAGCTCAGGTTTGTTCTCATGTTATCTTTATACAGAGCCCCTTACCTCTGGAGATTAGAATCCCAACAGGGACTTTGGATTCTCTCATGTCATGTGAGGAAGCTATCCAGCTAGCTTAGGGAATGTCGGTGGTTCTACTCGGATGCCTGTTCTGCTTGAAATAATGCACAGACGGCACCTGTGGTCTTCCTCCACCAGTAAAGCTGGATAGTCACCATATTACCTATACAATGTTAGTGCAATGGAAAATCAAATAAATAAAAAAATAAAAAATTAGAGCTGCCATCGATAGAAACAATATCTGTCAATCAATACACATTTAAAAAAATCAATAATTTTGACATATTAATTATATGTCTAGAAATTAGGAATATTCACTCAAAACCTAGTTAATTTTCCTAGTAAATTTTCCCTGGTGAGTGAGGGCACATTTAATTGGTTTGTGACTAAACTTCTCATGTCTTACCTGCTTTTAATCTGTCTTTTTGATTTTTACAACTTCTGAACAAATTGAAAGTTACTTCGGATTCTGTATGTCATAAACATATCATTAATTGTGTTTGGATGGATATTTATTTACAGCTGAAGCATTGTGGGAAGCAGGTTTTTGAGTCTCTTATACCATTGATAAAGAACCTAGAACTACAACCAGTCCAGCACTTGCTACAGCTGGTATCCAGTCTAGAAATTGCAGCTCATACTGAGTCTGTAAGTATTGTTTATGATATAGAATTTTATAGAACGTTGTTAACATCTTTTTACAGGGTACACATTTATGTTTCTATTTAGGGTATGTCTCAGAAATACTTGGCATTGATGTGGAGAACTTTTATAAATATATTGGCATATTAAGTACCATATGGCATAGTTTAATCTTGCAACAGCATAGTTATATCTCTTTTCTAATTCAAAGAAGGAATACATGGCCCTTCACTTACACATATTTCTTGTTAAAATTTAGAAAAATGTAAGTTGTTGTTTTTGTTTGTTTTCAGACACTGTACTTGGCATCGGCCTTGATCAAGTGTGTATGGAACACTTGGGCTGTCCAACCAAAAGCTGCACTGCCTCAAAACCAGAACTACAATACTGCCAAACATGAACATATGGACACTGGTTAGAATAGTTTAATATTTGCTTACATATTTTACGATTTTATTACGAATATAGTCTTTGATATTCTGTCAACAAAGAAATACAGTACCAGTACTTCTTTTAAAATCTATAAATTTTGAGAACATCTGAATAACAGAAAAATATTGTTTTGAATTTATTGTGTTTTGATAAAGAGAGCTTCATTTATCCCTTATCCTTCTGAATTTGTAGAGCATATTAGCCCCTTGAAATTAGAACTTGGTTATAATTGAACAAAAGCAGTTTCAATATCAAAATACTAAAAATTGAGAGCAATCCGGAACAATCTTGTCACTGACTGTACTGCTGACGGGGCAAGTCACTATCAGTGTCAGCATTTAGAGGGTTCAAATGAATAAGATAGTTCCAAGATCATTTGTTGTAGTCCTTTTGGTATTTAAGATTTATACCTCATTATTCACTTATTTGTCACAAATGAAAGTTTTATATAATGACATTTACAGATAAACAGAAGCATGATTTAAGCAGTAGTGAAAGTATACAAGTATCTGAAGATGGTGATAGAGATAGGAGAAAAGTTCAGGTATAAAAAATTTTAACAAATATAACCTTTCAGAGCTTTTTTTCTTTATTGGCATAAGGGTTATGTTACCAAAAACTCATTGTTTTCTGGAATACTGTGTTCATAATACAAAGACAAAGGCCATTTTCATAATAAAAAAAATACATGTAATAATGTCTGTATATAATTTTATTTCTCTCATTATTTGAAAGTATATATATCAATATGCTTGGATTTATATTTCATTCTCAAGATCTCTGATATTTTAAGTCATCATTGAAAACAAGATGACTTCATTGCTCAAAGTTTCTTTGAAAGAAATGAGGCAAAAAGTGAAGTACAATTTTCATTTGCCTTCAAGTTGAAATGAACACGTATATTCAAGTAGCACATAAACCAATTTATCACATACCCGTTGCTGATTTTGCGACTCAGTAAAAATGGTATGGCACAGCCATGCTTATATTTTTAGGTGTTGTCATTTGCATAATACAAACATATTGTGTAGATGCGCTGAATGTTCGTGTTTCACTTTAGGGGTGTCAATGAAAATGTTTCTTTTGCACTTTATACAGTGTTTATTTTGTGTATGTGATAAATGAAATGTTGTATTCATGCAGGGTCATTACTAAATTTATTGAATTTGTTGAATAAAGTAATATTTTTGATCATCAGAGGCTCGCATAATATAATTTTATTCAACTTTTTTTTTTGTTTTTTTTTTGGGGGGTTTTACGTCACATCGACACAGTATAGGTTATATCACGACGTTCCAGCTTTACTGGTGGAGGAAGACCTCAGGTGCCCTTCCGTGCATTATTTCAGGCACGAACGGGCACCTGAGTAGAACCACCGACGTTCCGTAAGCTAGCTGGATAGCTTCCTCACATGAAAGAATCCAAAGTCCCTGTCGGGATTCGAACCCACAGCGGTGAGGGGCAAGTGGTTTGAAGTAAACGACCTTAACCGCTCGGCCACGGATGCCCCTTTTATTCAACTAGTAGAAGTTCAATAAATTCAGTATTGAACCTACACTCATTCAATATCCTTTATATGTGACATGAATGGTTTAGAAAAAAATGAATTAATTGAAATTTTTACCTTATATGATATATAACAGAGACCTGGAACACCAGAGGAGCTTGACAGATCAGTAGAGAGTAGTGGTGAGTCACCTATAAAGAGAAAGGTTGTAAATAAACATAGACATATAAAGAAATCCGAGGCTCATGAATCTGAAGAAAGCATTGTTGATAGTGAGGGTAAGCAGAAGATGGAAATAACTTTTTTTTATCTTAAAGGCTTAAATCTGAAGGATAGAAGTTTGATTTTGTAATGTTGAAATCTCTCTAATCATTCTGATCTATTTAATTGCAAGTACATCATAAAATTTTATTGGTCTAGCTTTAATGTTCCTTAATGACTGCTGAGATACAAATTCAGAAAAAAATCCAGACAGAATTATAAGAATCAGGAAACACTGGCCTATTTGTTTATATCTGAAATGCAGTTTGTGCTAAATACCAAGCTTCTAAGCTAATATTTCTTATGCCATTACACAGGAGATGTTCATAGTGAGGAAGAGGAGGAGTCCGGGGCAGAGCAGTGTGGGTGTGGCCATGAACATGGGGTCAGAGGTCATCATGCTCATCATCACGTGCGTGCACACAGTCACAGGCATCATTTACACGAGCTTCACCAGGAGGCGGAGAGTGGCGAGAGTGAGAGCGAGATGGAAACGAGCGACTCCAGCGAGGGTTTGAACCTAGAAGGACTGGACATGGAGAATCTAAGACAGCGGGCTATAGAGATGCAAAAGAAAGGTCATCATCACAAGCATCGTCATATAGAGGGAGAAAGTTCCGAGGAGATTGATCCTGAAGATGAGGAGGAAGAAGAACTTGATTCAGAATTTCTCGACTCTGAAGATGAAGAAATGATTAAACAAAGAAAATTAAAGGTAATATATAATATTAATTTGTAAACTATTAAAGGTAATATATTAATTTGTTAACTATTGATTATAAAAGGTGTACAAATATACTGAAATTGTAAGATTGTGCTAATATTGTACTCATTTTGTCTTGTCATAAAAATTTTGCTGACTCAGCATGAATCAATGAAACATGTTTGCCTATGGTTTCAATCTCACAAAATGTCTGATTTCATCATGCGTTATTTTGGTATTGTACAGTTTTAATGTATTTAGCCCTTCAACTAAAATAATGTAAGGGAAAGTTGTTTAAAATAAAAATATTTATAGAGAAAGTACACAGATATATTAAACAATTGTAGAAATATTAAGATGTTTGTAAAATTTTGCTTTAAGTTGAATGAAACGGAATAATATGGTAAAGGTCTCATATTTTTTTCTTTCACATTATTTAGCAGTTCCTCGAGGCACATAACCTGCACGAGAACAGTGAGGAGGATTCTGAATACGATGAAGATGATGATGAGGAAGAGTACGAGCATCACGTGCTGCGGCAAGCGCACGCGTTTCATAACCACCAGTTAGCCATGCACCGCAGAAAACATCAAGCCATGCAGCAACGGAAACAGAAAATGATGGGAAAGGCAGTAGAGGGCAAGAGGGTCCAGGTTGGAAATATACCAACTGTTGTGAAAGACACTGAGGTGAAAATAGAGGAAAGGGTTGAAGGAAATAATTCTGGTCATGTACGTTAACTATTATGGAATTTGTTGCAGTTCCTTAGATATTGTGTACGAAATGTTTTATTGATGAATATGGGAAAACATTGAATTTTTTTTATCCTCGTTAAATTATTCAACTGCCTTAATGTATCTTTATATGGTACCAACTTTGGGTGGCTCTCAGTCACGTAATGAATCTTAACTCAATTTTAAAAGTGTAAGAGTATTTGGCTTTGATATATTCCAAGAAACAATTGAATGTATATCATCTTTATCAATAGATAAAAGTTACTTTGTTTAAATTGTGTCTACATATGGCTCATTGAAGTGAGATGTCTTTACATAACCTTTCTATATTCAATAAAGTGAATCTCTAAAGTAAGTGCCGATTTACTTGTTTTACTTTAAAAAGAGACTAAGAATGATATTTTGTTATTAGAAACATTGTTTATAATTAAATTACTGTATTTTGTATCAAGGATCTGATATTTTTAAAGGTATCTGACACTGCAGCAGTAGCAGCATCATTACTGGAGGAGAATGAAGGGAAATTGAAACACGAGCATGGAGATACCGAGGTGTATGACTGTACACACATTGGTGAAACTACACATAAAAAACTAAATAGGCATCCACGGTTTGTACATTATATGACATATTTTACTAGAACTAAGTGATAATATTGGTTTATCGGTATCCGGACAATTCCCTTCCGAGAAATTTCCCTTACATTTATTTTGGCAACCCAGACAATTCCTCTCCCATTCTTTTTTACAGGGCCGACAATTCCCCTCCCGTTGTTTTTTCACAGAGGACTATTTTATTCCATTATTATTTATCTGTGCTGACAATGCCCCTCCTGTTGTTAATTTCACCAAGGACAATTTCCCCATTGGTAAATCTTTAGAAAAAAGAAAAAGTGATACAAAAAGAATATTTGAATGTAGTCTGTGGTGTAAATAGATTTTAGAGTCAGATTTTCCTCTTATATCTGTTAAAAGTGTATTTTTATGCCCCCGCCATGTAATGGCCGGGGCATATAGTGTTACCCTGTTCCGTCATTCCGTCCTTCCGTCATTCTGTCATTCCGTCATCACTGTTTCCGTTCATTATCTTAAGAACGGTTGCACACATTCAACTCAAATTTGACATATGGATATGTCATGAGAAAATACAAGTCAAGTTCGAATTTGGTCATGGTTCGATGATTTTTGGCAGAGTTATGCCCCTTTTACTTTGAAAATAATATAAAATTTCAGTTTCCGTTCATTATCTCCCCAACGGTACAACACATTCAACTCAAACTTGACATATGGATATGTCATGAGAAAATACAGGTCAAGTTCGAATTTGGTCATGGTTCGATGATTTTTGGCAGAGTTATGCCCCTTTTACTTTGAAAATAATATGAAATTTTCAGTTTCCGTTCATTATCTCCCTAACGGTACAACACATTCAACTCAAACTTGACATATGGATATGTCATGAGAAAATACAGGTCAAGTTCGAATTTGGTCATGGTTCGATGATTTTTGGCAGAGTTATGCCCCTTTTACTTTGAAAATAATATGAAATTTTCAGTTTCCGTTCATTATCTCCCCAAAGATACAACACATTCAACTCAAACTTGACATATGGATATGTCATGAAAAAAAATACAGGTCAAGTTTGAATTTGGTCATGGTTCGATGATTTTTGGCAGAGTTATGCCCCTTTTACTTTGAAAACAATATGAAATTTTCAGTTTCCGTTCATTATCTCCCCAACAGTACAACACATTCAACTCAAACTTGACATATGGATGCGTCAAAGGAATGCGCAGGTCAAGTTCAAATTTGGTCGTGGTTCAATGATTTTTGGCAGAGTTAATCCCCTTTTACTTTGAAAATAATATGAAATTTTCAGTTTCCGTTTATTATCTCTCCAATGGTACAACAAATTTAACTCAAATTTGACATATGGATATGTTTTTGGAATGCCCAGGCAAAGTTCGAATTTGGTCATGGTTCAATGATTTTTGACAGAGTAATGCCCCTTTCACTTTGAAAATAATATGAAATTTACAGTTTCTGTTCATTATCTACCCAACAGTGTTACAAATTCAACTTAAATTTGACATATGGATATGTCAAAGGAATGGGCAGGTCAAGTTGGAATTTGGTCATGGTTTGATGATTTTTTGGCAGAGTTATGTCCCTTTCACTTTGAAAATATTATAGATACATGTTAGGAATAAGCAATGTTAGGAATAAGCAGTTAAGTTTGAATTTGGTCGTGGTTCAATGATTTTAGACAAACTTATCTTTCCTGAATGTTGGAAAAATTTTGAACTTTCAGTTTCAGCACTCATACTTTTAGCCATTATTTTGGCTACAAATATGCAATATGCTATTTTTAAAAGGTTAAGACTGAATAATTTCAGTGCCTTGAACATTGTATGAAAATGGTTTGTGTTAACATTGAAAAGTTTTAAGGGCTTTGAACTTAAAATGAAAAAAATAATTAATGCACCATCTGAAATTTTGGCTGCATGCGGGGGCATCCGTGGCATGATGACACATTTCTAGTTTCATTTTCATTGTATTCCATGTAAATGTAATTGTTCTTTTCCCTGATCTAATCTCCCATTGTCCCTAAAATTTCATGCTTTTGTAATGTATTTGATTCTTTAGTTTTATGTGTTATACTTTGGTTTATTACTTGCTTCTTTGGTTTGATATTTCATACTTTGGTTTAACTTTTACAGTGGTTACCATGGTGATGATATAATGAGTCCTGACGATGGAAGTTGTCATAGTTCACACCTTAGTAACAAGTCAGAGAAGAATATGGCTGATTTTGATGGGGAGGATTTATTGAGCGATGATGAGCTGTCACAGATCAATGCCCACTCCCAGCTAAACTCACATGCTACATTTGGTCATCTCTCCAGCATGGCCTCTATGTACCATACACACATGCCACATGGTAAGTTTCTTTAATCTTGAAACTAAATCTGAACTGTAAAACAAAAAGTGATAATGATTTTTCTTGATGATTAGGCACATTTGCTATTTACTAACTAACCAAAAAATTCAAGTGAGAAGAAAATTGTAGTTTGTTTTGAGTGCATAAACTCTTAAGATGCTTGCTTATTCATGAAGGAAGCTCAAAAAGAGACACTTCTTTGTTGTGGCCCATTTAGAGGTCCTTTTCACCCAATAATGTACAGATACAAAGTGATACTTTAGTCCCTCTTTTGAAAAATTGTATTTGATCTATACTGTTCCATTTTACATTAATTCGAGAGAGAGAAAATGGTGCACATACAAAATGGTTTTCTAATACAGTGATGAGTCAGCGTCAGGCACAGAAAGAATCATCCACACACACAAACAGTACGGCATCTTCATGTTCCGAGTTCAATTTTGAAGATGTTTGTAAACCAGGAAATACCTTGTTGTGGGATCTAGTCCAAGATGATAAAGCTGTAAGTATCCAACATGCACAGACTTACCGTTTTGTTAATTTACTTAAGGTCATTAGTGAAACTAATGCTAGAATTGATAAATTATTATCATCATGAATTTGTGAATGATTGAGCCCATTGAAGATTGTATGAGAAAAGAAGAGATGATAATTCTTTTTTCTAATGTAAAGTATCTCACCAAGATTATGACTAATATCACATTATTTTGGTAACAGTGACATGTTAATGACATGGTTTGGAGTAGAATCGGCATTCACTTGATCATTATGATTTTATTGTTTGTAACATAATTTAAAAAAGGAGTAATTTGAGAAAAGTTTAAAACTAAGTAAATATCTAAAAAAAATGTTAATATCTTAGTGTACAAATGGTATAGAAATGGTAAGGGATATTTTTGTAATTTATATGTCTTGTACATTACAGCATTTACTGCCTGAAGGATTAGCTGTAGATGCAGAAAAGGTGCTACATAATCTGGTCTGTTTCTGTACAGATAAACGAATCAAAAAAAAGTTTATTGAAGCTTGTATAAATAACCTGGCTCATCATAGGTATCCATACTACTAAATTAGTCATTATGTTGATCAATTTGTTTTGTTTATATTGTATACACTTTATATATGGAACAAAACTGTTTATATTGTATACAATTTATATAAGGAACAAAACTGTTTATATTGTATACACTTTATATATGGAACAAAACTGTATATATGGAACAAAACTGTTTATATTGTATACAATTTATATATGGAACAAAACTGTTTATATTGTATACAATTTATATATGGAACAAAACTGTTTATATTGTATACACTTTATATATGGAACAAAACTGTTTATATTGTATACAATTTATATAAGGAACAAAACTGTTTATATTGTATACACTTTATATATGGAACAAAACTGTTTATATTGTATACAATTTATATATGGAACAAAACTGTTTATATTGTATACACTATATATATGGAACAAAACTGTTTATATTGTATACAATTTATATATGGAACAAAACTGTTTATATTGTATACACTTTATATATGGAACAAAACTGTTTATATTGTATACAATTTATATATGGAACAAAACTGTTTATATTGTATACACTTTATATATGGAACAAAACTGTTTATATTGTATACACTTTATATATGGAACAAAACTGTGTATATTGTATACAATTTATATATGGAACAAAACTGTTTATATTGTATACACTTTATATATGGAACAAAACTGTTTATATTGTATACAATTTATATATGGAACAAAACTGTTTATATTGTATACAATTTATATAAGGAACAAAACTGTTTATATTGTATACACTTTATATATGGAACAAAACTGTTTATATTGTATACAATTTATATATGGAACAAAACTGTTTATATTGTATACAATTTATACATGGAACAAAACTGTTTATATTGTATACAATTTATATATGGAACAAAACTGTATATATGGAACAAAACTGTTTATATTGTATACAATTTATATATGGAACAAAACTGTGTATATTGTATACAATTTATATATGGAACAAAACTGTTTATATTGTATACACTTTATATATGGAACAAAACTGTTTATATTGTATACAATTTATATATGGAACAAAACTGTTTATATTGTATACAATTTATATAAGGAACAAAACTGTTTATATTGTATACAATTTATATAAGGAACAAAACTGTTTATATTGTACACACTTTATATAAGGAACAAAACTGTTTATATTGTACACACTTTATATAAGGAACAAAGCTAAGAAATCTTCATCTCAGCAATGTCAATGTTTTGAGTTAAAATTTTGTAAAAATATATAGTTGCTTTGTTGGACATATCACAACAACTTTACACATAAAACAAAAGGTATTATTAGATAGCAAATGATTTCTGTATGTATAAATTCGGTAAATCTTACCATAGTTATGAAATATATTGATAGAATTTAGCCTCACCCCTGTGGGTTTGAATTCTCACGTTGACTTTAGATTCTTTCATGTAAGGAAGCTTTCCAGCTAGCTTAAGGAAGGTTGATGGTTTTACTCAGGCACCTGAGGTCTTCCTCCACAAAATAAAGCTGGAAAGCTTCAATATGAACTTAACAAAGTGTTGGTGTGACTTAAACCCCAACGAAAACAAAATAAACTTTAAACTCGGGCATTTGAGTTTAACAGATCTTGATCCTTTAATGAAACTTTCATAAGATATTTGAAAAATGAAAAAAATCATTGGTAGTTAATGAAATTTAAAATTTTTCGTTCCAGATCTGTGGTTGTTTCACTACGACTACTACCGAAGATAATCTACTCATTCCAGCAGTATCGTAGTGACTCTAATTGTCACACTATTACACAGTGGTCAGAGAGGGAGTTAGACATGATGTCACACTTCTTCGTGAACCTTGTTCATTATACAGACAACCATAGAGAACATGGCACACAAAACACTGCTTTGTATGTATATGATTTAGTTTTAATGTAAAGGAAGCTTGAATGGAAAATGAATTTATTTTGCCACCAGAGCAATATAGAGTCAGGCCAAGAGTTAGGCCACTCTGTACTCCTGTTCAACTTGATAAGACTGTACTTTTGGTTAACAAACTTTACTTTTGGCTAACAAACTTTAAATATTTTTTAAAGATTGATAATGGACAGTCCTATTAAAAAAGTTGGTCAAGTGTATGCAAGAAATCTAGTGTGACCAGTAATTTAAGAATATAATACATAGTGATAAAATTGCATTGTGTACTGAAATCTGTTCTTTTGGTATATCTACAGACTGAACTCATAAAAGATTGTGTTATTATTTGATTATTGAGTTCTTTTTTATGTCCTTGGATAGATATTTATTGGTTATGTTGACCTTGACCTTCTATGTTGACATATTTTAATCTTAGCCATAGCATCTTTCTGTACTTAACTGTAGTCTTTATACACAACATTGACAAACTCTGGACATGAACTTTGTATGTCTTGAATTTTGACCTTGACATTAGAAATAGAGGTGACAAATGATCTTTTTATCACTTTGAATTTTCCATGTTTGATGTTTATTATGCCACCGCAGCATCTGCGATGCGGTGGCATAGGCATATAGCGATTCACCTGTGTGTGTGTGTGTGTGTTTGTTTGTGTGTGTGTGTGTTATATAGATTATATAGTGAACTTAAAAAATCTTCTTGTGAAAAACCACTGGTCCAATTTAAACCAAACTTGGCAGGATTGATTCTTGGGTGAAGGGCTTCCAAAGGCTTGCAAAAAATCTTATTGTCTGAAGGTACAAGCAAGCCTTAGAGCTTTAATATTTGTTATATGATATCATCTATAGGTATTCTACCAAAGTTGTTCAAATTTTGCCTCTAGTGTCAAAATTAGCCCCGCCGGGGGGTCATAGGTTTTCCTCATATGTATATAGTAAAAACTTAAAAATTCATCTTCTCTAAATTGGCAAAGGCTAGAGGTTAGATATTTTGCATGAAACATTGTGTAGTGAACCTCTAGCAAAATTGTACAAATTATAGCCCTGGGGTCAAAATTGGCCCCACCCCAGGGGGTCATTGATATTCACTATGTTAAAACATACAGTTAAAAATTAAAAAATCTTATTGTCTGATGGTACAAGGCTTAGAGCTTTGATATCTGGTATATGATATCATCTATAGGTACTCTTCCAAAGTTGTTCAAGTTTTGCCTCTAGTATCAAAACTAGCCCCGCCCAGGGGGTCATAGGGTTTCCTTACATGTATATAGTAAAAACTTTCAAAAATCATCTTCTTGAATTGACAAAGGCTAGAGGTGAGACATTTTGCATGAAACATTGTGTAGTGAACCTCTAGCAAGATTATTCAAATTAAAGCCCTGGGGTCAAAATTGGTCCCGCCCCTGGGGATCATTGATTTTCAGTCACTATGTCATAAAGTAAAAAATTAAAAATCTTATTGTCTGAAGGTACTAATCTGATAAAAACAGAGAGGTAAGTGATCCATGCATTATGGCAATCTGTATAGAAACAAAAAAAATTGTGTTCCTACATTACTATTTAGTGTTGTATTTATGCGGTGGCATGGCATTTTTTACAAATGCAATCTTGTTTGTAATGATTTCAGTTCGTGCCCTCATTAGGCAATTTAGTTTTATTTACAAGTATTTTACATTGATTATGTGGCTTTACAATATATTGGTTTGTCTATTTTATCATGATACAGATACAGTCATAAAGAAGAGATACAAGTTCGACTTTTGTTCTTATCTGGTGTGTTCTCATCAACGTGTTCAACTGATAACTTTAGTGAGTACCATTAACTTGTACCGTCTTTTCAACTTCAAAAGATGTAGGCACTTTCACTGTTATTACCAGTGTAGAAATATTGAGACAATAAATATTGTGATACAATAATAAGTACAGTCATGGTTGGTGTACAACATTCAACACTATAATGCTATACATTTCTTATACTCTTCATTAGTTTTTATTAGCTTGACTATTCAATGAAAAGGAAGAGCTATTGTTCTCATCCCCAGCATTGGTGTTGGCATTGGCATCCCTCTTTAGTTAAGTTTTTTTGTAAGAATGTAACTCCAAAACTACTGAAGGAATGTGTTGAAACTTCACACACTTGTTCTCTGTGATTATATAACATGTTGAGCACATGTTCCTTTAACTCCTCTAACAGAGTTATACTCCTTTCCTTACTTTGAAGCACTGTGAACAGTGGAGCATGCTGTCTTATGAACAGCTCTTGTTAAGTTTGATATATGAAAAAAGATTAATTTTGGAAATGAGCCACTTGTGAAGGCACAGATAAGGTTGTCCTGAAATTGTTAATTTGCCCTGATAAAATATTTTTATCAAAGTTGAAAGATGAAGTATATGACTAGGAAAAAATATTGGTGTAAACATTTTGTACTTATGTTTAATTATTTTGTTTCAAGGATTAAACCTTGACCAGGTGGACACATTGTGGGCATGCCTGGCTGATGACAAGGATTGTTGTGATGAATGGTTGAGTTGGATGTTAAACCAAGCCAAGAGTAAAGATCACCATGCCCTTGGACTAGAAACATTCAAACATATTTTCCTTGAAAAGGTATGGTTAATGGTAAATTGTCCTAGAAAAAGTTTGGGAAATGTATATTATAGGGGCATAGAACAATATATTGTGTATAAATGTACATGTTTATGTATACTTTACCATTTTTATGTTTGAAAATTAAATTTTATTGTCTTAATACTTTTCTAATAGCACTTGTTGTTGATTAAAAATATTTCAATTTATTGCAAATTCTGTGTTTATATAGAATTAGAAAATTGGTATTTCAGTCATTTAGTGTTAATGGAATTCAACTTTATTCCATAGGTTACTTCTTCATAGATAACTCATATTTACCATGTTGAACAAATTTATTTCTTTTAATATTATTTTATGCATCAGATACTATGCTTACAGTTTTTGAGAGTAAATTAACCAAAATATCATTTCTATAAATGTTACTACAATGTTATTATTCTCTCCATAGATGCCGCAGTTAAGTCCGAAGTCAATGAGTATGATAGGATTGAACCTGTTCCAGCAGTTATCTCATCTATCCAGGATTGCCAATGCTTCCAGTGACTGCTCCCTACCTGAAGATAAGGTACACCCCTTTTTGTTATTTGACTTTATTTTTGTACAATTGTTTAATGAAAAAATTTACCTTGACAGAATAATATTACATCATTATTCAGAAAAGGCGACCTTCCTAGCAATGAAGCTGGTTTCTTTTGCTTCAAGTCACTTCATTTTACTGCTGTCAGTTTAAATACCACAAGGAATGATAACTTTTATTGTAAGGATGTTTTTGTTTGAAATAATGCCAATAGAAAAAAATATAAAAGTAAAAATTAGTTTAACAGTATGAATCTTTGTATGTACATTGGTTTGATCATTATCATACCTTGCAGTATAGTATTTTGTCTATTTTGTTTTACTTGCAGATCAGTGGAATGGAAACAGCTATGGGAGTTGCTTGCGAGCATTTAACCCGATGTTAGCATTACAAACAATAAAAGTATGTCCCTGGTTTTCAATGGGTTTGGGAATGGTTTATAGGGAAAAGAGGAGGAGTTTGTTCAAAAATGTATGGGGAAATTTGGTGGGGAAATACTGACAATTTTACAAAGGGTTTTTGGAATTCTTTAAATGTAACCCTTTCTTTTATTTTGGGTTTATGAGGTTAAAAAACCTTTTAAAATTTTTTAAAGAGTTTACTATATGTTTATTATATGATTGTAGTGATTTTTCACCGTATATTAGAGAGGCCCAATAGAAATTTTCGTAAAAATCATGCAGTTTTTCCCTCCCAAAAGAGTAAATTAGGGATAATTTCTCTCAAAATCTTCAGGCTTAGACTTCTTCCAGATTAAATGAGAAAAAAAACACTGGATTGCTTTGTAACTGCATTAGACAAGAGTGTGCTATAATTGGTCTTAATGTAACAGAGCTGGCTAGAACTCAGTGAGTCTTAATTCCATGCTATAAAAACTAAAAATTACTAATAGTCTTCTAGATTAGATTTTAAGCTGTTTTCTCTAGAAAATTCTTCACTGTCTTAAAAACCAGGGAAATGTTGTTGAAAGATTCCAACTGTCAACTTTGGATCAGTCAATGTTTTTCTTGCCTTAAATATGAGATGATGATCTATGTTTAAAGGATCCAGACACAAGTTTGATGGTGATACAACGGGGACTGGTTCTTATGAAGAATCATCTCGAGGTGTTTCGGAAAAGGTATGCCTTTCATCTCCGCAATTGGCAGATCACCGGAAATGGTATTATTAGTCATCAACGTAGCCTGGTAGATAAACAGTCGGCACAGATCAGAATTCTACTACAACCAGCAGGGCTTGGGGAGAAGGTGAGATAACTTTTACTTAGTTTACTGAATTTTACAATTTCTAATTTTTTTATTGAGGCTTAATTGTAAGAAAGTTTAAAGCTTAATTGAAGAATCAGTAATTGTTTTAATGTTAGGAAACATAGTCCTGATCCTAGGAAGGGCTCAAAACCAAAGAAACCATTGCAGTATGTAACTGCTGTAAAATGTTTCGTCCTGGTTTCTTGCTGAAAACTAGACAGATACAAATTGTATTTTAAGAACTTAAATTATGAAATTCGATGAAATTCAAAATAAGGCAAATTGACAAGGTGAAAAAAAGTGTACAGAATGTTTGTAGATTGGCTGAAAACTATTTCTGCTTTGCTTGTTGAAGTTATAAAGGTGTTATTTAATTTCTGTTACTGCCATAACATGAAGCCTTTAGAAAATGTAAGTGTTTTCCCTTACACTGACTGGTTCAAACTTGTGATATGCTACAAATTTGTCATACCAATGCTATGTATGATATTGTTTACTTGTTGCATGTAAATTTTGTTAAAAAATATTGATTCACATGTTATTTGTGTGAACAGACACAGATAGAGATGTCATCTACTGACCTGGTAGCTGAGCTAAGAGCTGAAGTCACTCACTGGTGGGAACAGTTACAGAAACAACAGATACAAGCTGGGCAACAGAGGGAAGCTAGTGGTTTAGGTAAATATTACACTCAAAATAGTAGTACTGTTTGCCATCAGTGATTATCTCATTTAGAGTTCAATGTGTTGTTTAAGGTAAGGGCCTGAAAAATCAGGATTTGACATACTTGTCCACTTTTATCATAAGTATTTCTTACCTTGTCTTTATGATATTTATATAGAAAATTCTTGAACATTGCCACTTGTCTGTACAGACTGTGAGACAACCTGGGCTTTATGGACAGTTGATTTTTTTGCCCCTGAAGGTTAAGTTAATTGTTTTGCACATGTATGTACAGTTGTATACTTCAACTTTTTCTCTGCATGTGAAGCTGTAATTTGCTTTTTGGCCATATTAGTGTGATTCAAAACTAATTATAAAAGAATTAAGTAATTACCACTGTAGATAAAATTTAGAGAAATGTCACTATATTTCATTATAAGTGGTTGTGTAACCCAAACTAATACAATTCTGTTTTTATACCTATTTCAGGGAGTAGTTTGTTAACTCCTATACTAGGTGCTATGTTAGGGGATGGACCTATAAGAATGATCAACCAGGGTCAGGAGCTAACCTATGAGGTAGATGAGAAAACACTTAGTGAGATGGCCTTCAAGGATGGTCAGGTAATTAAATGAATATATGATAGAATGTAAAGCTTGTGAAGATACTATGAACCTACTTCAGTTAAGTTGGCTAGAAATCAATATTTTTCATTCCTTCAGCTACTTCTGTTTTCAGCCAAAAAAAGAAATAAAACATAAAAATAAATTGTATTAATTTATATAATAATTGTCAAAATTTTTTACTGGTTGGCAAGGTTACTAAAACAATATCAAACATTTGTTAAGGTTTATATTTATGCGAAAAGGTTTAATTAGTCATTATGTTCCAATGTTTGCATCCTGTTTTCTTTCTTCAGATCGTGTTTGTCTCTGTTGGAGCAGGGCGCCAGCCTAGAAAGATGGATGGTTCCATTCCTTCTGCTAGCCTACCAATACCACCTAGAGATAAATTACCCATGATGCTTTTAAACCAGGAACCATTCTTTGGTCAACTTCTAACCATGTTAGAGAAACTGAGCAGGCTTGACTTAGCTACACTCATGATGGTATGTGATTTTGAATGCTTTTCAAAGAATTGCCTTAGATTCCAGTCTTTGATATAATTGAAAAGAACAGATACTGGCTTGTCTTATAATTTCTTAAATTTAAATTATCATTGATAGAAATTTATCATAAATGTTCAATAAAAAAAAGCTGCTCATATTTTAAGAAGAATAAATGCTTATCAAATATAGTTTAAGATTTTGAATAAAAAGAGTAGAAATTGATGTGCAGAGAGGAATAAATACAGCAATTTATTTGATAACCATCTTATAAAGTTTAGTGTGTATTCATACAAACTGCTTTAAAAATTTGTTCTTGTATACTTACAGGAGAGTCAAGAAAAGTTAAACCAGACCACCAAAGCAACTGTGTTGTCAAGAAAGGTTTGGGAGCTACTGATGTTGCTACCTACAAACTCTGATGTCCTGCAAGGATTTAGGAGTATTACTCAAGATAAGGTAAATGATGACCTAATGATAGATACCTGTCTTATAAGATCAATGTCACAATAATATTTCTTCATATTGCAAAGATGATAGTAAGTCGGGAGAACAAAACTGTTTAAGTGATATAAGTAAGATTAAGGTGTTTATTACAATCTAGGGTTCTGCAAGTCATTCATCAACTAGACAGGTTTCTTTCTGTTATCTACCTTTGATTTAGATAAGAGTATGTTTTATATACGGGTTGTGCAATACCGATTGCAATTGGGAAAATAAAAGAAATTGTCTGTTAATGTAAACATATAATGTTTTTGTTTATAAATATGTTTTACTTTTTATAAATATGTTTTACTTTTTCTACACTGTACAAAGCATAGGTTATGAAAATTTTATATACTAACAGGTTGTGGTCTGATTCTCATATTTTTCAGGACCCAAGTATGACTCCTAATTGGCAGAAGTTACTTGATCCTCAAGGTCCACACAGGCTGATGTACTCTCTACAGATTGTTGAAGGACTGTCTAGAGGTCCTAAACATAGGAGAAAATCTACTGTAAGTCATAAGACTTGATTTTGTGTAAAATATCATGTAAATGAATCTTTTATTGTTTTTAGCTCACCTGTCACAAAGTGACAGGGTGAGCTTTTGTGATCGCTTTTCGTCCGGCGTCCGTCCGTCCGTCCGTCCGTCGTCCGTCCGTAAACTTTTACTTTAAATAACATCTTCTCATAAACCACTAAGCCAATTTCATCCAAACTTCACAGGAATGTTCCTTTGGTGGTCACCTTTAAAAATTGTTCAAAGAATTTAATTCCATGCAGAACTCTGGTTGCCATGGCAACCGAAAGAAAAAACTTTAAATATCATCTTTTAAAAAACCATAAGAGCTAGAGCTTAGATATTTGGCATGAAACATCTTCTAGTGAGTGTCTAACAAGTTTATTCAAATAAAAGCCCTGGGGTCAAAATTGGCTCCGCCCCGGGGGGTCATTGATTTTCCCTATATGCATATAGTAAAAACTTAAAAAATCTTCTTTTAAAGAATCCAAAGAGCTAGAGCTAAGATATTAAGCATGAAACATGTTTAAATGGGTGTCTACCAAGTTTGTTCAAATAAAAGCCCTGGGGTCAAAATTGGCCCCGCCCCGGGGGGTCATTGATTTTCCCTATATGCATATAGTAAAAACTTAAAAAATCTTCTTTTAAAGAACCCAAAGAGCTATAGCTTAGATATTTAGCATGAAACATGTTCTAATGGGTGTCTACCAAGTTTGTTCAAATAAAAGCCCTTGGGTCAAAATTGGCCCCTGCCCCAGGGGGTCATTGATTTTCCCTATATGCATATAGTAAAAACTTAAAAAATCTTCTTTTAAAGAACTCAAAGAGCTATGGCTAAGATATTTAGCATCAAACATGTTCTAATGGGTGTCTACCAAGTTTGTTCAAATAAAAGCCCTGGGGTCAAAATTGGCCCCGCCCCGTGGGTCATTGATTTTATTTATATGTGTATAGCAAAAACTTAAAATCTTCTTTGAAAAAACCCAAATAGCTAGAGTTTAGATATTAAGCTTGAAACATCTTCTAGTGAGTGTCTACAAAGTTTGTTCAAATAAAAGACCTGGGGTCAAAATTGGCCCCGCCCCGGGGGTCATTGATTTTCTTTATATGTGTATAGCAAAAACTTAAAATCTTCTTTGAAAAAACCCAAAAAGCTAGAGTTTAGATATTAAGCTTGAAACATCTTCTAGTAAGAGTCTACAAAGTTTGTTCAAATAAAAGCCCTGGGGTCAAAACTGGCCCGGCCCCAGGGGTGTCATTGTTTTTAACTATATGTGTATAGTAAAAACTTAAAAAAAATCTTCTTTTAAAAAGCCCAATGAGCTAGAGCTTAGATGTTTAGCATGAAACATCTTCTTATGGGTGTCTACCAAGTTTGTGCAAATAAAAGCCCTTGGGTTAAATTGGCCCTGCAACGTGGGGGGGGGGGGCCTATATACAGGTGAGCGACCTCAGGGCCATCATGGCCCTCTTGTTTTTTAAGCCATACAAGTTTAAATTTTGCAGAGGTCATAGGGTAATTTATTGTTTATGGATATTAACTCAATTAACTATCTAGCACTGAGAAATTGGAGTGTGGTGTACCTCGGACAGGTCTTGTTTTCTTCCGACCAAAGTGACTTACACAGTAACTTGATTAATTATCTTTACAATTGGCACAACAATATCAAGCTTTACTTTAGAAAGTAGTATTTATTACTGTATATACATTATTACTTTCTACCAGTGTGAGCTAACAAAATAAATATTTTTCAGGCTCATAGAGGTGGTGGAGATTCTTTGTGTACTAGTACAGAATCTGAAATGTCAGTTGATGAAGAACAAGCTCCTGAGGAACTCTGGAGTAAAAAGGTACAAACAATTAAATTGTAATATCTAAGAAAGTGTATGTGTGCTTAAGTGGCATTCTAAAATATTTTCTCAGAATTTGTAAGGTTTCCTGAATTGTACTGAGAATCTCAAAGTTCTGCATTGACCAAGAAATCCAAGATGGTGTCCATGATGGCTGCTGCAATTTTAAAATCAATATATTTTGTAATAAAATCAACGTATTTTGTAAACTACTTGATTTTTAGACATTTTAACCAGCAACAAACAAGATTATATAAGACTGTTGTATAAAAGATGTTTGGCAAAGAGTTTACAAGATTTATTCTTGGATTTCATTTGTAGTTTTAGAAAATGTTAACCTTATATTATTGGATTAGACTGAAAAAAGTTTAAAACATTATTTGTTCACAGTTCATAGAGAAGAAAGGGTTGAGTCACATGTTCAGTATATTTATGTCGGGCAGTCTACAAATGAAAGAGGATGAAGCATGGAGTCAGGTAATGGAAAATACACTTTATACTAGAAACCAAATTAATTCTTACGGTTCTAGAAGAAGTAGTAATAACTTGCATTTGTCACCAGTATAGAGCCAGGCCAGCTTGCACATCCATATTCTATACTTCTGATAACTTATAACTTTTGGAACTGGACTCCTACCTATTTATGGACTTCCTGAATATAAAGCGGGGTATGTCCATTTAATTTATTGTAGAAAGCCTGCGGCATACTGTGGAAAAATGTGCCGTTGACAACATTTTTGCATCAGTATTTGAAAAGTAGCATATTTCAAACCAGAAGGTGTTTCCATCCTTCAAAAGTGTCAATTTATTATACATGTATATCTTAGAAAGATTTTGTATGTCTACAAAACATGTAACTACTTATATAAATACTTAAATAGATATAAAGATAATTCTTTTTCTACTAGATGAATACTTAAATAAAAACAAAGATAATTTTTGTACTTTTAAATGGATATCCAGACAAATGCTCTTTGCTACTTAGCAAACAAAATGTGTAGTTTTGACCTCATTGATCAAATTCAAGCTGAAATGATTATGGAATACATGTTATTTTCTATTCTATATGACAGTGGGACCAGGAATGTCTAGCGTTTTTGTTACGTCTGATCACACAGTTTTCTATAGATGCCTCGGACATCGAGGCAGGACATGATGATGTATTCGAAACATACGAGAGTCCTCGTAAAAAACTTAAGAAACAAAAACAACAGGATAAAATTATTATTCCAAGGCTTGACCAGGTAGTTATTTAAAATATTATATTAATTTGTCATTTAGATTTTTAATGGGTATGTTGTGTTTGCAAAATATAAAACAAAATGCTTTTTAATTTGTGTCAGACTGAATATTGTTGCTAGTAAGTGCTTCTTGCATAAAACTCACTTCTTACTGGCATTCATTCAGTAGGAAATACATTATTTGATAACTTGTTGTAAGTGGTTAAATAATTACAGTTAATTCTGTTATTGCTAACAGTGATAAAACATCAATATAGAGCCAAGCCAGCCTGCATATTTATTGTTTATAAGTAAATTGTATTATTTTACTTTTTAAATCCTCAAATCTCAAAAGGTACCGTTCCTTTTTTTAGGACATTTCTATTACAATTGTAAGACAAGATACATGCTAACAAGACAATGTTCTAAAATGGTTTTACATTAATTGGAAAACTTCAATTTTAGTTAAAATCATTATGAAGTATAAAGGATATCGGGGAAATTATTCTCTTAATTTTTTTTTTCAGAACATAATTTCAATGTTAAATGTTGGAGATGTTTTACAAATTCTGATGAGAATTCTGTATGATGCTGCCATGCCTGTGTAAGTTTAAACTTCATATTTACTAAGCAGTATTACAGTGTATGTTAGCTATGATGTTGTCCGTAACGACTTAAACATTGGTTTGGATAAGGCCAAGTTTACGTGAGGAAACTTTCAACTTATCTGTAGAAAAATATCATTGGTTTGATGTATTTCTCTTCCAATGAATCTGGAAGCTTTTCATACTTATGTGTTTATAAATGTGGCTCGAAACCTAACAATAATTTGAATCTCTATAAAGAACTGATCACATTTATGAAGATTGGTAGTATTTAGTGATGGATTACCAAATCATATGTTTGTATTGACTTTGTATGTTTGATAGGTTTATAATAGGTTTGTATTGTATATTTTAGTTACAGCATATCTTATTTTATTTTCTGCAGAGACTCAAACCAAATACATGCAGGGACATGGGGTCGAACTGAAGGTAAGGACTTGTTGCTTTTGTGTTTGTGTCAGTTCCAGTTAACCAAGTTTTCAATTTTGAAAATCCTGGTTATTAGATAGGCAAATTGGGCCGTTCTGGAAGTCTGGCATTCAAGTGGGCTTCACAGGTGGTTTCCAGTCGATAACAACAGTTTAGAATGAGATATTGTTATCAAACTTGCTAAATAGTGAGGTATAAAAAAATTGTTCAGAGACCTTGCTCGGCTTTGCATTTGGGCCCACTAGTCTAAAGGTCACTGTTACTAAAAATAAAAAACTGGTTTACAGTTTGAAAACCTGATTATATTAATTTTGTTAATTGATAGGTTGCAAGAATTGAGAATTATTTTTTTTGGTATGATTTTGACAACAGATATTTTATGTATGATAATGTGGAAGTTTTACTTCTCTGAGTGTTTAATAGAATAATACTATATTTACAGTTGTTCACTATTCCCTGTCATTTCTGGTATCCTGGGCATACTCCTCTGAGAAAGTGAAGGACTGTTTGTGTTCATCTCCTAACTTTGACAGCTGGTTAAAGCGACTCACCATGGAGGCACCAGAGGTAAAAATGTCTGAAATTTTACTATAATATAATTGCGATCAGAACAGATTTATGACAGGTCTTTATTTCATGTATTTAACATTAATTTCAATCTGTTTCAAAGAGGTTAAAAACATACATAAGGACATCTGTAATAGTATATATTGTTTGCTCAATTTGTAGGACCACTTAAGATAAAATTCAGCGAAAGTTCTTAGTTTGATTTTGTCAATCAATTCGAACTTGTTATTCATCTTTACATAGCTGTTACTCCATTTATATGACTTACAAAACTTTCAGTTTTCGATTTTCACTTTATTTTATACATTAAAAGGTCATTTGTCAAGCATTGTTAAAATCTAGAATAGTTCAGAATTGGATAAATGAAATTACAGATTAAGTAAAATTGTAAATTGTAATACAGACAAGTAATATTATTGTACTTTTTTTTTAGCCACATGTCCGACGTGAAGCATGTGCGGGCTTGTATAGACTGTGTTTTGGAAGAACAGCTGAAGGAAAGACTGGTTATCCTTTCTTACTGCCAATTTTAGCCAGTCTACTTAGCTTTCTGCCAGATGCATTAAAGATAAAACCTCAGAAAAGACTGGATGTAAGTTATAGTATTACAAATACTGTTGTTTTTATGCCCCCACAAAGTGGGGAGCATATAGCATTGCACTTGTCCGTCCGTCAGTACGTCCGTCCATCCGTACGTCTGTCCCTACGTCATGAAATCTTGTGAACGCAACTCCTCTTAAACCGGATGGCAGATTTTGCTTAAACTTCCAGGGATGAACAACCTTAATGTGTAGATGGTAGTAAAGGAAGGAATTTTTGCTGCGACCAAATTTAACAGAATTATGGCCCTTTGTTGATTTTTTCACTATATACTATGTAGAAATTTTGTGTATGTATGTTATATTAAAGCTATGAGATGGTTTAGAATTGGATTTGGAGGTTTCTGTCTACAGATGGTTGATATTTAGTGGAAGTAGAAACAATTTTTTTTAGTCTGAAAGAGGCGTGCATACGAGAATATAATGTTTTTGATCAAGAGATGTTTAAGTTATGTGTATTTTATTTAAAAACTCTTGAAATTTGAGTGTAGGTTACCATGTTATGTGGTGCATGTTATGTGTTATCATAAAAATTGAGTTGGAAATTACTGAATTGCATTTCTTCTAAAAAAATTGATAATTTATAATATCGTTTCAAGTGGCATGTTTATATGTAATGTAAAACAGGATGAAGGTTCACCAAAGGAGAAAGAACCATATGGTCCAGGGTGTAGAGATTATTTCTGGTTGGTGTGTAGATTTGTAGAGAGTATATCCAAGAGTGATGCTAATGTGGAGTCTGTAAGTATTTAACCTTCAATTTTGCTTCTTTTCATAAGCTACGTTGTTGAATATAAAGTATTGGTAATATTTTGTTTGATTTTTTTGCTATTTTTAACAATAGGACTTGAAAATTTTTCTTTCTTTGTTTTGATGAAGTTGACCTTCAAGTTTTACATAGATATGTATTCAGCTGAACAAGGGGAAAAAACATTTCAGGTGCCCCTTTCTTAAGATTCAGAAAAGGTATAATGGGGGGAAAAACAAACAGACTGGAGTGATGAATTAACATACAAATAACTACTAAAGTCACACAGTTGGTCTGTTGAATGTGTTATCATCCACTTAGATTTATTAATTTTTATAGTTAGAAGTAGTGTTTAATGGAAACCTGATTTTATTCTCTAGAGATCCATAATAATATTTCTAATTTGACAAAAATTTGACGGACATATTTGATAACAGAAGAATTATCAAAATGTTTGCATGTATTTATTTAGGATAGTCCAGTCAATCTGAACACGTTAGCAAGAGAGCTGAGTCAGCATATTTTGAACAGAGAATTTTATGAGACTCGCCATGGTTACGAGGAAGACGACGCCCTCATCGGATTGTTTAATATTGCCACAGCAGTATTCAAACACAACCCTCCTTACAAGAACACTGATGATTGTAGGGTAAGTTGAAATATTTTATCAATTATCTGCAATTTAAGCTAATTCTAGTCTTGTGATAGTGATACCCGGTTCAATCATATTATCAAATTATTTATAATTCGTAGAAATATTCTTATGAAAGCAGACTGTTTGATGTGGTTATTGGTACAATTACATGTATTATTATATGTATTTGCTGTCAGCATTCGCTTTTGCTAGGCTTATGTTTCGTTATATTTAATGACTTTTGATTTGGAAAACAGGGTTTTAACTGATGTGTTTTTGCATGACACAAATGAACATAAATGAGTTAAATTTGTTATAGGGTAATGAGGGTTGAAATGTAAATGTATTTAAAGATATTGCAATAAAGAAAGATATTGCAATAAAGAAAGATATTGCAATAAAGAAATAGTATTTCATGGACAGGAAGTTTCAGTTTTCACATGTAACAGTTGATTATAAGGGATTGTTTTGATACTGAATTTAATTATTATTGTTATGGATAGACATGTAAACAATTTGACATTGTGATGAGATATTACCTTTCCTTTACTTGAATTCTGCTCTGTCATTTCCGTGATTTGTGTGGTTGTTTATCAACTATATATCTAACAGTAAACAGTATAAATATTCAATGATTCGAGTTAAAGAACCATTGAAATATCGTTCAGAAGACAGAACTATGTGAACATGATCCAGGTCACGAAATAACCTGACAATTGAGCGTAGATACTCAACTGGCCAAAGAATAACAAGAATAACGATCAGATATGTAGAAATATACCTGAACTATTATTCCATTACAATAGATGCAGAAAGTATACACTAAAAGTGTCACTATAACACATTGATGTGTTTTATTTACATTTTCGCGCTGACTGATTTAGCGGAAATAAGTTCCATATCCGGCCAAATTCCGAGAAAGTACTGTAATGCAACGAAACTACCATAATCATATTTTGGAAAAAGAGTGACTATTATATAAAAATCTGCCGATATTTTATGTCTTTATTATTCTATAAAAGAATAATAACATTTTAGCGGATCCTTGACGGATCTATTTTGTCTGACGGCGTATGAGCCATGACTGTGCTATGTTTAGCGGAACGCTGTGATTGGTTAACTAATTCCGTTGTCGAATCTTATTGGATAAGAGTACTTTTGAATGTTTTAGCGGCGGGCAAATTTCATTTCGGAATTAACACGCCAAAGTCTATAAATACAGACGCTCAATTCAGTTGAGCAGCTTTTCCAACCGTGAAACACGGACTAACAAGGTTATTATTTGAACAGTAGCTCAACCCTAACTAAAAATCCGCCAAACAACGGAAATCCGTCAAAACTTGAACATTCCGCTAAATAAATATTCCGCTAGAAGACTTTTACTGTAATTTACGCGAAAGACGTTCATATATAATCCCTTCTTTAACAATTTTGTAAACATTGACGAACTCATTAGATCTACAATAATTATACCAAGGGCATATTAATTTACTTGTTTTACAGTATTTAATTATCCTGTTTTATGCATTTATTTAACAGAAGATCTTAATAAATAAGATTAACTGTACTTGAGTGTTTTGGTATTTTCAAGCGTTTATATTCTTTTTCATTGATTAAGTTTTATGGTAAATTACAGTACCATTTAACTTCAGTAGCCTTAAAAGTGATCCTGACAAAATCATTTCAACGGTGACAACGGTAACATTTTTATTGGATTGCAGGAATTTCTTGGAGAGGTATTTCAATGTCTGTTCGCATTGCCATCACCAACAAAACGTTATTTTCCCAAGTGTAAGAGTCAGGCGTCTAGGTCTGGAGCCTATGATCTACTTGTAGAACTAGTGAAAGGAAATCTTGATAACTATAAAATACTTCATGCCAAGATGTTACTTCAACACACCAAAGGTATATATATTTTTTTTTGGCTGTTTAAAACTTGTACATTATTAAGTGTTAGAATTGCATTGTTAGCATTGGAACTCATCTCAAAGTTGCAATATCTAGTAAAAAATGGCCTTGGAACGTTTGTATGTTCATTTTTAGGCATGATAATGTAGTTTTAGTGGTTTTGATGAACTTAAGAAAAATTAATTTGTGTCAGTATTTGAAATAATCTTATAAAGATTTAGGACTATGATTTTATTGCTAAAAAAATTGTTAATAAATACTTGTTGTGTTTCATAGGTAATGTTGCATTTACAAAATACCTCTAATTGGTTAGGACATATTTTTTTCTTCAATTTTTTTTGACAATAAATGGTAAGGAAAATTATTTCAATATTTTTACAGATACACATGCTCCATATCCGTGGGATTATTGGCCACATGAAGATGGTAGATCTAAATGTGGATATGTTGGTTTGACCAACCTGGGTGCTACATGTTACATGGCAACATGTATGCAGCATTTATACATGATACCTCAGGCCAGACAGTCTGTCTTACAAGCTAAGGTATGTAAATTCTGAGAACATGTTTCATTTTTATTTTAAACTTCATTACTCTAGGTAAACCTTTTGCAAAGGGTGTTTGATTTATTTTGTGAAGCTATATTATTGTCGATGTATGTTTGGGGTGTAATCTCTTAGTTCTCACCAATATAGGTCTAAACCACGTTGGGGACTATAATTCTTCCATGTCAACTTACATGACTGAAATAATGCATGGAGGAGCACCTGAGGTGTTCCTCCGTGAGTAAAGCTGGAAATTTGCAATATAATCAATTTCAATTTGACAAAAATCTAATGAAATGTAAATACTTTATTTACATGGTGTATTCTGAGATATTGTTGTTTGATGAAGTAACTTGTAATTATGTCTCCCCCACCTCGGGGGGAGACATATTGTTTTTGCCCTGTCCGTCCGTCCGTCAGTCCGTCCGTCCGTCCGTCAGTCCGTCAGTCCGTCCGTCCATTCTTCGTTTCCGGACGATAACTAGAGTTCCTTTTGACCTACAGCTCTCAAACTTCATAGGATGATTGGTCTTATTGAGCAGATGATCCCTATTGTTTTTGGGGTCAGTAGTTCAAAGGTCAAGGTCACAGTGACCGTTGGTCAATTTCTCGTTTCCGGATGATAACTAGAGTTCCTTTTGACCTACAGCCCTCAAACTTCATAGGATGATTGGTCTTATAGAGCTGATGATCCCTATTGTTTTTGGGGTCAGTAGGTCAAAGGTCAAGGTCACACTGACCGTTGGTCAATTTCTCGTTTCCGGATGATAACTAGAGTTCCTTTTGACCTACAGCCCTCAAACTTCATAGGATGATTGGTCTTATAGAGCTGATGATCCCTATTGTTTTTGGGGTCAGTAGGTCAAAGGTCAAGGTCACACTGACCGTTGGTCAATTTCTCGTTTCCGGATGATAACTAGAGTTCCTTTAGACCTACAGACCTCAAACTTCATAGGATGATTGGTCTTATTGAGCAGATGATCCCTATTGTTTTTGGGGTCAGTAGTTCAAAGGTCAAGGTCACAGTGACCGTTGGTCAATTTCTCGTTTCCGGATGATAACTAGAGTTCCTTTTGACCTACAGCCCTCAAACTTCATAGGATGATTGGTCTTATAGAGCAGATGATCCCTATTGTTTTTGGGGTCAGTAGGTCAAAGGTCAAGGTCACAGTGACCGTTGGTCAATTTCTCATTTCCGGATGATAACTAGAGTTCCTTTTGACCTACAACCCTCAAACTTCATAGGATGATTGGTCTTTTTAATCAAATGATCCCTATTGTTTTAATGGTCAGTAGGTCAAAGGTCAAGGTCCCAGCGACCGTTGCAGTGGGGGAGACATGCGCTTTTTTACAAAAGCATCCTCTAGTTTGAATGAACATTCATTTGTTAACATATGTTCAATATTGAAATTTTGGTTGATTTCAGTGTTCAATACAGACCAAGCATGAGAACACATTGATGGAGTTGCAGAAAATGTTTGCATACTTACAGGTATGTAAGAGTTTAACTTAAAATAGTAATATTGAGAGCTTGTTGAATTGTGATTAGATGCACAATTTTGAATGTTAATGCATCCTTTTTACTCAAACGATTTTTTCATTTAATGATTTCTACCATATCTAATTATACTTATCTTTCATACTATAATGTTAAAATTTTTGATATTTTAAGATAAAAGCTGAATTTTGATTTGTCCTAACCTAATCTGTGTGTCATTGCAGGAAAGTGAAAGAAAGGCGTACAACCCACGAGGGTTCTGTAAGGCATACACGATGGATAAACAGCCCCTTAATACAGGAGAACAGAAAGATATGACTGAATTCTTCACTGACTTGATCACTAAACTTGAGGAAATGTCACCTGATATGGTAAATATTCATTTTCTTTTGTGGAAAAAAAAAATTAAAGAAGAAAATATCCAAATTTTTCATTGAAACTTATTTGATTGCTTATTGTCCCGATAAGGGGCATCACTGCATATTGATAGGAAAACAAGACTTGATGTTTGCTGATAATTTTTTTTAGAAAATTTGAGTTCTTTGAAAAACAAAAATCTTCAAGAAAAAAGATTGTTAGATATTGTCTTAAATTATTAAAATTTATGTTGAAGCAGATGTGTGTCAGTATCATTTGGTAAAAATTGATACCATTTTTCTGACCTTACATTTTTACCTTGTAGAAAAAACTGATCAAGACTTTATTTGGTGGAGTGATTACCAACAATGTTGTATCTTTGGTATGTATTGAACTTTCTGTATTTCATTCATTCGTCATTTCTGGTCAAGCTCATTCTTACATTCATTTTTGGTCAATGGTTTTACTGATGTTTTCAGTGTATTTTTATTAACTTAGATGACATTTAATTTGTATAACTGAAAATTACCAAAATTATTCCTAGTGATATGTAAGAATTTTTTTATACTATGTTCAAGTAATAGTTTAAGATACAAAATGTAGATTGTTATAAATGTTATACAATTATTATAGGATTGTCAACATGTAAGTAGAACATTGGAGGAGTTCTATACTGTCAGATGTCAGGTCACAGATATGAAAAACCTATATGTAAGTGTATTAATTAAATATAACAATGTTGTTTTAGCTTCTGCACATACTCCAAATTGACACAATTATATATAATTTGTATACAATATTTAGTTCACACTAAGTTAATCTAGTTTGCATAAAATAATAATGACAATGGCTCTACTCAGATGCTTGCTCGTGGTTGAAACAATGCGTAAGCCATTTGATACAAGTAAATATTCCAGAACAGTAGAAATCCCTGAAGAGCAATAAACCATAAATAAATGGATGAAAAATGCAGACTCAGTTTGGACTGGAAAATATAACAACACTTTAATGAAGTATTGGGCCACTTTAAACCTTCTGTTTTAAGTTTAAATGTTCTGGAAAAGAGGAGATTATTTAATTTTTTGATTCATTAGAGATCATAGAAAATCCTCATTGTTTGAAACATTATAATTTATATAGGAGTCTCTAGATGAAGTAACTGTGAAGGATATGCTGGAGGGAGACAATATGTATACCTGTTCTAAATGTGGCAAGAAAGTTAGAGCAGAAAAAAGGTAGATATAAGCTTTTGTTTATTATGTATGACCGTTTGTGTGCTAGTGGTAAAAAAAGACTAAGAAACATATGCCACCAAGATAGTCAAGCAATTAGTCTGATCAGACTACACTGTTGACTGCTTAGTTTTAATATTTTGATGTCAAAATCTCAAACTTCTGTATTGATTAAAAGCAGAGCCAGCCTAGAACACTGCTATGACAGGGAAAAGGTTAAAAGATTTATACTTGAATGCTTGTTGTACTTTAGACATATATCTTTAGATGAAATTTTAGGTTGATGAGTACTGTTTTAGAACATTGCAAGAAATAGAATTAAGAGCAAAGTTGTTGACAAATGAAAGAATGATTCTATGATAAGTCTGTTGGTGTCATGTAGTTTATGTTAATTTATACTGTTGAATTAGATATTGACGAAATCTTATTTTAATGTGTTTGATACATTGTTTATATAATTGTGTTGAATTACTGATAATATCGGAGAGCAAGAGTTTTAGGATGTTTAGGATTTGCAGATAGCAAACATTTCATCAGATGCAAAATTGTTTTATGTTGTTTATTGTAGAGCATGTTTCAAGAAGTTACCAAAGATAATCTGTTTTAACACCATGAGGTACACGTTTAACATGTTAACCATGATGAAGGAGAAAGTGAACACTCATTTCTCGTTCCCGTTACGTCTCGATATGTCGCCATACATGGAGAAAAATCTCATCTCCTCAGATAAACTACAACAAGGTTCGGCGTTATCTATTGCTTGTAAATTATATGTTTCAAAACAGAGTTTCGAGAATTTGAATTGTTAAAGTAACCACAATAAACAGCTGGTTGATAGTTTAATATCTGTTCAATATTAAATGGTAAAAGATTTATAAAAAATAAAGTAAAATTTCTTGACACTTGGTCAGTAAAATTTGGTAAGTGTACATGTACATACCTTACTGTGGATAAAACATAATATGAATTTATGACATTTTTCTGTTATCCTGGACAAAGTTGGATATGCACTATATGCATATTGATGGTTTTGTATTTGATGATTTCTGTCTTAGTTAATGCCTTGATAATTTGGAGGTCTATGTGGCTAAGTTGTAATGATTAGAGCTGCAGTTTTAACAGCAGAAGTTAAAAAGAAATAAATAAAGATTTCATAAAACAGAATATATAAGAATATAAAAGATTTACAGTACATTGATTTAAAACTGTATTATTGCGTTGTTTTTCTAGATGAGGATGAAGATAATGGGTTTATTGAGAGGGATACCGGTGTACCGGATGATGAGCATTACGAGTATGAATTAATCGGTGTAACCGTACACACTGGAACAGCAGACGGTGGTCATTACTATAGTTTTATACGAGACCGGTTAAATAAGTCAGAGTCTGGTCAAGATAAATGGTGGGTAACTCATTTGAATTCAAATATATTTGAAGTGTATTGGTATGGATATTATATAGATATAAATTACTTAATTGTAATATAGATAGGACTATGAGTCATATTTGGTAATGTCTTAAATACTGAAATGACAAGACTTATTCAGGAGTTCTGCATCAGAGATTTTGTCTGTAATTTAGATATTGCCCTTGACAGGGTCAATATTGATCATGATGATGGCATGTGATGCCTGACTTTTACTATAAGTGATTAAATGTTTGGCAGGTTGTTTTGCCTATAATATTCAAGTTTTTAAAGAAAAATTGTTTTATTGTAGGTTTCTGTTTAATGATGCTGAAGTAAAACAGTTTGATCCAACTCAGATAGCCACAGAATGTTTTGGTGGAGAAATGACAGTAAGTTAACAAGAAAATACAAATTTTTGATACGTTTTTTAGTTTTGTAATGATTTTTAGTATTGAAAAATCAGAATTTGTTGTTGGTGTTACTTCATTGTTAATTTGTTTAGGTTTATTTATGTCACTGTTTTCTATTTTACAGAGCAAAACCTATGATTCTGTAACAGAGAAATTTATGGACTTTTCTTTTGAAAAGGTTCGTGTGTATTAAATTACATTTTATTCAGCATATTTACAATGTAGATTTATTAATAAGATTCCAACTTTTTATCTGATGGGCTTAAATACCTTGTACAAAAATTTGTTTAAGGAAATCATTTGACAAATTTCAGTTTTATTTTGATGTAGTTTAAAAAGTGTGTCTTAATGTCAAACATGGTCCCCCTTTTGGCTGAGGGCTTGCCTGTAAAGGTTGAGGCTTCAAAATTGCAGTCACCATTTATTCCTACATGAATGTAAAAGGTGACTAAATGGGTTTGAATTACTGGAGTCAATGCATCTCTCATCTCCAGCAGGTGAAGTGGCTTTGACCCCTGTTGTTACTTTATGTTTGCAACACCCGAGGTTAGCCAAAATCATCTTTCCTGTTTCAGCGCCATATGACATAAATTGTGTTGGTGCACCGTAAAACTATTTAAAACAAACACAAAAAAAACATGACAAAGATGGTAATATTGCTTTCATTGATGGTATAGATCTATTAATGTATGTTTGAAAAATTAAAATCTGTCCCTTTATTTACAGACAAATAGTGCATACATGTTATTCTATGAGAAATGTTTACCAAGCAATAAAGAGAAGGTACCAGATGATGAGAAAATTTGTGAACCAGCCAAGAAGTTCAACTTTGAACTCTCAAAGGAACTTGAACAGGTTATTCTTTCATGTTTTCCCATCAAAGCCTCATGCTGTAAACTGTTTCAGTAAAATGTTGATGATTGCTTGATTTTGTTTGCATGGTAAAATGGATATTACTCGTCATTCTTCTGTCTTTTTATGTAAAAACCAGCATAATTTTATTTTTCCAAGATAAATTGGTTTGCTTCATTGCTATAAACAAACAAGCTATACATTATTACTTGATAAATGAAATAACTTATTATCATTGATAACTAACTAATAAAAGGTGGTGTATATATTACAGTGGATCTGGCAGGACAACATGCAGTTCCTACAAGACAAAAACATTATAGAACATACATACTTTGAGTAAGTGTACTAGTCTATTTTCAAGTTAATATTAACATTTATTATGGCTATCTGATGCTCATTTTGAAAATTAATGTGTTGAAGATAGCGCAAGAGTACAGAATTTATATTTTCCAGAAATAGTAACTAGATCCTGAATGTATATTGATGTAAAGCCTCAGTTAAAAGGCTCATTTATAATGATTTTAGTAATACAGCGAAAGTTGAGAAAACCGGACGCTGAGAAAATCAGAACTCTCTAAATACCGGACGAATAATTCAGTCCCAATATTTTCCTTCTTTAAAGTATTGTATTAAACATTGACAATACTGGAATCTGTAAAAACCAAATATCGGACAGTTGATAGGGGACTACAAAGTGAAATATATAGATAATTACCCTGACAATACCGGACGATGAAGGTGTGAATAATCTTGTGTACTTATCAATTGGTTGTGCCTTATATGCCAACTGAGCGGTAACGGAACACTTATTATCTGATTTGTTTATTATGTCTCTTTTCACAGTTTGATATATTGTTAGGTGTCGATGTTACCATTTTATATAAATGCCAAAATGCACGAGGAATTGATCAGTTAAAATCAGTATGATTAAAAATCAGAGTATTTTTATACTGCGTTGCTTTATGTATATTCATTTCCCAAAATGACAACGCAACGGAAACAACATTTATCAGCGTTAAGTTCTATTCCATGGCCGAAAAGAATTCGACGAGAGCTGTCTATAAATAACAAATTTAAATAAATTAAAGACAGTGAAACTTTGCCGATACCTACTTTAAAAATCTTCATCTGACAAATATGGTATCGACAATATTTACAATTGGGGCATTATTATAAGCAAAGTGAACTATGTTCGATTACCCAAACGGACTTTATCGTTGGGAGGAAACTGTTGTTTGTTTAAATCTAAATTTTTATTGTATTTATTAGTCCCCTACCGGTTTAACCGGAGGGGACTTTAGGTTTACCCTCCGTCCGTCTGTCTGTCTGTCTGTCCGTCTGTCTGTCCGTCTGTCTGTCTGTCTGTCAGTCTTTCAGTCCGTCAGTCCGTCCGTCCACAAAACTGGATCCCGCGATAACGCAAAAAGTACTGAAAATATTTTTATGAAACTTGATATATGGATAGATGGCAGTATGGAGATTATGCACGTCTTTTTTTTTTCTTCCTATGTTGAAAATTCTGGTTGCTATGGCAACAAATAGTCTGAAAATATGGCAAATTTAACACATAAACTGGATCCAGTGATAACTCAAAAAAGTACTGAAAATATTTTTATGAAACTTGAAATATGGGTAGATGGCAGTCTGGAGATTATGCACATCTTTTTATTTTCTTCCTATGTTGAAAATTCTGGTTGCTATGGCAACAAATAGCCTGAATTTCAAGATTTCTGATTTAAATTTTTTCAGCTTTTTCACTATATGTTCTTTATTTCTTAAGGTGTTTACTTCAAACTTTAAATATAAGTTCCTGGTCATCAACCACATCATATGTGACAAGGTTTATAACTCTAGCACAAAAAATATTAATATTACCTCCCTTGAACTTAGATTTTTTAGGGGAAAAAAATGTTGTCTTTTTTAAATAACTTCTTTATTTCCTAATGTATCTACTTCAAACTTCATATATATGTTTCTTATTATCACTCGACATTTTTGAGAAGGTTAAATACTCTAGCAAGACTATTTCCAGAATTATGTCCCCTTGAACTTAGATTTTTTTTCGAGAAAACTGGTATTTTCACTCCAACTTCTTCATTCCTTATAGGATTTACTTTAAAATCCCACATCGTAATAATATGACAAGGTTGTATAAACATAATTTTCTTACTAAGCATGGAAACTTAACACATTACTGTGATATAAACAAACTTATTTTATTATGTTTTGTGGTCGATATTTTCAAATACAGACTTCATCCTCAAATTCATTATAAATGGCAATACACAGGAGTGTATGACAATTAAAGAACTTTTTGAGGGACCGGTAGGGGACTACTGTATTGCCCGCAATACTATCAAATGCTTGTTTTCAATAATGGGACAAAAATAAAACAGGATATTTTATTGTATTTTATCATTTCTTTATTTAACATTATACGTACACATGATCATGAAAATGCAAATATACAGCATCCTTTGTAAGTCATTGCTCGGTATATAGGATCCTGAACAGCTGAAGGGGACATTCAGAAAATCAGACAAAACCCTTGGTCCGAAAGCCGTCCGGTTTTCTCAACTTTCACTGTATTGGTAGACTTAGCTGGCAGTGTCATCAGTGCACCATTGCTTAGTACAGGGCTTCTATAAGTGGAAGTTTGGGAGTTATTTACTCCTTGATTTTGGTGGGTGAAATTTTGCAGTTTCTGACTTCCTGAGAGAAATAACTGACTTCCTGAGAGAAATAAAAAAAAAATTGAAGTTTGGTAATTATTAGTTAGTTATCCAGAAAAGCTGATTAGGTGGACCAGGTGCATAGATATGAGCAAAAAAAAAATTGTTAGATCTGTGTAAAAACCAAACAGACATTTTATTAATGGCATAACTATTGTTATGTTCATGTTTGAATAGATTCTATGATTATTATAAATTGTATAAATTTATTTGGGGTGTGTAGACGGACGATGTCAATGATATTTTTTGTGTTTCAGTTTTATGATGCAGACGTGTTCATATATACCAACAACATTACCTAAAACAGATCCACTTCTTGTTGCCTTGAAATCCTCACAACTTAGTACATCATTTGTCCTCGAAACATTCATACATGCAAAGGAAAAGGTAAACATATAATATTTAGTTTTTTATACCCCCGCACAACAAAGTCGTAAGGGGGGTATACTGGAATCAGCTTGTCCGTCTGTCCGTCGGTTTTTTCTTGTCCGCCCAATAACTTAAGATTCCTTTGACCCTTAGTCTTCATATTTGGTATGGAGGTTAGTCATGATTAGTAGATGACCCCTATTGATTTTGAGGTCACTAGGTCAAAGGTCAAGGTCACAGGGGCCTTGACTTCAAAAAGCTTGTCCGCCCAATAACTTAAGATTCCTTTGACCTACAGTCTTCATATTAGGCATGGAGGTAAGTCATGATTAGTAGATGACCCCTATTGATTTTGAGGTCACCAGGTCAAAGGTCAAGGTCACAGGGGCCTTGACTTCAAAAAGCTTGTCCGCCCAATAACTTAAGATTCCTTTGACCTACAGTCTTCATATTTGGCATGGAGGTTAGTCATGATTAGTAGATGACCCCTATTGATTTTGAGGTCACCAGGTCAAAGGTCAAGGTCACAGGGGCCTTGACTTCAAAAAGCTTGTCCGCCCAATAACTTAAGATTCCTTTGACCCACAGTTTTCATATTTGGAATGGAGGTTAGTCATGATTAGTAGATGACCCGTATTGATTTTGAGGTCACCAGGTCAAAGGTCAAGGTCACAGGGACTTTGACTTCAAAAAGTTTGTCTGCCCAATAACTTTAGATTCCTTTGACCCACAGTCTTCATATTTGGCATGGATGTTGATCATGACTATAAGGTGACCCCTATTGATTTTGAGGTCACTGGGTCAAAGGTCAAGGTCACAGGGACCTTGACAAAAAAAAGCTTTTCTTCTCAATTACTAAAGAATGTCCTGTCCACAATGTATTGATTTTGACATTTTCACATTTGAAGCATGTAGAATACATAACTTAGCAATGCACTGGCTTAGTAACCTCAGATTTGGCAGGGAGGTTGTCCTTGAGCTCTAAATGGCCACTGTTGATTCTGACAAAGTGGTATGCGGGGGTATTCACGCCATGATAGTGGCAGTTCTAGTTTCTACAGATTAATGTATGTCATTAAAAATGTTAAAATTTGATTCATATTAAGTTTAGATGTTAAGATGGAAATGAAAAGAAAAATGATGAGAAACATAACCAGTTCTAGATATTATTTCTGGTTAAAGAAGGAATTCCATTCAATCTAAATCTTGTCGCACATTTAAAGTTTACGTTGTATCAAATTAATAAAGCAAACTAGTCATTTTAGATATAAAATTTAATTGAAAATGTTTTTAACATTGGATGATATACTATCAGAGCAGCAAATATTTATATTGTTAATGAATTTCTTCATTATTATAGCCGACAATGGTACAGTGGATAGAGTTGTTAACCAAACAGTTTAATTCCTGTCAAGCGTCTTGTGAGGTAAGATCATTATCACAGGGGTAGCACTTTATTGTAAAAATAATAAAGTTTTGTTTCTCATTAATAAAAAAAATCAAATAAATTTCTGAAATGTAAAGCCGTTGTAAAAGTTTCTTATATTTGTTATTGTGACTGTGATTTTTATCCAATCATTGGTAATATGTAAAAAAGTTATCTTGTGTGTATTTTATGCTTAATTAGGGTCCATCTGTCTTTTAAGGCACTGAGAGTATGGAAGTTATCATAATTGTGTTGCTATTTATTATGATGCAATGTTTACAGTAACCATGTATTATTTTGTATATTTAAACAGTGGTTCCTGGATCACATGGCAGAAAGTGATTGGTGGCCACAACAGATTCTTATTAAATGTCCTAACCAGATTACTAGACAGGTATTTATATTCTCATGTTCATCACATACCAAATGACATTTTAACTTTCTTATGTGATATTTTTTCTTAGTGTATATTTATAATACAATATTTTGCAAAAATTTTGTGAGCCATAAAATTAAAGAAGTGAACTGCTTCATACAATTGTTAGTGAATATAATGCGATGTTTTTATTTGTCACCTGACATTAATACATGTTTTTTTCATATTGTTCGCTGAATATTAGTAATAGAAAGAGCATCGAAACACGAGGGTATCTGATTTGTACTAGGGGTGTAGCCCCTGAGTATTAATCAGATTGCCAAGTGTTTTAATGTTTTTTCTCTTTTGTGTCATAGTCAAACATAAAAAGGTGTTCCCTGTTGTCACAATATGAAACCCTGGCAAAAAGAAACCAATGAACGAACATCTGAATATGATATTTATGTTGCTGTCCCTTTCTCTGCCGTCACAATATGTAAACCCCAGCAAAAATGAGCCAATCAATGGGCATGCTCTGGAGTGCGGGTAACTAATACCTGCACTCCAGTTAACGCACTGTGCATGTATATGTATACGATTTAACTCTGACACATTTTCAACAGAAAGGTCCCCAAACTATGATACAATATATAATACCCTGCAGTAAGGACTACAACTTTATATATGTTTGTATTGTAGATGTTTCAGAGGCTATTGATACATGTGATAAACAGATTAAAACCAACACAAATTGAGCTGTATCTTCAACCTTTCATTGAAAAGTGAGTAAACTAAATGTTCTCTTCAATTTTGTCCATTAGTTAAAGTGATATACATAGTAAATTTTGATATTATGAGGACAGCAGTACAGAGCCTAGCTAGATTACATAGATATATACGGGCTAGCTAAACTTATACATGTGACAAAGTCAAGTCAGCATTATTAGCACTTTTAATCCAAGGATAATATGACATCTCTGAGAAGATTAAGCTTGGTCTTATTGCATAAGATACATATGATTTAATGCCATCACAGAATTACATGTTGCATTTTAATGTTAGCTTTTCTATTCCCTAAATTGAATTTTGTAACTTGATATTTCAAAAACAAATTGTCAAAATTAAGGATCAGACAGTGAAGTATCTGATCAGACTGAATAGATGTGCAGTCTTGGACCTGGATTGCTACTAATGATAACATCTGTTTGCATTCAATGGTTATAATGTTATTTCATTTTAGTAGTTTATGTTTTAAAAATTAACATTCTTGTGCACACAATAACAGATACAAAATTCAAATTTAAACTTTAAGTAAGATCTAGTTTTTAGTGTGACATTTATTTATGGTTCATTTTATTGATGTTTTCAGTGAAGAGGGTGAAGTAGACACAGTACAGTTAGGAAATAAGTCATGTGTGACAAGATTCATCAAGAAAATGCTCAGTATAGTAAGTTACTCATTATAGTCCAAAAATTATCATAATCTGAAAATCTGGTAATATCGTACATTTTCATTATATACTTGCCTTCAGTAAAACACTTAGTCATAAAGTCATTTATCTTAGTAACTATAGTAACAAGAAATCTGTTTCAGTTAAATGCTTAAAAGCCTTTTCTATCAGAATAGCCTTAAATTCTGTTATGAGGGAAAGTTTTCATATACACAGTCATATAAAGGTGTCATCATTCTGAAATAAATTGTGATAATGGAATTCAATAAGACAAGGTAATGTTTACTCAACATTTTGTTTTGTTTGTACAGCTGGAGCATGGGGTGCGACCTCACAGCAAGTATTTGATGGAATATTTTGCGTTCTTGTACGACTTTGCCAAGATGGGCGATACAGAATGCATGTTCCTCATACATCTCAACGCTATATCTACCATGGTGAATTTCTACATGGGACAGAAAGCACAGGAGAATTATGTAAGTATATCAACTATAATCTATACAAGATCTTAATTTTATTTCGGTATAAGGTATTAAGCAATTAGTTACTTTCATTCCCTTTTCTTTTCATAATACCTGCATGCTTAAGAAACCCTTTTGGGGGCATTCGTCACTAGGGTGACAGCTCTTGTTACTTGAGAAGAATTATATATTTTGCAGTACATTTGTAATTTTGAAAGCTTTTAGAATTTTAATGAATACATGTCTTGCTATTATTAAACATACTAACTAGATTTGTGTATATTTCAGGTGGAGATATTATCAGATGATGAAGAAGAGGAGGAGGTTATAACTATACCAGATGATACCTATAAACCTCTATCACTGGAGAAGATGATAGCCCTTATATCTCTACTTGTAGAGAAGTCACGTAGCGCTGACGATAATCAGTTACAGATCTCCGATAAAGATTACCATTGTATCATCTCTGCAAATAAGGTATGCTATCTGTGTACTCACAGTGTACTTGGTTATATTGCTAGTGGAGTACTTGTTTCTAATATTGAAGATGATGAGAAAAAGGTTTTTCATAATGTTTGCAGAAGAAGAAAAAATTATTATTATTTCCCTACTTTCTCTTTTGCTATAGGTAAATATTTTGATAATATTTTTCAGTAAAATCATGAAACATGGCTATGAAACTTTTTAATTAATAACATATTCTTCACCCAAAACTCCTTGTAACAGATGGAGAGCATTGACACATGTAGATATTAGAGAAGAGGCCAGAATTCTGTCTTATAAAGCTGTTTCTCATAGATATGGAAAAAAAACAGAATTAAATACAAAGTCAATGTCAAGCAACCTCTTCTTATTTCTTATCTTTAATTTACAATACAGGTAGTGGCAAAACTTGGTTTTGTTTTAAGTACCCTGTATAAGAAACCTGTGAGTGTGAGTATCCTATGATAATCCAATTTAAAAAAAGTTGTATTTCTTGTCATTTTTTTTTTTCAGGGTCATCCATTCCTGTTTAATCAGATCAGGGACAACATTAATGTACGTCAGACATGTAACCTGATATTTAGTCTATGTCGCTGGAATGATGGCCTGGCTAGTGCTGTAAGTTGCTTTTCTTTTGAATTTTTATGCTCCCCGAAAAATTTCGGGGGAGCATATAGTCGTCGGGTTGTCCGTCCGTCCGTACGTACGTCCAGAATTCGTGTCTGGCACATAACTTTGTTATTTAAAGTCGGATTTTAAAACTATTTCACAGAAATGATCACCATATTGAGACGAAGTGTCACGCACAACCATTGGGTCGCTACCTTGAAGGTCAAGGTCACAGCATGACCTTGCAGCAAAATAGTGTCCGGCCCATAACTTTGTTATTTGAAGTTGGATTTTAGAACTATTTCACAGAAATGATCACCATATTGAGACGGCATGTCGCGTGTAACATTTGGGTCGCTACCTTGAAGGTAAAGGTCACAGTATGACCTTGCAGCAAAATTGTGTCCGGCCCATAACTTCGTTATTTGAAATCGGATTTTAAAACTCTTTCACAGAAATGATCACCATATTGAGACGATGTGTCGCGCGCAACATTTGGGTCGCTACCTTGAAGGTCAAGGTCACAGCCCATAACTTTGTTATTTGAAGTAGGATTTTACAACAATTTCACAGAAATTATCACCATATTGAGACAATGTGTCGTGCACAAAAAATTGGGTTTTTATCCCCAGCTCTGCGATGGGATATAAATTATTTGTTGTTCTTTTTCTGTTGTGCTATGGTATATTTGTGTATATTTTTAAGTAACTAAAAACATGCTTGCTTTTTGAAAAAACCATATCATTTCAACCAAACTTGGCAAGATGATCTTGGTGAAGCCTTGCAAATTGTAGAATTTATAATGCAGAATTCTGCTTTGAACTGACCCAAATATGGAATAAAAAACAATTAAGAAAATTCATTGTAAGACCAAACCTACTTATATTTGCTAAGCTGTCTTAGATTTACAAGAGTAATTTAGTGGGTCAAATTTTGTTTCACTATATGTACATAAGAAATTACCTCTTGTGATAAGTAGATTAACTTTGGTAGTGTGTATTACCCATATAGTATTATCCAAATTAAAAATTTGTCTATGTCAAATTTCCCGGGTCATAGTTTTCCTTATATGTATATAGTAAAAACTTAAAAATCATCTTCTCTAAATTGACAAAGGCTAGAGGATAGATATTTTGCATGAAACATTGTGTAGTGAACCTCTAGCAAGATTGAACAAATTATAGCCCTGGGTTCAAAATTGGCCCCATCCCCCGGGGTCATTGATTTTCACTATGTACATATAGTGAAAAATTAAAAAATCTTATTGTCTGAAGGTACAAGGCTTAGAGCTTTGATATTTGGTATATGATATCATCTATAGGTACTCTACCAAAGCTGTTCAAATTTTGCCTCTAGTGTCAAAACTAGCCCTGCCCCGGGGTCATAGGTTTCCTTACATGTATATAGTAAAAACTTTAAAAAATCACCTTCTCGAATTGATAAAGGCTAGAGGTGAGACATTTTGCAGTAAACATTCTGTAGTGAACCTTTAGCAAGATTATTCAAATTAAAGCCCTGGGGTCAAAACAAAAAAAAATGTGTTCCTACATTACTATTTTAGTGTTGTATTTATGCGGTGGCATAGCATTTTTTACAAATGCAATCTTGTTACACTTTGAACTTTGTCTGTGACATAACTCTGACACTACAAGAGGTATACCTTCCTGTGTCCAAAACCTATTTCGGGAGCATCACCCGGTTCAACCGGCTCTTGTTTGGGTTTGTATTTTGGGAAAATGCCTTTGGGATTGTGAATATTAGTGGTATTTGCCTGCGTGAATCCCATTTCACACAACTGTTCTTATTAAAACTCGGAACTACTTAGCTGTAATTGTTTTGATTCAGAGCGTATTTTTGGTGACAAATTTTGTTGAAATATGATGCAAGCAATTTTTACTTCCTGGGTGATGTGATTTGAAAAGTTGGTAGTTTAATTCAGAAGATGTAGAAACAACCTTGTTAATAAATCAAGAAACATTTTTAACAACGAAATGTTACAAATGTTAATGTTTTAAGGAAAAAGATGTACCCAAAATGATTTTGATGTAACTTGGTTGTGAGAAACTTTTGATGTATGGTATAATGTGTTTGTCTTCAGATTGTCAATTTGGTATTTGGTGCTATAAAGAAATTAAGTCCAGAGGTATGTAATGTTTACTGGTATCTGTTCAATTCTGTTGTAAATTTATTTTGCACCATTACTTCATATTGTAATATAAAGTTGATTGTAGGATTCTTGGACCTAAAATTTTTTTAGTCCTAAAAATGAAAATTGGAAACTATGTATACATGTATTACATTGCAAGCTTGTCTCTTGTTACATGCATTGTAACTAATAATAATAATATAATAATAATAATAATAATATCTTTATTTAGAGAAAGTAACACATTGAGAATATTCATGTAATAGTAATAAGATATGAAATTTTTATATCTCTTTTCATAATTTTGCATGAAAATAAAATGATTTCAAACTAATTTCTATGAGGCTGTCTGCATAGGCTCTATTAACTGATAAATGAATCTATAAGAATATTTAACAGATGTAAAGAAAATCTCATTTCAACATTGAAACATATTTATAATTTGTAAAAAAGAAAGTTACAAAGATGTTTTAATATGTTTTATTATTTGATGTTATTGCAGCAATCTCAGCCATTCTTCAAACTGATGTCTATGTTGGTAGAGTTTGTTGGAGGCCCTCCAGGGATGCCTCCATTCACACAGCTTATATTACAGAGGTTCTGGGAGGTAAATATTTTGAAATATTTATTATCTTGAGGATTTTAATTAAATTACTTGTATGCTAACAACAATTAAGGCTTTTGATGCCAAGTGAGAGTTTGTTAGACCTGCAGTGCCAAGACTTAATGCTGTTGACTGATGGGCAGTTTGAAATTCAAATCAGGACTAAATAGTAAATACATATATTTTGCTGTTAATGTAGTATCTTATATGCAATATCTTGTGTTCCATATTAGCTGGCAATGTGTAACCCTGTGGCATGCCTCGACTGGATGGCCAATCAGGTGACTCGTAACAAACTGGCCAATCACTACATGTTGAACCAGATGGACTGCTGGGTGGAACACTATCTCATCAAGAACAATAATGCCAGGGTCAGAAATTGTAAGTGCCATAGCAACTTTGATGTCAGTATTGACTGTTTAGCATATTGATATATTTCAGTTATATAGATATACTGTTGAACTTCTTTTATTGTGCCCCCACTTTAGTGGCGGGCATTTAGATTTACCCTTGTTCGTCCATCTGTCCTTCCCGTCCGTCCTTCTGTCTGTCCGTTCTCTTTTGTGTCGCATGTAACTCAAAAAGTATTTGACCTAGAGTCATGAAACTTTACAGGAATGTTGATCAGCATGTGTAGTTGTGCACCTGGGTATTTTTGTCTGGATATTTTTAGTATTTTTAGAGTTATTGCCCTTGACTTAGTAAAATTTTGCCATTTTCAACTTGTGTCGCATGTAACTCAAAAAGTATTTGACCTAGAGTCATGAAACTTTACAGGAATATTGATCAGCATGTGTAGTTGGGCACCTGGGTATTTTCGTCTGGATATTTTAAGTATTTTTAGAGTTATTGCCCTTGACTTAGTAAAATTTTGCAATTTTAAACTTGTGTGGCATGTAACTCAAAAAGTATTTGACCTGGATCATGAAACTTTACAGGAATGTTGATCAGCATGTGTAGTTGGGCACCTGGGTGTTTTCGTCTGGATATTTTTAGTATTTTTAGAGTTATTGCCCTTGACTTCGTAAAATTTTGCAATTTTCAACTTGTGTCGCATGTAACTCAAAAACTATTTGACCAAGAGTCATGAAACTTTACAGGAATATTGATCAGCATGTGTAGTGGTGCACCAGGTACTTTCATTTGGATTTATTTAGTATTTTTAGAGTTATTGCCCTTGACTTGTGTCGCATGTTACTCAAAAAGGATTTGACCTAGAGTCATTAAACATTACGGGAAGGTCGCTCAGCATATTTAGTTTTGCACCTGGGGTTTCGCTTGTGGATTTATCCAGTATTTGTAGAGTTATTTCCCTTGACTTAGTAAAAACCGTTTCACAAGGTTGTTGTTTGTTCCTTTAGTGCTAGAGTTAGAATCAACCAATTTTACAGGAATAATGATCAACATCACTAAATTACAGGAATAATGATTCACATCACTGTGAAGCTATGCACCTGGGACTTTGCATGTGGATTTTTTTCAGTTTTGTTAGAGTTATTGTCCTTGACTTACAGTAGTACAAATTTGCAATTTTCAACATGTTTATGCCTAGCTCAAAAAGTATTTCACTTGTAGGCTGAAAGTTTATAAGAATGTTGGTCAGCATGTGTACTAATGTACCTTGGGGTTTGCTTGTGGATTTATTCAGTATTTGTAGTTCTTGCCCTTTACTTAGTAAAAGATTTTTAGTTTTCAAAAAATATTTGACCTTAGGTCATAAGATTGACAGAACAGTGGCGCGGTGGGGGCACCCGTGTCCTATGGACACATTTCTTGTTTAATAATAGAAAGTATTTAAGAAACATTGTAATAAAAAAAAGGTTATGCTTGCAGTGAAGTTATAATGTCTAAGTAATTTTGTGGAGATTTTTAGCTCACCTGTCACAAAGTGAGCCAATTTCATCCAAACTTCACAGGAATGTTCCTTTGGTGGTCACCTTTAAAAATTGTTCAAAGAATTTAATTCCATGCAGAACTCTGGTTGCCATGGCAACCGAAAGAAAAATCTTTAAATATCTTCTTTTAAACAACCCCAAGAGCTAGAGCTTAGATATTTGGCATGAAACATCTTCTAGTAAGCGTCTACCAAGTTTGTTAAAATAAAAGCCCTGGGGTCAAAATTGGCCCCGCCCCAGGGGGTCATTGATTTTCCCTATATGCATATAGTAAAAACTTAAAAAATCTTCTTTTAAAGAACCATAAGAGCTAGAGCTTAGATATTTGGCATGAAACATCTTCTAGTGAGTGTCTACCAAGTTTGTTCAAATAAAAGCCCTGGGGTCAAAATTGGCCCCGCCCCGGGGGGTCATTGATTTTCCCTATATGCATATAGTAAAAACTTAAAAAATCTTCTTTTAAAGAACCGTAAGAGCTAGAGCTTAGATATTAAGCATGAAACATCTTCTAGTGAATGTCTACCAAGTTTGTTCAAATAAAAGCCCTGGGGTCAAAATTGGCCCCGCCCCAGGGGGTCATTGATTTTCCCTATATGCATATAGTAAAAACTTAAAAAATCTTCTTTTAAAGAACCCAAAGAGCTAGAGCTAAGATATTAAGCATGAAACATCTTCTAGTGAGTGTCTACCAAGTTTGTTCAAATTAAAGCCCTTTGGTCAAAATTGGCCCCATCCCATGGGGGTCATTGATTTTCCCTATATGCATATAGTAAAAACTTAAAAAATCTTCTTTTAAAGAACCCAAAGAGCTAGAGCTTAGATATTTGGCATGAAACATCTTCTAGTGAATGTCTACCAAGTTTGTTCAAATAAAAGCCCTTGGGTCAAAATTGACCCCGCCCAGGGGGTCATAGATTTTCCCTATATGCATATAGTAAAAACTTAAAAAATCTTCTTTTAAAGAACCCAAAGAGCTAGAGCTAAGATATTTAGCATGAAACATCTTCTAATAAGTGTCTACCAAGTTTTTTCAAATAAAAGCCCTGGGGTCAAAAATGGCCCCGCCCCAGGGGGTCATTGATTTTCCCTATATGCATATAGTAAAAACTTAAAAAATCTTCTTTTAAAGAACCCAAAGAGCTAGAGCTAAGATATTAAGCATGAAACATCTTCTAGTGAGTGTCTACCAAGTTTGTTCAAATTAAAGCCCTGTGGTCAAAATTGGCCCCACCCCGGGGGTCATTGATTTTCCCTATATGCATATAGTAAAAACTTAAAAAATCTTCTTTTGAAGAACCCAAAGAGCTAGAGCTTAGATATTTGGCATGAAACATCTTCTAGTGAATGTCTACCAAGTTTGTTCAAATAAACGCCCTGGGGTCAAAATTGACCCCACCCCAGGGGGTCATAGATTTTCCCTATATGCATATAGTAAAAACTTAAAAAATCTTCTTTTAAAGAACCCAAAGAGCTAGAGCTAAGATATTCAGCATGAAACATCTTCTAATAAGTGTCTACCAAGTTTGTTCAAATAAAAGCCCTGGGGTCAAAATTGGCCCGCCCAAGGGGGTCATTGATTTTCCCTATATGCATATAGTAAAAACTTAAAAAATCTTCTTTTAAAGAACTCAAAGAGCTAGAGCTAAGATATTTAGCATGAAACATGTTCTAATTGGTGTCTACCAAGTATGTTCAAATAAAAGCCCTGGGGTCAAAACTGGCCCCGCCCGGGTGGGGGGGGGGTCATTGATTTTCCTTATATGTGTATAGCAAAAACTTAGAAAATCTTCTTTGAAAAAACCCAAATAGCTAGAGTTTAGATATTAAGCATGAAACATCTTTAAGTAAATATCTACAAAGTTTGTTCAAATAAAAGCCCGGGGGTCAAAACTGGCCCTGCCCCAGGGGTGTCATTGTTTTTAACTATATGTGTATAGTAAAAACTTTAAAAATCTTCTTTTAAAAAACCCAATGAGCTAGAAATTAGAGTTTAGCATGTGGGTGTCTACCAAGTCTGTTCAAATAAACAAATAAAAGCCCTTGGGTAAAAATTGGCCCGGGGGTGGGGGGGCCTATATACAGGTGAGCGACCTCAGGGCCATCATGGCCCTCTTGTTATAGTTCTGGCATAGAAACAGAAACTCTTATTTAGAATTGCTTGCAGTTATTATTTTTTTAAATCATCATACATTAACAATGCAGCATCTTAATACCTGAAGTCTGCCAAAAATTATGATGAACAGACTTTGTTTTGATACAGGCATGTATGTATACTTCTAAATCACCACTTTTTTCCTAATATTTCTTAGAATTTTTAATTTGTTGGTATGGTAAATGCTTGTAGTGCCCAAATTTTATAAAATGAAAAAAACTAGATTATACATTCAATCAAGTAATGGTTATGTTCAATAAATCATAAGTTAAAGATGTGTTTTAATAAAAAAGATACATAAATTCAAAGAGTGGTGGTTTAGAAATGTTAGTCACTAAATGTTCTGGTTTTGGTCTAATAAAATACATATACTGTATTGTAGCTGCTGGTGCCCTTGTTATATCCCTGGTTCCCAGTACACATTTTAGACAAATGTACAGAACATCTAGAAGTGTTCTTAGTCCACACAAAGAAATCCCAGTAAGTATCTTCTAGTACTTAATATTTCTATTTGGTTAGCTTTTTTTTGATATTCCTATTTGGTTAGCTCTTTTTGATATTCCTGTTTGGTTAGCTTTTTTTGATATTCCTGAGTTCATATAATGACTTTCCAGTCTAAAAATGTAGATATGAATTAATAATTCCTAGCATTAGCTAGTGCTCAGAATCTCTGTAAACTCATTATGTAGCTCGGTTGTTTACTCTTATGTAATATCCCAATGCTAGAAACATTTATAGCAAGATTCAAATCAATACTGGCGGGGGGGGGGGAGCAATTGTATATGAAATGTCTTTACCAATGTGTTAACAATTTAACAATTTGTATAAACATTAATGACTTGTTGCTAAGAAACATTAATGAGTTGTTGCTAAGACTTTGAAAAGCATTTTATAGATTAAACATATAGTTTCCATTCTACAATGATTGTATGGTTAGAAATGATTTCCTATTTTAATTTTGAAGATTATTGATATGTATTATCATTGTTTTTGTTGTTGTTGTTATGTACATCTTGAGGTCAATAACACTTATCAATTGTGTTTACAGATGAGCAGTGAGGCATTGATGGTGTTACACAAAGTATACGAGCATTTGCTAAGTCTGTTACCACGGTGTCGACTGTATGTTGACCCTCAAACACAGGGGACCACTAAACTCATCTGTTATTTCACAGTACTACAGTTCTGTTTGGTATCTAAGCAGGAAAAACTCATGGTAATCAACTATAAAGTTTATACTAATCTACTATATAAATATAAGAGAAAAATTGTTGTTTTTAAACAGCATTTGATTAATGATCTTAGGTGTTGTATATTGCATTTATTATTTTCTAACAGTATTTTATGATCAGAGTTCATGAGAAAATTCTCATAAGAAGAATCAAGATGTCAGTTATACAAATCTTGTTAATTAAGTATTCCTGTATGTATTGAATACAATGTTAAAATTTAAAGTGGTAGAAATGTTGTCTTTACCGGATATATTTTCTTTCTATTCACTAAGTGGACTGTACTCTTGTTGTTGTTTTCAGTTTGGACATCATTTCAGTGACTTGTGGGCACTATTTCAGCCTAAATTGTCAGAACCCCAGATCTCAATGCATCACAATAAACAGGTGAGATATTTGTCCTTAATAAAATACAATTTTTGATCTTTAGTCTAGAATTATGGTTCGTAATGAAAGTTAAAAGGTACATAATGCCCTATAAGCAATAAAGTTGACCATAATATACCATATTTGATGTATTTTATACCTTCGCTAGTTATTGCTTCCTCAAACATTTTTCAAGTTTTCTTTAATAAGATTAAACTTTTGGTAAGAAAATGTTTCTCAAATTAGACCTCAGTTCTCTGGTACCCATTTTCACAAAAGTTTGTTTATTTGTTTTACAGGCATTATTGTTGTTCTGGTACCAAGCTTGTGTAGAATGTCCAGAGAATGTGAAATTGATCGTTCACAATCCACATGTGTGTAAACATATACCCTTCACCTACATACTGTAAGTATTAGTTTATTACATTTATCACATGCAGCTTCCCTCTTTTTGTGGCTTAGGTTTTGCCTTTAAGGCTTGAGGCATTAGAATTGCAGCCACTGTTTTTCCCTGCATGATCGTAAGAAGCAACTTAATGGGTTAGAATTACAGGAGTATAATCATCTCTTAGCTCCAGCAGGTTAGGTTAGGTAGTGTTGACATCTGGTGTTGCTTTAATTTATTTACCCTCGGGTTAGCCAAAATCATTTTTCCTGTTTCGGTGCCATATTACCTAAATTGTGTTGGTGCCCTGTAAAACCAAACTAAAGCACAAGCAGATTAGTGAAGCTTTGAACTATTTATTTCCTTCTTTTCTATCAAAATAATTATTTATAAGTTTATGCTGGAATATAGAAAGAGGTGAACCAAAACAATATGTTTAATAAGACTTTGTACTATTGCCTGTTCAATGATTTGTTTATTACAATGTACTTTGAAATTAACGTTTTATGGTCTAATTTTGTGTCACAAAATCATCATATAATATGTTTTTAGATCCAATCTTCATATAAATTAATTTAGTGGCAACATCTCCATTTCAGCTTGATTGTCAAACTAGTGTCTTACAATTGAAATAAATCACTTTGGAGTGTGTTCCTTGAACTAACTTGTACCGCTGTCAATTTAGAAATTGTGACATTGACCTGAGTAGGCTTTATCAATGTAATGAGAGGCTGACACAAAAAAATTTGACCACGACTTTTATTATTCACATTTATCAACCTTATTGTGAGTGCTTTCTTTGAATAGTTGGATGTCCTTGTTCTGGTATGCTTTGACCATGTTGGTAACTAATTTTTTGCTCTGTGTGTACAAAATTTTTATCGAAGTTTAACATTTCAGTGCCGATCATGAGGACCAGGATGTGATGATGTTTAATCGTATGACTTTACCAGCGTACTATGGTTTGTTACGAATGTGTTGTCAGCAATCAAGGAACTTCACACGACAACTGGCCCAGCATCAAAATATACTGTGGGCTTTCAAAAATATCACCCCTTATCCTGCCCAATATCCAGGGGTAATGTATTGTTTAAAATGTATTTTAATGTGGATGAAAAATGAAATAGTTTGTTCACAAGTCTTTTTAAGTGTTCTATTTAAAATTCCATTGAGAACTCAATATAAAAATATATGCTTTTAAAGTGTTATCAATGTTATTGATTTTTTCTTCGTATTTTTCAATTATTTAAATTACATGTGTATGTTTTAAAAACGGTTCAAAATAAATTAAATAATATCGGTATGAAAAATACTATAATAATTCAATCTTTATGGGGAACCTTAAAAAAGTGTTGTTTTTTTCTCACAGGTGTGGGTTTGAATCCACTTTTAAGAACATTCACAATTTATAAATTAATAAAAATATTCATTGTTATCGAATTATAAATGGTATATAAGATATGCTATGTTACACAGGCTGTGGATGAGTTGTTTAAGATGATGAGACTGATGGCGACCAAGTACCAGGACTGTACTGACGAGGAAATCAAGGCCATCAACAGTTTCCGACGTAACACCATACAACTTTATCTACAGAATCTAGAGGCACGATCAGGCTGGCAGACACTGATAGGGTATGTATGATTGATTGACAAGACATAGTATTGTATGATTGATTGACAAGACATAGTATTGTATGATTGATTGACAAGACATAGTATTGTATGATTGATTGACAAGACATAGTATTGTATGATTGATTCATCATTGATGAGTAACATATGTAAAACTTTGTGTGTGATAACTAAAGATTCTTAAAAGGATATGTTATCTTTGATACCTACAATGCAATCTCTGCAGAGCGACTGTCTGTAAAGCAAATACATCTTTACAAAAACAGTTTCAATTTTTCCTAACATAAGACTTCGCAACAGATTTAACCTCTCTATAGCAACACCTCTTTGCAACAAAGTCTCTGCCTTTCAAAGGATGTTGCTCTGCAGAGGTTTAATTGTATTTTAGACCAAGAAAATTTCATTAAATATCAGGGTAAGTTTAATGATTTTAAAACATCATAGGACAAGAACTCTAAAGGTTGAGTGATAATGTTTGCTGACATCTGATCACTTGCTTCTCACTATTTAGGGTCTTGAATACCACCAGAGATGTATGATTCTTCAATGTGAAGAAAATGTGCTTTCTGATACCTGAATAAATGTGAATATAAGCACCTGAGGCCTAACTCCTCAAGTCAGTGTACCTGTGTGACTTAATAGATATGAAAATATTCCTGACATTAAAGAATAGATACAAATATTTATTACAACTTTGTTTCAAGAACTAAATAAATTGGATTTTGATGACTATTGATACGAAATTTATGTCACTGATGAAGAGATTGTCTATGGCTCTTTTTGAGTTGTCTGTATTTAATGTTTATTTATTTACAGAGCTCTGAAGATTTTGGTAGACACAGAGACAGACAGATTGATTGTATTGTTCAACAAGGGACTTCAAATGTTGGGAGAGGTATGTCCTTGTTAATAAATTGTTATCCATTCTATTCCGATTGTCATAGAAACTATATTTGTAACTTTCTTGTTGTTACAAGATAAAATGGAGGAAATATTTGATAAACTTGACATGAAGTACACTTGTAGGCTTTAAGCTTATATCATTATGAAGATTATGTAAGAAAATACTGCTACATTTGTATTTACAAGTGTAAATTATTTGTTATTTACAAGTGTAAATTATTTATTTAAGTCTGTTTTTAGAATAAGTCTTAAGTATAATTTTTTGGTTCTCATCCCTTTTCATGCATTTTAAGTGTTGTATTGTTGTTGTTTTTTAAAATTGTAAATTCTATATACTTGCTTGAAAAAAAAGTTATTGTGAAACTAATTAGATATAAACATAGAACAATACTTGTAATGTTTTATATATACAGGCATTCATCACTCTACATGTGATGTATCATGAGGCTACGGCATGTCATGTTACAGGAGATATTGTAGATCTGCTGTCATTATTACTACAAGTTCTCAAAAATGCCAGAACATATGTTGAACAAAAGAAAGGTAAGTTTTTCTTCACTTGTACGTTCATGTTGAGATATGAGTGTAAGGCTTGAAAGAGATTACTAAGTTACCTATGGAGAGAAATAAACACTGCTGAATGTGGAGGATGAATATATAATCTGGTGAAAAAAATCTCATGTCTCAGATTTTGTCATAGGAAAGGTTTTAGGTATATACCGAAAATTTAGATTTTGAAGATTTTTTTAGCTCTACTATTCGAAAAATAGGTAGAGCTATTGTAGCCAGCCAGGCTATCAAGCACTGAGAATAGTTGACCATGATGTCCTACCCACAACTCTTGTTAAAAACTATTTTTCTATGAAACAATATTGTAAATATCTTACAGGACCACAGTCAAATGATGTAAAGATGTATGTACACAGCTGGGATGAGAAAGTTACCATAGCAAAGAAACTGTTAACATTACTCAACTCTTACACACCACCTGAGATACGCTCAGTCTGTATAGGTATGTCTATTATAACATAGTGTTGTTAATGATTTTTGTAACATCTGTATTTTGCTAACATGTGATATCAATAATTTTGAAAGTGCCTAAGGTGGTATGGTGTTGGTAGTTTTTAATTCGTACCACGGCAGTAAACTATATTGAATTTACCAGACCACATTGTTCCAAAGTGCCCAAGTATTTTGTGTTACATTTTTATATAGGCACATGTGTTAGAACATGAAGGTAATAATTGTCTAGGTTCACCTTAAGAGTGGTTCTTTATGGTGTGCAAAGTTGTAGGTTGTTAGATATTTTGCCCTTAATTAACTTTGGTTAGAATTTGCAAGGGTTGACAAATCATTTCAAGTGAGGAAACTATGTAGCCAACTTAGACTGTGATTCTACTTTTGCTTGAAATTTTCAAGGTAATACTCCATTAAAGCCGAAAAATCATTGTATGACTTTAATATGGTACTGATTGTCTAAAAATCAATTCAAATTAAAGGTATCATACCTTATAAAATCTCTATATGCTTATTATGATACTGATGAAATATTATTTTTTAGCTGCATAGGACAAGAAGATCTGGTGTTAACTGGACTTCATCATTATCAGTATCATTTGACAGCTGTTGACTTTACAATTACAGCTGTATAGGTACCTGATTTTATATGTACAAAGTATTTGTTTATATTTGGTTTGTATTTCTAGATAGGATGGGAATTACCCCCGTTATACTGGTTTCAGTTGAAGTTGATAATCATATATAAAATCATGAATATTATGTTTGATTTCAGATGTGTTGAAGGAAATGATATTAACCTATCAGAGTGAATGTATCAATGCTATAGTTCCTAGTCTCACACAGGCCCATCTCTCCTACTCGGATACTTCCATGCCATGTAAGTTAACTCAATAATACTTCATCACTCTGTTGTATTGATTAGGCAAAACATAATTAGTAATCAAACTTCAAAACATTGACTTGATTATTTTTTTACAGATTTAAGGCACTTTATTGTAGTTTGTTAAATGATAAAATTGCATCTGTATTAACTAAAGTGCTAACCTTACCACAGTGATTATTGACAACAAGCAAATTGCACCATGAAGCTAGGATGTACTTTATTGTATCCTATCCTAAAGCTGACCTAGTATCTGATATTTTGTGAAGATACTTTTTTCATTCTTAAAATAGCATGATAGTTCATCTTTACCCCATGCATTATAACTGATTGATTCATTGTATTTATGCTACAATGATATTGATATTTCTAGTGGCAAATGGTCCATATTTTCCAAGGCGTGGACAGAAGCCTATAGGAGCCAAGTCAAACATTAGACCACCAAGACCACATTTCAACATGTTATTACATACTAGTCAGATAGAGGCAACTAAGGTATGTGTAAGTCATCTACATACTTTTTCTGTGAAATTCTGGAAACATGGAAAAGTATTTTTGTTCTTGTTAGAGGGTATGTTGTATATTTATCATCGTTTCATATTTGTATTTTCAAAACTCAACTGCAGGGTTCATGTATACTTGCGACAAATGTTACTGGTTAGTTTTATTTTATGAAACTAGAATACTTGGTTGTATTTAGCAGATATTATCTATCTCATTAAGACATTTTCAAGAGCTTTTGTATTATTGTGTTGAGACTGTTCTCTTTCTTTTTCTTGCCAAATATTTGCAACAGTATTTACAGAAAGGTGTAAAATGTTTAAAGTTGGATCTCTAAGTAAAATTTGAAAGTCTTGCAACCTTGATTCAATTCATGGATGGCAATTGTAAATGCAAGCTACCATCCTTGCTCTCTAGCACTGGCTTAAGCAGAATATGACAATTGAGTTTGAGAATATAGATGTTTTAGAAACATTGGCAGATATGTAAGGTAGTGGTGTTGGAAGTCTTTCTGCTAACACTTGTGTTGTTTTCTATTTCAGGGTGTAGATGAAGTGTATGACGCAACATTACAGGATTTTTTCATTCCATATCATTCTATGGTTGATCTCATGTGTAGGGTAGCTGTCAATCAACAGATTCTTACAGAACCCATTATCACATTTAGTATGTCATTTTCTGTCTTTTGCTTAACTTTATCATGGCTATTGATGTAAGAAGAGGTAAAAAATCCTAGAGAAAAGTAACTTTGAATTGAGATGGTTGTGTAAATTTTGAGAAAAATGAGTTTAGTTGGGATAAGTTCAATGAACAAATTTTCGAAACTCAAACTCTGATCTTGGGTTGTTTTTTTTGGTCAGAAACCGGCACAGAAAATGCATTGACCAGTTAAAATCCAGAAATTAGAAACGGATCTTGGGAAAATAAGTATAACCTTGAGGCCTGGTTTTTGGATAGTTTCTATGTCTGTGCTTTGTCCTTTTTCCTGTAATTAAAATAACTTAATTATCATCATCCTGTTTACAATGATGTACATGTAGTCCTTATTGCTCTAAACATACTGTATTGAAATACTATACAATGTATACTGTATATATAAATATTAGTAAAATGGAATTTTTACATGACAAAGAAAACTCTGAAAAATGCTGGAAATGAAATAGAAAAAAATATTAAGATTTAGAGTTCTGTTTACTTTGTATTTTATCATTTCTATGTATAATTAAAGTGTATGGTTATATTTTACAGGTGCAATGGTAGCTTATGAAGGTGTTCCTTTACATTCCCCATACTTTGCTAAACTTTGGTATGAAATCTATCACACAGAGGTAAGTTTATTCATTCTTTACCTATTTTGTCTTTCAATAAGATTCCTGCATTGGCCAGGCTCTTGTTTTACTACCAAATTGCTGAGAAGTGTCAAGTGTTGTCCAACAGGCAGCTCTCTATAATTTTTCAGTTTTAGAGTGTTTTTAAGTTAAATGTTCATGTAAATAAGAAAGTATTGAATGTTAAATGTTTATAACAGGTTATCTAAATAGAAAAATAATGTAGAAATGATAAAATTAAATAATTTTGAATGCGTTTATTTAGGTTGACAAGAATTTCATCAAGATATTATGTACCAGTAGTTTCTTCATAGACTATGTAGATGCTGTGTTGATGGATGAAAGACTGTCTCTAAATAATCAAAATATTTACCAGTTCTTCTGTAATTTCTTCCCCAGGGTTAGTATCAAAGTTTTCTTTAAACTTTAATATATTTATATATACCTTTTATACGTTTTATGGTCACATTGTTTTTAGAGTTTTAAGGAATATTTACGTTATTGTACTTGCGATCTCAAATTGTTATTTTAGTTTAAGTACTTTTTTTGATTGTCATTGAATTTATTCTCTCTTATTTGGAAATATGTTAAAATTTATGCATTATTTTTTTATTCAAATAATGAAAATTTAGTAGCAAACTGGTATAATGATTCATATATTTTTGGTATATAGACATGTATTTCATTGATTTTCTATAGGTATCAGACCAGGTATTAAGTGAGCAAGGGAGACCACTCTTAGATTCTCTAGTAGCTTCAATCACAGCAGAAAAGTCTGCTTTAGAAAATATGAAATCTGAGCGGGAACTTATGGCCATCTTCCAAAGAATTTCAGGGGTAATTTTTCATCTTGTTTGTAATTTTAGAATTTTATTTCAAATATTTAAATTATGGAAAGCTTTCATCATGCATTTTAAAAGTTTTATGTTTTAATCAGTATGTTTACTTGTAGTTTTAACCAGTATGTTTACTTGTAGTAGAAAACAAATGGCTGATTAAAAGGCTCACATTAATTGTTAACCTGCTGGATTTCTTTAATGAATCTGCCAAGTTACCATTTTTGGAACTGTCCGTTATCAGTTTTAGGGATATCAAGATAAAAATAGTCACTCAGCCAGCAGTTTAGAGTCTGGTCAGAAGTGCATGCTGGTCTAGCAAATGTTGATAACTTTGGGTTCTGGCAGGGTAAAGGTTAATATACTTCAAAAAAAGTAAGCTTGAAAGAATGAAATGGTATGATTTTAGCTACAGTCGAACTTCGTTTGCTCGAACTCTGAGGGCCTGTGAAAATTTGTTCGAGAGATCGGTAGTTCGAGCCAACCGAGCTTGAACAATTATTACGCTGATCAAATGCCTAGCTTACATCGGTCGAATGATAAATGCGTCAATATAATTGTTTGTTAGTACATCTGTTCGTCGAATATTTCACATGTTTCATATTCAGAATTATTATCCCAGTGTTTTATGGGGCCGGTGTTTTATAGTATTAACGGTACGCTGTGTTAATCTATATTCATGCATATAGTAATTGGTTGAGTTCGATTGGGCAATCGCACCAAACTTGTTGAACAATGTTCAAAATATATTTATATGTTTATAATAGGATGAATTCAATTAAAAAAAATAAATGAATGAAATAGTTATTAAAAACATTTACAGCAGCATCTATTTATAGTCATTTACTAAAATAAAAACATACAAGTATCATTCTATAAATATATAACACTGTTATGATTCACTTTACATGAACCACGGTTGTAATAAAAGCCGTCCGGGTAAACGTCATTCTTTATTGGCACGCATATTTCACTTATTTCACAAGTTGTTTTCTTTTTATCGTTACCATCAAAGGCAAATCAACAATATTATCATAACAAACAAATCGATTACAACACCTTTTATTTTGTATCACCTTTGTCACAATCAAGAGGTGTTGAAAAACATGTGTCGCCGACTGTCATTTATTTCGGACATACCGACTTGTCTTTTTGTGTTCGACCAAATAGGTGTGATTTCACTATACTTCTGCCGAAGGAACCAGTGATCAGGTTCGAGCGATCGGTGTTCAAGCGATCTGAGGTAGAACAATATATATTATATAGGAATTTTGCCGGGACTGGGCGATGAGTTCGAGCGAAGGGAGGTATTTGAGCGATCTGAGTTCGAGTGAACGAAGTTTAACTGTATTTGCATCTTTTTGTCTTGTACTGACAGACATTTTATTTCATTCTTGTCCTTGTTTTGAAGGAGTACAGAATTTTAATAATTTATGATACTAAATCATTTGTATTCTTATTGGATAATGAACAATTAAGATATATTTTGTTTTTCAGGACTTGCGTGCAATGTTACTGATATTTTCGGTGCAACCACCGAAGCACATGAACAAAATGTTGTATGAGAGTTTACAGTACATACTGCACGTGTGCCGGGAACATCAGCAACAGAGGGCAGAGCAAACATCATCACGTGCACGACAACAGAGACAAAGGAACTCTTCACAAGAGAGTCAGGATAGTAGTGTCTCAGAGGAATCTGGTATGTTCAACATATCTCAATGTATTTTTTCCTATGCAGGGTTTATACAGGCTTAACTAGAACTGCCACTGTCATGTGTGAATACCCCCGCATACCACTTTGTCAGAATCAACAGTGGCCATTTAGAGCTCAAGGACAATGTCCCTGCCAAATCTGAGCCAGTGCATTCAAAGTTATGTATTTTACATACTTCAAATGTGAAAATGTCAAAATCAATACACTGTGGACAGGCATTCTTAAGCAATTGAGGGGAAAATTTTTTTTGTTGACCTTTGACCCAGTACTCTCAAAATCAAAAGGGGTAATCATGCCAAATATGAAGACTGTGGGTCAAAGGAATCTTAAGTAATTTGACGGACAAGCTTTTTATAGTCAAGGCCCCTGTGACCTTGACCTTTGACCCAGTGTCCAAAAAAATCAATAGGGGTCATCTACTAATCATGACTAATCTCCATGCCAAATATGAAGACTGTGTCAAAGGAATCTTAAGTTATTGGGCGGACATGCTTTTTGAATTCAAGGCCGCTGTGACCTTGACCTTTGACCCTGTGACCTCAAAATCAATAGGGGTCATCTACTCAACATGACTAACCTCCAAGCCAAATATGAAGACTGTGGGTCAAAGAAATCTAAAGTAATTGGGCGGACAAGCTTTTTGAAGTCAAGGCCCCTGTGACCTTGACCTTTGACCTGGTGACCTCAAAATCAATAGGAGTCATCTACTCAACATGACTAACCTGCATGCCAAATATGAAGACTGTGGGTCAAAGGAATCTTAAGTTATTGGGCGGACAAGCTTTTTGAAGTCAAGGCCCCTGTGACTTTGACCTGGTGACCTCAAAATCAATAGGGGTCATCTTCTCGTCATGACTAACCTGCATGCAAAATATGAAGACTGTGGGTCAAAGGAATCTTAAGTTATTGGGCGGACAAGAAAAAACCGACGGACTGCCGGACAGCCGGACGGACAAGCTGATTCCAGTATACCCCCCTTACAACTTTGTTGTGCGGGGTATATAAAAAGTGCTTAAATTTGAGACCTTTTCTTAAAAAGTGCTTAAACTTGCTGCAAATGTGCTTGAAAAGTTATTAAATGACAGTGTCGGTAACAGTTGACAGTTAAAAGTGATTGAATTCTGGCATTGGATGTCTGTATGAACCCTGTATAGGTAATTTACTGGCGTGAAAAAAAAAATTGGTTTAATGTTCGTAATTCAAGGTTTTTTTTAAATTCTCTGGAAAAACAAATCTCAGTCATTGTTTTGTAGGAAATTAAACATCCAGTTATCAAGTCAGACTGTATCAGTTGATATTCCTGCTTCTTAATTTTACAATTCAGAAGATTCCTAAAGCCTAAAGATGATATCTTGCTAATGATATTGTATTAATGATTTACTTCACAGGAGAAACACCCTCAAAGAAGAGAAAGATATCATCTGATTCTAGTAAAGAGACTGGTACTGATAATGAAAAGTCCGGGTCAGGTATTGAGACCAAAGCCAAGGAGAATAAGGAGACAGAAAAACCGAAATCAGCCGAGACAGAAAGTGCTAAAACAGAAAATAAAACCGAAGGTAAAAAAAGACAAAGCAGTGGAAAATCTGACTCTGAATTAGACATTAAGGAAAGTCTTGGTTCCCCTAGACCAGTAACTAGACAAGATTCTCCGGAACCGGGAACCAGTGCTTCAAGTAAACCAAAGGAGGCCAGCAACCAGGCGAGCCAGGATCAAGAGGAGGCTGGTACGTCAAGTCAGTGTCAACAAACTCAACACCAACGTGAAACTGAAGAGGAGCCCCCACGGCCACGCCCCAGGGATAGGCCAATGTGGGTGGATATCGTAGCAAAACACATTGAATCTCTGTTCTCACTTCTTTCAAAAAGTGACAGTGATAGTTAGGTATATATTGACGATTAATACTTCGATGTCTCTAGGACTTAGTGCTGCCAATAGATTTGTCATGAGCAGTTGAATTCTAATCCACTGTAAGAATGCAATATTTCTTTGATGATTATGTGAATATGCAGTGCTCTATGCCAAGGATTATAGTCGAAGAATGATATTAAGCATAACACCATGTTCATTTTATGTTTTGATTTTTGAGGAGAGAAAAAAAAATTGACCGGTGTGCACAGAAATGAAATTTCCACATACACATACAGTACATCACTGTAAAGAAAACTTTTTGTCTTATTATTAACCAGTACAATATTTTTATAATGTGAACAAGATAAATTATTCATACAGTCGATGTTAATGGCTTTACTCATCATATGCAGTTAGTTTATACAGGATTTCATGTTCAAATTGCCATGGTGCTTTCAGTTATGGTGCATTCTGTGTTGTGTATTCTATACGGTAGTTTGCCTGTATTCTATACAGTAGCTGTCTGTTTTCTATACGGTAGTTACCTGTATTCTTTATGGTAGCTTTCTGTTTTCTATACGGTAGCTGTCTGTATTCTATACGGTAGTTTGCCTGTATTCTATATGGTAGCTGTCTGTTTTCTATACGGTAGTTGCCTGTATTCTATACGGTGGCTGTCTGTTTTCTATACGGTAGTTGCCTGTATTCTATACGGTAGTTGCCTGTTTTCTAAATAGTAGCTGCCTAGCTACAGTACTTGTCTATCACATCTTTTATTGTAAACATACACCATTTTCTCTGTAAGCACTTAGCATTCATTAAGTCATAAATCCATGTCTTCTGCCATTTTACTTTGTCAACACACACCACTTTTTTTTCCTTAAACTGATTTTTTCCATACACACTTGGCCATGAAGACACATTTCTAGAAAACTCATCTTTTCCCATTATTTCCATTTACATGGCACCTGTTTAAAACTAATCAGTTTCCATGAAAACCTGGGCATAAAAATGCTGGCTTCCATATTTCATAAACATATGATCAAAAACTTGGGTTTTATCTTCTTTATTTCATAAACTTATCGTGTTAAACAAATGTTTATCATGTTCCATAAACACATGGTCAAAAATTTAAAATGTTCTCTATTTCAATGCAATATTTGGTTGTAAACTTCCTTTTATCCATGTTCAATGAACACCAGAAATTCACAATTTTTCTATATTTCATAAACTTATCGTTTCCATTCACACCTAGTTGAAAAATTCATCATAAAAACATAGTCATTACTAGCTTCCATATATGTTAGTCACTTGATCTTAGACTAGTCCAAAGTTCACCTAGACAGTTCTGCATTTTACCAAGTTTTCAAAATAAAAGGTTACATACTTGATTCTTTTCTCCAAACACCAATGGAATAAATTAATGACATGAATGATGAAATAAATACTTCTCTGAATACAGTTGCAAAATAATGAATTTGAAGGAATGTTATAAACATTTAATCCTGAACCTGCGGAATTTCTAGAATGGATTTGTCCAGCAACTATTTTTTAAACTGTCCATTACCATTTTGGGGGTGTCATGATGAAAATTTTAAGTCGGTCAGACAAAAGTATAGAGCCTGGTTAGTGGTTAGACTACATGGATTTATACTGGTGGCAAAGGTTATTCACTTTCTGTTTCAGCAAGACAAGGGTTATGGTCAAATGTTTATGGTACATAAACTAGTTAAAATGTGTATTACTAAGTTAGGTTGTTTTTTAAAGTGCTATTATCAGTTTTCATTATTAACAGATTGGTGATCCATATCATTGGTTGTATTTTCAGCTTGTAGGTTAAAATATCCCCCTGATCCTTGGCCAAAATTGGGTTGTTTTCATTGGCATATCTGTTGCCTCAGATAAAAAGGAAAAGCCTGTATTATGTATTTACTTTCCCATAAGACTGATGCTTTACATTTATGAACTTTCATATTTTAATGTTAGCAGCAAGGAATTACCTATGCCATCACTCAGGCTCTAATGACCTTCTGCATAATATGTCATAACTTTCAGCTATCATTGGCCCCATTAAAGCATTTCAGTATTAAAACCCCATTAATTAACAATTGATAGTCACAAAATCCTTACCAGGCAAGTCCGTTTTACAAATTAAGCAGAATTATTATTAAATGAATAAAATATCTCTCCAAAAACATAACTTCATGATAGTTTTTTGCATTTTTTGTTGATTTTTTTTTCTCACTGCTGTAGAAATGTCAAGCTGTGATGGATGTTTTAACATTTTTTATGTACTATTACATTAATATTATTTATGAATGTTTTAACTGTTAAGATCTCCATTTACATACTGAAAAGCCACTTGAGAAGATGTACATATATTTGAATTTGGGTGAAATATCCAAATAAAAGATGGCTACCTTTTTTTTTCTTCTTTTTTTTTTTTTTAATTTGAAGGCAACTTTTGTTTTTGCATTTTCTTTTTGTATTATATTCCATTGGAATTTTATCAGCCATGTTGTTTATTGCTGATGTCCATGTTGCATTGATGAATAAAAATGTTTTGGAAAAAAAAACATCACAAGTTGCTTTGTGACTTTAAAATTTGTACCTTTCATTTTTAGTCATTTAATAAAAACAGTATTACACAAGTGTAATAACACTTTGATGTGACGTCATTTGCGTTATATACAAACAGCATAAGCGCGCTTATGTTAGCGTTACAATATAGGCACGTCAATGAAAACTGAGTCTACCTTTCTTATTTTATATATGTGATACATAAAATATTGTATTCATGTAGATTCAATACTAAATTTATTGAACTTGTTGAATATTAGAAAGAATATTATGCTTTCCAGAGGATTGCATATGATTTAATCCAACTCAAAATTCAGTATTACACCTACACTCATTCAATATCCTCTATATCTGCTAGCTCACTGAAAGATACAAGTTCATTCCTGATACATTCATATGAATATTATACAAATGATTTTATCCACTCATCCTGCATATAAATTTAAACTGTAATAGCCAAAGAAATTATTACAAGAAATGTAAAATATGGTTTGTAGAAGATTTGAACTTGCAACAACATATATTAAAATTCTGGGCAATCCAGTCATTAATGTGACGACGTATTTTCTGCCAGTGTATCCGTCTTGATGTTTTAGTACAACTAGTATTTAACTATAGTTATGGTTAACAATACTGACAAAGATTTAACTGTGAATGTTTGTTTTTGTCAGTCACTTAAATCTACAATTGATTCAGGTCAACAAGTTTAAGGTAGCATTATCTGAAAGGGTTTTACTGTATTACTGCACTACTTTTTCAACTAGACCTTCCAAACTGCAGAGGCTTCATCATATCAACATGAACGTCTACTTTGATGCAGGCATGTATTCTTATGCCTGAACATTGACTTATTTTTACCTGCCCCGAACAACCCTGTTGTTTTAATCCTGCTGACTAAATTCTTGCAGGGTCTTTCAAATAGAATTTAAAACCTCGATGCGAGAAACTGATCCAGCTACATGTTAGGTCCTTGGTTCTACTGGAGTGCCCCTTATGCCTGAAATAATGTAATTAGGGGCCATGAAAGGCCATCCGAGATGTTTCTCCACCGGTACAAGCTGGAAAGGTGCTGTATGGTCTATAGTTTTGGTGTAACTAAAATCCCAACCTTTGAAAGGTTAAATTGAATTAAAAACTAAATTAAAGACCATGTTTTTAATAATTTATTTTCTGGAAAGTATTTAGACAATGAAAATTGCAATTAATGAATCATTCATAGTAACATTTACCTCACAAGCTAGTTTGTTAAATGTAGTAATTTTAATAGTGTTGACTGAAATTTTGACAAGTAACATTCAAGGATCTTACTTAAATATCTGCACATCTCCAGATAAAACAGTTCTTGTCTAGCAACGAAGTAAGGGCTATTTTTATACATATTCATTTCTAATTAATTTGTGTGCATGATAAGCTTAATTAACAACATATGTTTACTTGATATTAAAGTTTATTTACTATTTGAAAGTCTTAAATTTTCATAACATTTTAAATGAAGCTTTGAACTGTTTTCATAAATCAAGTGTATGTTCAACATGCCAAGTTCATTTTACCAGTCAAAACAACAGTGTGATAATATTTAAACACAGAAAAAAGTTAAATACTGGTAAAGATGCAATAGAATAAGATTGTCCACAATATTTTAAAGGAGTCCACTGTACTGACTGAAAATTAAACAGAATTCCTAATAAAAAATATAAAGTCCTCTTTAATTTAAACTAAAATATTCCATGAAGAGGATAATAAACAACTTTAAAGTATAAATCAGATACAAACATTACCAACATCATTTTCTGTCACAAAACATTAATTTTATAAAGAGAAGCAATAAAAAAGAACACTATCAATAATTCCCATTTACGCATTTTTCCAACTTTCATAAAATGTTCATTTATATAGAGATATAATAAAAACAAAATTTTCAATAATTTTTTACAGCCATTATTTATCTTTCATGAAACAGATGACCACAATCAAATATTTTGGTACTGACAAAGGACTGCATAAATCTGAGGTAATTCCATTGTAGTCAGATGTTAAGAAAACCTATTCAAAAAGAGGATGATTTTATACACAAGTTCTTCCAACTATCACAGAATTTTAAGCACTTTTTTAAACTTGTAAAAACTATATTGCGCTATTTATTCAGACAATTTATCATAAATGGGAATGATATTATTTGCTGGCCATTGACATTTTTTTTTCTTGAAAAACAAGAAATAAAAATATTGTTGAAAACACTATCACTGTAATAGCAAAACAAATTCACCAACACTGTTCTCCATAAATAGCAACTTAAAACTTAAATATATCTTATGCTTAAGTTATGTATCAAAAAGAAAAAACAAAGCCATTTGTTGGTTCCTGACCTGATACAATCTGCACATGCATATTTACTTACATTTTATATTGTTATACAAGTACAAATGTAAATGGCCATGTTTCAATAAACAATATAACAGCTGGACAGTGCAATCTTTGTAACCATGTAAAGTGTGGTAAACCATGTAAAGTGTGGTACTTTTTATGTTCTATATCAAAACATCGATCTGTCTTATTGATACAAAGCTGCTCATCAGAATATACTTGCTCCAAAACCAAAACATTGTTTAATACGTTCCCAATAATTTACTCTCCAGCCTTCCAATGTCTTCTCATACTCTTTTGCTGGTACACCAGTTTGTTTAAGTTTTAACAACGTATTGCCATCCTTTGCTTCAAACTCTAAAGTCACCTCTGAGAAATGGGCATCGGGCCAAGTTTTTAACCGCCATCTTTTCACTATCTTTTTATTCGGCTCCTGCAAAACAATATGGATGAGTTTTAATCATCTAACATCGCAATGTCATTATCAATCTATTTCTCTTAGTTTGGTATCAAGTCGCATCAACACTACAACGGTCATGTGATTTTTTCTGGTGGATGGCGACCTTACATGACCTCACGTGTTTCAGACATGTGCAGGCCTCTTCAGTAGAATTACGAGCCTTCAGTAAGCTAACTGGATATATTCTCACATAATCCAACTGGGAAAAATGGCAATTTTTTAGCTTCACTGATCGAGGAAGACCCGCAAGATAGACAAATATCATCAAAGTTAAAATCAAACCTTTAAAGTCTGATTTAAAAAAAAAAACCTTTTAAAGTTAAAATCAGACTTTACTGCTTTTTTATTGACAGAATTTCAAATTCCTGCGGTTAAATATTTTATTTTTTTACCAAGAATTATATCAATACAAATTAACTTAACCATTTTTTCAGTGAAAATATTCATGAAATTCATTTCAATTTAAATCAGCAGGTACTTTCAATGCAGATATATACAATAGTCTGAAAATAGTTAAAGTGTCTCCATCTCAACTAAAGGATGACAGCTTCCAGTTCAAATAAGATTTTTTTTTAAATTCACAAAGAAGTTCTTTCAATTTTAAACCAAAGAAATGCATAAAAAAATAACTAACCAAGTCTACAAATCCACCAGTGACAAAACCGTTCATTAAGGAAATTCTACCTCCCTTCTCTACTTCATAAACAGCTGGACTTCCAGTAAATGCTTGGACCATCTGAAAACAATAAATGTCTCAATTACAAATACAATTTACAGTACAAATGTATATGAAAATAAGTCTTAATCTGAAACAAGAGCACTGCATGCGGTGTCAATGCTCATCTGTTAAAAAAACAACAACAACAAACACATTTTTGACAAAAATTCTACGTTAAAAAGGGGCATAACTCAAAATTATAGCTTTAAAAATTAAGCCACTTGTCTGAAAACTGCCTCATGTCATGATAAGCCAATATTCCAAGATTCATATTGATACCTTTGAAATTATTTTTAAGTCATGGCAAATATTAAAGTTTTTGTAGACGATGATCCGGCAGTGACCATTAATAGCTCGACTTTTTCTTCGAAACAGACCAGCTGAGAATAAAATGTGAAAAGGAACATACAAAATTCATTTGCATTATAGCAGAAATGATTGCCGACACAGAATATAGATTAAGGATTTATATCTGTTAGAATTGTGTGTTAATGTTTACAGGACAAGTTTAGATCAGCAACACAAAAGACAGAAATAAATTTGCAAGTGCAGCTTTCTTTGGTGGAATATGATCAAAGCTGTCTCCATACATTATATTAGAAAACACTTAGGACATTTGGGTAGTGTAGAAAATTCGTATAGGATACAGGTTTATAGATAGATTAAAATTTTGAAATATTTCATACCCCTTTTTCTGTAAAAACTCTATATAAATCTTGTGGCGTGCAGACAAATTCCTCTTGTGTAGTCAATGTCTTTGTAGCAATTTTCACACCAACTGACTCACTCTGTGCTGGGGTATTGTTACTTATCACCATTTTATTCATCTCTACTTTAGCATTTATCTGAAATATCAGAATCAAAAGAACATGTTAACTTTGTGCAAATACACTAATATCTGATATATATCTGGTATATGTTAGTCAAATTTTGATACTCAAAATAGATTTAGTCTAATTTCCAGTTTATTTCAACATTTAGTTTTGAGATGGTAAAAAATGTAATCTTTTAAAAAACCTTGTTACAATTCAGTAAGTTAAGGTATTGTCACAAACTGTGAATCATATAAAATATTTCATAGCCATTACGGAGGAGGAAAATGCTGTGTGCCCTATATTACACTTATCTGACACAAAGCTGACACTAGTAGAACCACCAACCTTTCATTATTTAGACAGGGTTTATTCATAATAACTTGAATGATTCCTACATTTGCTTTCAGTCCAATTGAAGCTATTTAAATTAATTTAAATTCATATTTATATAATAATATCAAATTATGTTTTATTTATATAAATAACAAAAAACAACAGCATTACCACTTCTTCAGTAGTAACTTTCTTCTTCTCATCTTTTGTTGGTAGTATCACATTATGGCTATATTCTGTAAGATATAAAACATTTGTTGTTACATATATAAAAAATAAAGTAAATGTAAATTCAAAAACAAAAATTGGAACCTTTGGCCACCATTATTGTGCTAGGTTCTATACTGTTGGTAGCTCAATTTTTATATTTGACATCAAAACCCTTAACACTTTAAAATGGCATTTTTCAAAATCAAAGGTGGGCGAACTTATTACAGCAGTTTAAATGTTAAAGGCCTTGCAGATTTGCCTGCAGAAGCATACATAAACATTTTGTCCTGCTTAATATCTAGTACAGTCTCTTAGTTGGTCATCATAGCATCAAAAAATAGAGTTGCAAACCAGTTTAAATCATAAAAGTTCCTCATAAAATCCAAAGTCCCTGGAGGGGTTTGAACGTTGGACTGCAAAAGTTGCAAACTGGCTCTGATGACAGTCTGTTATCTGCACTAGTGCTTTAGTGGTAAGATAGTTGTACGCAATTATTTTACTTTTCTCTTTAAAGAAGCAACTTTAGCATGTGTCTCCTTTACATGTATATAATTTTAAAGAGTTTACAGTAATTACTACACCAACATCACAGAATACTTTCTTTAGAATAGTCAAAATACAAATGAGTAAAGAGACCTACCTTCTTTTAAAGTTTTAATATATTTAGCAAATTGTTGCTGCATTATACCAGTGCCCACTGTTCTCATAATTTCCTTTAGTTTAGGTCCATCACCAGTTGTCTTATCAACAGTAAATGTTACCTACAAGTAAATCAAACATTTCATATGTCTTATTATCATCTGCTAGCATGAATGAAGTTAATCTGGCTTGCATGCATTATTTCAGGCACATACAGACACCTAATTAGAACCACTGATGTTCCGTAAGCTAACTGGATAGCTTCCTCATATGAAAGAATCCAAAGTCCCTGTCCGAATTCAGACAGCAGTGATGATTTCAATCAATAAATGCCTCAATCTCTAATGGGTGTCGATAAGTAATTGGTATTAATCAGTAATGAGCATCAATAAGTAAAAGGTATAAATGAATCATTAATATATTTTCTTTTTCAAAAACATAGTTAATTTTTGTTTAATAATGAATTTATTTGATCTTACATCAACTTCATCTGGTTCATTCTCTTCACTCAGATTTGGTACATCAAATTTGCCTTTATACTTCTTTTCACCTTCTTTCATTCTTCCTACAAATAACAACATTAAAACTGATTAATTTTAACAAAATACAAGTTTCTAATATATTTTTTCAACTGTATTTAATGTACATTTTCTGTACTTTATGTAGTCAATATCTGAAGAGTTATCAAGTCTTCTGGTTTTTTGGGTGTTTTTTTTTTTTTGGGTGTTTTTTTTTTCAAATTCCATTAAACTTAGGAATAAATATAATAATACAAAAGAAAAGTAAGTGTCTTACTTCTTTTTTTTTTGTATTTCTGTAAAAAACCCAAAAATTGTTTTTGGAAAATTTTCCCTTCAAAAGGGAAATTGCCTTGAGTTCCTTCTGGCAATTACAAAAAATTTTTTGAGGGAAAAATTAAATTTTTAAATTTTCAAATTTTAAACTTGGTAAAAGGACTTTTCCAAGTGAAAAATTTTGGCCTTTTTCAAATTTGAGGGAAAAAGGGTTAAAACCAGCCCAAACCTTTTTTAAATGAAAACCCAAAATTTTAAAAATTTAAATTTGGTTTTTTACCACGGGTTTTTAGTAATTTTTCTTTTTAAACTTTTAAACCCCCCGGGGAAAAAATTTCTCATCCGAATTAACCAAAAGCAAAAAGTTATTTTTCTGTTTTCCTTCATAATTTAAAAATATTAACCCATTTAAAATTTTTTGTTAATCCCTTTTAATTTTTGTAAAAAACTTGGAAAAATAAAAAAAAAAAAACAAAAAAATGAAAAGGGTTTAAATTTTTTTTCAAAAATTTTAAAATTTTGAAAAAAAAGTACTAAACCTCTAGGAAGGTTTTTTTAAAAAAAATGCCTTTGGTAAAAATTATTTTTTAAAAATTATTTTTGGCTCCCCAAAAAAAAAAACAAAGGAAATTTTTTAAAATTTACGCTAACTTTTCTTCCCAAAATTTTAAAATTTAAAAAAATATAAATTTTAATTTCCTTTTAAGGCTTTCTTTGAGTTTTACCTAAAGAAAGGTATTTTTCCAAGGGTTTTTCCAAACAATTAAAATTTAAATTTTTCGTTTATAAAAACCCCAGGGGAAACGGGAAAATTCCCTTTTTTAAAAAAGGGGAAATTCCAAAAAAGTTTTTTTTAAAATTTTTTAAATAAAATGGAAACAAAGTTTGGGTTTTTAGGGTTTTGTATAATTTTCCAAAAATTAAAAAACAAAATTTGTTTAAATTGAAAAAGTTATGGAACGTGGCCCTGAAAAAATTCCCCCTAAAAATTTTTAAATGTTTAACCCATAAAATTAAAAAAAACTTTCTTTATTTTGGAAAATTAAATTTTAATGAAAAAAAATTTTTATTTTTTACTCTTTTTAAAATATTTTTAATTAATAAGAAATTTTTTAAAAAAAACAAAAACAAAAAAAAAATAAACCCCAACAAAAAAATTTTAAACCCAAAAAAGGTTTGAAAACTTTTAATAATTTTTTAATTCGGGGAATTTTTTTTGAAATTTTTTAAATTTTAAAAAAAAAGGGTTCTTTAAAAAAAAAAAAGGGTTGGAAAAACCCGGCCCATTTTACGAAAAAAAAAGGGCCCCTTCACTACCCCTTTTGAATTTTTTTTAAATAAAAAAAAGGGGCAAACTTTTTGATTTTTTTAAAATTAGAAAAAACCACCGGGTTCCCAAAAATTTCAATTTTTTAAACTTTTTGGAAACACTAAATTAAAAAAATTTACTAAAAAAAATATTAAAAAAAAAATTTTAAATTTTTTAAATTTTTTAAAAAAAGGGGCCCTTTAAAATAATTTTTCCCCAAAAACTTTTGGGAATTTTCCCCTATGAAATTTAAAAAACCCCTTTAAAAAAATTTGAAAAATTTTTTTCCGGTTTCACAAAAAGTTTTTATTTTAAATTTAAGTTTTGCAGTGATGCAAAAAATTTAAATTAATTTTAAGGAAAAAAGGAACCTATTTTTTGTTTGTGAGGTTTAAACCCTTTTTTTAGGGAAAATTTTGGGCCTTCCTTTCTTAAACCAACCAGGAAAAATTTTTTTCCGAGGTCCCGGGTTCTTTAATTCAGGTGCCAAAAATTTTCTAACACTGGGGCGTTTAAAGCCCCTTTTAATTTTACGTAACCCAGAGTTTTTTTTTTTTTTGCCTCTTTTTTTTTACCCCTTTAAAATTTTCCCCCCAAATTCCCTTTTTTCAGGGGGGTTTCCACGGTTAAAAAAAAAACTGTTACTTTTTTGGGGGAAAATTTCAAGGGGCCTTTTTAGCTATTTAATTTGCAAAAAATTGGGGTTTTCCCCGGGCGATTTTTTAAAATTTAAAAATCAATTTTTACCCGGGTTAAAAACATTTTAAATTTTTAAAATTTTCACCTTTGTTAATTTTACAAAAAATTTTGATATTTTCCAAATTTTGGTTTTTGCATTTTTAAAAATTTTGGACTGGTTATAAAAAAATTAAAAACAACAAAAATTTTTAATCGTTATGTTTAAAAAAATTTATTTTTGAAAAAATTTTTTACCAAAAGGAAAGGGATTTTTTAACAAATTGGGGCATTTTTCAATATTTCCAATTTTGTTTTTTTTTTAAAAAATTTTCGCCTTTTTTGGAAAAGTTTAATTAAAATTTGTTTAAAACAAAATAAAAAAAAATTTTTTTTACTTTTCCCCTTTTAAATTTTTTGCAAAAGGTTTACTTGGCTTCCAAGAATATAGGGGAAACCCAAAATTTTAAACTCAAAATTTTAAAAATTAAAAAAAATTTGAAAAAAGGGAAAAAAACTTTTAAAATTTATTCAAAATTAATTTATATTTCAATTTTGCATTTTTTTTATCTGGCCCTTTTGAAAAAAAAATTAAAATTTCCAAATTAAAAACAACGCACTTCCCGGCCCCCCCCCCTTTTTTTGGCCTAAATTTTTTTAAAAAAACCTTTTCCAAAATTTTTGGTAAAAATTTTGCTAAAAAAATAGCCTTTTTGGGCCCCCCCCCAAGGCAAAAGATAATGGGGGCCAGAAAGGGGTTTGTGCCCCTTTTTTCCTTTTTGGGGGTTTTGGGGAAACCCCTTTTTATGGAAAGTAAATTTTGGACTTTTTTAAAGGTTAAATAAAATTTGAAACCCCAAGGTTTTTTCCGGGTTTTGGTTTTTAAAAAAGTTTTTAAATAAAATTTTTTGGAAAAAATTTTTTGGGTTTTAAAAACCAAAAAATTGAAAAGATTTTTAAAAAATTTTTAAATTTTTAAATTTAAAAACCCAAAAAAAAATAAAAATTTTTCATTTTGAAATGTCCCTTTGTGTTTTAAAAAGAAATTTAAAGACAGGATTTCTTTTTTAAAGGAATTCCCATTTTTAAACTTTTTCCAAATAAGTTTTGAAAATTTTTTAATATTTTTAAATGGGCCAAAGTTTAAAAAAATTGAAAGGGAAAAGGTTTTTTTTTGAAAAAGGAAAATTTTTCAAATTGCCCCTTTTTGGGGGAAAGGGTTTCAAACTTATTTCCCAAAGTGTTTTCAGTGATTTCTACTTTTTTTTCCCTTTTTTCCCTCATGGGAATTAATATTTGATTATTTTAAAAAATTTTTAAAAAGAACCCAAATTAAAACCCTGCAAAAAAAATTTTATTTTTTTAAAAATATAGCCCTTTTCAAAATTTAAATGAATAGTTTTTAATTCTTTTTTATCCAAACCAAACTTTACAAAAATTATCAAAATTTATGAAAAACCGGTAAATTAGGAAATACGAATCCCAAATTATTGACTTTTTTGGGCTGGGTTTCTTTTCCTAAACAACCCAAGGGGATCTCTTCTCCCCATTTCGCCCTTTTTCCTACTGTGATTATATTCCCCAGATTTTTAAAAAGGGGAAGACTTATTTCGTTTTTTTGGTTCCCCAAAAAAATCACTTTTTTCTCAAATTTTCCAAGTAAAAATTTTTTGAAATTTGCTTAAAAAAAATTCTTTAAATCCTTTACCAAAAATTTGGGATGGGTTAGGGAAAAAAAAACCGTAACCTCTTTTTTCCTTCTTTTCCTTTAAATTATTTTAAAACCCCCTTCGGGGGGAACGTAGACATTTTTCCCGAAAAAAAACCCCAAAAAGTTAAAAAGTTTTTTAAAAAGGGGATAAAAATATTTTAAAATTTTTAAAAACGGAGCTAAAAAAACTGGGGTGATAAAGTTTGATGCAAGAAACGCCCCACTAAAACCTGGGGGGGGGAAAGTAGGGAACGGGGGGTTGGGTTTTGGTTTCCAGGGTATCCCCGTCCAAAAAAAAAATGAGAATTTTAATAGTCTGAATTTTGGCTGTGAAAAAAATTTATAACAAAAGGGAAAAGGGCCATTTTCATAAATTTTTAAAAACCCAGGGGGTTAAATATTCTCTTTAGGGATAGCAAAAAAGACCATTTTGAATCAAATAGAAAAAGGGATAACTTCCAAATCATACGTCCCTGATTTCCCAGTTTTCAAAAGGTTTAAAGGGGAGTGAAGCATGTCGTGATGCTAGAGGTCTGACCATAGTTTTTAGTTTAATCCCCCGGGACCTCCTTTCCCAAATTTTTGTATTTCCCAATACTTGCTAAACCCATGGCTGCCTTTTTCAAAAAGCCTTACAAAAATCTAAAAGAAAAAAACTCCCTTTTTTTTTTTTTTTCCCCCATATTTTATTGCCCAGGTCTTTTCCCAAACTTCCCAATTGCGTAACCCCGGGAACCTTTTTTCCCTGAAAAAATTTTGGAGGTGGTAGAGGATGTTAGGGATGGTAATTTGTTTAGCAATGGAGGAAAAACCTATGTTTTTCCATCCCCTTTAAACACAGAACACATGCCAAAAAAAAGGCCTATAATTGACAGGGACGCCCCCAAATCGCCTTTCTTGAAGTTTGGGGGCTACAGGGGGCAGTTTTCCATTGGTTTGGCAACGACCTTATCAGTGGATTTTTTGGGAAGATAACCTCTGGGAAATTGGGAAAAGGAGTTTTTGGGAAAAGTGGGTTTTGAGAAAAAAATTTGGGTTTTAATTTTTCCGTACCGGGCCCATTAAAGGGTTTAGGTTTTTGAGAAGTTTCTAAATTTCCCTTTTTGCTCCTTTTTTGGGTTCGGGAAATAAAGGGATAGTTTGATCTTTGTTTGGGGTTCTTTTTACCCCCAAGGACGCAAGGGAGGGGGGAAATTTGGGGAAAAAGATTTACGGGAAATTCCCTTTTTTAAAAGTTTAGTCTTTGAGACTCATCAGGGTTTGAAACTTTTTTCCCTTATTTTAAAAAGTGGGTAAAACAATGTTTTTGTTTTAAAGGGTTTAATTTGGGTGCAGCTTTTTAAGTTTTTGGGGTTTTGTAAACCTTTTAAACTTTGTTGTTTAAAATTTAAAAGATTCTTTCGGATACTGGTTAAAAAACCCCTCTTTAACCTTTTTCCGCATCGTTTCATGAAAGAAATTTTTACGTTTCGGGAAAATGATTTTGTTTTAAAATTAAACTTTTAAACGCCCGTTTTTTTTGTGTTTTGCCCTTTTTGGGTTTGCCCAGGGAAAGGGGGACCCCTAATTGAATTTTTTGGAAATGGAACCCCTTTTTCTTTTTGGGTTTTTAGGTTTTTCCTTGAAAATTTTCCCCAAAAACTTTCATATTTGGGTGAAGTTTGGGGGCTTTTTGCTGTTTTTTACCAAATTTTTTTAAAACATTTACAAATATTTTAATTAAATTTCAAACACCTTTTTTTACAATGAGAAAAAAAGGTTGGGGAAAATAAATTAAAGGGCTTTCATAAATAAATTTATTTCCCATTATAAATTAAATTTTTGTTATTTAAATTTAATACACTGGCGGGAACCACCCAAAAGGGAACCACCCCTTTTTAAATATAATACTATTTTCCTTTTTTAAGGGGGAAATATTTCAAAAAAAACTCCCTCTCCCCTGGGGTTTGGGCCCTTTTTGGTCGTTTGACGTCTTTTTGTGTTTATGCGGGGCCTTCATAACCTCTCCCCCTTTCAAAATTATTTATTTCTGCCCATTTTTCTCTTTTAAATTTTTTTTAATTTGGGGGAAATTACGCCCTTTCATAAAAAAGGGCCCGAAAGGGGTCACTTTTGAAGTTCCTTTTTATAACCGCCGGAATGAACACACCCCGCGGGATTTTTCTAAATTAAATTTTTTACTTTCCATGTTTAAAATGTTGAATTGGGGTTTTAACCCGGGTGCTAGGGGGCGTGGAGGGTTAACTTGCACTTTCCAGTACCGGGTCCAAAAACGGGGCCTAAAAAAAACCCCGACCCTAAAACCTTTTCAATTTTGCCGTTGGGTTTCTTTGGGGATTCTGTATTTATCTATTTTAAACCTGACTTTATTATAAAAAATACTTTTCTTTTAAAATCCGTTTAATCTTGGTTTGACAAAAATATTTTGCCCGGGGGTTTAACATTTTAACACAGAGTCTTTCTATTTTTAAAACCCAAAAAAACTGAACCCATGTGGGATTATTATACAATTTTTTAAAAGTACAAGTATAATAAATTTAAAGAAAAAATAGTTAAAAAATTTGTTTAAAAAAAGTAACTTTTTGTAATATTTACTTGTTCGTTTTTTTGAAAATGAATTCAATTTAAATAAGTAAAACCCCAAAATTTTAAAGGGCAATTATGCTTTTGATCAGTTGGAAACACCTTTCCCGGGTTGGACAACCATAAGATCAATGGAGAGGGGAAAAACTTGAGGGGCTACTCAACTAACCCCCAAAAAGGGAAGGGTTCAGGTCCCGTAAATTCCCAGCACTGGGGGCTGTGCTTTCTGGTTGGCCCCAACCTTTCCCATTTATCTTCCCCAAACCCCCATGGGAAGGGGGGTAAGGAACGGACGGAAATGGAGCCAAGCCAATGTCACCGCATTTTTACAAAAAAGGTCAAAGGGAAAAATCCTTTCAAACACCGACCCTCTCCCTTTACAAGCCAATGCTGCAAGTTGCTGAAATGTCTTGTGCCCCAAACCCTGAAAACCTGGGAAAGGGCTAAAATCATACACATGGCCAACATGGGGTTCAGAGCAAGGAGGAGCTTTCGGGAAAATCAAATCCTCACCCTTGGCTGACTTTACAAAAAACACTTGACAAGGGGGTCCAACAGAAAATGATTTATATTTTACTTCAAACAAAACAATTTTTACCGGGGGGCCACGTCAGAAAACCCCCCAAAAAAGGGCCCTTTATTTTGGTCTTCGAGGGAGGGCTCTCCCCAAAGGGTCTTTTCCTTCTTTAAAAGGCCGCACCCAAATAAATTTTGGGCCAAGGTCAGTCATCTGAAAAGGGCCCCGTCGTTAAAACGGGGTCCCCCCCGGGGCAGTGCTTGGGCCACTTTTGTTCCTTATAAATTTATAAATACCTTTCCAAAAGGGGGCACTCTCAAAGCTCGTTATTTTTCAAAGACTTTATTTTCCCTTTAAATCCCTAAGAATCAAAAGTTTTTCCCCCCATTTTGGGGATGGACTTTACCCTCAGGGAAAGGGAGCGTCCTACGAAATAACCAGGTGAAAAACTCTTTTCCCGGGCCCAAATATTCCTGAAAAAGGGAAAACTCTGGTTTTAAAAAAACAGGGCATCGAAATACTTAGGTTGGGGCTTACAATAAAAACCTTGGCTGGAAAAACGATTGACAAAATCACCCAAAAAAGTAAAAACATCCCAGGGTTTCCCAAAAAAGTAATTGGGGAAAAACAAGCTGTGAAACTAAAACCAAAAAGCCTACATAAGTTTTTTTTTCCCATCCTTTAAATTAGAATAATGCTGACTATTTGAAACCCCCATCACATAAACAGGGATACATAAAGGGAGAAAAAGGTACCCGCCCACAGAGGGCAGCCACGGCTTTCATTACAACAAAGTACCCTAATACGAGCAGCGTCTCAGATATTGCTACAAACATCAAACTGGGAAACATTTGGGAAACAACCGTCGTCAAAAAGATCCAACTCATTATGTTCAACTACAAAATCATCAAACCCAACTTGTTGGAATATGATCAAGGGGCAAATTTCTTTAAACACCCCATCTTAAACTTTAGACCAAGGTCGCCACACAGTACCCCGATTACCTGCAATATTCACGTCCATTTTAAAGTAATGAAGTTTCACGCTTCTTCCTCGTTGTATTCCTCTGTGGAACAATCTGCAGAACCTGTTGCTGAGCTATTCTTTGACATCCCTCAAGAATGAAGCTGTCTAGACTAAAACCTTTCTAAGGGGCTTACATGCACAGTTACGAAAGTACCCCCCGAGAAATGAAGGGCTTGACCTATGCCAGCAGGGTCTCGGACCTGGGCACCGCCACTGAAGCTGTATTGGCCTTGCCTAGATGGTTGAAAAGTAACTCTGTACAACTATTTTCTGCTACTTCTTTTCTTTTTAATTTCTATCTAGCAAAAAGTGTGTCCGTGTCCTTTTTCTTTCTTTCCTATTTTTTATTTCTCTTTATTCTTTTTTCTTGCGCACCGTTAAAGAAATGTCAAGTTTGACAGTTTAGCGTACAGATGCATGTAAATGTAGATAGATGTTAGCTTTGTAATAAAAAAGGAAAAAACAATCTAAAAGTTCAATATCATTTTTAATTAATGTATAACATAGATATAATAATATGTTTCTTATTTAAGTAAAACAATATTCATGAAAAATTAAAAAGTTTGTATAGTAATGTAATACCATGATGGGGACACTTGAGACCAGAACTCTGTTTAATTCAAGGGTACGGCTACCGGACTTAAGTAGGTCCGTTTATAATGCATGGTATGGTAGGGTGATTTACATTGCTTCAGTTTTGATGATGTTATAAGCGGCTTTCCAGAACCTAAAATTTTTTATTTCTGGTTTTTCAATTTATGATTTTATTGAACACATGAAACAATTTGCATTGTAAATAAGTGCAACAAGATAGAAAGGTAAAGCTTCTTGTTACATATACATGCTTGAAATACACAGGCAACTGTGCAGTCTTTACAAAGCAAATTAAATGTAAAAATTTTTAGAAGTGCAAAATCACTAGAGTCAGTGTAGTACCCGGTTCCGCACAGGACCCGGTCCCGCACATTTTTCATTTTTTCTTGAAAATTCAAATGAATTTATTCAGTTTTCATTTGTGTTTCACTGAACTGGCATGTTTCCAACGAATTACGGACAGGGCGGACCGTACCAAGGCGGACCATGACTCGAGACTAGCCGGACCATATTTTGGGACAGGGCGGACCGTCACTCGAGTTAGGGCGGACCGTCACTCGAGTTGAGGCGGACCGTGATTTAAAAAAGTATTTATATGTGGATTAATGTAATAAAAGTATTAAATTATTGATGTTTTTGTTCTCCGTATTAATATTTAAGTAAAAATATAAAATAAGTTTTAAAAGTTCATGTGTATAATTGTATATTAATTTGCTGAATTGACGATGTCACTCGAGACGAGGCCGACCGTGATTTAAAAAGTATTTAAATATTTAATTCAGAATTAATTGTGGATGATTTTTATAATATTTCAATGTAAACCCTTCTATGCAGGGTTCTCGGGGATGCTTATTTCGGCGTCCCGGTACGCATGTTTATTACAGCTGGACGCAAATATTTCAGAGCAAGGATTCCACGTACGCTAAATTTTGCCTGGGGACGCATAAACATTACCGATTGTTTACAACCAGAAATACACAAATGCGTCAGCGCGTGTCAGTCTATAGGTAGGCGGTCCTTTGCACATCGACCCGTGAAGCGATTAGCCAATCAGCGATAACGCTTACGATCATTATCACGCAATAGTGATCAGACTAATGTAAACACGCGCTGTACAGTACATGTACCAGATATAACACGAGGTGATAATTTTATATCTTTGATCAACAGTTGATTGGAAATTAGCAATTTTACCGACAAAAGGATAAAATTATCGACTATTTACGCCGCAAGTTTAAAGACTGTTTTCTCAAATTATAAATGAGTGTAATTTTGAATGATTGTCGAATATTTTCGGCATTTTCTAGGCACAATTTTGCTTTAGTTTTATTCTTGCAAAAACTTTCGATAAGACTATTAAGAATTTAAGATATTGTGCCGAAATGCCAGGACAACAAACCAAAATACACATACGCTTTTCCTTGATATTTAGATTCTATCCGAAAATTGATCCCGAACATCGGCGATTTCACGTTCGCCAGAAACCCTAAAATTTCGCAAAAATTCGCGATTTCCAAGCCAAACATGCGAATGAATTGTTCCTTTATTATTTAATCAACATTAAATCTTTAAATATCGATCTTCAATTTGCCCCCTTTTGAAGATATTTGCTAAAATAATTGTCGATCGGATGAATCTCTTACACACTGTTTGAAGCCGTACAGGATTTTCCTATTCATTCCGCTAAACGCTGCCTATACTGTATACATTTACGTTTTTTTTTACAAATATAAACTTTTTGTCTTTAGAGTGGACTTATTTAACCAGAATAAAATTTGATTTGGTATAAAAGTGGAAAAAAAAACGATTTCCATGTGTTGATGCATTATAATTAAATAATTTCATAATAAATATTAACAACAAAACAGTAATTATACTATGTAGTTCAGAGTTTCTTTTGAATAACTATAAACTTTGGAAGTCTCTTGAAGATTCAAAATATCAGCAATGCTATTGTGAGCATTTAATGACTAATCTGTAAAGATATTAATTGTGACGCACTTTTGGACTCCAACTTTTTCAGGGTTGGGAGTCCATGGACTCCATGTTTTAAAGTCCTAGTGAGAACCCTGCTATGTAACATAAGTTACATATATACTAGAGTAGTTTAATACTTTTTTTTTCAAGAAATTATTTGTTACTGCGTCAACTTACGCAGGTGATCATTGACCAATTATCGGGATATTACAATGTCATTGTTTGTATAGGTCGCTAACGCTGCTAAAATTGATAAACTTTATTAAACAATAAGACACATAAAAACATATATTTTGTTGTACAATACACGAAATAACGATGATAATGAATTACATCACATTAAAATTATTTGCAATACAACACAATGAATTACGGACATTTCGGACCAGGGACGTTTCGGACCAGACACTTCGGACCAGATTTTTGGTCATTTTAAGACCAGATTTTGGGACATATCGGACCATGTGATGGTCATTTCGGACCATGATGGGGACACTTCGGACCAGAACTTTTTTTTCCAACAGACCATTTATAATTCCTTTTTTATATATGATTATTTTTAATTTCAGGGTGTTTTGAAATTGATTTACGTACATTTAGAGTAAATTTTTACACAAGTTAGATTGTGTTCTGGCAGGTTACTGTAATTAAGAACAACGACATCCTTGTCAATGCAGTTTTTCATACGTTTTAATTGCTGAATAGAACTCGTATGTGTCACCTTTCACTCAATTAATGAAGTATGTATTGTCACAGATATAAATCCGTGGTATTGTAATTTTTACCTAATTTGACAACAAATATTTAAATTGATTGGTTTGATTGGAATGCGATTAAAGTACAGTTTTGATCAACAACAGGCCTAAACAACAAACAAATGGATTAATTGTCAAAACTTTATGTCCAGACTGCAATATAACACAATGTAGAAATTGATTTCATCTTCATAACTTATACAGCTTACAAACTGAAAAAAGTTATATTTTCGTCATGTTTTTTGTATATACTTTTTATAATAAATTGTTTGCAAACGTGTGTCGCCAAAATCATTTGCTTGTTTTTTGGTTTTTTTTTTTGTCGTTTTTTTCCCCCTTAATTTCTTCATTTTATAGGCCTATTGGAAAAATATATAAAATCTAAAATCGGATAGGTGAAGAATCATTCCATGGTGTCTCATATTATATAAAAGCTACTCTTTAGTTTATAGAATAATTGGATGCATAATAATAAAAATAATATTTAATCTGGTCCGAAATGTCCAAAACAATGGTCCAGAGTATCTAACACATGATCCCAAATGTCCAAAACAATGGTCCGAAGTGTCTAACTGATGGTCCGAAATGTCCAACACATGGTCCGAAATGTCCAAAAATCTGGTCCGAAATGTCCCGAAATATGGTCCGAAGTGTCCCAAAATCTGGTCCGAAGTGTCTGGTCCGAAATGTCCATGGTCCGAAATGTCCTATTACCAACACAATAACAAAAAATGAAGTGACATATTTAAAGAACAAAACTATTTTATTAAAAATTTACATAATAAGCACAGACACATGGAATAAAAAGAACACTGAAATAGAATTTATTAAACAATAAAACACATCAAAGACTTACAGTTTGTATTACGATGCACACAGTGATGACGAATGACGATTTTATATAAAAATTTTACATCACAACACATTATTTACAATACCAATTAATACAAGATAAAATTACATGACATGATATAAGATACAGATATACGGAAACGAAATGATGAACATGTAACAATTCAAAACATCAAATATATTCACGTACATTGAACATTCATATACAATGTATATATATATTTATACACACACACACACACACACAAAAGCACTTCTTTCCTATAAAGGACCGTATATAGTAACGTCTGGCATAACTATCTAGAAATTTCTTTGTTGAAAGAGTCTTATTGGAATATTCTGTCCATAGCTTCATTTATTTAGATTGTACTGGTAGTTCTTGTGGACTTTCGTCGAATTCTTCTAAGTTTGGATTCTTTCACCAGTTTGTATCATAGGTATGTCACAAGCTTCCTGGAACAATAAAGTTAAATATCATACTTATTTTTTATATAACTACTGTAATCTAGTTTATATCATAAGTGTTTTGTGTTTTGTCTGAATTACATCGTCCATTCAGCAAATTAATATACAATTACACATGAACTTTTAAAACTTATTTTATATTTTTACTTTTATATTTACATTTAAATATTAATACGAAAACAAAAACATCAATAATTTGATACTTTTATTACATTAATCCACATATAAATACTTTTTTAAATCACGGTCCGCCTCGTCTCGAGTGACGGTCCGCCCTGTCCCAAAATAAGGTCCGCCTAGTCTGGAGTCACAGTCCGCCCTGGTACGGTCCGCCCTGTCCTGCAGGCGTTTCCAACAGGATATGACATAATCTGGGATCTTACACCCCAGCCTCTCGTGGAGAGTGCAGACGAAAATGTAAATAAATGTATGTGGCTGTGTAGGACGCACATAAAAACAACTTATTCAGCAAGTAAACCATGCTAATTTCTATTTTAATGTTAAGATCATTATAAAATATATATTTGAAAAGAAATGTATGTTTTTGTAATGGCAAATTTGCTGTTAGTTATGAAATATATGCACATGAATTAACTTCTCCCAACTACCAAACGTCAAGTCATTTCACCTTGATTCTTTTGTTTAAAATGATACCAAACTCTTAATCAAACAAATCATAACTAAACTGTAGTAAACAGATGAAAAAAAGTTCAATAATATTGTTTTATGTCTGTCTTTACTACCTACAAGTGGTAAAAAGTATATTTCAATTGCTGTTACATGTTTTCTTTGTGCTACTATGCTTGGAAATAAATTTTTGTATACTGTAGTAAGAATGTGCATTAAATTTATTTGAAGTCCTGACAATATTCAAAAAAATATAACTTATCTGGACTTAGAGATGTTAAATAATTTATAACACATGTTTAAGATGTAAAATAACCTTTCACACAGTTTAAGTATAAAAATGGCCATGTGTGCGGAACCGAGTCCACTTTTTATCATATTTGGCCCATTCCTGTTGCTTGAAAAAAAGTGCGCCTAGAAGTATGACATACTTAAGATAGAAACGTTTTGGTCATCAGTTTTTATGGGCAAAGCATGTAATTTTCAAAATAATATCAATTATAAGAAGAATTTTTAACTATAAGATAATTTTCTTATTTTTACTTAAAAAAGTGTACGACTCCGGGTACACTGACTCTAACCATTTCATGAAGAAGGGTATAATGTTGTTTGTCCTGTCTATATGCTTTAAAGAATAACATGAAAATATGCAAAGTTAATGAACGCGGATGTCAGATAAGGCCAACAACTCTATCATTCCTTAGAAGAAACATCACAAGCTGCCCACAAGACATCAAGGCCCAGGCCTACAAGACCCTTGTTAGACCAATCCTGAAGTATGCAGACACAGTCTGGGACCCACACACAGCCACCAACATCAACCAGCTTGAACCTGTCCAAAGGGGAGCTGCCCGATTCGTTTAAGGCGATTACAAAACTACCAGCAGCACCACTGCAATGATGACAGACCTAGGCTGGCCAACTCTACAGCATCGCCACTCCAATGCCAAGCTAGTGATGGTCTACAGGATCACGCACAACCTCATAGCCATCCCAGCTGCACAGTACTTCTACCCCCTGAGGCCCTGACACTTGGTGGCCATGGCTACGGACACAGATTCCATATCCCATTCTGCAGAACAGACACCATGAAGTTCTCCTTTGTACCTTCGGCCATCCGCCTGTGGAACCAGCTTCCAGAGCACCTAGCCACAGCAGTCAACCTTGAGGCCCTCAAGGGAGGACTAATCATGGGGCCCTAATATGCCGGAGTTGATTTTATTTTTAACATGTTCTTCTTTTAAATCTGCACTTATTAGCCGCACAACACTTTGTACATACACCCTGTAAGTCAATGCCCCAGAGTGGGTTATGTACAGTATTGGAAGAAGAAGAAACAAAATTTTGTTAATCATTTAATTTCCATTTTTATTTATAACATTGTCATTCATATTTCATACACTGCTTCTGTTTTTATCGAAAGACTTCAAGTTCAACAGTTATTCTTTAGCAAAAACATATATTTTGTGCTGATATTAAAATACTTGACAGAATTATCTTACTATATATACCAATCATAACATTTAATCTGTATAGAGGAATAATGATAATTTATAAATATGATAGTGAATATAATAGTATATAATTGTGCATTATATTATATGTGTGTATGAATATATGTTAAAATTTAAATATATCGATATATACATGCATTTTTTAAGTTTTGTACATGTATATATGTTTGTCTGACTTCGTCATTGTGTTTTAGTATATCTGTCATATATATAGATAAGTCATCTTTTCTGTGTGCGATGTTAATTTTTTCTATCTTTGGTGTTTATTTTTGTAATGCCACTCATCATCATTTTACGCTATTTTTTGTATTGTGTTTCAAATGTCAGACGTGAATAACAAGCCTTTTCTGTATTGTATTATTATGTAAAATTTTAGTCTCTTATTATTTATCAAACAAAGACATGTAATATCCCAATAATTGGTCAGTTATCACCTGCATAATGTCCAACTCGATTATGTTTTTAATAATTTCATTAAACAAATTTGTTCTAAATAAATAAACTGCATTAATATATGTATATGTTTATAATGATATTAAAAGAAGAAAAAAAGAAATGGCAATATTTGAATATTTTTATTACATTAAATCACGGTCCGCCTCTTCTCGAGTCATGATCCGCCCTGTCCCAAGATATGATCTGCCCCGTCCAAACATATGGGCCGTCCTGGTACAGTCCGCCCTGTCTCATGGTCCATCCTGTCCGTAATTTGTACTGTTATTCAAATAAGTCACTGTATTCTTTGGCCATTTTAATTGCTGGTTCCCAATTATATGCTTTAAGCTACGAGTATTTCTCGTAATTTCAAGGGAAGCTGGAAAGTACTGCATAGGGAGTCTAATCTTACAAAACTTAAGATTATTTTTCCTGACCAAATTATGTACAAAGGGCAAACTTGCGAATCCAAACTATCAAGAAATAGAATTTATGGCAAAATTTATGTCTAAATTCATTGTATGAATTATATTTGTCGGTGCTTATTGCTAAACTGCTTTTCTTTTTTTTTAAACAAAAGGCACATGAATCTATGCAGCTATGAAGCATCCAACTTTGAACTAGATTTCGCAACTTATGCAAATAAATTTTGATGTTTTTCCATATGCAAAACATGTCTAAAGTTGAAGAGGTAAAAATATGTACTTACAATTGTGCGACTCCCAGTTGAATGAGCAAAAATCTTGAACGTTTATGCATTGTTGAGTCAATAAGGCAAATGAAGCAAATCTAATTAGGAATTTGTAGTATAATAATGAAAAAACCTGAATAATAGTGATGTCAGGTATTTGCCTCACAAAGCAGGCCTGTATATTTAATTGTTTTTTCTTTGATTTCCTTTTAAATACACACATGTAATTGTAGTCTATAGCTGCTTGTGGTCCCTGTCTTTGACTTCCCCATAGAAAAATAAGCGCTGAGCTTGTTGTAAAGTTTGTGTGTTAATGAACTTGTTTTTGCATATTCTTAATACTTTACTTAATTATTTACTATGACTAATGAAGTATGTGTGTGTATCACAAGGCTAGTCACTTCTTTTAAAATGCCACAGGCTGTAGTAATTTTTGGTACCTTTAAATGTGGTGTAGGGGTTTAAATCCTACCAATGGTGGATTCTATCATAATTATCGTATTGGTGAACCTATATATTTCAGATAGAGGTGGAATGGGTGTTTTGATATAGAGAGTGTGACTTATTATTCTCAGTGGAGAGAGTTACCAGTGAGTAACAATGTATGCAGATTGGGCGTCACTTCAAGATGAGATACAGTTTGACAAAACAAACAGAAGTGTACTGCACAAGTTCCCTTCTGCTGTTGGAAAGGACGTGGCATGTAGTGTTGTCAGGCATATCTCACAGAATCTCAGTATTACAGTCAATACATGTGATCCCAGCAATTTAGAATCTCATTCTGAGGTGAAATGGACTATGGAGGTACCTTAATTCAATAAGAAAGTTTGTTAAGAAATCCATTCAAAGAATAATTATGTAATATTATAATTTTTTAGTTGTTGAATTTCCTATCTCTTAAAATGTGCATCTCATCTTGTCTCTGGTGAAAATTTCAATGTATTTTTCCCCCCAGAATCGTTTCAGAGCATATTCTAATAAATAAAACACAGCTTATTATTGAACTTTTACTCTGATTTCAATTACATGTGATTTAGTAATTGCAAATTTATCCTAAATGTATATAAAGCTATCTATCTGATAGATATTGATCTGTACAACATCTCTACTTTTGCAGTATCAAATAATAGGAAGTCGGAAAAAGGAAAGATCCTTAATGCTGTATGCTTTACCAACATGGCAGTTTACATTTGCTATATTAATCTAAATAAAAAAGAACAGCAAGTTCATGGAATGAAGTTTTTGAAAATTATTATTCCAGCTTTTATTTGAAGGACTATAAGAATATGTGCTTCCTTATTACAGGTGTTATGTTATGGTCTGAGTCTACCTTTGTCTGAAAACGAGACTATTAAGGACTGTGTCAATGTGTACTGTGAATGGTTGTCCGCCCTAACAAGCCCTAAGCTGTCAGTACCCAAACCAGTGACCGAGGACCCGAACCCATATGCCCAGGATATGTTACATCATCTGCTGAACCTGTTTGTGCCAAGATCTGGCTCCGGTATGTTGACATGGTGGTTTTGGTTAAGTGAAATTATATTTAAATCTTAGTGCAAAATAGTTGTAGCTAATGTTTTATGTAATAGGAGAAACAACTATTTTTTGCACCGAATGTTCATTGTATTTAAAGCATTTATTTTGAGAGTTATTCAAATTTCCATTTTCTAGTTAAATTATATGATAAACAAATGTATTTGAATCTGAACTTCCGCTTGTATTGTCACACAAGATGATAATTAGATTTAACACATTTGTTTTGGAAAGTTTTTTTTTACTTGATGAAATATTGAACAGCTATTTTATTCATTTATCTATTTGATAATTTTTAGTCTGTAACAGAATATTAATGAACCATTGATGAAGTCATTTATAGTTTAGTTTATACAAATTATTTTAGTTTGATTTAGTAAAAATTAGTTGGAAGCTGTATGCTTATTGAAACACTCTTGAAGTTATTCCTTGAACTAACCACTACTTATAAATGAGTGTAAAGTTACTTGCTCAAGGAAGCAACAGCTTGCTGCTGATGGGGTTTGAACACATGCAGCCAGCAATCATTAGATTACTAGTCTGATGTGTTAACCACTCAGCCAAGCAGCCACAATGATGTCTTTTAAAATGTTGAAATTACCAAAACGTGTAATAAATTGAAAGTATACATGCTTATTTAGGAGCCGATCTAGTGAAGAGACAGGCATTGATGTGTCATCGCGTGTTGAGAACTATAGAGAGTGTCGCTAAAGAATCGGCCATGTTGACTAGGGAGACGTGGGAAACACTGCTCAAATTTCTTCTAGCTGCCAACGACAGTCTTCTCTCCCCTCCCACTGAGAAAGGTAAAATAAAAATCAGACAAAAGTTGGTGTGTTTATGTAATTTGATAATACAGTCTTAATTCTAGGTTGGAAGTTTTCAGGATTATTCCTGGAAGCAGGATTTTCATTGAAACAAAGGTTATCTTTTTATACTTTAAACTTAACATAAATATTGAAATGCTAAAGCAGGAAGGATCCAACTATCACCCAAGCATTTCCATTTTTCTCATATCTGGAATATTTAATAAGTTGAATGTCGAAGCTAATAAAATATTTGAGACTTTCTAATACCTTATATTCTTAATTGTACTTTTTTATAAACCATAAAATGTACTAAATTTAGATATTTTCTATACAAATATTTTATTTTAGGTAATGATAAATTTCTAGAAAGTTTTTTATGTAAGGAATGTTCTTTTGAGTTATATCAAAGAAAACATACATTTATTTATAAGTTTAACTTATGAGCCGTAAATAAGTTTATGTAAGCACACTGAAGAATTTTTGCTTGTTTGAGTTGGCAAATTATTGTCTGAATGTTGTTAAACATATCTTTCTATGAATATTTTATCAATATTTTACTTTTTTTACTCCTTTTAAAATAATCATTTCTTTATGAAATTTGTAAATTTTCAAAAGAGTATGCACATTTTTGTTAATCTGAATGTATTTATTAGTTATTAAGTGTCCCTACTTATGTATACTATATCTCGAACATACTTTAACAACATATGTATAAAATATATCAGTTTTTATACTATACATGTATAGAACATTTAACTACATGTAGTTGTGAGGCCAATAAATACTTTATTCACCAAGCATGTTTGATGTTATCCAATTAATGAATTTATTTTCTTTCCTTATTCTTTAATTTACCTAACTGGCTTTAATAATAACAAAAACATAATTGGTTTATTTCATCTTTTTTTTTGCTTCTCTAATATGTTTTAATTTCTGGTTTACATACATGTGGACACCATTATACCAAAATGATAACAAGTGTTTTTATGCTCCTTAAAAATAAATTATGAGAGATCATTTAGTTACTGGTTTGCAATTCGGTCATTCTGTCTGTTCATTTCGATTGATTGGTTGATTTCAATATACAGTGAGATAGCATGGCACATCATGAACTTTACCAAGTAAAGTTAAGTCCAAATTATCATCCAAGGACAGTATGCCTTAATATGTACATACGTCTTGCTTATTGATTCCTCATAACAGTATCATTCATTGACCAATAGTTTTGATGTGTGAATGGTAGTTACCTTGTATGGGAATCTGCTCTATGGTTAGGGTTGAAAATTACAGGGGTCAAGGTCACCAATGCTTGAATTAGATTTTGATCTCTACCATTCAACAATTTCATTTATTTACAGATACTGGTATATATCTTAAGTATTTTGTATACTAATTAGGTACTTTGTACATAAGTAGAATGGTCAGGTACATTTTGGTGTACTTATAGGTCACAGGGGTCAAGGTTACTTAGACTGAAAGTAGATTTTTCGTATCCATGTTTTTACTGATTTCTGTATAAAGGTACTTTGCATGATCCTCTACCTTTAGGTTGAATTTGAATTTGATGTGACTTTTCATACCTCTGCCCTTTTGTTAAAGATCAGTGGGTTCAAGGTCACTTAGGCTTAAATAATTTTCTCTACTTTCTAACTGATAAATGCTTTATTTATCAATTGATATCTTAAATATCTGATATGTGGGAATCTTGATATTAGTTGGGTCAAGGTCACTAAGGTTAAAATAGACAATTTTAACCTAACTGACCTTGACTTATTGAATTTCCTACCTGCATCTACTGACTGTTAAAGGAGACTCGTGCTGTGCTAGGGAGCATTGATATGTGTCAACTATATTCTTGTTACCATTAACTGAAGGGAATATAATTAATTACACTGGCTCCCTAGTTGTGAATGATTTTATAACCACAGTCAGTTTATTTATGATTGATATCATGAAGAAAAAAAACATGTTTTCAAACAATATTGCCAAGGCATTGCTGTTTGATATTGACTTGTGAATCAGATGCCATATTTTGTTTGAAAAAAAATTTACAACCAATTATTCATTCCTGCAATCATTGACCTTTTTGCTTATTACCTAACCAGTTACCTAAGACCCCCAGGGCTCTCATTTAACAAATTTTTTGGGGCCAAATTCAGCCCCATTTTCCATTAACATTAACATATATTTTCCCCCTATTTTTATGCCCCCGCCATATAATGGCAGGGGCATATAGTGTTACCCTGTTCCGTCATTCCGTCCTTCCGTCCTCATCAGTTTCCGTTCATTATCTTAATAACTGTTGCACATATTGAACTCAAATTTGACATATGGATATGTCATGAGAAAATACAGGTCAAGTTCGAAATTGGTCATGGTTCGATGATTTTTGGCAGAGTTATGCCCCTTTTACATTGAAAATAATATGAAATTTTCAGTTTCCGTTCATTATCTCCCAAACGGTACAAAACATTCAATTCAAACTTGACATATGGATATGTCATGAGAAAATACAGGTCAAGTTCGAAATTGGTCATGGTTGGATGATTTTTGGCAGAGTTATGCCCCTTTTACTTTGAAAATAATATGGAATTTTCAGTTTCCGTTCATTATCTCCCCAACGGTACAACATATTCAACTCAAACTTGACATATTGATATGTCATGAGAAAATACAGGTCAAGTTCAAATTTGGTCATGGTTGGATGATTTTTGGCAGAGTTATGCCCCTTTTACTTTGAAAATAATATGAAATTTTCAGTTTCCGTTCATTAACTCCCCAATGGTACAACTCATTCAACTCAAACTTGACATATGGATACGTCAAAGGAATGCGCAGGTCAAGTTCAAATTTGGTCATGGTTCGATGATTTTTGGCAGAGTTATGCCCCTTTCACTTTGAAAATAATATGAAATTTTCAGTTTCCGTTCATTATCTCCCCAATCGTACAACACATTCAGCTCAAACTTGACATATCGATACGTCAAACGAATGCGCAGGTCAAGTTCAAATTTGGTCATTGTTCGATGATTTTTGGCAGAGTTATGCCCCTTTTACTTTGAAAATAATATGAAATTTTCAGTTTCCGTTTATTATCTCCCCAACAGTATTAAACATTCAACTCAAATTTGACATATTGATACGTCAAAGGAATGCGCAGGTCAATTTCAAATTTGGTCATGGTTGGATGATTTTTGGCAGAGTTATGCCCCTTTCACTTTAAAAATAATATGAAATTTTCAGTTTCCGTTTATTATCTCCCAACAATATTACACATTCAACTCAAATTTGACATATGGATATGTTTTTGGAATGCGCAGACCAAGTTTGAATCTGGTCATGGTTCAATGATTTTTGGCAGAGTAATGCCCCTTTCACTTTGAAAATGATATGAAATTTACAGTTTCTGTTCATTATCAACCCAACAGTGTTACATATTCAACTCAAAATTGACATATGGATATGTCAAAGGAATGCGCAGGTCAAGTTGGAATTTGGTCATGGTTCGATGATTTTTTGGCAGAGTTATGTCCCTTTCACTTTGAAAATAATATAGATACATCTTAGGAATAAGCAGTTTAAGTTTGAATTTGGTCGTGGTTCAATGATTTTGGACAAACTTATCTTTCCTGAATGTTGGAAAAATTTTGAACTTTCAGTTTCAGCACTCATACTTTTGTGGAAATGTATATAGCCATTATGTTGGCTACAAATATGCAATATGCTATTTTTAAAAGGTTAAGACTGAATTAAATTTCAGTGCCTTGAACATTGTATAAAAATGGTTTGTGTTAACATTGAAAAGTTTTGAACTTAGAATGAAAAAAATATTATTTTTTTTTGTGCAAACAAATTTGGAACTAAATATTATAACATTTGAAATTTTGGCTGCATGCGGGGGCATCCGTGGCATGATGACACATTTCTAGTTTTTTTTAATAAATAGATATAACCAGCATAAAACATGCCTTTTCAATATCCTATTGAAATTTGCTGTTTGTAAAATAAATTATGTTACACTTCAAATTAAGAATATTGTTGTTGACAAGCAAAATTCTCATTTTTCTTCAAAATGGTGCAAATTCCAGGAAGTTGAAAGTCCCCTTTAAAGTAACCCAAGTTAAGTGTATGTTTTTTTACCCCTCCCCCCTTTTTGTGATATGAGTAATTTTTGTAATGGGAGTTCATACTTACACCACGTAAAATATTATATATTGAATAGTATCAGCATATAGCTTGATGAAAACAATTTATCCCAGCAATTATAAACGGTTTTCATTTACAGCAAGCACCGGGAATGGCCTGATGTAATTCTATCATAGCTTTATTTTTTATATATTTTTGCATGGCAGAAGACACCGGATTGAGTTCATGTAAGTTAGTCACCAGAGCACATGAAAATAAGTTGTTTTTATTCCCCTTGTCAGCCCTGCTTTCTTTCCTTGCTTTTGCCTATTTTTTCTTCTGCAGCCGAATTTTAAAAGTGTTTCGAGTCACATGTACATGTATGTGTAAATAACTGTGAAACATCATCGTAACAGCTTTGTGTTTCGTAAATTGCTTCTTTTTATCTATTAATTACTGCTTTTTGCTGTTGTTTTTTTTTTTGTTATTTCTAATGTACTAAAATATTAATAGCTGCTATTTTTTGCCATTTGTTGTATTTATTTTATGCAGAGAGGTATTGTAGTGTAATAATGTACAGTACTCAGACGATTTTCTGTGCTGTCTGAAACTGTGTGTTCACAGTTGTTCACAACTTGCCATGGGTTTTATGAAATTTTTGTTCACTTTTGTGGGTTTTGATAAATGTGTATGTGGGTTTTGACTGTGATTGTTCACACACTTTCTGTGGGTTTGAAATGTATGTTAAGTGTTTATCAAATATTGTATATAGATCTCATCTGAAAGTCACTATTTGTGTCCACTGAATTCAACAGACCAGGGGCCCATTTTATCAACGGTTTTTGGGGTGTCGCAGATTTCTTTAACCATTGGATTATCAGAAGGTAGTGCGTTTTTTCTACGATCGCTAAGACATTAAACTGCACCTGTTCTCCTTTTTGGGAGAGTACAAGCCAGTGTGCAAGCGTAAGAATCTTACGTCTATGAAAATCCTATAATCTAAGTTGAATGTACAATTGCTTTAATAAGGCAGTCTTACTATCTAGAGTGGGACAATCGTAGATCATAATCGTTCGATAAGATTTCCAAAATTATACAATCGTTGATAAGACAGGCTCCTGCTCTCTGTCTTACAGTACTTGTGCACTTTTAGATGGATGTATATGCTGATGTCATATTATATATTTTGACACCTTTTTATGTTAAAATCATTTCTCTTTATATGACAAATGAAAATAACAGATTTTTTTTGAAGTTGCTTAAAATCAAATTGGTCACAAAACTTGATGTCATATTTCACTTAGTTTTCTTTTAATCATCTAACTCAAACATCAGTTTCCGTTAGACAATTATTTTATTTTCACACTCATGAAATTCCTTTAATATTTCAATTTCTAATGAATAGAGAATTTTTTTTAATTTCTTCACTATCAAAACCCTTCATTCATTATTAGCTCGACTATTCGCAGAATATTCGAGCTAATGCAGTCACCCATTTGTCGGCGTCCCTGTGGTTAAGTTTTTGCATGTAAGCTGGTATCTCCATAAGTACTGAAGGGAATGGATTGAAACTATATACACTTGTTCTCTGTGATTATCTAAGATGATTTGAACAATTCCCATAACTCTGATTTGCTTTTTTGCATAATTATGCCCCTTTTTCGACTTAGAAATTCTTGGTTAAGTTTTTGTTTGTAAGCTGGTATCTCCATAACTACTGAAGGGAATGGATTTAAACTTCACACACTTGTTCTCTGTGATTATCTAAGATGATTGGCACAAGTCCCATAACTCTGATTTGCTTTTTTACATAATTATGCCCCTTTTTCGACTTAGAAATTCTTGGTTAAGTTTTTGCGTGTAAGCTGGTATCTCCATAACTACTGAAGGGAATGGATTGAAACTTCACACACTTGTTCTCTGTGATTATCTTAGATGATTGGCACAAGTCCAATAACTCTGGTTTGCTTTTTTACATAATTATGCCCCTTTTTCAACTAAGAAATTCTTGGTTAAGTTTTTGCGTGTAAGCTGGTATCTCCATAACTACTGAAGGGAATGGATTGAAACTTCACACACTTGTTCTCTGTGATTATCTAAGATGATTGGCACAAGTCCCATAACTCTGATTGCTTTTTTGCATAATTATGCCCCTTTTTGGACTTAGAAATTCTAGGTAAATTTTTGCTTGTAAGCTGGCATCTCCATAACTACTGAAGGGTTTGTACCTTTTTGGACAATTTTATGTATTCATATAGGTAAGCATTATTATACCCTTGTGACAACTTTTCGAATAGTCAAGCGTTACTGTCCTCCGACAGTTCTTGTTATAATGGATCTTACTTAATCTCCTGAACAAACAATTTTAACAGTAACATTGCTGCCACTTTGCCCATCTTTTCGCCAATTCTAAAGATATTTTGTTGTATTACATTTAACTCTTAGCCTGCTAGCGATGACTATATTACGGTAACTTATGCAACCATTGCAGAACATCTGTGCCATCTTATGTTTTGCACTGTCCAGTCAGTACATATTTTGAAATTTTCCCTATAAATGATGAATTGTTTTGTCCAGTGTGAGTGATGGACAAGTCCATTTAAGATATTTAGCGAAGTATATTGTTTTCATGGTTACCATGGTTACATATGTATTCTTACATGCATAAACATGTGATTTTATTGAAATTTTGTTGAAACAAAGAAGAAACTGTTTCAAGATATTTGTACCCACGTATTTTTCTTCTTAGAAGTTGCAAATTAAACAAGCAAATAATTTTATTTTTTTAAATGTACAAGATTTTTGTAAATATGATGATATGTGATCTTTATTGTAACATCCCCATGTTACTTGTAGATATCAATATTAAAACATATATTTATGAACAGATATAGCATCATATAATTTGTTTGATTTATTGTTTCATGTTTCATTTAAGTCTCCTTTATAATCTGCTTTCCTTAACTCTTTTAAAAATTAGGCCCAGAAAAAAAATGCTTCAGATCTTTCCTCTCTATTATCTCAGATTGCTTATTTTATTGGGAAGGGGTTTTATGTATAAGTACATACCGTAGGTATTTTAGGTAACAGTAGTATGGAGGTGAGTTGTGCATGTTAAGAAAGCTGGGGGGGGGGGGGGGGGATGGGTTATTATTGTATGTCGGTGAATTAGACCTCAGATATTTCAAAATTAGATGGCCAACTGGTGTATTTACAACAATATGCATGTGTTATAGCAATGGTTGGTACAAAGTAAAAAAAAAAGTTGTTAAAATGAAAATCTGATTCTTATTTGATGATTTCCAATGGAAAAAATATCATCTTGATGATACATATCTTTGAAGCAAATGTACATTTTTGTTGTTGATATACTGGTTAAGTGATAAATAATTCTGTTGAACTTAAGGTTTTTTTAGCTTCTACTACTGTGTTTAATATGACTTTCAACAGTTTATCAATGGAAAATATTTTTATGACAAATTTTGTAGGTTTTCAAATATTCAGAAGGATATAGATAAACTAATTTGCATGTTAATGTTACTGTCATGATTGTTGTCTAAATGTTATAGGTAGTTCATTCCTAACTGTTTCACGATATTAAAATCAAATGATACAATATGAATATTAAGGGGGGACTCTATTACCTCAGTGTTTCGGTTTGTAACTTACAAATAACATACAAATTTGCCTTGGATTTATCACTTTGTCACTCTTTATTTCAAGCTTCAGGAACATGCTTTAAGCTTTTGCCTTTCAATGCTGTGGGCTCAATGAATATTAGATGCTTTAAGTTTTGAATTAACATATAGAAAGTCTGAATATTAAATGCTTTAGAATGAACATATAAAAAGCCTGTGGTTCTACTTGTATGCTCACACATACCTGAAATATTGTATGAAGAGGACTTCCTTTGTCACTAAAGATGTAAAGTTGTCATGGGACCAAAACATTGTCAGAATGACCCAATATTTGATGGATTTAGACAGCTTGCAGGAAACTTTGCTATAATTATATATTCTTTGCTGTCTGCTTGGGAAACTCAATTTTACTCAAACACCAGCTTTTGTATTTCTTCAATTTTCAATTTGCTATGCTAGATGGTTTTTAGCTCACCTGTCACAAAGTGACAGGGTGAGCTTTTGTGATCGCTTTTCGTCCGGCGTCCGGCGTCCGTCGTCCGTAAACTTTTACTTTAAATGACATCTCCTCATAAACCACAAGGCCAATTTCATCCAAACTTCACAGGAATGTTCCTTTGGTGGTCACCTTTAAAAATTGTTCAAAGATTTTAATTCCATGCAGAACTCTGGTTTGCCATGGCAACCGAAAGAAAAAACTTTTAAATATCTTCTTTTAAAAAACCATAAGAGCTAGAAGCTTAGATATTTGGCATTGAAACATCTTCTAGTGAGTGTCTATCCTACTCAAGTTCTATTTCCAGTTCATAATCAATGTTAAGATTCCTTACTTCAATATTAGAGTGGATTATTAGTTGCAGAGTCATAATATAAGGCACCTGCCCCTTGGCAGCGCCGCGCAGATATTGATTTACACTACTGAAATTTTTAGTCACCTCATCAGTGGCCATCATCTTCAACGTAAAATGATATTGCCCATAATCCTAGATCTGACGTTCTGTGTTAAAGACATTGCAAGACGACAGACTATATAGGCCTAAAAGACTATGTTAGTGATGCACCATCGAACATGATGTCTAATACAATATCTTAGCCATAGGTCTCTCAATCTCATTAGTGTGTTCGATATATACATTAATGCTAAAAGAAGATAAGTTACCTATTAGGCCAGGGGTCAAAATTGGCCCCGCCTACGAGGAAGGTAATTGCTTCTTCCTATAAATGCATTAATTAAAAACTTTACAAAACTCTTAATTATTAAGAAAACCAAAAGAGTTACGAGCTAGATATTACGCATGAAACATGTTCTTTAATAAGATGTTCTAGGCATGAACATTTCTACTGTGCTCCAAGTTTGTTCAAATAAAAGCCCCTGGGGTCAAAATGACCCCGCCCCGGGGGTCATTGATTTTCCCTATATATGCATTATAGTAAAAAAACTTAAAAAATTTTCTTTTAAAGAACTCAAAGAGCTATGGTTAAGATATTTTAGCAATTCAAACATGTTCTAATAGGTGTCTACCAAGGTTTGTTCAAATAAGCCCTGGGGAGTCAAAATTGGCCCCGCCCGGGGTCATTGTGATTTTTTCCTTATATGTGTATAGCAAAAACTTTTAAAAAATCTTTTTTGAAAAAACCCAAATAGCTAGAGTTTTAAGATAATTAAGGGCATGAAACATCTTTTAGTGAGTGTCTACAAAGTCTGTTCAAATAAAAGACCTGGGGTTTAAAAATTAGCCCCCCGCCCCAGAGGGGGTCATTGATTTTCCTTTATAGGTGTTGTATTAGCAAAAACTTAAAATCCTCTTTGAAAAAAAAACCAAAAATAGCTAGATTTAGATATTAGGCATGAAACAGGGTCATTCTAGTAAGTGTCCTACAAAGTTTTGTTCAAATAAAAACCCTGGGGTCATAAAACTGGCCCTTACCCCAGGGGTGGTCATTGTTTTTTAACTATATGTGTATAAGTAAAAACTTAAAAAAAAATCTTCTTTTAAATAGCCCAATGAAGCTAGAGCTTAGAGATGTTTAGCATGAAACATCTTCTTAAAGGGGTGTCTACCAAAGTTTGTGAAAATAAAAGCCCTTTGGTTAAATTGGCCCCTGCCAACGTTTGGGCTGGATTGGTGGGGGTTGGGGGGCCTATATAACATGTGAGCGACCTTCAGGGGCCATCTAAATGGCCCTCTTGTTTTTTGGGGTTTTTTTGTTTTTTTGCTACATTATCATGACTTCCTTTTTTGTTAAATGAGTTTAAATAGTGATATTTTTTTAATAAATAAAGGAAAGTATAAGTAATAGTCAACTAATGAATTTATTTATTCAATTGTTGTATATTAACTTATTTAGATGTACATGTAGTAACCAAATAAACGCTTCATTATAAGTTTATTTTTATGCCCAATGAAATGTTTTATATTCATGAAAAAAAAAAAATGGATTTTAATATCGGCAAAGTAAATATTTACATGTTATAATAGGTTAAAAAAAACTCGGATCTTTTATTTTAAAAAATAATTGGGAGATTTTGCTAAACACAACAAATTGTTTTTTCTTTTTTTGATAATTAATTGGATGTTTTCTAATTTATTTTTAGATTTTAATTAATTGAAAATTTTTTGGGTGAATAATAAAAATGATAAAATTGACCGTATTTAGGGATTTGAAGTTATATATACATTTCAACGGGCATTAAATATTACCATATTTAACAAGGCATTTTTTTGTCATTTTAGTTTCAGAATTTTCAGAGTTTTCATAAGTTCCTTTTTAAGATAAAAACATTATCATGTGTATGTTGTTTGATTATTTATGCTTTATATTTTAGATAGATTGGAGTCATCTATGTAGGTGTGTTGAGCGTTTATTAACTATGGTTACTTGCCTGTCAGAAGTTTTGCTTCCCGTCACCGTCTTTTATGGAAAACCCTTTCCGTAAAGATGGTATCACTGGCGACCCACGAGGCTCTGATTATCAGTGGCTGGGTTTAATCCATAGCCCTTACCTCAAAGATTCGTCAAATTTATGTTGGGCCAGATTTTTCCGGAACTTGTTTACTAAAGAGCTATCTTTCCATATGATTTATTTTGAAAATTCTTACTTTTCATGGTTTAAATAAGCTCAAAAATATAATCCGTTAGCTATGAATGTGGATTGGTTTTCTTTTGAAAGTTATTTTTGACACTTATTGGTAATTTTTGGAAGTTAATTTTACATTTATTTTTTAAAACTTTTTTTGACAATTTTTTTTTTGTATATGATGGCTTTAATCAATTTAATTTATTCAGGTCATAATGGTTGTTTGAAACCAAATTAACAAATTAAGTTAAAACCCAAGAATGCGAAAGGAAATGGATTTAACACAATTGAATTGTTTTGTTGACCATAGTTATAAATCAAAATTTTTCTTTGAAAGTTCAGATAGCAGGCAAAAATTTGTTTTCTATATTTTTCCAGCTGAAGAAGATGGTGGAAATGCTGGTACCCGTTGGGACATGATGATGATTGTATAGCACAGAGTGGTTTCCGCTTCTTTACACATTGATACAGGGAACCCTGTTTGGACCTTGCCAGCCCAGAGGTTATTAGCCAAACACGATGTTTTCCTGAAATTTGCAATGGGAGAGCGAAGAGTTGGATTGACCCGGAGACAACATGAATGATCTGGAGCAAAAATTACCACAGATATTCTACAAAAGGGCCTGGGGGTTGTCTTATAAGGTTTAATGCATTTCTAGGTAAGTAAAGCATTTTTAGGTTACGTATAAACACAACCTGCCCCTCACTGCCATTGGGTTCGAATCTTATAGCAGAAACCCAAAATTAAATTTAAAAAACAAAAAGGGCCATGGTTTTAATTGGTTTTTTTTCACCAAAACCAGTTTTGACTGAAATTTAAAGTATGGGAAAGGGGGTTTTTTTGGGCCCTTAAATTTCAATAAAATGTTAAATTCCCATTTCTTATGAAAGGGGTTTTAAAATGTTACTCACTAAAGTGACCCAAAGTGTCTTAAAACCCGCCCGTTTTTAGCGAAAGTTGGTTTGAATGCTGAAAAATTCTATTTTTAATTTTATTTTATAACAATGGAAAAAAGAAAAATTTAATTTAAAATAAATTTATTAAATTTTTGCTTAATTTCTATATTGAACCCCTTCAATTACTAAAAATTTTATAAAAAAAAAAGTTTTGAAAAAATTATAATTTTTTGGTATTGCCAAAAAGATGTAAAGGAAAAAAACATGTTTACTTAAAATTTGGGTTTTTGCCCCGTAGCGTCTGTGATGGGTCCACCTACCCCACCTGGTCAGAGAAAGTCCACACGCCCACTGGCAGCCATTACAGCACCACTTACTCAGAGAAGTAGGAATTTTTCAATTTTTGACAAAACAGGGACAAATAATAAAAAGTTGATTTGAGAACAAACTGTCAAAGACTTAAATTTAAATTTTTCCCGGGTTTTTTCCCTTTTTTTAATTTTTTTTTCTACCCCAGTTTTGGGTTTTTCTTGGAAATGTAAATCTTGAAGAATGTTCGGAAATTCCCCTTTTAAAACCATTGGGGACAGTGATGTTGATTTCAAGATATTTTGAAACACCATTGTTGTGGTTCTGATATTTTAGGATGCCTGAATTTAATGATAAATTTTAGGCATTGCTATTGACTGGTTATTTGGGAGGGCCAGGTTCTTTCATAAAACTTTAGTGGCAATAATAATACACTGAGAGGTACCCAATTTTTTTCCATTAAAGGAATGGTAGTCCGTCATATGATTTTTTAACCAAGGGTTTTGGGGTTGGGGTTTGAGGGGGGGGGAAAAAGAACCCCCCAAAAACTTAAAATTTTGCCTTGTAAAAGATAAAAATAAAGAGGTCAGTTTAGCTTAAAATTATGGGAGCATTTCTATAGAAATTATCAAAAGCACATTTTCATATGATAACAATGTGGTCGATGGTCAGGTGGATTGATGGTCGATGGTTCGGTGGATAATTTTAAGTTTTCATTCATCATTTACGGACAATCGGAAAGACCTGTTTTAGTTTTCATTGTTGTGTTGGCTTTTATCCTGAAAAAATTTGATTTGTCTGGTAGTAATATACATTGCTAGCATTACTTTAATTATTTGACTATAAATGTATGGTTTGGATGACTGTGTGTTTATTTAAATGACATATAATTAAGGATTGCTGGTTTGCCATGGGTTCAAGCCCCGTCAGGGATAGTGTTGTTTCTGGAGCAAAAATATTTATTGGTTGTTAGTTTCTGGTTTATTCCCCCAAAACAGTTTTAGGCCAGTGTTTCAGTAAGCAATATAAGCTTTCCAACAAATAGAATTTCAAATGAATTTGTATTTAAACTAAAATCTGGTGGGCAAGTTTTGTTGAAATTATTTTATCATAGAAAACCTTTAAAATTTGATAATGGTATTGATGAGGGCTGGTGATAAATGTAAATTTTATATAAATTTCAGGAAGCAAAGGCTTTCAGAATTAACAAAATTTCAAGTGCATTTACACCACCAGTGCCCTTACCTGGCTGTTGTCATTAGACAGTGTTTTCCCCGTTGGCACCAGGCGAAACCTAAATGTTAAAAATTATTTTTAAACCTGTTTGGATTCATGGTGTTTATGCATCCCGGCGATTGTTAAAATCTTCGTGCATAAAAATCTGGTAAGTTTCTAATTTTTGTTACATTTTTAGGGGTAATAATCTGTATTCAAAGATATGCAAAATTAGCTTTACACTTAAAATCATTCAAATAGATTATTCTTTCATTATGTTGAGACAATGTTTGTTTCTTGTGAAGGATTTTAGATGGTTCTTACAATTACCCCATTGTGTTTGAAATACGCAAACTGGAGTTTCCTTCCCATAAAAAGCTTTGAAAATTGTATTAAGGGGTTTTGTTTTAAAAAAATGAAATAAAGTTTTCTATTTTAAGGGGGAAACAATGTTAAGAATGCCTTATCTCTGTTTTCCTCTGTTAATTTAGGATTAAGTCTTTGTAGGTTCCTTTAGGAATAGATTCTTTTTAGGCTCCAAAATTCCCGTAAATTTACTAGATATAAAATTGCATTTTGGATTCAAAAGTTTTTTTCTAAAAATTAACAAAAACATAAATATAAATTACTGTTCTTCTCTTTGTAACTAGGTCAGAACATAGACGAACAAACTTCGTTAATTGATTCAATTCGTCCCCCAATCACTGCGATAGATTCTTGTCCCCAGAAAGACCTCTCCATTCTTGATAACACGTTTGAGGCTGGAAAAGGGCAGAAAGGGCCTGTGGAAATTATGTAGGCTGTTCTGTGCTCATAAAAGTGGGGGGAAATTTCTACCCAGCTTACTATTCAAGTTTATTTGCAATTGTATTAGGGCTTAGGACAGATGGGTTGTGTTTTGTATAAATTTTCTTATATGGTTATTATATAATAATATTTTTAAAGTGAGGAAAATTATTGGTTTTAGTGTGCGGTTGACTAAATAGGGTTAAAAGATGGACGTCATTCAAACAAAATGGTTAGATTTTATTTAAAGAATTTTGGTTTTTAGGGGTTGAATGCTTATGTTAGTGACAAGCGGATTTTGTGACAAGGTTTTCAATTTTTTAAAATTTTTATGCATTTAAGTGGGAAATTAAAACAGGTGGTTTCCAGTTAGATATCTAGAACTAAAGGAATGAAGATGCTGTAAATCAAACCCTTAAAATTTAAGCAAAGAGTTATTGTGGAGACCTAAACTTGGGATTGCTTCTGGGCTCCTTTAGATCAAGGTCAAGGTTACTGTTTTAGAAAAATAGTTTTAGAAAAAAAGTTTCCTCTTTGAAGCCCGATTTCATTGCATTGCCATGTTTTTTGTTAATTTATAGAAAAATTATGGAGACTTACATAATACAAAATGCTTCTATTTATTTGTATGTTTATTTTATTATATTGTAGAATATGAGTGGTCCAGTTCTATCAAACATACTGTTCAACTCATGTGACCTACTTCGAGTTGACCTAGCTGGTGCACAGATTCTCGTGCCACATATTCTCAGCTCTCTTGAACTCGTATTACATGACCTTGTGCCAAAGTTCAGGTATGTAATAATTTAACATTTAGAGCATTTTAGCATTTACTAGAGGCATGTATCTTTGGTTTTGTGGGCATATTTAGGAAGATGGGATACCCCTGCACCTCCTTGCTACAAAATGAAGTGAAAAAAATCTGAGTACATGTATGTCATAATTATTGTGATTGAATTTTAACAAAAATTTGAGAGATTGTTGGGTCAACCTGTCCATTGGACAGCCATCCTTTTGAACCCTGGATGAGATTCAACCCTATCCCATCACCACTTGTGTAAACTCTTATATCTGCACCCTACTTCCAACCAGAATCTGTTTTGCTAAGCTTTTTAATTGTTGGCATTTTACTGAAAATATTCTTGAATCCTTGAATTTTTTGAACACATTTGGTCAGAAATGAAACATTTTGACTTAACCAGTCTGTATATGATTAGATAAAGTAGAAAGTCAGTATGAGGTACATGTTCTAATATGAGCCACACATGTTGCCCTACAGTTGATTGAGTTATAGAATCATCTGATACAGGCATTTATTGTTTGTTCCTGAACCATATTTCCTGACAGATATTGTGTTGTGCTGACCCCTTTGCTTTGTTTTTCATTAACTGTCATTTACCTACTAAATTTCTTAAATTTATGTGTTCAGCTACTACATTTTGAACAATCCAATATCAATTTGGGGATATCAAGATGATAATTATAAGTTGTATCATAGTTTGGGGACCTTTCTGTTGAAAAAGTGTCAGAGTTAAATCTTATACATAGACATGCACAGTGCGGTAACTGGAGTGCAGGTATCAGTTACCCGCATTCCAGATCATGCCCGTTGATTGGCTCATTTTTGCTGGGGTTTACATATTGTGACGGCAAAGAAAGGGAAAGCGGCAGAAATATCATATTCAGATGCTCGATCATTGGTTACTTTTCCCGGGGTTTAAAATTGTGACAACAGGGAACGTGTTTTTATGTTTGACTATGATACAAAAGAGAAAGAACACCAAAACACTCGGCAATCTGATTTATACTCGGGGGCTACGCCCCTCGTACAAATCAGATAGCCTCGTGTTTCGGTGCTCTTTCTATTACTTATTCAGCTAAAAGAATTGAGCCAGGTCAGACTGCATGGCAAAGGCTAATCATTTTTAGTTCCAGCTGGGTAAATGCTTAATTTTTAGCATTTTATTTGTGTTATCTTTTGATAAATGTTAAATATTTATAATAATAGAAAATTGCCAATCCTTAATGGGGCAAGTACATTATGAAAGAAAAGACATGATTATTTAGAAACCAATACATGTAGTTCTGGTTTTATAAGACTTGGGGACATTCAAATGATAAAGAATAAACATGAGGTGATTTAACCAGTCTGTATATGATTAGATCAAAAAGAAAGTCAGTATGAGGTACATGTTATTATAAACGAGCCAAACATGTTACACCTACAGAATGACTGACTTAAGTTTTTATCTGATACAGATAATTATTGACTTTCCTGGATATTCTCCACTAAGGTGTTTAATTTTGAACCTGTCTTGCTTTGTTTTTTTTTAGCTCACCTGTCACAAAGTGACAGGGTGAGCTTTTGTGATCGCTTTTCGTCCGGCGTCCGTCCGGGCGTCCATAAACTTTTACTTTAAATGACATCTCCTCATAAACCACTAAGCCAATTTCATCCAAACTTCACAGGAATGTTCCTTTGGTGGTCACCTTTGAAAATTGTTCAAAGAATTTAATTCCATGCAGAACTCTGGTTGCCATGGCAACCAAAAGAAAAAAACTTTAAATATCTTCTTCTAAAAAACCCAAAGAGCTGGAGCTTAGATATTCGGCATGAAACATCTTCTAGTGAGTGTCTACCAAGTTTGTTCAAATAAAAGCCCTGGGGTCAAAATTGGCCCCGCCCCAGGGGGTCATTGATTTTCCCTATATGCATATAGTAAAAACTTAAAAAATCTTCTTTTAAAGAACCCAAAGAGCTAGAGCTAAGATATTTAGCATGAAACATCCTCTATTTGGTGTCTACCAAGTTTGTTCAAATAAAAGCCCTGGGGTCAAAATTGGCCCCGCCCCAGGGGGTCATTGATTTTCCCTATATGCATATAGTAAAAACTTAAAAAAATCTTCTTTTAAAGAACCCAAAGAGCTAGAGCTAAGATATGTAGCATGAAACATGCTCTAATGGATGTCTACCAAGTTTGTTCAAATAAGAGCCCTGGGGTCAAAATTGGTCCCGGCCCGGGAGTCATTGATTTTCCTTATATGTGTATAGCAAAAACTTAAAAAATCTTCTTTGAAAAAAAACCAAATAGCTAGAGTTTAGATACTAAGCATGAAACATCTTCTAGTGAGTGTCTACCAAGTTTGTTCTTATAAAAGCCCTGGGGTCAAAATTGGCCCCGCCTCGGGGGTCATTTATTTTCCTTATATGTGTATAACAAAAACTTAAAAAATCTTCTTTGAAAAAACTCAAATAGCTAGAGTTTAGATACTAAGCATGAAACATCTTCTAGTGAGTGTCTAACAAGTTTGTTCTTATAAAAGCCCTGGGGTCAAAATTGGCCCCGCCTCGGGGGTCATTTATTTTCCTTATATGTGTGTAACAAAAACTTAAAAAATCTTCTTTAAAAAAACTCAAATAGCTAGAGTTTAGATATTTGGCATGAAACATATTCTAGTGAGTGTCTACCAAGTTTGTTCAAATAAAAGCCCTGGGGTCAAAATTGGCCCCGCCCCAGGGGGTCATTGATTTTCCCTATATGCATATAGTAAAAACTTAAAAAATCTTGTTTTAAAGAACCCAAAGAGCTAGAGCTAAGATATTTAGCATGAAACATCCTCTAATGGGTGTCTACCAAGTTTGTTCAAATAAAAGCCCTGGGGTCAAAATTGGCCCCGCCCCAGGGGGTCATTGATTTTCCCTATATGCATATAGTAAAAACTTAAAAAAATCTTCTTTTAAAGAACCCAAAGAGCTAGAGCTAAGATATTTAGCATGAAACATCCTCTAATGGGTGTCTACCAAGTTTGTTCAAATAAAAGCCCTGAGGTCAAAATTGGCCCCGCCCCAGGGGGTCATTGATTTTCCCTATATGCATATAGTAAAAACTTAAAAAAATCTTCTTTTAAAGAACCCAAAGAGCTAGAGCTAAGATATTTAGCATGAAACATGTTCTAATGGATGTCTACCAAGTTTGTTCAAATAAGAGCCCTGGGGTCAAAATTGGTCCCGCCCCAGGAGTCATTGATTTTCCTTATATGTGTGTAGCAAAAACTTAAAAAATCTTCTTTGAAAAAAAACCAAATAGCTAGAGTTTAGATACTAAGCATGAAACATCTTCTAGTGAGTGTCTACCAAGTTTGTTCTTATAAAAGCCCTTGGGTCAAAATTGGCCCCGCCTCGGGGGTCATTTATTTTCCTTATATGTGTATAACAAAAACTTAAAAAATCTTCTTTGAAAAAAACTCAAATAGCTAGAGTTTAGATACTAAGCATGAAACATCTTCTAGTGAGTGTCTACAAAGTTTGTTCAAATGAAAGCCCTGGGGTCAAAATTGGCCCTTCCCCGGGGGACATTGATTTTCCTTATATGTGTATAGCAAAAACTTAAAAATCTTCTTTGAAAAAACCCAAATAGCTAGAGTTTAGATATTAAGCATGAAACATTTTCTAGTAAGTGTCTACAAAGATTGTTCAAATAAAAGCCCTTGGGTCAAAACTGGCCCTGCCCCAGGTGTGTCATTGTTTTTAACTATATGTGTAAAGAAAAAACTTGACCAGCTAGACCTTAGATGTTTAGAATGAAACATCTTCTAATGGGTGTCTACCAAGTTTGTTCAAATAAAAGCCCTGGGATTTAAACTGGCCCCGCTTCGGGGGCCTATATACAGGTGAGCGACTTCAGGGCCATCATGGCCCTCTTGTTTCCAGAATCCTTCCTTAATATCCTGTGTATCCATTTTAGATTATGGGGATATGGAGATGGAAATTTTAGAAGTTGGTCACCCAACAGTATAAAGCTGGAATAGCAAGCTACTCTTTAGCTTTTTTGTCTCCAGACTGATGGCAAAGGCAAATGGTTAATTTAGCCTATTTAATGTTATGCTTTGTCAATTAACAATTTTAAAAGTCACAATTCTTAATAGGGCAAGCAAATTTCACTAATAAGAGGGATCAGTGGTAAGATTTAACCAGTCTGTATATGATTAGATCAAAAAGAAAGTCAGTATGAGGTACATGTTATTATAAACGAGCCAACATGTTACTCTTCAAATGATTGACTTAAGTTTTTTATCTGATACAGAAACTTTGAACATTCAAACCTTCAGATTAGTGTTGAGACAGATTAGTGTTGATTATTGGACCTCTTGCTTCTTTTTTCCTGGAAGCCCCTTTAACCTGCTGTATTTTTAAATGAATGTGTCCAGCCTTAAATTTTTAGAATGTCCATTATTTATTATGGGGATATGAAGATGAAAATTTAAAGTTGATAAAACTTGGTCAGACTGACAAAAATGACAGGCTAGCCTGTTTCTACTGATGACAAAGGCAAATGGTTACTTTTAGCATTTTAATGTTGTTCTTTGTATTAGATATACATGTATGTTCACATTTGATATTTTAAAATACTGATAATTGATAATAACAGTTAAGAAAGGACCAAATAAACTAGTAACAGGGAATGCAGCTTCCCAAAATAGTTTTTGCATTCTCATACTCTTCGCATTCAGACATATTCAATAAAAACTGTCCTAGATTCCAATAAATTTCTGCAATAAAACATGAGCATGGTATTAAGGCCAAAATCTTAACAGGGTGAGTTCATTACACTAATTAGGTTGATCAGAAGTAAAACATGATAAATTAACTAGTCTGTATATGATTAGATTAAGCAGAAAGTCAGTATGAGGTACATGTTATTAAACAAGCGGAACATGTCACCATAGTTGATTGACTGACAGTATGATCTGATACAGACATTTATTGTTTTATTTTCCTGAACTATATTACCCCGACAGATATATTGTTGTGTAAGAACAATTCTTGCTTCCTTTTTTTAATATTGTCCATTGTAAGTGTTAGGCATTTCAATATCAAGTTATCCCATTTTGCAAGTAATTTTTCAGCTTTAACAGGGTTTATACAGAATTATTGTTTATATGGTACTGGCATGCGAGCAGTTCCCGTACAGAAGCAGTACCCGTATTTTTCATTTAAACGCTTGATTTTTACATGCATTCTTCAAAAATTCATTTCAAATCAAGCAGATACATAAACGAGACAAAATCTAAGTGTCAGTTCGGCAGTAAGTATAAAAAGTCTCATTTAAAATCACTTTCACCTGTGCGTTGTCAAAACGTGACCTTGTTTTATCTGGGGGAATTCCGTCTTTGCGCGCATGTGCAAATATACTTACACGTGAGGCATGTTAAAGGGTTTTCCACTAATACCACCTGTTTACAGATAAGAAGGCAATGTGATGAAAACTTGTTTAGTTATCAGAATTTTGACCAATATTACTATAGAAAATAATTTTATGGCTTTGATGCGTAAAATATCATGCATACAAGCATGCCATCGCATGTGAATGCGTTGGGGGTAACGGTACCGGGTAATAGATACACGCGTTTAGTCTACTTTCTATTTTCTAAATTACATCTATTTATCTCTTAGAAAATGGTCTGTTCAACAATTATAAATGAAAAATAGGTCCGATATAAAAAAATTGTATAATTATAATGGGTTAAATTTTATGTACGGGAACTACTTCTCTTCATACAAAATAATGGATAATTTCGGTACCCCATATGAGGCCTCATAACTAAGGGTTATTCTATGTTTAGAACATGATGAAATTTCCATGATTTGTGTGACGAGCCGAATATTGATGTGTAACATTCAAATTTTGATGAGTGAGCGTAATAAAAAATAATGATTAAGTAACTACGATTTTTGTACGGAAACTGCTCGCATGCCAGTATATTTAAAATAAATTTGTTAATACTTTAAATTATTTGACAAAATTTTTATGACAGGAGTCATTGGTTAAATTTATTTTCTGTAGTAAAATTATGTTTGATCACTAGGTTACATGGTCAAGGTTACACTTCAATAGTAATGTTTCACATATTAAAACTGTTTGGTATGTACCCTTCAGATTTAGTTCTACAAGTAATTTTCATGTCAGTAGATTCAACTGGAAACATTTAAATGTTCTTACTATTTTTTGCTATTTTATTTTAAACTCTTATAGTTCTGCAAATGAAGACACTCATTGAAAGTCAGATCTTTTAAGGCATTCAATTAAACAAATACAACTTGATGGACGATTTTCTTATCAGATGCAGAACTATATTTAGTTCAGAAATAACATTATAGACTTGTCTCATGTATAGTCAATCAAAATTCAAAATCTTACTTTATAAGTATTTATGATACTATTCGTTTGTAACGTCGCTTTTCATTGGACACTCAAGACGTTATATAGTTTTATAAACAGGACTGCTGTCAATTTATTTATCTCACATTTTGTCTCAAAAAAAAATAAAAGAAGTTTGCGGTATCATAAATTCTTTATTAGTATTCATATTGACATGTTATATAACCATTCATAAACTGTTGTTTGTAATATAACCCTTGCTGTTATTTCAAAACAACTGTTTAATAGGGCCATATAACCTGTCAAAAATCTTTATAACAAATAATGTACTGGGATGCTGAGGAAGTTTATGAAGTTGTTTAGAAATGGCTAAATGTTCTATCATATTTATAACCGAGGATATTTCTGTGAATGATGAGACTGTGTAAGAAAGTCAGACATATCACTACACCTTACAACATGATGATTATATGACCGAGAATCTGACACAGAAAATTGTCTTACTTATTTGATATATACTTACCTGTTTTATTTTCTAAAACATTTTTAACTCCATTGACTTTGTTTGTTTGTTGAACTTCAACCTTTAGCCCACTAAGTATCTTAAATTGGAATTGTCACTCTTTCAGTCTAGACAAAACCATTCATTGTTTCTTTGGAAAAAATCAAAATCTGTACTGACTAAATAAAAAACAGTGTGAACCATGATCAGATGTGCTTGGTGATCTTGGTGTGCAATGGTCACATGGGTATATTCTGTGAATGGGTCACCACCAGCAGGCTAAATTTTAAGCAATCAACTGTTATTAAAAGGAATTTAAAGATGAAGGGATTACTTTAAAGATACAGAAGTTGGGGTTTAGAAGCCAAAAGCTGTCGTCTGATTATTTTTCAGGGCTTTCATTTTACATGATGACTAAACTAGTCTGTAAATGATTAGATAAAAATAGAAAGTCAGTATGAGGTACATGTTATTATATGAGCGAGACATGGTACACCTACAGAATGATTGACTTGCTAAATGTCCACTGATACAGATACTATTTAAGCTTTACCTGATATGTTGAGACTAATTTAGATTTAGATATTGTCAAAAGGTACTATTTCAATTATTTACCACAGAGTAATTGGCAGGCAGCTTTTAGGAATGGCATTCATTTTCATATTATAAAATCTTTATTCATCAAAAAAGAAACATTACACAGGCTGCTGGTACAGACCGGAATATCTAGCACGAGGGTAACTGTTAACAGCGGTAAGGAGGCTCTGCCAAGTTTTGCTAAACAGTTTCCCGAGAGCTAGATATTCCGTCTGTACCGACAGCCAGTGTTTGATTCTTTTTCTTGCATATTAAATGCAGAGATCTCCCGAGGACGCGATTTTGTACCATTGGCGCTAAAAAAATGAGAATGGCGCAGGAAAATCGGCAGCAAAATGCCATGGGCGCATCTAAAATCTTAGCCAGGGTTATAAGAAAACAAAACTGTCTGCTGGGTTATTTAGTCATCCAGTCAAAACTGGTAAAAACAGCAACATGTTACCCATTCCCCTGTAATAACGCATATTCTTGAGTTTATCCATTCACCTATAGCTTTTGTCCATGTTATTTACCGCATTTCTTCTCATATTCCCTTTCCCACACAGATACTCAATTCTACTACCGTAAATTTAATCCAATAAAACAAACAAACAAATTATACAACTACTTAATATTTAAAATGATTATCGGTAACTGAAAAAAAAGTGTTGCTATTTTAAGAAATGCTGTAAGTTACAGTATAATCTGACAGGTGTACAACTGGATCACCCCTAAGGTCATTCAAGTTCACGCAAGCTTTGGCTGTAAAGTGTGAAAAAAGATGATTATTTCGTCATCAGAATATTTGACAGGGTGATTAACGAATCAGGGAAACATTGTGCATGACTTTTTTCATGTCGGCAAGTGGCTTTGATGTATGCTGTCTTCACGGAGGCATACAAGGGGCAAGAAAATTCGTCAATATACAGTGGCAAAGGGACATTTGGTGCAAAGTAGGAACAATTAAATGGATAATGCACAGTATTAGACATTAGAAATAAGAACCAGAAATTATGTGAATAAATTTACATTAGAAGTAAGAACCAGAAATTATGTGAATAAATTTGCATATCAAATTTTTGAGCAGCCATTTAAAAAATATTTTGCCTGCAATTAATATTAGTTAGAAAGTTACCATGTAGGCATAATTTTTAATTATTGGTTAAGTACTGAACCAAAAATGAACCACTGGTCATAAAATATGATTTAAGTTTTATTACCAGGGAAATTCAATATCTTCAAACTTTTTAACAGTTATTACAAACTTTTTAACAGTTATTTAGGTCAATGTTTACTTATTTTCCCTAGGCCCATACTTTGGTAAAAATGTCCCATCATTTTCAGACCAAGTGGGCCCAGGGCCCAGTACTTTAAAATTCTTGGCAGATCTCTGTAAATGTCATTTGTTCTCGGGACAGAAATTACGAAAACCGATATTTTCATTAAGCACTTTTTTCTTATAGTAGCATATGAACCTACAAACTTCATTCCTAACGGAAAAAGGACATCATCCTTAGAACGCAATTCATTCATAAAAGGCGTGCGGCAATAATGTCCTTTAAAGCACGCAACTTGTCTTACATTGGGGGTGTCAGACAGGGTTTTCTAGCACCGCCGAAACAGTAAATAATCCTGTCTGATATGCAAGAAAATCATATATAAACCGTTAAATATTCACTAATATCCTCCAAGATGTATATTTTATTACAGACTTTGTGAACAGATACCAAGTGTAGAGTTAAGGAAAGCATGTGTTCACCTCCTTCTTTCTATGTTATGTCTTCCACAACATTTCAAAGACTTGGAAATTAAAGGTATATTTGATTCTCATTCATAACAATTGTATCAAATTAAATTTATAGTGACCAAACTCAAGCCTTATCATTGGGAAATATTTTGGACAGTTTCTAATCAAATATCTGAAAAACATTAATTTGTAGCATTAGTTTTAAGATAATAATGATATTGATTTGGATTGATTGATTTATTGATTAATTAATTGATTTTAAATGCTCTGACAGGTGTAAGTTAAGAAATACATTATTTGATAAAATATACCAAATTATTTTGTCATTTAAGGGGAATGGAGCACTGGGTGGATTTGTTATTTTCAAGTTACTTTTTCCTGCAAAACTTAGTGTCAATGATATTATTTCATGATGAATTATTAATTGTAAAGTATCACAAATGTTTAACAACATAGCTTATAGATTTTTGTAAATTTAATACCTCATTTGGTAAGTTTTATATTTCAGATATTCTATCTAATGAGAGTACACCAGAGCACACAATATCGTTTATATCCCTGAAGTCACGTACCACAGAACTTCTGTTTAAAGCATTGTTTGTAGAGACAGACTCGGCTAACACTCAGATGCTTCTTGGTAAGTTAAATATTATTATCAATTTAAATTTTATGATAAATTTACCTGCTTCCATAGAGTCTGACAGGGCAATATTCTGTTAGATTCTTAATTTCATTATTCGGACAATGAAATCCTTTAAAAGAGCGGCTCACATTTTCAAAACTATATTAGAACAAGTCTGTTGCACAAATTCAGTAAAGGGTACATAAAAATAATTTTTTTCCATAGGAAATAATTTTACAGAATTTCATATTTATACTTTATCTCAGTCATGAAGTAAGACATTAATTTTGCCTTGTTTGTGAAATTAGTTCAAGAATGCACTTAGAGTAATTATCTTTGACAAAACTTTTTGAAATTTAGCCTTGCTTTGGTTGATATGTATAGAATCATTTGAAATTGTTTTTTTGTAAATAAATCAGATGCCTGTTTATTATCCCTCTGTCAGTGTAGGAAATGATGTGTTACATATTTTTGATACACAGAATTATTTTCATACTACCCACTTGGTAGAATGTTTCAGTCCTTCCTTCCATTACACTTACCGTGGTTCAATGTTGATTCATTTATAGTGTGTTATCTTAAAAGTTTGATGTGTTGGTATGTTCCATGGATCACTGTCATTTAGTTTGATTTCTGGTTGATTGTATTCAGGTCAAGGCCACTGAGGCTAAAAATAGATTTTCCTAAATTTTCTAATAATAGGATAATGTTTTAGGCTTTTTTGGAACCATCCATATGTATGACCAATATTCTTATTTTATTATATGTAATTTGATTATTGTTGCTGAGTAATATATTAACAAAATATTTGTGAATAATTATCAGCACTCAAAATAGTATGAAATGACACAGGGTAGTCTGTTTATGTTATAACTGTCAGATGGTTTGTATTTATTTGCAGGAGGGTTAATGCTGTTGATACAGGATCTAGCCCTGTGTGAGGAGGCAGACCATGCTACTATACAACCACCTCAACATGAGGATCAGACTGATGCCACTGATCCACATGCTGGTTTGTATTAGATCAAACAGTTTGTTAACATTATGCACCAGACATGAAAACTTGTAACTTCACCTTTTAAGGAAGAATTAGTAGTTTTGCAAAGATTTTCAATTTAGCCTGTAATTATCTCACCTGTGTTTAAAATATTGTTTTAAATCCCCAAAAAAGGCAGGATGGATAAAGTCACAGACTTCAAGTTGCTTGCCCCTATATTTGTGCTTTCAATTCATGACAGCGACTTTACCTTCTTTCATGTGAAATACATTTAGTTCTTTCTTTTGAATAAACATAGCGGTATGAAGCTGCACATTTATTGTTTCAAACCTGTACTTTGCATATCTTGTTCTCTCTCAAATTTAATGACCATATAAGTTACAGTGGAAATACTTCAGAACCTAATAATTGGCAAAATTTTATATGGTTTATGTATTTTCAGATGCTAGTCAGGCCAGTGTATTGAGTAATGAATCTACAGACTCCAGTTATACAGAATCTTCCTACCATAGACTTCATACACAGTCACATGATAATGGTAATTGTATGATATTCATACTCAGTCACATGATAATGGTTATTGTATGATTTTCATACTCAGTCACATGATAATGGTTATTGTATGATTTTCATACTCAGTCACATGATAATGGTTATTGTATGATTTTCATACTCAGTCACATGATAATGGTTATTGTATGATTTTCATACTCAGTCACATGATAATGGTAGTCACATGATAATGGTAGTTGTATGATTTTCATACTCAGTCACATGATAATGGTAGTTGTATGATTTTCATACACAGTCACATGATAATGGTAATTGTATGATTTTCATACTCAGTCACATAATAATGGTTATTGTATGATTTTCATACTCAGTTACATGATAATGGTAATTGTATGATTTTCATACTCAGTCACATGATAATGGTAATTGTATGATCTTTTATACACAGTCACATGATAAAGGTAATTGTATGATCTTTCATGCACAGTCACATGATAATGGTAATTGTATGATTTTCAAACTCAGTCACATGATAATGGTAATTGTATGATCTTTCATACACAGTCACATGATAAAGGTAATTGTATGATCTTTCATGCACAGTCACATGATAATGGTAATTGATTGATTTTCATACTCATTCACATGATAATGGTAATTGTATGATACATTCTTTAAATGCTATATACAGACATATTATGTTATACATGTAGAGGCTTACAAGACTTTGCAATCTGAAGAGGACTCATTCTCTAGGCATTTAGATTTTTTAGCTCGACTATTCGCAGAATAATCAAGCTAATGCAGTCACCCATTTGTCGGCGTCGGCGTCCCTGTGGTTAAGTTTTTGTATGTAAGCTAGTATCTCCATAACTACTGAAGGGAATGGATTGAAACTTCACACACTTGTTCCCTGTGATTATCTAAGATGATTGGCACAAGTCCCATAACTCTGATTTGCTTTTTTACATAATTATGCCCCTTTTTTGACTTAGAAATTCTTGGTTAAGTTTTTGCATGTAAGCTGGTATCTCCATAACTACTGAAGGGAATGGATTGAAACTTCAAACACTTGTTCCCTGTGATTATCTAAGATGATTGACACAAGTCCCATAAATCTGATTTGCTTTTTTACATAATTATGCCCCTTTTTTGACTTAGAAATTCTTGGTTAAGTTTTTGCGTGTAAGCTGATATCTCCATAACTACTGAAGGGAATGGATTGAAACTTCACACATTTGTTCCCTGTGATTATCTAAGATGATTGGTACAAGTCCCATAACTCTGATTTGCTTTTTTACATAATTATGCCCCTTTTTTGACTTAGAAATTCTTGGTTAAGTTTTTGCGTGTAAGCTGGTATCTCCATAACTACTGAAGGGAATGGATTGAAACTTCACACACTTGTTTTCTGTGGTTATCTAAGATGATTGGCACAAGTCCCATTACTCTGATTTGCTTTTTTAGATAATTATGCCCCTTTTTCGACTTGGAATTTCTAGGTAAATTTTTGCTTTTTAGACGGTATCTCCATAACTACTGAAGGGTTTGTACCTTTTCGGACAATTTTATGTATTCATTTAGGTAAGCATTATTATACTCAATGAAACAATTTTGTGACAACTTTTCGAATAGTCGAGCGTTACTGTCCTACGACAGTTCTTGTTTATTGATCTAAAAATGGGAATATTCCTTTCTTAAAGCAGGGCAAGTCCATTACATAAGTGAATGTAGGTAAACTGTAACTTGTTGTAGGCTTACACAGTATTAAACAAAGCTTAAAGATTTAAAGAATATGAAACCTTTAGATAAGTTTGGAAAATTTGAAATGATAGTAATTGTTTGATACTATATATTAAAACTCTTAGCCTTGCTGACAGCAACAGTTTCTGCCAATACAACTAGTACAGACCAAAATCAGTCAGCACATCTGATCATGATCTGCAATGTTTGCAGTCAGTTGTTACATATTTTGAAAATTTCATTCCACATCAATGGTTACATTATAGGATATCAAAAATCAAAATAATTTAAGTTGGATCATTCCACAGTTCTTGTCTCCTATTTGATTTATGTTTTGTAATCCGTTCACAAATTTAGATATTTACAGATATATTGTTTTCTCTTTTTAACAGAAACAGCTTACGGTCTGTTTGGTCAGGCAACCTCTCTAGTGTGTAATAGACTCATGGCTTCATGGAAAGGTGAACTCAGTACGGCTCTAGCTGCCATGGAGCTGTTGTCAGGGCTTGCCAAGGTCAACATTACACCTCCAAACATGCTTATGTGCAAACGTACCGTCAAGTGGATCTGTGACTTCATTGTGTTTCAGTGCAGTCGGCCGGCCCCGAATCACTCCCGTGACCTACATTCAATGATTGTGGCTGCTTTTAAATGCTTAACACTTTGGTTAGTTGAACACAGTCGGTTGTTGTATGATAAAGAATGTCTCCACAATGTCCTTGAAGTTGTGGAGCTTGGCATCTCTGGATCAAAGTCACAGGTATGTTTCTATTTTACAACTTCTCTACATGCTAAGTAGTGTGTAACTTAATAATTTACAACCAAATTATATCCAAGCTTATCATATGTAATGCAACATTAATGACCACCTGCTCTAGGAAAGCTCTAAACATACAAATTGCTTCTCTACAAAATATTTCATAGAATGTATATATATATATTATCCATATTTTGTGGGAATTCATTAAAATGAAGGTATATTTAAGCAGCAAATACGAAATGATGTAATTGAAATTTTAATCTTTTTTTTTTTTTAAGAAAAGTAATTTTACATCAAGAACATAATTCTTTTCAGATTTTTTTTTTCAAGAATTTTCATTTACAGTGTATTCTCTTTGCACACATTTTTTTCTGCCACCAGTATAATGCACCATTTTCTCCAGTAAACTTTGATTGGTGTACATGTATTTATATCACAGCTATATTATACAGCTGTAACCAGCACACTTTTATACACTGATGCATGCTGATGATGTCATTTCACCTTTAACCTTTACCCCCCACCCCCACTTAGATTTGCCTTGCTTCCTGTTTGAAATTGTCCACTGTTGATTTATGAGATTTCAATATCAAAAACCTAAAATTAAGCATCTGACAGTGTAATGACTGGTCAAACTGTATTATGTTCAGGGTCGTGGCATGGACATGTCATTGCCATTAGCCTTCTGAGATAAATTTCAAAGTATTCAAAAGTACTTGACAATTAAGCACCTTTGGTAATTGGAATATCAGTATTCTGACAGTTTTCATTTTTATAAATTGGGGCATAAGTATGTGATAAATTTCTTACTCTGTCAGTTTTTCAAGAAATCAACTTGTCCTTTATCTTACGGACAAGGCATATTTGGGTAAACTAAACATTTTCTAAGGAAATGTTTTAAATGGGCATGAGTATGGTCTGACTTGTATAAAGGAGCAAGATGGCCTAGCTCTATAGCTATATCTAATGCTATAGGTCTGTTCTATTTCCAGCTATCACTCAGATTTATATACACATGTTCAATGTCAGTTTTAAATCTATACACATTCTGATAATTCAGCAATTTTGCAAGTTATATTTAAAGGTACAAAATGTATATAAACAGTGCTTCGATACAAACAGAAGATTGTTTATGGCTTAATTATTGGAATTAGTGTGTTTACATATTTTAATCGTAGAAGAGTTGTTTTTTCCGATATTTTTTTATGTAGAATTTAATGTTATTATTGTAGAACTACCTTTGTAAGCAGTCAGTCTTAGATGACAGGAATTAAATTTTTTTATCACATAACCGCCCATTATTCAACATCATTCGATAATAAAAAACGCTTTCACAACTTAACTTTCTTTTTACCTATTGGATATAACATTTTTGGATGAAAATCCATTCTAAAATTTAATAACATTTTTACAAAAGTAAAGTGAATTCGTAATTCACAATTCAGTGATAAGTTAGTCGCTTTATCAAAAACAGATTTTTAAAAAAGGGCCTCATTTACTCTCTTCCTATATTTCAAATTTGAATTTGATATTAAGTTTCATCAATAATGAAAACTTTCTCGTGTGTTTTTCATTGACTTGAGATGTGTAAGACTGGCTGCTCACATTTTTACTTTGTTGATAGTTTCTTCTGTCATTTAGTTGATCTCATGTTAAGTTTGTTTGCTACATCAACTTGGTTTTCAGAAGAAATCTTCTGACACGGGAACTGTGTCTTTAAAATTCGGCAAAGATGAAAAATCGGTTTACACGCAGGTATATATTGTAACACGCTCCTGCACATTATCCTATACACAGCTACTTGTTCAATTAAACTTGATTGTCTCCAGTTGATGCCAAAGTTTTTCTTGGAAATTTGATAAATTAATATAAATAAAACAGTAGTCCCTGATAGCTAGTTGTGAAAGGGAGAAGAAAAGGCAGATCCAGGGTGCAGGAGGCTAAAATATGGCGCTTTATCCAACATTATTTTTGTGAAGGACTTTTCCTGCTTTGAATTTAGAATTTGAGAGATTTGAAAAAAAAAGAATACAAAATTTAGCTGCAGTCAGAACATAGTCTGGTCATGTTTCACAGATGTGTAGCCTGGCCTGACGATACTGATTGCACAAGCCTGCTTTTACTTGTAGCATAGGCTGGCTCGTACCTGTGGTATAAACCTTGCTATACTGATGTATACAAACCATACTGGTGACCAAAGTGTGCTTTAATTGGTAGCCAGAGCTTTTTTGCCATAATTTAGGAAAAAAATTTAGAAAAAAAAGGAGATGCGTGTCAATTTATTGTAAATGAACACATGATCTTTTTGCCACTGTACTTTACACTGAACTTTACATTTTAATAAATTATTGACAACCAAGTTAATCTTACCATACCTGTATCTATTTAACTGAATGACAATGTGTAGACAATCAAGTTTAAACAAGCGGCCCTAAATATATATAACCCACCTCACTTTGCTGATTCAAGCTGAAAATATGTGTGTTTAAAGCAATTTTGAACTTGAAATTCAGTACTTTACATACGGTATACGGTATTCATTGGTCATGTCAAATATATTGGCCCTAACTTAAATGGTCTTGTCTATCTTTCAGTTTGGACAAAACCATTCATCATTTTTAGGAAAGATTTCAAAATATGTACTGACTGAATAGCAAACAGTGCAGACCATGATTAGTTGGGCATTGATGTGCCAGCTGTTCTTGGTCTGCACTGGTCGTATGAGTAGATTCAATCTCTGGCAAGCGTGCTTAGGGTTAAATACTTCTCCATTATTTTGCACATTAGTCTTTATAAACTGAATGTTAGAAATTATGCTATATCTCAACAAAGGAATCCAAATATAATATTTCTTGTATAATTTGAAAGAAGAACCACATCTGCCTTTAAACACACATATTTGTAAATGGACTTTTATACATATTGTCTCTAGTTTTTATCACAGTTTTACTTCTTGTTTGCCCTGTACTTTAGTTATTTATTTTTCATTTTCACTGATTAGTTTCATGAATGCCATATTTGTTTTTGGTTATACTTAATCAGTTTATATTTAAGTTTAATAATGTAACCAGTTACTGATATTATGCTAGTACCTTATAACTTTGATTTATATTATATTATTTTTCTCCTTTTCATTTTATTTATAACATAAAGTTTCAGTTTAACTCAGCATGAATTTATTCTTTTTTATTATCTATGACTTGACAACAATAGATTTAATAGCTTTAAAAAAATTTCTGTATATATATACAAATATATATATGAATGAATGAAAGTACATGTATCATGTATGGATTTACAGATGCGTTTTAATCAGGTATTAAACCTTTTAGCTGATTTAGGTAGTGTTGCCCATGGAACTATTTTGTTTTGATGTAAATAGTGATTTTTCTACACATTAACTCAGGAATGCTAGTTTCTAATGCAAAGTCATACAGTAATATGTCATCCAAGTCTTAAGTATAGGAAAAGTGAAATACTTTTGGTCCTTTAACTGCAGGAGTAAATTGTTGATTTACTGTTTGGATTGTATGGTGGAAGTCATGGGTATATTCCTGTCCTAGTTGTGTACCAAAAACCATTAATAAACATACTAGTATACTGGCAGATTCCTTGTATCATTCACAGTGTCAAGGGAATTGTTGTAGGACTGGGTGGGATATTATCTTAATGTATCTATAGTGTGATATTACAGTGAAGTAGGTCTTTTTATTATATGTATATTTTGCTCTTTGTCACATATTAATGAAGAAAGATTTTTTGGGCAGGGTAGGGAGAGGTTGGGGGGGGGACAAAATCAAACACTCAATCAGGTCTATTACTTGTCTTTTAGAAAATAAACTTACAACTTTCTATAGAGTCAAGAATATCATATGGGATGTTAATTTTGATGATTAAATCTTTCATAAGCGACATACTACAACAGTATGATATGTAGAACCTGATTTTAAGACTACCTCCTAATAAACATTCTATAATGTGAATATTGATTGTTAAACAAACCACTTCTTTGTTTGTGTCAATAAAAAATGCACAATTGAATTGCATGATCAACCAGATAGAGGACTCTGTATTAACTTTACAGATGACGTTATGCAATGGTAGATCATCGTCGGATACCCACGACTGATTAACATGTCACATAACATGCAATCATGATGAATGATAATGGTTCGGCCGTGGGTATCCGACGATGTGGTAGATCAGAATGCTAAAATTAGACAGCTCTCTTCATTTTGCTTGATTCTTGTTTAGAATAGTTTTGTCGTAATGCCAGAAAAGTATGAATTTCAATGAATAAAATCTTTGTTTAGATATGTGTGATCATGTATGGTTAATTATACCCCCGCACAACAAAATTGTAAGGGGGGTATACTGGAATCAGCTTGTCCGGCCGTCCGTCAGTTTTTTCTTGTCTGCCCAATAACTTAAGATTCCTTTGACCCTTAGTCTTCATATTTGGCATGGAGGTTAGTCATGATTAGTAGATGACCCCTATTGATTTTGAGGTCACTAGGTCAAAGGTCAAGGTCACAGGGGCCTTGACTTCAAAAAGCTTGTCCACCCAATAACTTAAGATTCCTTTGACCTACAGTTGTCATATTTGGCATGGAGGTTAGTCATGATTAGTAGATGACCCCTATTGACTTTGAGGTCACCAGGTCAAAGGTCAAGGTCACAGGGGCCTTGACTTCAAAAAGCTTGTCCGCCCAATAACTTAAGATTCCTTTGACCCACAGTCTTCATATTTGGCATGGAGGCTAGTCATGATAATTAGATGACCCCTATTGACTTTGAGGTCACCAGGTCAAAGGTCAAGGTCATAGGGGCCATGACTTCAAAAAGCTTGTCCGCCCAATAACTTAAGATTCCTTTGACCCACAGTCTTCATATTTGGCATGGAGGTTAGTCATGATTAGTAGATGACCCCTATTGACTTTGAGGTCACCAGGTCAAAGGTCAAGGTCACAGGGGCCTTGACTTCAAAAAGCTTGTCCGCCCAATAACTTAAGATTCCTTTGAACCACAGTCTTCATATTTGGCATGGAGGTTAGTCATGATTAGTAGATGACCCCTATTGACTTTGAGGTCACCAGGTCAAATGTCAAGGTCACATGGGCCTTGACTTCAAAAAGCTTGTCCGCCCAATAACTTAAGATTCCTTTGACCCACAGTCTTCATATTTGGCATGGATGTTGATCATGATTAGTAGATGACCCCTTTTGATTTTGAGGTCACTGGATCAAAGGTCAAGGTCATAGGGACTTTGACTTCAAAAAGTTTGTCCACCCATTAACTTACGATTCCTTTGACCCACTGTCTTTATATTTGGCATGGATGTTGATCATGACTATAAGGTGACCTCTATTGATTTTGAGGTCACTGGGTCAAAGGTCAAGGTCACAGGGACCTTGACAAAAAAAAAGCTTTTCTTCTCAATTGCTAAAGAATGTCCTGTCCGCAATGTATTGATTTTGACATTTTCACATTTGAAGCATGTAGAATACATAACTTAGCAATGCAAATGCACTGGCTTAGTAACCTCAGATTTGGCAGGGAGGTTGTCCTTGAGCTCTAAATGGCCACTGTTGATTCTGACAAAGTGGTATGCGGGGGTATTCACGCCATGATAGTGGCAGTTCTAGTTATATTCAGTAATTTATGAACTAAAGCTTTTAAAAACCTACATAGAAAGCTAGACAGTCCAATGGGAGTTTTAATCATCCTGTATATCAAATTAGTGTAAAATTTTGTAGAAAACTTTTCCTATCAATAAACATGAGTTTCATATTCCATTTACCTTGTTTTTCAATGTTTCCTATTTTATACAATGTAAACTGTGTATGTAGTAATGCTAGATAAAAATGGTGATATGTTTGTAATTTCATTTCAAGATATAGTAAAAAAGATCTTAAGAATAGCATTTGTTGCCCTTGAAATAAGGTAAATTTTCAAATTTAATAGTAGATATCTGGGAAATGAGCCAGGTGACCCCCATAAATTCTTCCCTTGAAATATTTCTATTGTCATTAAAAAAGTATAAATAGTGTTGCAATTTAACAAGATTTATAAACATGTCAGTACTTTAAAGAATGGAGTGCATTAAAGATAATGATCAGTTTTCTGTTTATTTATTTTTTTATATTTTTATTTTTCAATTTTTCAACAAGCTACTCAGATTTTTCATTTTTGTTCAGTTTCAGTTTTGCTTTTTTACCCCCTATTTCTAGTCTTTAGAAAACAAATTTTCTTGATATGATGCATGTATTTAAGTTAAGGTGTGTATTGAAGAGATAAATTGGAATTTATTATAACTTTATTTCCATTAAAAACAAATGTAATATAAGAAAGAAAGAAATTGTCCCACAATGTGATAATTGTAATGAAATTAGAGCTTTACATAGTATGACTGATTCTATGGTTTTAATTTCTAGAATAAAGCAAGTGATACACCTAAGTTTAAGGGTGAGAAAGACCTGATGCCGGCCTCAATGAGAGTCAAAGATGCTGCTGAGGCCGTCCTGACATGTATCATTGATCAAGTGGTAAGTAAAAACTCTTAATTCTTTATTGGGAAAACAGCATATACCAGTAATTACAGCCCATGTTACACATAAAGTAGTACCTGCTCTCTTCCAATTTAAGATCCAATATAGATGGTTGCCAAAATTGGGTCAGTGTGATTTAAAACCAAATAGAAGAAAAAAATTCTTAAGAGAATTTTAAATTGAAATAATTTTATCAATTTTAAATAAATTAATAGGTATTGATACAATGTAGATAATTATCTGATATAATGTTTATTTACTGTTCAATAATAATTCAATGGTATTTTAGGGAGCATTTCCTCCACCATGTGGACCTGAGTCATTGTTCTCATTGCTAGATGAGAAGTCTCTGTTGAGATACGCCAAAGGAACAGGACTACCAGAACATGGATCACCATTTAGATACTTTGTCCTGGACAACTCAATCATTATCGGGCTTTTGGAACAACCACTAGGAAATTACGAAGGTGGGTAGTGTGTCTTGTTACTTTTCAAAACATTTTTCTTGTTTTATTGATATTTCATGATCAAACTATAAAAAATTTCTTTTTCGGAATTAGGGAATATTTTCCTTTTATTTCTTTGAAATACTGATGTTGGTGCTTTCAGATCCATTGCCAACAGTAACAGCTCTGATACGAGGTCCGTTTGGTCGACATGCTTGGACAATGCAACTTAGACATTCTCCCCGCACAAATAAGGTAAAATATATATTGCTCTTGTTCTACTTATTGGTATTTTTACTTAAACATGTTTTTCTTGTTTTTATTGCATATGTAGCTCATTTTCCTAGATTCTTTCTTGTACATTTTTTAGCTCGACTATTCGAAGAATATGAGAGCTATTGTAGTCGCCCTGGCGTCCGCGTCCGCGTCTGCGTTGGTTAAAGTTTTTTGTAAAGTCAAATATCTCAATTATTACTTAAGATATTCAATTGAAACTTACAATACTTATTTATAGTAACAAGGTACATCAGATTGACAAGTTGGATAACTCTGCCTACAATATTGACAGAATAATGCCCCTTTTTAACTTAGAAATTTTGGTTAAAGTTTTTTGTAAAGTCAAATATCTCAATTATTACTTAAGATATTCAATTGAAACTTACAATACTTATTTATAGTAACAAGGTACATCAGATTGACAAGTTGGATAACTCTGCCTACAATATTGACAGAATTATGCCCCTTTTTAACTTAGAAATTTTGGTTAAAGTTTTTTGTAAAGTCAAATATCTCAATTATTGCTTGAGATATTCAATTGAAACTTACAATACTTATTTATAGTAACAATGTACATCAGATTGACAAGTTGGATAACTCTGCCTACAATATTGACAGAATAATGCCCCTTTTTAACTTAGAAATTTTGGTTAAAATTTTTTGTAAAGTCAAATATCTCAATTATTGCTTGAGATATTCAATTGAAACTTACAATACTTATTTATAGTAACAATGTACATCAGATTGACAAGTTGGATAACTCTGCCTACCATATTGACAGAATTATGCCCTTTGGAACTTAGAAATTTTGGTTAAAGTTTTTTGTAAAGTCAAATATCTCAATTATTGCTTGAGATTATCAATTGAAATTTAAAATACTTATTTATAGTAACAATGTACATCAGTTTTGCAAAATTGCATAACTCTATCTGCAATATTTGCAGAATTATTTACCCCTTTGAAACTTAGAAATTTTGGTTAAAGGTTAACGGTCTTCAAAGATATTTACTTGAAACTTTACACATGCACTTAGGGTCATAATTGGAGGGTCATAATTGTATGTCACTGACCAAGTTCCATAACTCTATCTTGCATTAAGGCTGATTCATATCCCCTTTTCTACTTAGTCTCTGGTTAATGTTTACATGCAAGTTTTACATATCACAATAACTATTAAAGATATTTATTTAAAACTTCACATATGCATTTAGGGTCATAATTGTAGGTCACTGACAAAGATCCATAATTCTATCTTGCATTTAGGCTGATTTTCTCCCCTTTTTTCAACTTAGAAATTCATGGTAAAGTTTGCTTGTAAGCTGTTATCTCAATAACTACTGAAGGGTTTGTGCCTTTTTTTGGACAATTTATGCATTCATAATAATAAAGTAGTGATTTACTTGATAAAACATCTTAATAACAAGCCTTTGTACCTTTTCTGTCAAATTTATGTATTCATAGGTAATTAGTATTATTATACTCAATAAAAAACCCTTGTGACATTACCTTCCGAATAGTCAACCCAATTCTGTATAATTAGACTCTCTCTAAGGCCTATAACATGAATTTATAAAAAAAAATTAGCCCTTTTGTGAACTTAAAAAATTTAACAATATCAAGGCTCTTTTACTATCAAGCACTTAGAATAGTCGAGCATGCTGTCCTACAGACAGCTTTTGTTACTTACCTGAATTTTCTTGAAGCAACTTCATCTGAAACAGCAGTTGAGAGCATATTATATATTGTATTCAGTCATCACACAAGTTTTCACAGAAATACATGAGACACCTTGACTCAAAGTTGAATGGACTCAAACTGACAAATCTTAGATCATATAGACCATATTCATGCTCTTCTTACCAAGCTGGTAAGGTTGTTTTTACTTAAAGCCATGATAAAGGTGTTCTGTTAAGGGCATAAAGGTAAAGATATGCCTGATAAATAAGAAAAGAGTTTCCACCAGTTTTTCTTTAAGGTTAACAGATGAGAAGTCTAGGAGTGTGACTTCAGGCTTATTTATCAAAGTTTATATTTATGGCATTTTCTATTCACAGATGTCATCATCAAAGAGTCTTCTGTCAGATCCTCAGCGACCACTGCCAAATGAAAACATTGGTACACATCATACAGTAAAACACAAGTTTTTCCCAGATAGTGTCGACAAAATACCCCTTACTATGGCGTAAGTCATTTTTTAGCTCACCTGTCACAAAGTGACAGGGTGAGCTTTTGTGATCGCTTTTCGTCCGTCCGTCGTCCGTCCGTAAACTTTTACTTTAAATGACATCTCCTCATTAACCACTGAGCCAATTTCATCCAAACTTCACAGGAATGTACCTTTGATGGGCACCTTTAAAAATTGTTCAAAGAATTTAATTCCATGCAGAACTCTGGTTGCCATGGCAACCGAAAGAAAAAACTTTAAATATCTTCTTTTAAAAAACCGAAAGAGCTAGAGCTTAGATATTTGACATGAAACATCTTCTAGTGAGTGTCTACCAAGTTTGTTCAAATAAAAGCCCTGGGGTCAAAATTGGCCCCGCCCCAGGGGGTCATTGATTTTCCCTATATGCATATAGTAAAAACTTAAAAAATCTTCTTTTAAAGAACCCAAAGAGCTAGAGCTAAGATATTTAGCATGAAACATCTTCTAATGAGTGTCTACCAAGTTTGTTCAAATAAAAGCCCTGGGGTCAAAATTGGCCCCGCCCCAGGGGGTCATTGATTTTCCCTATATGCATATAGTAAAAACTTAAAAAATCTTCTTTTAAAGAACTGAAAGAGCTAGAGCTAAGATATTTAGCATGAAACATGTTCTAATGGGTGTCTACCAAGATTGTTCAAATAAAAGCCCTGGGGTCAAAATTGGCCCCGCCCCGGGGGTCATTGATTTTCCTTATATGTGTATAGCAAAAACTTAAAAATCTTCTTTGAAAAAACCCAAATAGCTAGAGTTTAGATATTAAGCATGAAACATCTTCTGGTAAGTGTCTACAAAGTTTGTTCAAATAAAATCCCTGGGGTCAAAACTGGCCATGCCCCAGGGGTTCATTGTTTTTAACTATATGTGTATAGTAAAAACTTAAAAAAATCTTCTTTTAAAGAACCCAATGAGCTAGAGCTTAGATGTTTAGCATAAAACATCTTCTTATGGGTGTCTACCAAGTTTGTTCAAATAAAAGCCCTTGGGTAAAAATTGACCCTGCCGGGGGAGGGGGTGGGGGAGGGCAGAGGTCATTGTTTTTTTCATTATATGTGTGTAGTAAAAAACTTAACATCAAGAAACATCTTCTAATGGGTGTCTTAAGTTTGTTCAAATAAAAGCCCTGGGGTTTAAACTGGCCCTGCTCCAGGGGCCTATATACAGGTGAGCGACCTCAGGGCCATCATGGCCCTCTTGTTACTAAAACTATTTTTTTTTATTTCTGTCACAAAAGATTTCTGTGACAGAATAGATATCATTTATTGTATATTTCCCCCGGTTGTTAAAATGTAACACCTGTATCTTCCAATAATCAATAGGTATTATATATATGTATGTATGTTCTGTTGACTTCAGGAAGAATGAAGAAAGACAATTTCTTTTGTCTCCCTTAATTTTTGAACAAAGAAAACTACAGGTCATACAAAAATTTGTTAACATGAATTTTTAACAATTTCTACTTACGTCTTAGATAATCAGTAAAATATGACACGCATTTATTTCCAAAATATTTTGCAACATTTATAGAGATAAAAGTATACCGACCCTAGACTCCCTGGTAACAGATGTTAAAATGGAGTCTGACCTAGATAAACTGAAGAGGCAGATTGAGCAGCAGACGCAGTTTGAAAATAACATTGCGAGGCGGAGTCAGGTGGAGGCGGCACGCAGGAAGACTCCGCCCATGGAGTGTAAACAACCGAAAGTGTGTCAAGAGTTCCAGACTGCCAGACTGTTTCTATCTCACTATGGATTTTTGTCACTAGAGGCATTAAAGGTTTGAATATACATTGGTGTAAGATACATTAACTTCAGCAAAGGAAAATATGTACAACAAATCACAAATGTTATGCAATAGAAAACTTGCTTCAAATGTTAAGGCTTACACAAAAAACTCTCATTCGAACTGTGGTATACTTAAAGTTTTGTTAAGCATTTATATACACTATAGTGTAATATCTTTAAGATGTTCTTTGTTGACTGTATGATTGTCTTCATGTAAAAAGTAATTTTTTTATGAAACATGTTCTCTTGTTTAATGATACTTTCATTTTGACATTATAGGAGCCTAGCAACTGTAGCCTTCCTCCAGCTCTAGTGATGTTGGACACAAGTAACACCAATTTATTCTCCGATATTGAAGCATTGGATAGTATACCTAGCAGAGATAGTGATACTGTTCATGTCTTCTATGTGAAAACTGGACAGAAACAGGCACAGGATATTGTCTCTAATGTTGTAAGTTCACTTTTACCTTGTTGTACCTCTTATATTGTATTTAGTCTTGGGAACAACATCAGATCCTGAGGCATGTTGCCTATGTACAAAACAAATTTCAAATATCATTTTTAATAAGTACAAGTTATCTGTTATCCAAACTATGTGTTGAACATAATTTCTGTTATCTTGTCAGCAAGTCTGTTGGCTTTCTGTAAGACATCTTCAGTATTTGCTAACATTTAGAAAGCTGCTTTTAATATATGATCCAATTCACCTGCTAGGATCTTCTGGTCCAGGGAAGTGAAAGAAAAGGTAAACCAAGGTATTTAAGAAAGTTAATCTTGGATGTTTTATTGTTTGCAGTCATCAAGAACAAGTGTTCAGCCTCAGTTCCTTGAGTTCTTACATTCACTTGGCTGGCCTGTAGATATAGGGAAACATGCTGGATGGACAGGACATGTAGCTACCAGCTGGAAAATCATGGATCAAGATGATGCTAGTGGTAAGTATGAGACTTGCACCTAAATTTCTTTACATTTCCTCAGTTGCTTGTGCCTGAAATAATGCATGAAGGGGCTCCTGAGGTTTTCCTCCACACCATAAGTAAAGCTTGAAAGTCACTGTATGATGTTAACAGCGTAGATGTATGTTAAAATCCATCGAAACAAGCGCCTGTACTCAGCTGTGTTTTAATTTTGGTATAAGAGGTTTTGATTTGTGTCAGTTTTATCAAGATTATGTCTAATTGATAGTCACTGTTCTTTTTAAGAACATAAATTAACTTCATAATGACAGGTTTAACTCATAAGAAAATAATGTCTTGTTCATCTATTTTATGTATGACAGATAGTGAATATCCTAGAGGTACTGGTGGAAGTGTATATGATGGTAGACAGCAGGTTTTATACTGGGCTGATGTTATGTCTGAGGTAGCTTTTGTTGTGCCATCTATTGACAGTTATAACAGATATCTAGCTGACCCTCAAGGTGGTAAGTGCTTAAACTTTCATAATTCTATTTTGCCAAATTCTATGTCTTCATTAGTATGACTTAGAGTGTTGAACCTTGAATTTTAATCCTTAGTTTGCTGAATATGTATGATGCACTGTAAGTTAGAAACTGAATGGATTTCAATTTTAAGGATTTCATGGTTAAGTTATAACTTTTAGAAACCAACAACATAGAGCCTGACTCGATGCTGGTGGCAAAGGGAAGTAATCATTACCATAGAACTTTGGGGAGTGATTATGTAACTTGCTGTATTTCTTAAATGGACTTATTCATCTTTCATTTTTTGAACTGTCCATTATCACTTTTGGTGAAATCAAGATGGTCAGTCATCAGTATAGAGTTTGATCAGACTGCCATATGTGAAGTCTATCCTGGCTGCAAAGGCTAATCATTTCCAGCAGGGAAAGGTTTAAAAATATATTCAGGATTATTATGTTCTATGCCCTAGGACTATTTTAATACGAATTGCAGACTGACCAAAATATATATGATAATAGCACATAGATATTTACATGTAGATCTAAGTATTGAATTCTTTTAAATAAACAAAGGACAGATCTTAGTTCAAAGAAGGACAAGCTCATTTCATAAATTTAATTGTGTAAAGGATTGATATACTGTATACACATACATGTTTCTGTATGTATCATTATACTGTAGTTGATTTAAATTTGCCAACCTTTACTATTAATTTCAGACAAGTCACCCCAATTTATGAAGAGGAGTTCCTCAGTAACCCTTACAAAACCGCGATCACTTACCCAGGAATCTGTTGACAGAATGCGCCTGGAGTCCCCTGGTTCCCCAACTGATGCCCCTATGATGAGGTCCAAGAGAGGACGACAACCGTTAATGATGGGACCAGATACCAAAATATTTGTTGTTTGGTTGGAAAACTTTGAAGACCATGAAAATTTCCCTTCTGGTAAATATATTTTCACTTTAATGTATATTTCAACAATTTATAAAGATTTTTTTTTTCTTTTGTGTGTTGGCCTTTAACCCATAAATATATCATGACACATTGTAAATTTGTTTTTAAGAAGGAATGCTAGCTGATAATACATCACAAGATGACAATTTCCAAAATTTGATTTCTTATCATTCTGCTTTTTACTGCTTTAAGTTTTTTGTGTTTTTTTTTTGTTCTAACAATGTAACCATAGTTTACGAAAATAATTTTAAATTTGAAGGAATAATGCTTTGCTAAACATCTTTGGACTACTTTTCTCTTAATTATATATGACTTTAATAAGGTGAATATAATTTAAAATTGTAACGAAAACAATCTGAAATGGCTACAAATGATTTTGTCAAAATTATAGTTGAGTTACTCGGTGTAACTAGCACTGGCCTGGAACACCACTCTACAAGCAGTTCACTGACATTACCTAGAGCACCAGAGAAAGACGTGTTTATAATCTTCATACATGCTCTACAGAATGGATTGTTCCGTATACATATGCAGGGACAAACTGGAAAGTAAGTTAATTCTTATTGCTTGTTTTGATGAATAATATCTTGGTGCTAGGGGTCTAGACAAAGTGGAATATTAAATTATTTGTATTCTTTTGATTTTCTTCAATTGTTTTTAGCGCATATGCCATGTTTAATTTAATTGAATTTATAAGATAGATTTTAGTGTAATTTTAATAAAGGCTCTGTGGCTGAGATGTTAAGGTTACTAAGTTATTTCAAATCACTTTCCACTCTTGGCTTTGGTGTTTTCCAATTAGGTTACAAATGGTTTGTGGTTACAATATATGTTTCTGCTTTTCCCTGAAATAATTCAACAATGGTAGCTTTGACTTAATCCACCAGTTAGCAGGAAAATGCCATTTGACCTTGAAAGTGTTGATGTGCAATGGGTGTCGAATTCTTACATGTACATTGTTGGCTTATACAAATTGGTGGTTCTACTGCAGAACCTGCTCAGGTGATACTTATGTATAAAATAATTCAAGGATTTCTCTTTTAGTAAGGCTAGAATGTCACCATATGACACTCTGGAGGGGTTTGAGGATGGTCATTGTCAACATCAGTCATGTCACTGAGTTAGAAAAGGGATTTTCCCACTTTTCTTCATAGAAAAGGCCATGATGTTAACTTTGACAAAGGGGAGCATCTGTTAATGTTGCTGATATTCTTGGTTGGATACAAAAAATAGATTATGTAGGGGATAGGTTGGATACAAAAAATAGATTATGTAGGGGATAGGGAAAAAATGCTTTTTTCAAAGTAGACTTTTTCTTCTTCATAGATTAACAATGGCTATTCCATTGGTTGATGGGATGGTTGTGAGCAGACGTTGCCTTGGTAACCTGGTCAGACAGACGGCTATCAACATTTGTAAGAGAAAACGTCTCGAGAGTGAACTGTAAGTGAATTCTATGATTTTAACTTTGTAAAACCATTTAATGAAATGGCATTGTATATAATAACATAGGTACTTTTAACTCATATATTTGTATCAAAAATGAAAGACTATTGACTTTGTCAGAACAGCACTTTGAAGATCAACTTCATAGTTTCAGTATTTTGATAACCCTTGCATTGATAATTCAAAACAGGATAATTCCACCTTAGTACTGTTTAAAAACTGTCAACATATTTATATAGCAGTTTTAAGCATAGGATATTCATATTGGATGTTTTAGCATAAAATATCTATAAAACACATGTTTAAAAGTTATTAATTAGGTAATCTTAGTGTAAAATTTCTACATAATGTGTAATATTTATGTAGGAAACTTAAACATAGAATATGATCTGTAAAACACATTGGTACAATATTTCTACAGGTATCAGCCCCCACATGTTAGAAGGAAGTTAAAGATCCAGGAAATGGTGAAGAATTACCAGATGAAAATGGATGCTCCTGATTTCTATACTGCCTTGTTCCAGGATGTGTGCAAAGAATAGTTGACATTTACTTAGATTTTTTTTCTGCATAAATTTAATGTTGATGAAATGAGACATTTTCAGTGCCAAGTCGGATGCATAGCTTTAGTTTGGCATCGGTTTTCTTCTTTAGTAAAGACAACAAAATAGAGACAGTAGGTTTTGAAATTTCAAGTATTTGCTCAGTGATATTTGCAAATACAGTCAAACTTTGTTTGCTCCAACTCAAAGGGCCTGTGCAAATTTGTTCGAGAGATTCTTGTTCAAGCCAACCAAGGTTGAACTATTATCATGTAGATGTTGAAATTGATGAAAAATGTCTGGATACTGTTACATTGCTAAAGATATTTAACCAAATTATCACAAAGTTAGAATTCTTTGTCTTGTGAAGTGTAAAACACCCTGTTTCATGAAATTTAAAATACACAAATTCAATACACATATCTTCCTATGCACTTGTTTATTTATTCAATAAACCAGTACTGGGCATTAAACTTGATTTGTTTGAACTGTTCTAGTCTGTTGGAAACTGTTAGCATCACATACCTGTACAACTATCATGTTTGAAAGACGAAATACACAAATGGCATATACATGTATTATGTATTAGAATATGAACATGGCATGTGTAAAATGTGCATTTGTGTTATATGTATAGACATAACTGATTTGTTAGATTTTTTTCTTATAGTATATGTTGAAATTCTTTTATGTACTGTGTAAACACAATAATGTATTTGATATGTTAACATGACAGTGTATTAGAAATGTAAACATGATTATGACTATGTATAATGCATGTGGCTGTAGCTCTATGACAATGTAAACATGGAAATAAGATAGATTTGATATAGCAAATGTATTAGAAATGTATACATTAGATACCAGGAATGTCCATGGTTCAGTTAAAAAAGTCCTCTTCAATTTGAATCCATGGTTTGAAATACCATAATCAGCATGGTTAAGATAACAGCTCTACATTAGAAACCATGGCTTGTGTAGCAACAATTTCCTTAAAAATCATGGTTTAATAACAATAATCCTATTTAAAAAGAAACCATGGTTTAAATTATAACAATCCTTTTAAAAAAAGAAACCATGGTTTATATAACTGAAGTCCTTTAAAATTAGAAAATGGGTAAAATATACAAAAACAACAAAGAAAAAATGTTTGTGTAGAAACAATTCTTTTAAGTTAGAAACCATGGCTCAGATTAGAGATGTTTATTAGGATATTTGTACATATTAGAAATTTGTTAGATATTGTAAAGTTTAGAATATTATGATAAGAGATTACTTTGTACATAGTTTTGTACATGAATTAAAAAAATCATAACCAAAAATAAAGTGCTAGAGGTTGATTTATAGTTGTTCATGTAGTAATATGTTTATAATACAATAGTTGAAATAGTTTTGCTAAATATGTTAATCTAATGCTTAGGAAAACAATCTTTAAAAAAACTCCCTTTTTAAAGAAAATAAAAGATTGTTTCATGATAAACTACTTTGGCAAGACAATTAACAAAATACTAGAAATGTTTGCCAATTAACATTATGTTAACATAGTTTGAGTAGATTGTTTATGTTATTATATTATGTTATAGCAATTTTATTTTGATTTAGTGTATAAACATATAAATAGCAATTTATTATTAAAACATACATGTATTTGATCAATCAAAAAGGTGCAATATTTGTTAATGTTTTAACTAACTTGAGAAATAAAAATGGAAATGTTTTTATTGTTATAATTTATTGTAATGTAAACCAAATGGTTAAAGATCCCTAAACGCTCAAAATCATGTTCTGATTTCTTAAAATAGAATATACCATTACAAAGGGCTTACCACAAGCTTGCTAGAACTGATAGTGACTAACCTTTGCCACCAGTATAGAGCCAAGTCGGTCTACACCTATACATTCAGTCTGAACAAGGTCTGTACTGTTGATATCTCAATTTTGAGCTTGTCTGTTTCAAAGAAAAAGTGGAGCTATTATGATTGCTGTGCCTTAGTTGTTGTTGTTGTCGTGCAAAAACTTTAAATTAACCCATTATTCAAACATTTTAAAAGTTACATCAACATGAAACTTTGAGTACTTGTTAAGCAGCTTATGACAAGGTGCAGTTGTTAGACAAGGGACATAATTTTGCAAGCTATATTTTCGGAACTATGCCCCTTTTTAACTAGAATTTTGTCAAACTTTGTTATTGATAGTTGTTGCCCTTAAAAGATGAGTGTTAACAGGGCATGGGATGCTCTTGTAAGTCTTGTATTATGATATGGAAATCCCTTAAATTTCAAATGAGCCGTGTCACGACAAAACCAACATAATGGGTTTGCGACCAGCATGGATCCAGACCAGCCTGCGCATCCGCGCAGTCTGATCAGGATCCATGCTGTTCGCTTACAAACCCTATAACAAGTAGAGAAACTGATAGCGAACAGCATGGATCCTGATCAGACTGCTGGTTTTGTCATGACGTGGCTCAAATGTATTATTCCAAATTCAAAGCTGACCATTGCACCACTTCATTACATTCTTTCTCATGCAAAACACAACCCACAGAATTATCTAGGCAATATAGAGGTCAAATGGTGACCTTTCAGCTGAAGTGGTGGAGGAAGACATCGGGTGCCACATTGTGCATTATTTTAAGTATGAACACCTTAGTAGAACTAGCAATGTTCTGAGAGCTACCATCAAAAAATTCAGCCTGGAGGGATTCGAACTCACAGCAGTGGGGGCCAAGTATGATTTAAAGTGAAATACTTTAATCACTTAGCCACAGCAAAAGGTAATGACTGTGTAAAGTTAATATCAAATAAATGTTAACAATTTTGCTTGGGCAATCTTCCCTCTTTGTAATAATTATTGAGTGAATCCAGGGTTTAACATTTTTTGGAAAATTGTTTACTAACAAGAATCTGGGCTGGGGGCATATGTGTTTTCCAAACATACATTCTTCTTAAGAAACGGGTTTAAGGCCTGTTATTTTACAAAAAAAAAAGTACATTAGTGAACATATGTGAAAACAATAAATAATAGATATATGTATGTTTGTACATGCTTATTCAACAGTTAAGAATTTAAGGAATACAGAATATATCTGCAAATGTTGAAAGAGCTGATAGAAAAAAGTTTATTATACTAGATGTATTTTTATCCTTATACTTTATTTGGTTACTTTTTAATAAAGCACACACTATTAAATTTTCATTTTTTAATAGGTACATTGTATTCATCTTTTCTCTGTGACCCTAGTCCATGGTCTTACTAGTACAACACTAACTCAGTTCCTATATCCATGGTCTATATAAAGTCAGTATTTGCCTACAGGGTAAGTAAATCGTCATTGATAAGGTCTCCCCAAACAGGCAATTATACACTAAAATAGGTAAAAGTAAAAAAATTGATGGCTGGCCTTTTGTGAGGTGTTTCCTATATTAAACATATTTTTTATAGGGCCTGCTTTATTCAAGTGATTCTTTCACATGTATGTAGATGGATCTTACATCTATGTTTGACTGAATTGTAGTTTTTCAAACTTATAAATATTCATTTACAGACCCTGCTTGATGAAATGTTTAAAAATGTGTTTTGCAAAATTTTGCAGAAGTCACTACTTTTATAACTTAGAGACATTTCTGCATACTTTCATGGAGCACCTAAATATCTGTGATACTTCATAATAAGAACTTAGGTTATTCACATTTTACTAATAAAAGCTGTGTAACTCGAGAACAATCTTAAGGTTTCATAAAATGAAACACAAATCCGTAGGCGTGCTGCTTTAAATGCTCTCCTGGCACGGGACGGAATTCTTGACACTACAAATGGCGTAGTTTATGTGGGATTACTTCCCCTTATCAGATGTTTACAAGGTCGCCGTAAAAATGTTAACCCACATTTATAAAGCTGGGCTTTTGGGCAAATTCCGGAAATTGACAGTTGCAACATCATGGTATCACAGTAAATCTGGTGTTTATGGTCACAGACCACAAGAATCTTCATCGCAATTCCATGGTGAGTTTTCCAAATTCCTAATTACTGCGTCAAACGGTGAAATGTCATTTTATCTACCTGGTTAATTGTGCCATTGTTTTAGCGAAGTTTTTGTAATTACATATTTAATTTCAAACGAAATCAGTGATATACCACCCTTTGTGGTTGCATATCAGGCACTTTATTATTGTCTCTTGCAAAAGCGTTCAATGTTAACAACATTGGAGGTGTGTCTCTTTTCTTGAGTGTGATTGGCTCAACTTGGAGGTGTGACATGATGCAGTGGTACCTGGTAATGTTTCACTTGGGCAGTTATACTTGAAATTTGTGGTGAAGGTAATATATATAGCCATGCAATTAAACAGTTAACTCTCAGATTCTTTGAATCGCGGATGTAAAAGAAAATCCTGTAATTTACACCCTATATATACATGCACTTTTCTTGGGACATAACATGAACATCCCATCCCACAATTAAACATTAAAAACATTATTAAAATACCATGGTGTGACCTTTGCCAAAAATAAATCTGGACCCAGCATATAAATAATGCAACATCCAAAGCAAACAAGCCAACCAACCCACATTATATTAAAAGAAACATAAACAGTTAAAACAGCAAATTAAAAAAATAATTAAATTTAGAGACAGCAATTACAATTAGACCAGAGGTAGAATACAATTAAATTATTATTCACGCCTATCAGAAACATCTTGCCTATAAAGTTTAAAGTGTACAGAGTGTTGCAGTCAGCCAGGTATGTCTTTAATAACTAAATTTCACCACTGGCATCACCAATATGTTAAAAGAACTATTTAGGAAAACTTTATAGCAAAGAATGTTCCATAATACACAAATACATGTATTTTTATACAAAATTATAGCTAAATCTTTGTAGATCATAATTACAAAGTCCCCATCCCAAACTCAAATTTCTTCATACCCCACAGTCTCTTCCCCAGTACCATCTTGACTGAGACCTTCCAGAGAATTATTCTCCCCTGGATAACATCAAATCAAGTCCCAGCCTTAAATATCTTTTAAACAGTCTTTTATTTTCAATATTTGCACTCTTTTATTTTATCTCTTATACAATGCACCCATATACAAATATTATATAATATTAGACTAATTCTGTTATTTTGCTGACAGCGCTAGCATTTCCATGTCATAATTTTAATTGATGTTTGGAAGTGTCAAATAGAAGAAGTAGAAGTAGAGTTAATGAAATTTTAAGAGCAGGATCTAAGTTGCACTTAACACAAGGTCTTGAAATGGTTTTAATCAATGAACTATGAATGCCATTGTAGTGGCCAAGCAGAGCCTTGTATTGATAAGCCTGCCTGTGTGTACTGATAAGCCTGCTTCTGGCTAGCCTGTGCATGTATGTTTATATATCAGTTATTGTCGAGTCTGTGGTTGTGAGAGTATCTGAATGAATGCAATAAAGCTATATTAAACCATCCCGTTTTGGGTCTGTTATATATACAACGCTGACAACATTACAACCATTGAAATGTTACTTTAGTTGAATTTTACAGTAATCATTAGGCCAAAACCTACTTCTCTTTTTACAGTTAGACCAGGAAAAGTGAACGAAATGTTGTGTAATATGATATGCTCTCTCATTCTATCTATTCATGTGGGTTTAACTCAATGTATAGACTTGTCTCTTTGACACCAGTTAGATAGAATGCTTTGACATTTGTAGTTAGAATAAAACTTGTGTATATTCAATGGTGTTCTGGTGATAACCCAAGACGATAGTACTAGTGATACTGTTGCTAATATCATTTGAATTTCCATTACAAAAACATGTTTATAAAAATTTAGTGGTACTGAGAAGAAAATAAGAAATGGTAATAATCAATGGTAACAGATCTGTAATACCGCTTTAATTGTAAAGTGGGATATTTCCCCAGAAAGTTATGTTTTATCAAATAACAGATCCTTGTTTTTCTAGGTGAAATATTATAAGGAGATATACATGTATAATATTGCTTGCTTCAAAATGTCCTGATATAACATTTTTTCTTCAAAAATGATGCCACATTGTTTAAAAGATTTCTATTTAATATTATATTCAATTTCCAGCGTTAGCTGTTGGAGACAGGTAAAACACATATTTTAGTTTTAATATAAGAGGAATATTATAACATTTACAAAATAAAGGGACTCCACTGAGTTTTTGACAAAGTTTTTTAGACATGATTTGACTGAAAATATTTTTTCAAGATTTTTGTTTGAATACTAGTTTATTACGACAAGGTGCAGTTGTTACATGTTTGATTGGAATGTTTTTAGAGTTATTCCCCTTTTTACTTAAGCATTTTTAACAGACAAGTGTTAACACTGCATGCTGTGCTTATGTTATATTATTACGTTTTAAGTGCCCCTGATGATCTATGTAAGATTTTCAAATTTAATATGTTATTATTAGTCTTTTGAACCTCAGTGGATCTCCTTTAAAATCAGTCATATCTAGAAGATTTTTTTACAAGTTATCATGTAACATACTATATTAAACTAGTTACACATGTTAATTTGCTTTTAAAATTCTTTCTTTAATCATTTACTTCAGTTAAAGATAGTCATATTCAAAACAGAATACAGAACAGTAATGTATACAGACTTGTAGAGGCTTACAGAACACATGGTCATAAGAAAGCCACTCTAGATCCACTGTACTTGCAACAAGAAATGTAAGATATTCTTAGATTTTATCATAAAAAACATAAAGCATTTAACAAACACATGATATAATCTTTTATAACTGACAATCATTCTTTAAAGTCTGATAGTGTTATTTCCCAACTTTGTGTTCAGCGTAGTTTAAAACGTTTAGGTCCAAAAGTTAAACCTTTACTCTGCTTGAACCCAAAGTGATTAGCCTTTGCTGCCAGTATAGAGCCAGGCCAACCTATATGTCTGTGCAGTCTGACCAGGCTCTATACTGTTTCCTACTGAATTTAATCTTTCATCTCCCAAAAATTGGTAATGAAGGGTTGCAAAAACCGGAGCTGGACAAGTCCAATATAGAATGTTAGGGGTTAAATCTGTCAAGGCTAGCAGTGGTAATGACTTGCCTGTGGCACCAGTATAGGTCCAACAGAGCTTGTAAATTCACACAGTCTGACTAGACCCTATACTGTCATCTGCTATACTGTTCCTTACTGGAATTTAGCTTTTATATTATGAACCTTTTAAATAATAAGTGACAGTTCCAAATTTAAAGCAGAACATGTCCATTTTACATATTGAGTTGATAGCAAAACTGAAGCAAGTCCTTTATTAGCTCGACTATTCGATAAGAATAAGTAGAGCTATTGTAGTCACCCGAGCGTCGGCGTCGACGTAACCACTTATGTTAAAGTTTTTGTAATAGTTCAAATATTTTCAAAGTCCATTGACATATGGCTTTGAAACTTTGCACACTTGTTCACCATCATGACCCCAACCTGTAGACAGGAGGAGGTAACTGTATCAAGCATTTTGACAGAATTATGCCCCTTTTTCGACTTAGAATTTACGTTAAAGTTTTTGTAATACCTCAAATATTTTCAAAGTCCATTGACATATGGCTTTGAAACTTTGCACACTTGTTCACCATCATGACCCCAACATGTAGACAGGAGGAGGTAACTCTATCAAGCATTTTGACAGAATTATGCCCCTTTTTCGACTTAGAATTTATGTTAAAGTTTTTGTAATAGTTCAAATATTTTCAAAGTCCATTGACATATGGCTTTGAAACTTTGCACACTTGTTCACCATCATGACCCCAACATGTAGACAGGAGGAGGTAACTCTATCAAGCATTTTGACAGAATTATGCCCCTTTTTCGACTTAGAATTTATGTTAAAGTTTTTGTAATAGTTCAAATATTTTCAAAGTCCATTGACATATGGCTTTGAAACTTTGCACACTTGTTCACCATCATGACCCCAACCTGTAAACAGGAGGAGGTAACTGTATCAAGCAATATTTTTTACTATCAAGCACTAAGAATAGTCGAGCGTTGCTGTCCTACCGACAGCTCTTGTTTTATATAAGTTACTGCAGTTCTGCCATCAACCCTCGATATTAAGTAGTGTTGGAGTTAGGTGTGAAACTTCTAGTCCTAGAATGTGTTTCATACTATTGCCGGTATGTATGGTCTTCTATAATATAGTCTTTAAAACCTTGATTTGAAAATAGCGTTACTGTAAATGTTACGGTTGTTACTTTATTTATCAGTGATCCCCATGAGCTAGCCCCTGAGAGATATGGATTAACAGAGAGTCTACAAGTAAATGTTGATGGACTATTTTTTGGGGGCGGGGCTTCCCAGTCCATGTCTGTCACAGAACTTATTGGTCGATTGGAGAAAGAATACTGTGATACAATTGCAGCTGAGTTCCAGCATTTAAGGGTAATAGTTTAAAATTGTTCTTCATATATAGATTTTTTTTAATTTTGATTTCAAACAAACAAGTAGTCTGTCTATGTTTCTCATGGATTTTCTATGTTTCTCATGGATTTTCTGTTTCTCATGGATTGTCTATGTTTCTCATGGATTGTCTATGTTTTAGTAGGGTGACAATGGGCTATTTAGGGCTTTATTTACAGGGGGTACCCGACCATAAAGACTAACAAAACTTGTTATATATCAAAATGTTCGACAAAGTCTGAAGTTCTTGAAACTGTCGGCATAAATTAGCATAAGTCACTGCGTTTTCCAGAATCCAAGATGGCCGCCAAGAAAACAAAAATGCCCAACAAGAGTTAGGTTGGTTATAGGGTGTCCATTAAGGTTTTTAATTTTGTTTTTATTGATTATTTTATAAGAACAGACATAAATCTTGACACATATAAGCTTTTTTAAGATTAATATCATATTTTCAAGATTTTTGAGAGCCGAATTTCCAAAAATGACATCAAATAATGGGGGTGGGGGTTCTATTTTTGTCTACATTTCAAGTTTTATGCAATAAACTGTATACTTTTCAGGTTTTAACTTTAATACAGTGACCATCAAATAAAAATTCAAGCAATCTGGTATGAATTTATTGTCAGTTTTCATTTTTTAAGCGTTTAAGGTAAGTAATGTAGTTTTTCTAGCCGATTTCCGAAAATCTCGCATAATTACAAGGTAAGAAGACATACAAATAACATATTCTTGGTAAGTACTGATTTTGTTATTTTACATGATTTAACAGCATTATTGAATCATATCAAGGCTGTTATTAATCCTTCCTTCATTCCCCCATAGTAAACAGGTATAGGATAATATTGAAGGGGTAATATTTACTGCTGCACCAAAAAGTTTAGTGGGAGGGGAATTCAAAATTCAACATGTGAAAACAATCATATTTAGTCCAAAATTTTCCCACAATGAATTAAAACAGGTAATAAGTGACCTGCAACTTTGTTTAATGATTGTATTTAGATGTGAATTCTTCAAAACAAAATACAGCAGAAACTAAATTTAATGTTTTTTCTTCCCTGTCAATGACATTGAAAAAGTCAGTGCACTAGTCAACGGTTTTTAATAATATCTGTATAAATATATACTAATATATCTTGATTATGATGTTTTTTTTCTATAACATTATATTTTATACAGTACATATAAATTCATGAACAAAAATCTATTCTTTAAGCAGTTTATGAGCAACTCAAGATCATATACTCTCTGGCAAAGATTTTGACGGGGCCCTTCGTGCTCTTATCATGATTGATGAAGTGTTAAGCCAGAGATTTTTGTTTCAGTTCTACAGATGGGGGCAGCAGAAATCACAGCTAGTGCCAGTATCACTTTTGCAGAAACTTCAACAACTTGATGTGAAGTCAGCTGATACAAGTCTTCTCCAGGAGACCACAGCACTTTTAGAAACCCACATGGTTCCTCTCATGGAAGTATTTCGTCACCAAGGTAGGACTGAATCAGAACGCTTCCAATTCTGGGATGACTACTTGATGAAAGTCTCGAAACCTCTGAAACTGTACCTAGCTGCTTCAAGGCATGGTCTTTGGGATACCTTTCATTACTCAAAGTCACTGCTACTACCATTCATGTTTGCAGCAAACAGAACAGTATATGCAAGATATATGCCTTATATGCTGTTGAAGATGAATCGACTGCCAGATGCCATACTCAAATCCTTCAAGAAAGGTAATTTGTTGCCAAATTGACAAAAGGAGTATTCAACTCTGTATGGATCGACTATGTCCTGGAAGTGATGGAGAATAAGGCACTGAAGTCTTCAGGTGGCATAATTGGCCTCACACACAATGACAGTGCCCTGTCTCGGTGGTTCCTATCCAGACCAGTTACAGCTAAGTATGCTGTTGAATGTTCGTCTGCTGGAAAGACTCCAACAGTGAAACATCACACAGACACACCTTTCCACATGAGTGCATATAACGAAGCTGTCAGAAACATGCTGAGTCTGTTTGAAAACCAGGTCTTCGTAGACCCCTTTTGCCTGACTGATCCACCGGATACTCTGGTAAACTTCGCTACAGGTGTTGCAGCAGAACCTGAAGTTGCTAGTAGTCTTCTTAACTGTCACTCTACTGGTATGTCGATGTTAACAGATTTCGTGCAAGACAGGTTTCAGGTTGAAGGGAGACCAGCGCCGAAGAAGAATTTCTTCGATCCAATCCCAAGGGCAAACATAAAGACCATGAGCTCAAGAAAGGCAAGGACCATTCGCATGAAAGCCAAATATATAACCGTTAATGGCGAAGAAATGTACCTCCGGCTGCTGGCAATCAACGCCTATAAGAGAGTGCCACTAGAACGTGTCATGTCATTTGAGAATGCTCCTGTCCCTCTTAGTTTATTTCATGATGATGGCTCAATGACTTCCATCAAAAAGTCTGACTTTTTGGAAAAACTTTAACAACTTGCAGAACCTGAAAACATTCCTAGAAATATGCAAAGAGTAGATTGTATTGTTTTCGATGGAATGGCAATTATTCAATTACTTCAGCCACCAACAGGTTCAAAACCTACATACAAGCAAATGGCAGACAGCTTCTGGACATATATAATTTCTGGATGTCAGCAAACAGCTCAAGTCCATGTAGTCTTTGATAGATATGAAGAAAACAGTCTGAAAATGCAGACACGGCAAAAACGTGGAGAGAGTGCTTCAGCCTCAGCCATAACAATCCAACCTAATATGGTGATTGGCGACTGGAAAAGGGTGCTGACCAGCAGCAAGTGTAAAAGCGAGCTAACAAAAATGTATACAAGGCATTTAACAGAAAATTGCCATACCCTGATTGCTGAGGGCATGCAACTGTTTGTCTCTGGTGGGTTACAGCAGAAGACTCTATTGGTTACAAACAAGGCAGTTTCATATGTTGGTGGCCTTGAGTCAAACCAAGAGGAAGCTGATAGCAGAATGTTGTTCCACTTGGCACATGCATCGGCAACATTAAGGATCAAGAGTGCAACAGTGGTAAGTCCAGACACAGATGTGTTTGTTCTACTGGTCCACCACTATGATAGTCTGGGAATAGAAGTCGTGTATTTCAAGACCGGCAGAAAGGGTTTGTACTGTAACCTTACAAGATACATACCAGTGCATTTGGTGTACAGAGCACTGAATCCCAACGAAAGAGCCGTTCTACTTCCAGTTTATTGTATCACAGGGTGCGACACATGTTCCTCCTTCCATGGAATTGGGAAGAAGAAAGCTTTCCATGTTCTGCGCAAACATTCACCACAACTGACAAGCCTAGCAGACTTGGGTCAGCTGCCAGAAATATCTTCTGAAACAAAAGCTGCAGCCATTCTCTTTGTTGGTTTGCTCTATGGGCAAACATGTTGCACATCTCTGAATATCCTACGCAAAGAACTTGTCTTGGGTAAGGTTAGAGTCAAGCCGAGAAGATTGCCACCAACAAATGACAGCATGATGTTACACTTACTAAGATGTGCATACCAGCTGTTCATTTGGAGAAATGCTTTGAACCCTCAGCCTGAACCAGATCCACTAGAATGTGGGTATGTGACTGACAACAGGGGCTTGTACTCGCCTCAACTCATGTCACAACCGTGCGCACCACCAGAGCTTTTGAGTGATATGGTATGTGCTTGTGATGACCATTGTAGTGAGGAATGTATCTGTCAGGAAAATGAACAACCATGTACAACAGCATGCAGCTGCAAGGGTACACTACAAGATTCTGATGACATCTGTCAAAATTTGTTTACAATGCTGGCAAGTGTCTCTGCAGATGATGAGATCGAAAACGACATCTAGACCTATACTACTATGATTTTTGCCTAAGCACATTGTTAATAGTTAGTAGAATATAGCTATTTGTGCTTTGTTGAAGTCTATAACTGTGAACTTTGCATAATTAAGTTGTGTCTAACAGTAAGGAGAAACATTGTTTGTACTTATATTGTATGTTCTGCCAATCTGTAGCTTTTATCCTAGTTTTGTTTATATTCAATATGTTGATCAGGATGAAAATAACCACCGCAGCTTTTAAAATGTCAAATGATGAAATGTCAGACTTGAACATTTGAGTGCAGTTGTTTTGATCACTTCATATACTAAAGTTTGGACATTGATGTGTTTTTCTGCAAATATTTGTTTTATTTAAGAATAGCTTTAGCCTGATCTTAGCCAATGGCAAGCTGTGCAGAAAATTCTTGTCAACATGCTAGTTTTGTATTATATCTACAGTATTTATTCGGAAAAGGCCAAAATCTGCATTAATAACCATGTTAAGCATAGTTTTGCTTAACAGTCATGATGATTTTATCATACAACAAGTTATGCTTAAATATGTGCTTATGTTAGCTTAACAGTGTAAAATGATATATGTTGCATTTATTCACTTTTTGTTCCGTTTGCAAATTTATATATATAATACTATACATTATAACAGTTTTTTGCAGATAAAACGCCCCAACCACATAAAGATCATAAATATTGTGAATGTTGATAATGAATGTGTTACAAAATGTTTGAAATAGTAAGTATTATATACTACTGAAGTGTTATAAGTAAAAATAAACTGCATGTATTGTCCACATCTTGAAATATTTACGAAAATATTACTCCTACCCCCTGATTTTCACGCAATTTTTGGGTATTTTTCACCAAAAAAATCGCAAAGTATGATATTAATCTCAGAAAAGCTTAAATATGTTTAGATTTATGTCTGTTCTTATAAAATAATCAATAAAAACAAAGTTAAATGCCATAAAGGACACCCTATAACCAACCTAACTCTTGTTGGGCATTTTTGTTTTTTTGGCGGCCATCTTGGCGGCCATCTTGGATTCTGGAAAACGCAGTGACTTATGCCAATTTATGCCGGCAGTTTTAAGAACTACAGACTATGCCGAACATTTTGGTATATAACAAGTTTTGTTAGTCTTCATGGTCGGGTCCCTTGTTTTTGAGGGCCAGATTGTCACCCTACCATTTTTCATGGATTGTCTATGTTTCTCATGGATTGTCTATGTTTCTCATGGATTGTCTATGTTTCCAATGGATTTTCTGTGTTTCTCATGGATTGAATTGGAAATGTTTATGGAAAGTTTACATTCAAAAGTTTACACCTTAGAAAGTAATTGTGCAACTCAACCTTTGTTCTGAATAATGGAAATAAACCATGTTGTTTAACATTATTAAAAATTATGATTTATTTTTAATCAGTTGCCCATAGGTGAAACAGGCTCATTTTGGACATTTCAGCTATAGTTCCCCTACATGTACATTGATTTAGAGATTATTATTATGTAAAGAATATCTTGTTGTATTTCTTCATTTTCTGGCATATAGACAGAGGAAGAGAGAGAATGGTTTTCTGAGGCATTTGAAACGAAACATCAAATTGATCTTACAAATGATAGAAGAATAGGCCTTGCCAATCTCATGCTTAAATCACAGGTCAGTTAATTGTAACATGAACATAATTAAGATTATAATATATAGATGGACTTCTGCAGCTTGTTGTTCATACCTGCCATTGTTCATCATCATCATCATTGTTCATCTTTCATCATCATCATAATTATTATCACCATCATCATCATCTTATTCTTCTTCTCCTTCTTCTTCTTTTTCGTCATTTTCATCATCATCATCATCATTTCAATTGTTCATCATCATCATTCATGGATCATCATTGATTATTGTGATCATGATTGATAATCATCATAATTGTTTATCATCATTCATCATCATCATTTATCATCATTGCCATTATTGATCATCATCAGTCATCATGGATTATCATCATTGTTTCAGTGCTTCATCATCATTCATCATCATCATCAATAATTTGGTGATCATGATCGATAATCATCATCATTGTTATCATCAGTGAATGACAGCATTTTACCCAAAAGATGCTTGATCGATAGTAAAAGTAAAATATGCTTTCTTGTTTTGTTATAGGCATTTGATCACTTTTTGGCACAGAAGTTTACTACATTAAAGAGATATGGGGGAGAGGGTGGTGAAAGTATGATGGCAGTATTTGATGAGATATTCAGAAAAAGTGCAGAAGGTAATGTCTTATAGGCCAGGGTAGTAAATCTGTATACATGTTGAAAAATTCCATTAGAGCAAGCAGCATTATATAATTATTATTAATAATGTTATTATTATCATAATTATTTTACTTTTTCTGTTGTTGTTGTTTACTCTGATCAGATTGCATAGCATTTTTATCTAGCTTACTTGTTGTAGAAAGACAACAACAACAACAAAATGCTCTTACATTCTTTATTTCTGACAAAATTGGTTTGTGAGCACCTGTGAAAAACACTAGTGGGCAGTATGAACTATGATCTGAGTTAGTTATTTCATGGCCTATCTGATATTCTTTTTTAAGTTCATCTTGTACATATACATTCTACATATACATGAACTTACATTTGATAAAAAATATACCACAGTTATTCAAGATTAAGTATGTACTATTATACACAAAAAATGTACATTATCATTGTTATATATGTGAAGGTCATAACTATTTGTCTTAGTATATTCTTACTTTTCTATTCACTGTTTCAGCTGGCATAGAGGAAATAGTGATCTGCATGCCACATAGAGGGCGCCTTAACTTTCTTACATGTCTACTTAATTATCCACCAATTAGAATCTTCCAAAAGGTATATACATGTAGTTACAGAATTAATCAACATGCTTGTTTCCATCATGGTTGTAGAGATTAACATTCAGTTATTCATGATTAGATGCTTCATAATCTGATTTGATTCGTACATCACTTACTGTTATAAGAAATGAGAAGTTTTGATGCATTTTTCCCATCATTTTTGCCTATCTACTTGCATTCTCCAGTCTTAAATAAGATTGATTTTGCCAGTAATGTATTATGTCTGTTTCAGAATTTGATCAAATTTCTCAGAGTTGACTAATTCAAAGTTCAAAATGCTATTTAAAGTCTTTATACCACAATATTACATCATTCATGAATTATTAAAAGTAACATGTCATAAATTATTTCTTACACATTGCTTGTAAGTTTTAACAAAGTTAATGTACAAATCTATAATTATTTCAGGTTTCAGGTATATCAGAGATACCTGAGGGATCAAAAGGGACTGGAGATGTAGTGTCACATTCATGTAAGTTATTGTAATGTTAAAATTATTTGTCATGTCACATTATGCCAGTTACTTATAATGAAAGTTTCTTATTCTGTACCGTCACATTTTTGAAAGTAATAATAAAGTCTCAATAAGCAGAGGATATTGAATGTATTTACAAATATAATATTCAATTTATCATATATACAAATAAGATCTGTTTACAGAAAATAAGAGCCATTTTCTTTAAAGGGCTTAAAGGTGTGATGCTACCATGTAGTTTGCCTTTACTCTATGTTTGTGTAATGCTTATGTTGTCACATCAAAATATATATGCAAAGCCGATTCTTTTGTATGGAGTCACAATAGATAGCAGGACTGGTAAATGATAATACACATAATTTATATTACATAATATAAGTTATTATAGCGTTATATTTATGTTAGTTAGTGTACTAACATGTTCCTGCACTTTTCTGTAATGATGTGTCTCTAATGTCAAATTTTTGCCAGTTATTGTAATGTCATAATCGTATATGACTCTGTTTTCTCTTTTTTAACCAAGTTAAGTAGCAAACAAACAACTTTGATGATTGTGTTTTGTATAAATATCTTTCTCCGATATGCTAAGGTGTTATGATAACAAGTTTGAATTAAGTTTATTAGGTAATGTATTGAATTTTACAGATACATCAGTAGATCTGGAATATGAAGGGAAGAAATTGCATGTTTCATTTCTACCAAACCCATCACATCTTGAGGTAAATATGATTACTGTTGTTTATTATTTCCTCTGTTTAAAATAACCTCTAAAAGCCAAATAGAAAATTTGAAACATTTTCTTTGAAATGGTAAAGCTTATATTATGTCTCCTTAGATGACAAATCAGTCAAAGAAATTAATGTCCTTTTAATAATTGTATTTTCTCTTACAAAATTGTAGGCAAATAATCCCGTTGCTGTTGGAAAGTGTAGATCTAAGCAGCAGACATTACAAGAAGGAGATTACAGTAGAACTGGAGAGTCAAAACAAGGGGACAGAACTCTATGTCTACAAGTTCATGGTGATGCTTCATTCTCAGCGCAGGTAAACTGTCTCTGATTCTTTCTCTTTTTATATGACAGGTTGAAAAAGGGGACATATTATGGGAACCAGCAGGTGGGCAGGTGGAGTCCAATTTTGTCCGAAGCATATCTCATACACACATGGAGGAATTTTAATAAAACTACATAGAAATGTTCACCACTATGAGAAGCCATGTCACAAGCATTGAACCAGGTCTCTAGGTCAAAGATAGAAAAAAGAAAATATGTAAAGGGACCTGCTTGCTTGCCATACTTCTTATCGCTCACAAAGCTTTTGTGACAGGCGTATTTTGTGACAAAGTCACCCTTGTTCTCTATGTATAACTGTGATGTAATACTTATTCATTGGGTTTTTTTTATGATACTAGAATATTACCATTTTGTACAAGGTTTGCTGTATTGGTTTCCATAAACAGTTAAACGTAAACTCTTATAATTGTTATTTAATACTGCCGAAGAAAACTATGTACATCTGAAAATAATACATTGATTGTAGTCAAATCAAATTGGCTAAGAAGCGAGACTTCAGATGTAGGATTCCAGAGTTTGGGTTGTTTTTTATTTTCGCAACATAAGAACCAAACAGTTTTTTTTCCTATCACATTTAATTATGGATTGATTTCAACAGTAATTCTGACAGATAGTTGAAATATATTCCAAAGTAAAGATTTAAACAAGTTTTGAGAAATATACTCTAATATGCATAAAAGCCCAACTTACATAGGTTGAATAACAAAGCTACAAGAAGCAGGCACAAAGTCAGCATATTACGTTCACTACACGAGACATGAACATGAATACATGTATTTAAGGAAAATAACATTTAAGAAAGAAAAAAAAACAGAAACAGCATTACACATTGTACTAAGTAACATAAACATAGAAACTTAAAGCTTAAAAAACTTAAATATTTGATTTAAAAAGGTAAAGTGTCAATGATATTTTACATGTATTTCAAGAAAAAAAGTATTTGTTTAGTAATAATAGGTTAATTATGTTTCTTTTTACTTTTAGGGTATAGTAGCAGAAACATTTTGTATAGCAGAATGTCCACATTACAATGTTGGTGGTAGTATTCATTTCATAGTTAACAACCAGATAGGGTTTACAACAGAGGCTGCTAGAGGGAGGTAAGTAAGATATCTTAATGTATGACAGAGTTATGCCAGCCTGTATATTCATGTGGTAATTGTGCCGTCTGACAAACTGTACTTGCAGCATGGTCTACTTAACTGCTTGCCTACTGAATTTGCAGCCTGGTATGCTGAACTATGAAATCTGATCTGCCAACCTATTACTGTTTGCTGCAGAAATATGTTAATATTTTGAAATTCCAAAAACTGCCAGTCAATAGTTCCAAAATAGAGGCTGATCTAGTCAATTACTCTAATACAGAAGATGTATGGTTAAGACACTGCCTCAATTTTGCACCAAGCATAAAGCTTATATATTAACAGTATGAATTTAAAATGTTACAGTATAGCATGTATTATACAACAATAATTCCAAATTAAATGCAGATAATTATATAACCCACACAATCATGTTCTCAGAGAAGTATATTGGAATCAGCTTGTCCATCTGTTTGTACGGCCATCTACTTTGTTTGTCTGGAGCATAACACTGAAAAACTATTTGAGGTATCAACTTGAAACTTCATAGATGGATAGATCTCATTATAGTGAAGTGCAACATTTGGTGATTAAACTGTCTTTTGCATGATTTTGGAGTTATTGCGCTTTGTAATCATTCATAACTTTTGTCAGATGCATACCGGGTAATTAAATTTTTTTATTGAGGTATCATTTTGAATCTTCATAGGCTGATAGATCTCATTTACATGAAGATGGTATTTTTGTGAGCTTAAAGTGTTTTAATCAAGTGAGTATCTTTATTTGCATGTCTGTTTATTTTCAAATGTTGTACTTATTTTCCTCAGATCTTCCCAATATAGCAGTGATTTGGCAAAAATAAATGGATACCCAGTTCTTCATGTTAACGCTGACTTCCCTGAGGTAAACTTTATTCAATTTTATATGTTGTTTCAATTTTATGTTAACTTTTTTGCATGTGAGTTAGGTTCACGTTGTATTGATTTTTATAGCAAAAGTGTTTCACATTAGAGAGAATTTTATTGAAGTAGAAGAGTTTTCACAGGATAACTAAAAAAAAGTACATTTATAGCTATTTTTTTTAACTTGACAGCACGGTAAAAAGCTAAGTATATTCTAATCTAAATTTAGCTATTAAATATGCTAGGTAAAAGAAATGTCCCTAAATCTATAGTACCGTATATATTTTTCTGTGTTATTATGACACTTTAAATAATTATTATAAATTCAGTAAGTTACTACATGTACTACATTGAAATGAGCTCTTTTATTTTCAAATTTTGCTATTATTTTGTAGCCATTATATATAATATTAGCGTGAAAAATGGGAGCTCTGAAGTTTGTTTTCAGTCTGTATCATACAAAATTTATGTTACTTATGTATTTTGGTATTTATCACTGAAAGGTAGAACTGGCCTATTCTTTATATCAAATAGAAGTTAGTCAGTGTTGTGGTGTCAAATTATTCTATTATATTGAAATCAGCTCATAATTATGCTTGTTGTTAACAGGATGTTGTCAAGGCTACGGCAATCGCTATGGACTACCGGGAAAAGTTCCGGAAAGATGTGATCATAGACTATATTTGTTTCCGGAAATATGGTCATAATGAACTAGATGACCCATCGTTCACACAGCCTCTCATGTATAAAGCCATCAAAAATAGAAAAAGCATTCCAGATTCTTACGCAGACGAGCTTGTTGTAAGTTTATCACTGAAATTAATCTTACTATTTATATATATTTAAGAATTTTTTTTAAAGCTTTTAGATAAAAAAGGAAAATCAAAAAGAAGATGTAAAAAAGAATAGGAAGAAGTTGAGAATTTTATTCTCCCATAACGGCCAGCTTATCAACAGAATTCCTTTCTATTATTACACTTCACAATTGCAAAGAAATGAAATAAATGAATGCTTTTTTTTTGTTGCTATTTTATTGATATTTAGATTATTCAACCACTATACTTGTATTTATAGAATAAGAAAATTTAAGCAATAAATTACTTCCTTTTAGTATTCTTAACTTGTGTCATGTCTAATTATGTTTCTATGGGATAGTTAGAAAAAATCACTTTAATTGTCGACAAAAGCAATGCAGCTGGTCCTTTGTACTCAATGACCATTTTGAAATCCTCCCAACGATTATCTTTATATAATAATGTTGTGCTCAATGACTTGTCTTACGGGACCAGCAGCAATTCAAAGACAGCAAATTTATTGTACTTTTATTTTATTCTTTGCATTGTGAAGACTGATGGTAGATGCTCATCGGATGATTTGAGTCAGGTACAGCAGGCCTGGGCACAGAAATTAGCAGCAGACTTTGCAGAAGTTAATTCTAAATCAGTACAGGTATAAATATATATATATATCTTTCTTAAAGTTTGAAATTCAGAAATTTTAATATTGCAGTAATGCTTTCATTTTGATTCAAGGTTGAAATTTTTCACATTTATGATGTATAAAAAGTGATTAATATTTTGATATCCAAGATAAAATTTGATATTTTGATATCTAAGATAAAATTTGATATCTTAGATAAAATTTATTTCTTTTCCAACACTTTATATGTTTTAAAGAATATTACATTACTCTCCATTCAAGTTTAATTCAAGGCTTAATTCTTACTAAGTTAGAATAAATAAAAAAAAAAAAACATTTATGTTAAATGTTTGTAAAATATTTTTTGAAAGACATTGATAGCTTTTGTCATAGCTTTTGTCATAGTAATGTACTTGTATGATTCGAAATTATGATCAGTGACTTTAAACCACTACAACATCTACTCTAGAACACACATGAGATTTATGAAATTGTCGTCCGAAATAATTAATTATTATGATACTTTTAGGCAATATACTCAAATATTTTTGTAATTTTTTAACAGCCATACGATCTACAGCGACAATGGAGTGGTTACAGACAAGCACCAGGGGAGATAACTGTATGGGCTACTGGTGTTAACGTAGAAATTCTGAAATATGTTGGTGCAAAATCAGTCACCTTACCAGATGACTTTGTAAGCTTTATACTCTACACTGTTGAGAAATTCTTTTTCTATGCAAATAAAAAAAAAATCTACTTTTTAACCTGTCCAAAGGTTCACCTTTGGATAAAGATTATATATTTGTATATAGAAAACCATGTCATTGGAGGCCTTTGTTTTTTAACCATTACACCAATTATAGTGTAAAATTACTCTTTTTCCGAAATTGTTTCTATATTCAGGTTTTGCTGTACCAGATACCGGAGCTCAATTTTTATTATGTAAATAGGATCATTACACACAATCTATTAATGACTAGCCTTTTCAGAATGTCTTGTATAATCATACTATAGTATTTCATGATGATTTTAAGATATTTGTGGACAATAGATTAATTATATAGTTTTACTTGGTGTTTTATTTTGAAGTAGATACATGTATACTCATAGAGCACAGTAAATGGTTTCAAAGAGTAAGATGGTCTAGTTTCTCTAATGAAACCAAAGGTTCATTGGTTTTTAGTATTGAAATTGTACAAGGCCATGTTTTGGTAGGTGACACTAGTTACACAAGGAAGCAGACTTTCTTGTTATTTAACCCTTTTTTCATTGATTATTTTAAATATGTCAATCTTTCAAACTGGGCAAAATCATTTATCAATTTAAAAAAAAAGTTTCAAAATATGTCCGACAGAATAGTGGACATCGTAGATCATAATCAGACAGCATGGTTGTTCTGGCTGATCTTGGTCTACTCTCATTGCAGGGCAAATTCTGTAGCCACCAGCAGTTATTGGTTAAATCTATACCTAGCTTTTATAACAATCAAATGTGAACAAAAACATTAAAAAGTTTGATTTATTTCTTATTTAGAATGTACATCCTACTATTGGTAAAAATCACTGTGAGAGACGTGTACAGAAATTAACAGAAGGAGCTGGTCTTGATTGGGCCGCTGCTGAAGCTCTTGCATTTGGTTCGTTGATGCATCAAGGCAAGTCCTATTGCTCAAAGTTAAAAATTAAATCATTTCTGAAAAGAAAATCACATAAATAGCATAGGAGATTTGAAGTGTGTCTTATATACTGACCTTTTTGTTTTGGTCACTCATTGATTGTCATCAGGATAACAAATTATGTGTAAATCTGTAAACCAGAAATTTGTGGAGAAAAACTAATTTGAGATATAGACTTTAGAAAATTGACTGTATTGAATTATTTTGAATGTGTGTGCTATGTCAAATGGTAACAGGTTCAAATTCTTAATGTCCATATTATATTGAGGTATGTGGACTCGTGCATTACTAAGTTACTCAATATATATATATATATATATATACATGTAGTTTAAAGCTGCACGCCTCCAGATGAGCAAAAATATTTCGATAAAATCAAACCTGAGAAAAATGTACTAAGACTTTAGGAAAAGCATAAAGATTCAAAATTCTGGTAATAATTTACATGTTATGTGCCATTAATGACCGATTTTTCAGTATTTATAACTATATTTCTACTGCGTTACTAACGCAGTAAGGGCTATTTCTGCATATTTTGACCTCTTTATGGTAATTTACATGGGTTGAAAGTGCCATTGATAATGTGAAAATTGCATTCATTTGGTAAGGCCACAGTATAATACTTTTAAATACATTTTCAAATTTTCATGAAAATAAGTATCAATCTGGAGGCGTGCTGCTTTAATTGACAGTACATTGTATTTTTAGTTCAATATATATTGTAATAATTCTCAGTTCAATTAAATGATTCTTTTGTTCACATGTTCCTATTCAGGTTTTAATGTGCGAATAAGTGGCCAGGATGTTGGCAGGGGTACCTTTAGTCATAGACATGCCATGTTAGTGGACCAAATAACTGATGAAATATATGTGCCTCTGAATCATATGTCACAGGAAGGACAGGGTTACCTTGAAGTACGTACCATCTCCTCTTCCTTTGACAATTATTTTTTCTTTTCAAATATTTAACAGTCAAGTGCTTGATTTTACTTTGAAATATTTTATATGGTTGTAACAACTTTGTGAATAATAAGGAAATTGGTATTTATTTTGAGTGTGCGGTCATAAAATAATGGATAGTTTGAGTTTAGATTTACAGTTATATAATCAGAAAGGTCATAGATCTGAGTCATTAATTATGAAACATCTGAAGGACAAACCATGCACTTTTATATGGTACCGGTATATAATTAAAGAAAGAAATTTTAAGATAAGGTAAACTCCATTCAAGGGAGGACAAGATTTACTTTTGGTTAATTTATTTGTAAATTTAATTAATTGTATGCCTACGTTCCTTTCTAAATATATAATATTATTGTATATTTATGCACATGACTAGGTTAGTAATTGTTTCACTAGAAAATATTGTGAACCATGTTAGATTATCAATTGACAATGTCAAAATGACAATTAACTTCTTGACTAGGTAGCTAACAGTGCATTAACAGAAGAAGCAGTATTAGGATTTGAGTATGGGATGAGTATTGATACTCCACGTTCACTAGTCATCTGGGAGGCACAATTTGGGGATTTCTTCAATGGGGCCCAGCCAATAATTGATACTTATATTACCAGTGGAGAAAGTAAGTACATAATTTCATATGTTTCTAATGTTTTTTACTTAGTGTGTCGCCTTGAAAAAGGCGACATATTGGGGTTACTTTTGCCAGCGGTGTCTGCGTCGGTGTCGGCATCCCCTTAAGCTTGTCAGGAGCATAAGTCAGTCATTATAAGTCGGATTGACTTCAAACTTGGTATGCATGCTTCTTATAATGACCTGAATAAAGTGCACAAGAACCGGTACTCTGCACTTCTTAATTTTTGAGTTATTGCCTTTTGTTAATTTTCATACTTTATTTTTGTCCGGGCCATTTCTCCTAAGGTATAAAAGCTATGGACTTGAAACTTCATAGGATGATAGTGTTCATTAAGAAAAAGTGCAGTGCACAAGAACTGGTGCTCTGCATTTCTTATTTTTTGAGTTATTGCCCTTTGTTAAATTTCATACTTTATTTTTGTCCAGGCCATTTCTCATAAATTATAAAAACTATAGACTTGAAACTTCATAGGATGACAGATGTTTTTGATAAGAAGTGCAGTGCACAGAAACTGCTGCTCTGCATTTCTTATTTTTTGAGTTAATGCCCTTTGTTAATTTTCATATTTCATTTTTGTCCTGGCCATTTCTCCTGAACTATATTGTTCACAAGGCAAAACATCGGACTCGCGGAGTTCTAGTTCTAATGTACAATGTATTTGTGTTAAAAGAGTATGAACAATGAATTTGTATTAATTAAAGGATTATTGCATTGAATCGCTTAACAATATGTTGGCAATTCTTTTGCCTTTTGTTGTGATGGTTTACTTCAAATATAGTTATATAATTTAAGTTGTCTTTTATGAAAATTCTTAAATTAATTAATGGTTGCACAGCAATATGATAGATATGATGTCAAAGGTCACAGTGCTATTTCTCCTAAAATGAATTAAGAAATTTTGAACTGATATTTTCATAATCTCAGCATTTCCAGCAATAGGATATATTCATGCATTCTTGAAGAATTACCTGCAGTATCTCAGTACACCTGTGACTGAAATTAACATGTTAATGCAGGTGTTTTAAAGTAAATTAAAGCTATAAACTGATTATCACTATGTTACAATGTTCCAGGCATCATGGCTGCGTACAATCAATCCTGTCTGTAAAAAACAATTTCAGGGAAATAGAAAGTGGTCATTTTAAACACATTGTCACTTGAAAAAGGTGGTCTTATTATTTGATAATTGGACAAAAGAGAAACTTAAATGTTGACATTTAGTGGCACATTTTCTACTCATTATCTTCATTGGTAAAAAGGTTTCTAGCACAGATTTTATTCTGATCTGATTAAATTATCATGACTAAGAAGAATACTTTTATCATAAAATCGAAGATATCTGAAGTATTTTAAAGAAAAAAATATAATTTTTTTATAGATAAGTGGCTGCTACAGTCAGGTCTTGTCATGTTGTTACCACATGGTATGGATGGCGCCGGACCAGAACACTCTTCATGTCGTATTGAGCGATTTCTACAAGGTTGTGATAGCAGCGAGACCTCAGCAGACGGCGATGATATTAATATTCAAATTTTGAACCCAACGACACCAGCCCAGTATTTTCATCTCCTCAGGAGACAAGTAATCATGCATTTATCGATTGTAACCTTAAACCCGACAGGCATGGGGAAGGGCGTGGGATAGGGAGTGGGGGAAATGATCTGAGTTTGCATTTTCTGTCTTTCCCCACATTGTCTCGTCAATGTGGTGGTTTGGTTCTACAATAACTAAGAATATGATTGTCTTACTTCCTGTGTAGTTAAACTAGAATATTCTCAAAAGTCAGGACACAACATTTATGCAGGTCTGATATTAACCCAAACTAAAAGAATTATTTTGATTCTGTAAAAGTGAAGGACTTAATAAATTTGATGCTTCCTGAATTTGGACACACAGTAACTGTAAGAATGGTTAAGTACTTTAATTTCATTCTGTTGTATATTTTTAGATGATTCGTAACTACAGAAAACCTGTCATTGTAATTGCACCAAAGGTATTACTACGCTTACCAGCAGCTACATCTAGTCTTTCTGAAATGGCTCCTGGAACTACTTTCAAACCTGTACTCGGTGATCTCAAGGTCAAAGGTGAAAAGGTCAATAAGGTTGTTTTTTGCTCAGGAAAGCATTACTACACCATGTTAAAAGAAAGAGACGCAAGAAATATTGATGATGTGGCTTTGATAAGGCTTGAGGTTTGTGGAAATTTTTTTATACTTTATATAGAATTTGCTTATGTTGTTAAAAAGTAAAAAGAAAAATAGTTTTGTTTTCATAGTATTCATTGTATTGTCTGAGGCAAAGTGTCAAATGTTTTACTTAGTAAACTTCCTTACAAATAAGCTGACTTTGTTACAGGTAGAATTATATAGAACATTTTATTTTGTTCTTTCTTTAAATGTTTAACACTTAATCATCACAATGATAAAATATCGTAAATTTATGATAGAAATAGAGGATATTAAATGAGTGTAAGTTTGTTTAATACTGAATTTATTGAATGAGTCAAATAAAATAATATTGTGCGAGCCTCCGTCAAGCATAATATTAGTTTATTCAAGGAGTTCAATATACGAAGTTAATATTCTATTTATCACATACCAAAATTAAAGACCATTTGCAGTGAAAAAGAACCAGTTTTCATTGACATGCCTATTATATAATGCAAACATTTGGTGTATATATAATGCAAATGACGTCACATCAAAAAAAATAATTTTTTACGCAGTCGCAAAATCTGCACAGGTGTTTGAAAAATATAGTTGTACAAGATTGTCATGAAGTTGTTTTATTCCTCATAAAATAAAAAAATGTGGTGTCCACTTTTTCCTGAAATAATGCATGCAAGGGGCACCCAGGATCTTCCCCAGCAACAACGTTGTTGCCATATGATTATTACTGTGTCCGTGTGACTTAAAATCTAACAACAAATAATATTAAAAAGATTTTTTCAGAGTTTGTGTCCATTCCCTGTCGCCGAGTTACAAAATGAAATGAAAAAATACCCTAATGCTAAAGGTAAGTTCACACTTTAAAATCAAAACTTGGTTTCATTTATATTTATTTTCACATTTATTACCTTCACCATGGTTAATTTGTTTATACGGCTTTAAATTAAGAATTGTCTACTGTTATTGTGAGAAGATTTGATGTTGAATTGTTCCAATTCCAAAGACGACAGTATAGAGTCTGGTCAGTCTGCATGGATGTGCAGGCTGGATTTGTGCATGCTTTTAGAATACAGGGATACATAGTGTATTATTACTGCTGGTAATCAAAGAGTCAGTACACTCCACTTGAAAAGTTTATTATTGTATAAATTGTTTAGGCAAAAGACCAAAGTGATTTCTGTTGTTAATTAAAATATTACATAAGTTTATACTTATTTCAAATTGGCATCAAATTAAAGTTGTAGCTTCATTATTACATGTTGTCTTAAATTCAATTTTTTGACAAATGATTTGTTTTCAACAGTAATAACAAACAGTAATTTCAAACTTATTTAACAAATTAAAACAGTCGGCAAAGATTATTAAATAATTTTATTCCAGAATATATTTGGGCACAGGAAGAGCATAGAAATATGGGTGCTTGGTCATTTGTTTCTCCCAGATTTGAAAATCTAGTTGGATGTAAGGTAGGTTGTAATCTTGGTTAAAATACAAGCCATGAGGGATGTTATAAGGAATGGTTGTAAGTTCAATTATCAACATGTATTAGCTAGGTAAGATACAAGCCATGAGGAATGTTAAAAGGAATGGTTGTAATTTACATTATAAACATGTTATCAGCTAGGTAAGATACAAGCCATATGGAATGTTATAAGGGATGGTTGTAAGTCTGATTATTAACAGTATTAGCTTAGTAACATTAAACTCCATGGTATGGAGTGATCCATACCATCCCTAGTTGTGCCTTTCACCGGCACGTTCTGCTTCCCTGTACAAAATGGCCACCAGAGCTATAAATAGAAAAATCTTGTCTGGCTTGCGCAGGTCAAACTGCAGGTGGGATTTTAACCAAAATTTGCAGGATTGATCAGTACCATACCTTGTTTGGGAGACATGTTTTTGTGTCTAGTTGTCTTTTGCATATCTCATAAGTGCTTCAGCTGATCTATGTAAGAATTCAAATTTTAAGTTTTAACCCTTTTAGACCTCAGAGGAGTTCCTTTAATATGCTTAATGTATATTCAAACTAAAACTGGTTCAAACTGAAACTGGTTTCATAAAACATTCTATTATTATTATATTTACAGTTGAGATATGTTGGTAGGGATGTATTGGGATTACCAGCTGTAGGTATAGGACATATTCACAAGATGGAGGCAGATAAACTCATCACTGATCTCTTTTCATGAACAAACATATTTAAGTGTAATATTAGTGTGAATTATTTTATATCAATTTGAATTGATCATTGTGTAACAGGGTGTTATTATTGTGAAGAAATTTTCTCATGTAAATGGTAACATAATGTAAAGAAATTACTTTTTATTCAGATTTTGAATGAGATTATGTACATGTACCTGTTTGAGTTGGTCTAGGGATTTTATGTTTTGATTGTGGCATGCATGTAATGAATTTGTTAATTGATGATTTTTTGAAAAAAATATGTTTAATTTAATTTTTAAGACTTAATGAAAAACTATTGTTAATCTGATGAAATGAAATGCAATTTATGAAATATACTGGTAACAGATTTGCACGTAGCTTCCAATTAATGAAATATATATTTAAGACAATTTTCGGAGTAAAATCAGATGCAAGTTTGCTAAAAAATAATGCATACATGAATGAAAATTGTTTCTTTGTAAGTTTGTGTTGTCAGTTCCATTGTACTCAAATAATGGACTTGTCCTACTATGAATAAGGAACTATTCCAATGTTAATCTAAGGGGTTTCTTGACCAAAGTGCTATAATTATGCAGCCAGCAATATATAGCAGATCAGACCTCACCTGTGTTTGAACCCTACACCTGCTGTATTTGTTGCATATAGACGAGCAGGGAAGAGCTCTAGTCTACAAATAAAGATTTTGTTCTGCTTTGTATTTTGAACAGTCGATTTTGCATGCTAGGGATTATAATTTTCAGATAACAAAATTAATGTTTAGAATTAAGTTAATGAAATAAATCATATTTAGCAGTTCAGAGTGTGATCAAACAGCACATATGCTGTGGTATTAATTATAGACTTGTTAAATACTGTGATATTTTTGTATATGTTTGTAATTTTGATAACAGAAGAGAAAATTTAAATAAACAAAGGAAAAACATAAAAATAATTCACTTGTTCTCATTTTGTCAGTGAATGTTTAAACTAAAGTAAAATTATGAGCTGCATGGAAACATGTTTCACCAGCATTTCCTGTTTTATTTATTTCAGATAGGGACCAAACTTTGCCTACTGGTTGGAGAGATAACCTGGACATTAAATTATAGGTGTTTTTGCAATATCTTACATTTCAACCCTTCAAAAAGAACTTTAGTTTAGAGACTTTTTGCCAAACAACGAAAATTATTAATAGAAGCAGGTTCTTCTCCAATGTATGAAATGAGGTATCCAAAACATGTTTTTTTTACACCAAGACTGTAGATAAAGTCAACACTTCAATTTTAAAGTTCAAAATGACAAAAAATTAGCCTCAATCATGCTTTTTTACATTTTTTACAGTTTTGATATTCTATATTTTTGGTATTTGAAACATTTTTCTTCATTTTTTTTTCCATAAGTCAATGTCCTCTGTTCTGGACAATTTAAGGTAGTTTAGTAGTTTAGTAAGAGGAACATTTTGTTTCAGTTTTCGTGAACAAAAAAAAATGACGTCAACATTAACACATCAAAAAGTTTACCAAATTTGAAAAGATCATCACAGTCTGCTCTTATATTACTATTTGACAATGTGAATGTTTAAAAAAAGTTAGGACCATTAAATTAACATTGCGTCAGGCTTATCTATGTCAGAGTTATCTCTCCAAAAAATAAAGAGCTCTCAAAAAAACAACATAAAAACCGCACATAAAATGATCATCTGATGCTCCCTGCAAATAAGGCCATTCTGGTTTGTTTTTTAGCTCACCTGTCACAAAGTGACAGGGTGAGCTTTTGTGATCGCTTTTCGTCCGTCCGTAAACTTTTACTTTAAAACACATCTCCTCATAAACCGCTGAGCCAATTTCATCCAAACTTCACAGGAATGTTCCTTTGGTGGTCACCTTTAAAAATTGTTCAAAGAATTTAATTCCATGCAGAATTCTTGTTGCCATGGCAACCGATAGAAAAAACTTTAAATATCTTCTTTTAAAAAACCCAAAGAGGTAGAGCTTAGATATTTGGCATGAAACATCTTCTAGTGAGTGTCTATCAAGTTTGTTCAAATAAAAGCCATGGGGTCAAAATTGGCCCGCCCCGGGGGTCATTGTTTTTCCCTATATGCATATAGTAAAAACTTGAAATATCTTCTTTTAAAGAACCCAAAGAGCTAGAGCTAAGCTATTCAGCACGAAACATCTTCTAATGGGTGTCTACCAAGTTTGTTCAAATAAAAGCCCTGGGGTCAAAATTAGAGTAGCCCCAGGGGGTCATTGATTTTCCCTATATGCATATAGTAAAAACTTAAAAAATCTTCTTTTAAAGAACCCAAAGAGATAGAGCTAAGATATTTAGCATGAAACATCTTCTAATGAGTGTCTATCAAGTTTGTTCAAATCAAAGCCCTGGGGTCAAAATTGGCCCTGCCCAGGGGGACATTGATTTTCCTTATATGTGTATAGCAAAAACTGAAAAAATCTTCTTTGAAAAAAACCAAATAGCTAGAGTTTAGATATTAAGCATGAAACATCTTCTAGTGAGTGTCTTCAAAGTTTGTTAAAAAAAAAGTTCTGGGGGCAAAACTGGCCCCGCCCTAGGGATGTCATTGCTTTGAACAATATGTGTATAGTTATAACTTAAAAAATCTTTTTTTTAAAAACTCAACGAGCTAGACCTTAGATGTTTAGCATGAAACATCTTGTAATGGGTGTTTACCAAGTTTGTTAAAATAAAAGCCCTCGGGGTTTAAACTGGCCCCACTCTGGGGGCCGATATACAGGTGAGCGACTTCAGGGCCATCATGGCCCTCTTGTTTAAATTTTGTATAGCATCAATCTCATTTTGCAAAACCTATTTCCTATTCAAGAAAAACACTCAAACACATTCGAACATAAAAAGATCACTTTTAATAACCTTTATGATAAAAAAATCAATCTTTTAAAATTGTAAAACATTAAAACATTATTATATAAAATATATGACACAATTTAAAACAATCATATAAACTGAAACAAAAAGTATTTTACAAAAATTAAAATTTAATCATAACAAATGCATATTGTCAATAATTTACATACACATTAATACAATTTCTAAATATGATGCATGTATTTGAAAAAGGAATTTGTTGTAAAGTATTGTATATATCTTTTCTAGATGGCACATCATTTTATTATAAAGGCAAAGGCACTTAACAGAGATCAGAATTCACAATTTTTTTTTACAAAAATAATGTGCCGCAAAACAATATAAACTTACATATAATCATATAGCATAATGAAACTGAAAAATAGAAGTCATCTACAGTCATGAAAAGCAGTAAAAACAACTTGCTAATCTTAATTGTGAAATTATCTGCCCTTGAAATAAGCACAATTTTCAAATTTAAGGGCAGATAACTGGAAAATGATGTCGGTGACCCAAATATTTTGTTTTTTGCTTATATTTCAATTAAACTTGTTTATCACAAGACACAGAGCAAACATACAAAGTAAAGAAGTTCTTGTTTGTACCTTTTAAATATTGACTTATATATATTCATATTGAAATTTAAAATAAGCCATTGGCTATGTGGAACTTTGCAAACTGGATTATCTTAGTTTTGCAAACTGGATATCATGGACAAATTAAACATAATTTTAGAGAGAGGTACTTATATTTGTGAAAATTCTATAAATGCCAAAAAAAAACATAACTGTTATATTCAATGAAATAACACCATTTATGTACAGATACAATTAAAGTTTTTGTTAGTTGCTGCTTTGGCCTTCCATTGTTCTGTTTTCTTACAGCATTTCCACCAACTTCATTTAATGATATAATTCTTCCATATTTGGCAAGTTAATTCCTTGGATTGGATAGTCACCAAACTTAACCTTTGAGGAGTATCAATTGCTGTTAGCCATTGTTTCCTTTTGTTTTGTACATAAATAAATCTCAAATACTTTATAGGACACATGCCATAACAAATCAGTCATCAATAAACATTTGATATAAATTGACTGCACTGTACATCAAAAGTATATCTGAGACTTCCTTCTTCTGAAATGTTTTCCAAGATGTATAAGAAAATGCTTTGATATGGCATCATTCAAGAAGCACATACTGTTTACAGTAACATAACTCCCCTTTATCTTCATAGAAAAACTTCCTTCCAGTTCCTGTATTCCTTCATGTGAAGATTTTATAGTTGATTAGGCTTGGAAGGCTGTTCACTGAAATTCACAAGATTGGTGATGGTTTAGGTTTACTATGCTCATCTTTGAGTATCGGTAATATAATTATATAGTAGAAATTTATTGAAGTTTTTACTATACAGACAAAAGTACATGATCCCAGGGTGGGACAATTCTTACCCTGGAGCTATAATTTAACCTTGGTAGAGGTCTACTGGACAATGTTTCAATCCAAATAACTAAGCTCTTGCCTTTGTGGTTTCAGAGGAGATATTTTTTAAGTTTATACTTACAAATATAAGGAAATGACCACCTGGCAGGGCCAATTTTGACCATATGGCTGTGATTTGAACAAATTTGTAGAAACCCAATAGACAATGTTTCATGCCAAATATCAATTTTTGAGAAGACTTGGTTGTCTGCACAGAATTTTCTAACAGTTTTGAAATAGCTCAATTGCAGGTACATTCCTGCTTAGTTTGAACCTCATAACCCTAGTGTTCAGGAGATATTGTTTAAAACAAACACTGACAAAGCAAAATGCACGCCGAACAGCCTGGTGACAACAGCTCCATATAAGCATGTAATGTTGTGCTCAAGTGAGCTAAAAAATGAAATCTTCTCCTCTGAAACTGTAATTCCTAAAACTTATAAATATTTGGCATGTAGCATCACCAAGTGGTCCTCTACAAAAGTATTATAAATTAAAAATGCCCTACCCTTGAGATATATGCTCCCCGAACATGTATATTTATACAATGCATTGTCAATAAATGAAGGCTGTATGAGCAGAGGTGAAAAACATCTATTTTTAGCACTGGTCACCTTAACCTAATTGACCAATGGGAGAGTTTCTAGTTAATCCAGCAGAGTTATCTCTGCAGCGCCCCTGGCAAATAAGAGGTATACACCTGTATGCTGTATAGCTGGTTTACATTGAATTTCAATGGGAAAATGCAGAGTATGTAATCAACTGCTCTAATTAATAAGAAAGTTTATATTATAAAGTAAGCTGATTAACACTGCAGCCTTAGAAATGGTGAATTACTGTTGTGTTCCACTTTGTGATGGGTTTTGAGGGTTTCATTTTCCACAAGACAAAAGATTAAAGAATAAATGGAGAGAAGCAGTAAAGAAGGGTGTGCATGGTAATAAAATGAAGTTATGGTCACGCACATTTGCCATGCCAATAATGATCAAATTGTCATAATAATTAATAATAATAATCCCCCCTTGATCATCAAGAACAAAATTACTATCCAGCACCCGTTTACTATATAAAATATATTTTACATAGTTATAGTAATTTTTTTGTTGCCTGTAGTCAGAGACATGTGCATAGCATCAAAACTGATACATATGTGGAACGGGTAATAGGATTTGCAAAGAAATTGAAAATTCTGAAATCAGAACTTAATTAAACAGGGGTCACATATTTTATACGTTTGTTTCATGATTCTAAATTGTTGACAAACTAGCTTGATTGTAGAAAATATTTAAGTGATTTGACATACTAGAATGGAATATAATGAATTATACAATACGTATTGATACTCATTATCAATAAAGACAGATATATAATGTGAAGATTTTATTATTTCAGACACACATTATCATGATTATGTCACGTTTTAATGCACATACAAGTACATCTTGCCTTAATACATGTAATAAAGTATGTAAAACTGAGCTAATGGCCCAGTAGCAGAATGGGTTCTCCCTTAAAGTCTAAATTTCTGTCATACGTCTCCAATCTGTTAAAAATTATATAACTAGATGCATTTTATTTACTAAAGAACAAATTTGAAGTAATAAACTCTATATGATTATATTTATTTGAAGCATCATAAATTTACAAATATACAAAAATAGATTATATCAAACATATTGTATAATTCACTTTAATTATTTCTACGTAAATAAAATGTATATAAAGGCATTATATTTTAAAAAGTTTTAACAGGAAAGTGTTGATTATTTATCCAAGATCATTTTCATACTGTTATTCAGTCTACATTGTCTACATTGTACAGTTGAAAAATAAAGCAGTTTACCGGTATATGTTTAAGATTTAATGTAATATATTCAATTTGTTAAATATAATTACCTTAATATTAAATGATAAAATCTTCATTTATTTCTGCTGCTGAAGCCCCTTTGGTAATTAATTATTTCTTTAATTTAACAACTGACCAGTCAAAATACTCTGAAACTTTCTATTAATCTCTGTGTTTACATCAAGTGGCCGTAGTTTGTATACCTCTTATTTACTACTTCCGCTTATCAGTAGCGTGTGGGAAACTCCCCCCATTACATTACCAGAAATTAAATAACAACCTACTAAATTTGAAAAACATAACTTAATTATGTAGAGTATTATACAGAGAGATAAAGAAAAAAAACTAAATAATGTATACAGTTCTTTCACTCTGCACTTCTTTTCACTTACATTAATAAAAACCTTTTTAATAAGTTTTTACATGATGCGGGTGCATACATTTAAAGTCTGAAATTTTTCTGCACAAAAACTTTAACAAAATCAAAAAAATCAAAATTTAGTTATTTGTTTGGTTATTGTTAAAAAGATAACAATATACTTTTCCAGATTTGCATCAGGTCTGGATCTTTGTTTAGGCCCTTTCTTTACCCGCTCAAGCCTACGACGTTTAATAAAGTTGCTGATGGAAGACGGTTCAATTTCTTCAGGATCGCCAAAATCAAGGTCAGACTCATGACTGATAGGTGAAGCCTGAAATTGTTTAATTTTATTAACAAAATAAACATAAAATTTTAAAATGATACTGTGCATGTACATAGCTATAAATTTAAAGATCGTTAACGTAATTATAATTTTTTGTATATAGAAAGAATATTGCTTCAGGAAATCAACTGTAAAATATTTTGGTTCTCAAAAACCCTATCTATTTTGCTTGAGTGTTTCAAACCCATAAACAAAGTCCAGAAGTATGAACTGGTCTGACGTCAGGCTACACAGTTTCCTATTTTACACCACAATGGCTCATACAAAATGATTGGCACAAGGTAACTATTGAATTTGCTCTCCCTTATTTCATGATTTTCATTTAGTTGTTTACATAGACATGTTTTTCATCAAACTGTAGCATGTGGGCTTTGCTGGTAAGACAATAGTGAACTTATGTATAAATACTACGATTTAGAGCATGTACAATGTCCTTATTCCGCCAGTTGATGAGCAAATATCAGCTTCAAAGCACCAGTCATAGGAGTGCTAAGTTATTTTCCAATGAGTTTGTAAAATAAAAAGATGAAATTGTATTTTTTTCTTTAAGCATACTATCTTTTTGAAAAAAAAAGAAAAAAGAATTGGCTAACATATTTGTATATTATGTAATTCACCTACCACAAGCTTGTGCAGAGGCTGTATTTTATTTGTATTTTTAAAAAAATTATCTACATAGTTTATAACTTGTGAATTACTTGTATATTTTTTAGTTACAAATTTCATATAATGATTTATCACATAAACCGCTGCGCAGCAGTGTTATAAAGCCATTTAATAACAAGAGCTGTCACAGGAGACAGCGAAGCTCGACTAATAAAATACTGGACGCAGTAAGGAGGACAAAACAATGAAAGAAAAATCAATTATGTATAATTATGTATTAAGTTATAGTAAAAAAATAACATTTGTTAACATTAATTCCAAGATCAAGGGGAATAATTCTAGAAATAGTCATGCTAGAGTTATGGACCTTGTCACACAACATTTGTGTAATGATAAGAAATATATATTTGAAGTAGATACCTTAAAAAGTAAAGAAGTTATTATATTTCTTAACCCATTACTTCATATACACGCCTTTTAACGCCTTTTTCACCCCCCCCCCTTTTTTGTTGTCTCAAATGATGAAAAATGCCTTATTTAGGCCCCAAACACTTGTTTTTGTTTGAGAAATGTTGTTAAAAAAAGTGACCTCTTTTTCGGCGCGGCCCCCCAACCAAAAGATACATCAGGGGGTTGCCAGAAGGGGGATGTGCCCCCTTCTGTTTGGGGGGGTTTGAAGGGGGGCGGAGTCCCCCTCATCGCCAAGAAAATTTTGGACTTGTGAGAGGCTGTAAATGACCCCAGATTGATCATAAGGTAACATGTAACCAACGTTGAAAAGCATTTGACTCTATCTCAATCCATTGAAAAGTTACAGCACTTTGAAATCAATTTTGATGGAAAAAATCAACGCAAAATAGTGATTTTTGGCAATTTTGAGATGTCCCCTCGTTGCCATGGTAACAGAAAATTTAAGCCTGATCATGTTGTTGCAAGGGCAATGGTCCAGTCAACATTTGTGCCAAGTTTGATTAGTGTTGAAGCAGTTTTTATAGTATCATAGCAATTTGAACTTGTAACGGGAGACTTTTCAATGAAAACAGCCATTTTTCACAAAATGCTCATGAAGCAATGGGTTAATGAAAAAAATAAAAAAATCTACAAAACAACAATTTTTCTTCAAATTTATATGACAGACCATGTTTAAACATGAAAAAACGCGATTTAGGGTAATTTCAAGTATTTTCATCATTTTCTGTTAACCCATTACTTCATATACACGCCTTTTAACGCCTTTTTCACCCCCCCCCCCTGTTTGGGGGGGTTTGAAGGGGGGCGGAGTCCCCCTCATCGCCAAGAAAATTTTGGACTTGTGAGAGGCTGTAAATGACCCCAGATTGATCATAAGGTAACATGTAACCAACGTTGAAAAGCATTTGACTCTATCTCAATCCATTGAAAAGTTACAGCACTTTGAAATCAATTTTGATGGAAAAAAATCAACGCAAAATAGTGATTTTTGGCAATTTTGAGATGTCCCCTCGTTGCCATGGTAACAGAAAATTTAAGCCTGATCATGTTGTTGCAAGGGCAATGGTCCAGTCAACATTTGTGCCAAGTTTGATTAGTGTTGAAGCAGTTTTTATAGTATCATAGCAATTTGAACTTGTGACGGAAAACTTTTCAATGAAAACAGCCATTTTTCACAAAATGCTCATGAAGCAATGGGTTAAAGAAAATCCTAAGTTCAAAGAGAGATAAATCTGTAAATATTGCTTCAAGAGTTATGAACATTGTCACATAAAATGTATTTGATGATTAGGAATAAGTATTTGAAGTTTGAGGTAGATACCTTTAAAAATAAAAAAGTTATAATAAAAAATAACATTTTTCTAGTAAAAAAATCTAAGTTTATGGGGAGATAATTCTTGCAATATTGGTGCTAGAGTTATGAACCTTGTCACATAAGATGTGGATGATGATAATGTAAATATATTTGAAGTATGAAGTTGATCCCTTTAGAAATAAATAAGAAACAGTAAAAAAAAAAAAAAAATTTATGGAAAATTCTAAGTTCAAAGGGAGATAAATCTGAAAATATTGGTGCTAGAGTTATGAACCTTGCCATATAAGATGGGGAGGATGATAACGTAAATATATTTGAAGTATGAGGTTGATCCCTTAAGAAATAAAGAAGAAACAGTAAGAAATAGCATTTTTTTAGGAAAATTCTAAGTTCAAGGGGAGATAAATCTGAAAATATTGGTGCTAGGGTTATGAACCTTGTCACATAAGATGGGGATGATGATAAGGTACATACATTTGAAGTATGAGGTTGATCCCTTAAGAAATAAAGAAGTAACAGTAAAAAATAGTATTTTTTAAGGAAAATTCTAAGTTCAAGGGGAGATAAATCTGAAAATATTGGTGCTAGAGTTATGAACCTTGTCACATAAGATGTGGTTGATGATAAGGAACATATATTTGAAGTTTGAAGTTGATACCTTAAGAAATGACAAAGTTATAGTGAAAAATATTTTACTGCACCAAAACTTTAATCTAAAATCTGGACGCGGACGCCGGGGCGAGTAGGACAGCTCTCCATATACTTCGTATAGTCGAGCTAAAATCGATATTACACAAGTGTAATAACACTTTGATGTGACGTCATTTGCACTATGTATAAATATAGCGTTAAAGTGCGCTAATGTAACCGTTACAATGAAAAATGAGTCTTTTTAACAGTTTGCCGTTCTTATTCTATATATGTGATAAATAGAATAATATATTCGTGTAGATTCAATACTAAATTTATTGAACTCGTTGAATAAAACAATATTATGCTCGCCAGAGGCTGGCATAATATGATTTTTTTTCAACTTGTTAAATAAATTTAGTATTAAACCTGCACTCATTAAATATCCTCTATATATTTGCATTATAATTTTTCTAACAAAAAGTTGGTATTAAAATATAACATTTAAATTTTCAACTGTCTTATTTTTCCCCAATCTTTTGACCATGCACCTACTGAATCATATTCTTCTTCAAATCCAATTAGTAACACTGGTGATGGCAAATCTGAGTTCCGAAATTTAAAATCATCTTGGCCTTGCAGTGACTCGGTTATGTCACTAAACTTGAATCTGAAGACAAAAAATAAATATTTTTGATTTAGAGTCATTACCTATGACATTTCAGCCCTAGACATATTCTATTCTATATATATTATCTAAGTAAAAAAAAAAGTGCAATAATTATGTCAATAATTACTTTCAGAAAATATAATTAAGCAAAAAATTACGTTCAGAAAATATATTGCCCTTTTCAAATTAGTTGTAAACAAGTGCTTTAAATTTACAGTGATATCTCTTAGAGTTTTTGAGAAATGTATACAAAAAGATTCACCTATAAATTCTAATTCATACATTCTAAATCAAGTCTACATATAATCATCAATGACAAAGTTATGACAATTTTAGCAAAATTCAAAAACTTGACTTTAACAGACGAAGCACTTCGAGTTGAATTATTTATTTAACATGTCTGTTCTGTAATAAGTGTTGTCAAAGTATGAATCAAACGCATACGTCATACATGATAAAGTTATCACAATTAAGGCAAAATTCAGTCCTTTGATCTTGATGGTCAAGGACTTTATAAATTTAAGATATTATTTGAATTACACACTTCAATTGTGTTGTTTTGCCCAAGTACGAATCATATCAGTAAATAAATAACAAAGTTAAATCACAATTTAAGAAAAATTAAATAATTGGACTTGTATCAGTTGTTATTAATTCAACATGTTGTTTTTGTCATTAGTGTTGTTTTGTCCACATATGAATCAAATCTGTTCATAAAACCGATTAAACAAACATCTGAATGACAATTCAAGCAAATTTCAATTATTTGACCTTGATGGTCAGTCATTTAAAGGTCAAGGTCATATTTGAATAATTCAACATGTCAGTTGTGTCATAAGATGTTAGAGTTCTTTTCTAGTCTACAAGTATGAACAAGAAAGATAGCAATGCCACAAAACTAATACATGAACTAGGTTAAGGGAATGTTGTTTGAAGACATTTCTGGATAACAACGGACGATAAACGACAGACAACAATGACAAGACATACTGACATCACAAATTCAAACTTTCCCTTCTTAACTTGATGAGCAAATTTGGTAGGACAAAGAAAGATACTTTTCCTAAAAGGTACAGAATTTAATACATGCAAGGACTCAAGCTCAAATATTGTTGCTCTAAACACAAACCAGTGCAGTTGTACAGATTTATTGAATGACAATTACTTTAAAGTTGTTAGTTTGGACAAATCTAAAATACCCCCACCACAAAAAAAAACACACAAAAAGCAACACACCACAACCCCCTCCAAAAAGACAAAAACAATAAAAAAAAACCAAAAAAACTTAACTGTTTTGGATCAGTATATGAGGCAGAGTTTCCAGAAATGTTACTTTGTGAACCAGCTGATGCTTGCTCGACATTGCCTGAAATATGATACTCAAATAGACATGCTTTATTATTACTCTGACTCTGACTATAGTACTAAATAAGGACTACACGTAAATTAGTTCATCGATGAACACACATACTATCATGTGAACAATATTTTACTATATGATCCATTTATATGAACTGAACTACGCTAAAATCATACACTGATAATAAAATTAACAGCATAATATTAATAATTAATAATATTGTTGAAAATCCCTGAGAGATTAGGACAGAAACCATTTTACATCAACAAGAAATCATGAGTTGTTGGCACAAAGATGTCTTGCATTTGTTGCTATCAATGTCATGAATGAAGTAATTGGGGATATTAGTGGCTTCAGTAAGTATCTCAGAAGCATTTTTGTAAGCTACATTCACAAATATTATTCAGTGGCAAAATACTCAAGACAAAAAGGCTATAATGGCCCTTATTTTACTCAGCAGACTAAAAGCTCTAAATTATTTAGTTACAAACATTTCATTCAATAAATTAAGGCGTATTAGCCGATGATCACATGATAACAGCATAATACAAGTTAACAAACCGTTCACATTTCCATATACAAAGATACTTAATGTAACAGGTCTACAAAAGATATTTATAGGCATATAATAATACTATACATACTGTCATTTACATTATAACAAAAGCTGTCAGCAGGACAGTGTGTCCAACTTTTCTCAGTGCATGATAGTAAAACAAGAGCCTGGGTAATGTAGAATTTAAGTTCAAAAAGGGTCATAACTCTGTCAAAATTCATGTTAGAGTTATGGGCCTTGGACATTGACCTCCTATTATGCTCTTTACCCACTCCATTCAGTAATTTTGAAGATACCAACTTGCACGCAAAAACTTCACTAGTGTGACAGTGATGTACAATAGCTCTCTCCATTCTCTGAAAAGTCGAGCTAAAAACTATTTACAGCTCAAAACTCAGTAAAATTCTACTAACCATAATAGATACAAAATAGACACAGTTTTAGTACAGTGCCTAAAATATTATAAATGAGTTACCTGTACTATGTTCACCTTTAATGAGAACACTTTGTTGGTGAAGCTCAACTGTATGTTCCAATAATGGATGACTTCTAATTTTCTCCAGGCATGTTTTAAATTTCCCTTTGTCACATGTTACAATCAGATTGAGTTTTCCTGCAGCTTTCATTAAATTCAGTAGGTCCAGTGTTTTGTACCAGTTGCATATTTCACCCTTGTTCATCCCATACTTGCCAGCAAAGTCTTCAATTATAACAAGGTGTGTTCTCTTGTGATTCACATGTTGTATCTGCTCTGGGAATGTCAGAAGAAGAACCTGGGAAGGCTTGTATGAAGCTGCAAGGCTTACAGCCACTGAGGTTTTTCCACTTGCCGGGTCTCCAATCAGTACCACTGATTTATGCTTTTTTATCTTGTCTTTTGCAGCTTTTAAAATTTCAGGATCAACTTGCCTCTGATTATGCTCCAGGAAAAGGTTTGTTAGCTCTAGATAAAAGTAAAATAATAGGTGACTTAATTCAGGTAAACTCAAATGATAACGAGGATATCAAAACAACTGATGTATTCGTTAACAGATATTTGTTGTTTATCTAACAAGGCAGCATGACCAAGTGGTTAATGCGTCCGAGTAGTAATCTAAGGATTTCTAGTTGCATGGATTCAAACTTCAACAGGGTCAAGTCGTTGTTTCCTTGAGCAAGAAACTTTACACTTAATGCTCAGTACTGGTTGGTTCCAGGAACACAGTCAAGAGTGTGTGTATGAGCTTATCATAAGCTTCCTACACAATCAAACACAATTCAAAGATTGTGATTATGACTATGTTTCGTCATATGCCAGAATAACTGGTTAGAGATCCAGTAAACTATTTTTCAAGAAAGCATATTATAAAGATAAAGTCTCAATAAACACATTTAAACATTTCTAATAAAAAATAACTACATTTGCATATGTAATTGTCAAGAAATAGACTAATCAAATGACTTTTATCATTAAATAAAGTTTAGTTAATTACCTGAAAGATTTTGTATAACGGTAGTGGTTGAAGAACAAATATTTGCTCTACATTCAGCTGCAAAAAAAAAATAATGTAGAAATTGTGTTAGTTAGATATATAATGAGTCACAAACATTATGCAGTTTAACCAGACTGGTTTGAGGTGAAGATTATGTAAATTATGCCCCTTGTCTTACAACTGCACCTTTTCAAAGAGTTTGATAATAAAACAAAGTACGAATAATGTAGAAATTTTCACTTAGTGAAATCATTTAGAAAAAATCAATGATAAAATTATTACTCTAGGTCAGTTGCCAAATATTATAATTTAAATTTATAGTTTCAAATGAATACCAGTAGCAGATTTTGAGATTTAACTAACCTGCTGTTAGATCTGTTGGTCTAGATTCACTAGTTGCATTGAAAACGGTGATAACTTCATCAAGTAATTCATGAGAATATTTCTCTTTACATTCATTAAGGACATCAATATCTGAAGCAATCAAAACAGCAATCTTCTTGCCATCCCTTTCATCTTTCACTGCATCTTGTATACTGTCAAAGATTTCCATCATACACTTAGCCTTGTCCTCATCATACATCTCTTTACCGAATGGATTACAACATAATGCAAAGTCTACACTTTCAGAATCTATGTGCTTCCAATCAGAGGAGCTCTTCATCTCAACGCAACGTTTTTCATTATACCCCATACCCTTAATGGCTGCCAGTGCTGTTGCCAAGTAAAAGCTTTTGTTATGTCCAGAAACTACTGCCAGACGATTTTCTTTCAGCTTTGTTAAGATTTTATCAACCTCAGGGGGAGTAACAAAGTCATCGAGAATCTGCGTATCAATTGTTCTTTCAAAGTTTTCTGAATTGAAAAAAAGTACACTAATGTATACCATTACTATATAGAATTATGCCTATCATTACTATCACTTGCTGAGGTCAAATTCATGAACATGATCTGGATTTATGGAGAGTGGGCATGGGGGTCTGAGCTTGCCACAATCTTAAATGTTGCAAGCAAACCCTTAATATGATAAGGTAAATTTGAAAGTCAACTATCATCGTAATTACAATTTTATAACCCAAATTCACCCCTGTGACCATGCTGGAACTGGTAACTAAGTATCTTGACCTTTTCTGTGATTGTCATTAAATAGTGCTTATCATAGAAGGTGAAAATATGACGTACTAGGAAGGTGTTTTTGTGCAGAAAAAGGAACAAAATATTATCTCTGGGAACATGGAGAATATTTATTAAAAGTGGATGAGACTGTAAATATCGCTCTGTCTCAAATCTAATCAAAACCTTTCATTATATAAAAAACAAGAGCTGTCAGTAGGACAGCATGCTCGACTATTCTAAGTGCTTGATAGTAAAAGAGCTTTAATAATGTTTTTAAGTTCACAAAAGGGCTAATTTTTTTTATAAATTCATGTTATAGGCCTTATAAGGAGAGGGTCTAATTATACAGTATTGGCTTGACTATTCGGAAGGAAATGTCACAAGGGTGTTTTATTGTATTATTTATAATATTATTTATAATATTAATTACCTATGAATACATAAATTTGACAGAAAAGGTACAAAGGCTTGTTATTAAGATGTTTTATCAAGTAAATCACTGCTGTATTATCATGAATGCATAAAATTGTCCCAAAAAAGGCACAAACCCTTCAGTAGTTGTTGATATAACAGCTTACAAGCAAAACTTTACCATGAAGTTGAAAAAAGGGGCGAAAAATCCACCTAAAGGCAAGATAGAATTATGGATCTAGGTAGAATTATGGATCTTTGTCAGTGACCTACAATGATGACCCTAAATCATATGTGAAGTTTTAAATAAATATCTTTAAAAGTTATTGAGATATGTAAAACTTGCATGTAAACATTAACCTAGATACTAAGTAGAAAAGGGGATATGAATCAGCCTTAATGCAAGATAGAGTTATGGAACTTGGTCAGTGACATACAATTATGACCTTCCAATTATGACCCTAAGTGCATGTGTAAAGTTTCAAGTAAATATCTTTGAAAACCTTTCACCTTTAACCAAATTTCTAAGTTTTAAAGGGGCAAATAATTCTGCAAATATTGCAGGCAGAGTTATGCAATTTTGCAAACTGATGCACATTGTTACTACAAAAAAGTATTTTAAATTTCAATTGAATATCTCAAGCAATAATTGAGATATTTGACTTTACAAAAAAACTTTAACCAAAATTCTAAGTTCCAAAGGGGCATAATTTTGTCAATATTGTAGGCAGAGTTATCCAACTTGTCAAACTGATGTACCTTATTACTATAAATAAGTATTGTAAGTTTCAATTGAATATCTCAAGCAATAATAGAGATATTTGACTTTACAAAAAACTTTAACCAAAATTTCTAAGTTAAAAAGGGGCATAATTCTGTCAATATTGTAGGCAGAGTTATCCAACTTATCAATCTGATGTACCTTGTTACTATAAATAAGTATTGTAAGTTTCAATTGAATATCTCAAGCAATAATTGAGATATTTGACTTGACAAAAAACTTTAACCAAAATTTCTAAGTTAAAAAGGGGCATAATTCTGTCAATATTGTAGGCAGAGTTATCCAACTTGTCAATCTGATGTACCTTGTCACTATAAATAAGTATTGTAAGTTTCAATTGAATATCTCAAGTAATGATTGAGATATTTGACTTTACAAAAAACTTTAACCAACGCAGACGCCGACGCGGACGCTGACGCCGACGCGACTACAATAGCTCTCATATTCTTCGAATAGTCGAGCTAAAAAAGGAACTACCAAAAAGTATGTGTACATATTCATATTCTGGTTTTGTGTCTACTACAAGTGAAAATATTGTACTTTAGAGCCTACCACTAAAAATTTTCTTTACAAAATACCAAATCAATAAATTAACATTAACTAAACAAGATCCACCGCCTAGCAGGGGCCAAGCCTAACTTTTTGTTATGTCTGAAGGCAAACACATCAGAGGAAAAATATTATAGTAAAGAGTACTTCTAGAAAACATAATTTTCTTGTAGAAAGAGTAAAATTCAAATTTCAATTTTAACCCTATCAAGGTCATTGAAAGGTCAAGGTCACATTTTGAATTTACAATGTATCATCATGTAAATTTTGTCATAACTGCTTTTTTGTCCAAGAATGAATGAAATCCATAAATAAATAGCAGAATTATGAATAAATAACAGAATTATGACAATGAAAGCAAATAATTTTATCATGACAGTCACAGTCAATAAAAGGTTAGTCAATATGTAGCATTTGTCATATATGTATTCTTTTATCCAAGTATGAATCAAATCTGTAAATGTGTAACAAAGAAATGACAATTTAATCAAATTTCAATAATTTTACCTTGATAGTCAAGGTCAATTAAAGCACAGACCCTTGGGGTTAAGTGAGTGGCTTGACCTTCTTGATCAGCTCTTGTATACACCATGGATATTTCTTATTCACGAATCATATGTCACATTATTATGACCTGGTCACATGTCTTGGGCATAAAACAAGTTTTCCCCTATTTTGACCTTTCAACCTTAAACCTTAAAAAAAACTCCCTTAAATATCATACTGAAGCATGGGTAACAAGAGCCACCGCCGGGCGGGTCATTTATGAGTGAAGGTCAAGGTCTGTCTGGTTAATTTAAAGAGCTATCCTTGAAGATTATTATTTTCAAGTTTGAAGACAATCCATTCAAAAATAACAAAGTTATAGGCAATAATAGCAAGAACAAGCAAAATTTGGACATTTGACCGTGAAGGTCAAGGTCATTTATGGATGAAGATCAAGGCTAGTCTGGTCTACTGAAAGGTCTTATCCCAAGGGTTGTTTTGGCCAAGTATGAAGAAAATACACCAAGAACTTAAAAAGTTATGATCCAGGTACAAGTTTGCGGACGGCTACGGCAAAGCCGCCAGGACTATATTAAAGCAGGAAATTAAGAGACTAGTTCATGTACAAAATAATAGTTTTTGTTTTTAATATTCAGGGACAGAAAAGGACGATGTCTACACTCCAATGTCTGTGAATAAAAGGTCAAGATCATATTAGAATAATTTAATAAGTCCATTCTGTAATGTGTCCTTTTGTCCAAATATGAATCAGATCTATAAATAAATAAAAAAAAAATTGTCATAATTTAAGCAAATTTCAATTATTTGACCTTATAGCCAATTATAGAGAAAAAAAACCTGTGAAATTACAATAATTTGACCTTTATGATCAAGGTCATTGATAAGTGAAGATCAGTATCAATTTGGTCTACTTAAAGTTGTCTCAGTCTAAGTATGAAGACAATAAATTTATTAATTACAAAGTTATAGCCAATTATAGCAAAAATCAAGCAAAATTCATATTTGACCTTCAAGGTCAAGGTCATTGATGAGTGAAGGTCATGAATGATTTGATCTCCTTAAAGGTCTTGTCAAAAGAATTATTGTGTCAAGGTATAAAGACAATCCATTCTAAAACAACAAAGTTATAGCAAAAATCAAGCAAAATTTAAGCAATTGGCCTTGAAGTTCAGGGTCATTTATGACCAAGGTCTTTTTAATGGTCTTGTCCAAAGGTAATTGTGTCCAAGTATGTAGACAATTGTGTCCAAGTATGTAGACAATTTATAAAGAAGTGATGGCCAAAGTTAAAGTTTCTGGATGGCAACGGGGATGGCAAATGACTGTAGTATGAATAGCTCCAATTTACTGAGTGAAGTTTTAACCTGTTCCCATGGAGATATCAACTTGAACGCAAAAACCAAAAATGAAAATGTGAGGGCAACACTGACACTGATGCATGTGTGAGTACAATAGCTCTCCCTATTCTTCAAATAACTAAAAATACATATAAGATAATAGCAGATTTTGTACTGGCCTTAGTCCTATAAATGTTATGTCACTTGCTTCAAGATATTTTCCTCATATGGCAAAAACATCTTTTACTCAAAAGTGCTATGTCACTCCTATTAGTTTGAAGCTAAAACTTGCTAAATATGGTTTATTACACTTCGGAATGAGTGTATTAAAGGGACATTACTCAGGGAAAATGTATTTAAAAAATGTATTGACTATGTACAAACCATGCATTCTCTTTAACGCTTCATGAAAAATCTTCAACCTTTTTACTGCTTTCCCATTTACTCCAATGGTAGTTATGGATGTGCTCTGTAGAATGTCTGCACTTTGACTGGCAGCCTTTTTAATGTCTTTTGTATCTGATGAAATTTCTTTAACATCTCTCTGCATTTCGGTAAATTTTTCTCCAAACCATTTACATAGAGTGTTTCCTTGATCTGGCATATTCATATTGCAAGCTTTGTCAATTTTATCTTTAATGCTTTTTTTGTAATCGGGTCCTTGAAGATCAGCTAAATGCAAAGTAGCTATTTCCAAAAGATTCCAATAGTCTTCAAAGTCTTTGTCATCTATACTTGAACTTGGAAGGTGTTGCAACTTATTCCTTACTTCTCTGATTTGATCAATAGCAATTGTAATAAGACTTGAGCAACTGAATAGCTTGTTTATTAACAAAGACAGTAAAGTAATGTCCCACTCTGTTTCATTTGCAGGACCACATCGAGGAAAGAGTAAATTGTATTGATCCGGGCGCAGTTGTTTAACCTTTGCTATTTGTGGACGTTTAGACACTAGATAAGAATCTAGTGATGTAAAAGTGGTGCCCGGGTCGGTCATTGCTTTAGTGATGAACAATTTTCGAAGAGTCTCTGGACATATATCTACCAAAAAGTAGACAAGGCGGAAGAATTTATCACCCATAGTTATTAGACTCGAAAGTCAATCTAAAATGAAATTGAGATGTCAAAATTAGCTACATAGGACAAATAGATAAAAAAAACAACACAATTTAAAATATCAATAAAAGTAACATGTTTCGCTTTAATAGCTTCATCTGTTACATAATCATTATCAGTTATAAAATACACAAGAGTAAATATTTTTTTGTTAGGTTGAATGTCACACCAACACAGATTAGGTCATTATGACATATGGCGACTTTCCAGCTTTACTGGTGGAGGAAAACCTCAGGTGCCCTTCCGGCTTCCGTGCATTATTTCATGCACAAAGGGGCACCCGAGAAGAAGCACAAATGTTCTGTAAGCTAGCTTGATGGCTTCCTCACATCTACAATCCAATGATGAATCCAATCTCCAACAAGAGCCATGTATAATATCCAGGGCTCCAGATAAGATGCGTATCCAGGAACAACCAATATTCAATCAGTTAAGCTGTTTTTAGCCAATATTAAATGGTAGAGCAAATAATGCTTTAAAATTATTTTAGCTATTAATGCATCTATCAACTGAAATTCATTTTTAGGTTTGTACATTTTTAACAAGTCTTGATCTTGCTTAGAAAATGAATAAAAACAATATGACCCAGGAATATTTTAACCTAAATTCAAACAGCAGGTAAAAAATAATGAAGAATTTGTTCAAGATATGTCAGGGCTACTAAAAGTTGTAGAAAATTTCACAACAGTCTATTCAATGATTTTCAACAGGTATTAAAGGCTTTAAAAAAACTTACACTAAATGTTATAACGTTTTTTGTTTTTTTTAAAGGGTTTATTTAAGGTCGCTGCCAGAAAGCCCATATGGGCGACCATACACTAAAGTCGGGCCATCCTAGAGCGTCCCGGAGGAAGACCCCAGGTGGCCCTCCGGGCATTATGTCAGGCATGAGCCGGCACCTGGGCTTCCGTAAGCCAGCTGGATGGCTTCCTCACATGAAAGATTTTGACCCGAGTGAGGATCGAACCTACAGCGGTGAGGGACCTGTGATCTCAAGTCAGCGACCGTAACCACTCGGCCACGGAGGCCCCCTGTTATAACGTATGTACAGTACAATGCATTGGTATGGCTACTGTTCATGTGTAAAAAAAGGGCAGTTGAAGGTGTCACTTCTTAGTATGCTAATTGGGGTGCAAAATTATAAATGCATACAACCATCACAGGCATTTTACTTTTCCCACTTTATAAAATTACCAAATATGGAAACTTTGTGTAGATCTACCAGCTGGTATCACTTCCAAAGGACCTAACCTACAGTCATCACTTTAAAAAGATTGATAACAAATTAAGATTATATTAATAAGAAGTCATATCAGAGTAAATTGCATTAAGTCACATATTGTTGTAAAAACTTAAACACCTGTGAAAATGTCATACTTGATTAATTGTCAGGCATTATCAGAGATAACAATAAGAAACTGTTTGTTTAAAGATGTCCCAATTTAACTCTTAAGTTGTCCAAATTTTACTATAGCAAAATAGTCACTTTTTTAAAATAGTGATAAAAAATTTTCCAAGCACTTTATATTATTTTGTACAGAGTTTTACCATTTACCCAAGTCCAACTAATTGTACTGCGTGAGATTCTGACCCACAACGAAAATATCTCAGAATCTAGCATACCATTTACGTCAGAAAGCAAAACATAGCACTAAAAACAATATTAAACGCTCCTTAAAAATCCTAATTGTAAACTGCAGATCTATTGTGGACAAAAAATTAGAGTATGAAAACAAACCCAGATATTATAATTGGAACTGAGTCTTGGTTAAAACCTAAACCCTTTGATAATGAAATTTTCACCCAAACCTAGGTTACACGCCCTACAGAAGAGATAGGAAGAAGCAGGCTGGGGGAGGAGTATTTATTGCTGTCAAAAACTGCATTATAGCACAAGAAGCTACCAACCTCCAAACTGATTGTGAAAATCTATGGGTCAAAATTGAAATGCAAGGTTCCAAACCACTGCTTGTAGGTTCTTACTACAAACCTAAAGAAAATGACCCCTATAGCCTGGATGAGTCAAATGCAACAGTATGGGTAGGCGGGGACTTCAACATGCCAAAACTTGATTGGTCAAATGTTACTCCAACCCCGGACTGCAAACTTCAATCACATTATAGAGATTTTATTAACATTCTTTTTGATAATAACCTTACTCAATTAGTCAAAGACCCAACCCGAGAAAACCATATCTTAGATCTGTTCCTGACAATTAACCCCTCCATTGTAAACAGAGCCAATGTAATCCCAGGTATCAGTGATCACGATGCTGTCCTGGTCGACACAAATACCTCCGCCCGTATAAAGCTCCAAAAACCACAAAAATCCACTTATATAATAAGGCTGACTGGGACGGTCTTAGGTTACATATGTCCAACCTTCATGATTCTCTTGCCAGGTCAAAAAGTTACTCCAACAAATCAGTGGAAGAGTTATGGCAAACAATCTCCAGCTCAATTGAGGAAGGGGTCAATACTTTCATCCCATCAAAATGGTCATCCTCCAAAAATAAACTCCCCTGGATCAAGGTCAACCTCAAACGTCTATATAGGAAAAGGGACAAAGCCTACGAGCAGTACAAGGGCCATAACTCAAATAAATCTAGAGAAAAATATCTCAACATTAAACATCTCTGCAGAAAAGAAACTAAGTTAGCCTATCAAAATTACTTGGAAGATATACTAAACATTAACAACAACATCTCTGAAGAACATGAACAAACACAAACCAGACCAAACACCAAAAAGCTATATTCACTATTAAAACACTCAAAACAAGACTCTTTTGGCATTGACTCACTGAAAAAACACAATAAACTGTATACATCAGATCAAGACAAGGCAACAGTACTAAATGAACAATTTCAATCAGTTTTCACTTCTAAATCCCCTGTTTCTCTTAAATTCCTTGCTGATATGAAGGTACAGGATCAGGCAGATACAGGTAGAGAGGTTCCCCACACATCATTTAGCCCCCATAATCCCATGTGTGATATTGATATCTCTGTAAAAGGTGTTGAGAAGCTCTTAAAAAACCTTAACCCCCATAAGGCTGCAGGACCTGACCAAATTAGACCCATTGTGCTGAAAAATACCAGTAAAGAATTAGCCCCTATAGTGTCCAAACTTTTCCAAAAATCACTGCAGTCCAGCACTCTACCAGACATCTGGAAAATGGCAAATGTGGCCCCTGTCTTTAAAAAAGGAAGCAAGTCAGACCCAGCCAACTATCGCCCTATCTCTCTTACCTGTATCTTGTGTAAAACCCTGGAACACATTGTCTCCTCCAGTATAACAAAGCACTTTACTAGATCAAACTTGTTCTATGAATTGCAGCATGGTTTCCGACAAAAAAGGTCATGTCAATCCCAACTATTAATGCTTATAGATGATATCCTACAGTCAGTAAATCAGAGAAGTCAAGTAGACTTAATCCTTCTTGACTTCTCTAAGGCCTTTGATATGGTCAACCATGAAAAACTTCTGTATAAGCTGCATTTCTACGGTATAAGGGGTCAAACTCTTAAATGGATCAATGGTTTTCTTGACAACAGGTCACAGTCCGTGGTGGTAAATGGCTCCACATCCAGCTCCATACCAGTCTCCTCCGGTGTTCCCCAGGGCTCGGTCGTCGGACCTCTCTTATTTCTTATATACATCAATGACCTTCCTGAATATGTCCAATCCTCTAAAGTCCGCCTATTTGCTGATGACACGGCCATCTATCTTTCTCTGACTGTCGCTTCTCATTCTGGCTTACTGCAACATGACTTACACCAACTTGAACAATGGGAGACAAAATGGGACATGCAATTTAATCCATCAAAATGCCAGGTTATCCAAATCACAAAACAAAAGACAGTCATTCCAACACAATACCTTCTACATAACACCACATTAGAAACAGTTCCATCTGCAAAATACCTTGGCATTACAATATCAAATGATCTAACATGGAACAAACACATAAACAACATCACAACAAAGGCAAATCAAACACTTGGTTTTCTACGCCGAAACATCAAGGTTCACTCAGAAAGGTTAAAGTCAACTGCATACAAGACACTTGTCAGGCCCCAGCTCGAGTATAATAAGCTCCACGGTCTGGTCCCCCTACGACCAGATAGAGTCCGTCCAGAGAAGGGCTGCTAGGTTGGTCAAATATGACTTTGGCCGTATGTCGAGTGTCACTGACATGTTGACTTCCCTTCAATGGAGGCGCCTTGACCTTCGGCGTATTGACCAACGCCTGGTCATGTTTCACAACATCTTGCATGACCAGGTGGCTATCCCTTTCCCAAAATATATCGTCCCTCTTACAAGATCATCAAGAACATCCCATCCCCATGCATTCCAACAAGTCCAAACTAAAACTGATTACTATAAATATTCATTTTTCCCCAAGAACAATAGTCCACTGGAATGCTTTACCACCTGATATCATGAACTTGTCTGGCCCCGAGTTCAGTCTGGCTGTAAGCCGGATTGAACATACGTCTACCTAAAATACCTTCTCTATTTTTAACCTGTTTTTAACAATATACTCATTTCCATTACTTTTATATTCTTTTATTTCAGCTCTGTTTACTAACATTCTTGTCAGTTGACGCGCGTCAAGTCTAGGTCCCCAGCAGGGGTTTGACTATATGGAAGATAGATAGATAGATAGTCTTAGTTGTATTGAAAAATAACTATTTAGATGATGTACCATTAAATATTCATCAGACTTTACATAGGGGTCCTTATAAATATCTCGTCACACAGTACAATTAGTATGGTTATGCTGATTAAGTAGAAATAGAATAAGGCCATAAAGAGAAGTTATCAATAACCAGTAACATATATATGTAATAACATCTGATAAAGGGGAATAACTGTAAAATGCAGGCAAGGTAGAGCTATCGTTCTTCCACACTGCACTTCCTACCAATTTGCTAATTGTCAGTTTATTAAGTTTGAAGAAAATCCTTTAAGTCAGTTATGCTTCAAACAAAATTAGGACGGCTACACTGTACATGCCCAAAATGACAAAAAAGTTACCATGCCTTTGTCATTTACTTTTGTATAAAAAAGGGCCATTAATCCCTAAGGGCCTTATTTAATTGTTACATATGAACTCTATCTGCTTAAAGTTAAATGGCCCCTTTTCACTTGGAGTGGAAACTTTCAACTACAGTTGATATATCAGGTAAGTAATTCATTATCATTATTTACTTGGTCCAAATTGTGATACCTTACTTTGTAGTGCAGACTCAAACACTCACGGAGACCATTTCTAATTTCCCATTTACATACTGTATTAATATTGAAACAAACTGTAAACATTTTAACTTCAATGGTCTTCCATAGTTTTTTGGATAAATCCGCGAAAACTTGACATTACTTAAATTTTTAAAAATACTGGTTAATCTTGACAAAAAATAGGGTATTTAATTTCATTCAATACAGAACATGTCATAATCACTTTAATCGTAAGAGAAAGACATTTTAAACTCTACTGTAGCTTGAAAAGTTGTATTTTGATACAGTAGTGTGAGTAGAACTAGTTAACGCGGAAGACAGAACGGCGCAACTCGGCACAACCCCGTTGTATCATCGATCTAGTCAGTAAATAATAAATATAACTTACATGAAATTTCAATCTGTTCTTTTGGTTCCTTTTTCATAATATTTACATCTTATATGCATTAAATACTCAGAAAATTACAAAGCCAAACCGCGCCAGCCATGCTGTAATATCGATGTATCGTAAAAGTTAAAGTATGGAAAGCCTGTTTCGTCTTTATACTTAGCCGGGAATAGTGAATTGGTCTGTAATGGAAGTCATGTGAAATAATAAATAATATGTTGCTAATATTAAGTATCAGACGTATCACCATACCATGAAAGAATTAAGATATATCTTAAGTGTGTTCTAGCAACTTACTGGGGGGGGGAATACAGAACAGGGTAGGAAGGACATATACAGTATGGGTGGAAGATTTTGACCAAATCTTAAACAAAAAAAATACAATGTGAAAATTGTGCATGTTTGAAGATAGGGCCAGCATCTTGTTTTTTTATGTGTTTTATAGCTCATCTTATGAGTGGCAATGCATGTAGCCTACTTTTCTTATATTTTTTATTTTATTTTATTTGAGTCTCATCCATATTTAACAATTTTAAAAGACATATAAAATTACAATTACAATATGGTCATTCTAAAAAGAATTATCTGAGACTATATGTTTACATATATTTACATATACAGTAAAGTTCCACCAAAAAAAGACCACACAAAATGATGGCCCCAACAGCGGAAAGGTCCCATCAGCGAGCCACTTCAGCTCCATGACTTAAACTCTTATTCTTTATATTGCCGAAATTTGCATGATTTTGAAACATTCAAGGTGGTCTTATTAGTGGAACTCCACTGCATATACAATTAATGAACACTATACATGTATATACACTAATCAGTAATCAGCATTTGTGGAACACCAAAGTGTTAACTCTATAGGCCTATATATGTGTATACTACTGTTTTTGTAAATATTAAAGGGGATTTATCTGTATTGGTAATCATTTATTTTCTGATCAGAATAATTATTGAAGCTCATTTTTGTTTTTGTATTGCATATTAACAATATAGACATTAACATAGACGAGGTATTTTCTACATCCCCTCAGTTCGACTACAGGCAGCCAATTTAATGGCCGCATGACGTCAAGGCCGCATGATGTCATGCGGCCTTGAATGAGCATTTGTGTCCAACAGTCAAAATTTCGCGTGCACATCTATCACATCCGGGTCGGATGACGTAAGCGGGTCAACAATGGCTGCTTACATACGCTTCAGATAATAAAAAACCGCCTTTTTTTTTCAAAAAATAATTATCATTTAAAATACTTCCAAATAAACCGTAACCATGTTTACATATAAAAAAAAAGTCATTTATTTCCGTTAAAGCATTTACTAGAATGTTGATAATTACTCTTTAAGACTGGAATTAAGAACAATGTATGTTATTGGGATGGGCCTAGGAGGGGTGTTCCCTCCCATAGACTGAGAAAATTTTGAAATATGAGGTTGAAATTGTGGTATTTCCTTGACTTTCTTGTGCTGTTTATGATACCTTTTGGATGGTTTAACATCACAATTTGTATTTTGTATAGGTAAGTTTTTGCAGGGTCTTTCAAATAGCATTCCCCTGGTGTTTAGTAGTGAGCATTTACAAAATAACAGCACACAGGGCAAATGATCTTGGTCTGCTCTCATCACAGGGTAAATGATCTTGGTCTGCTCTCATCACAGGGTAAATGATCTTGGTCTGTTCTCATCACAGGGCAAATGATCTTGGTCTGCTCTCATCACAGGGCAAATGATCTTTGTCTCCTTCAGCACTGGGCAAATGATCTTGGTCTGCTCTTATCACAGGGCAAATGATCTTCGTCTGCTCTCATCACAGGGCAAATGATCTTGGTCTGCTCTCATCACAGGGCAAATGATCTTGGTCTGCTCTCATCACAGGGCAAATGATCTTGGTCTGCTCTCATCACTGGGCAAATGATCTTGGTCTGCTCTCATCACAGGGCAAATGATCTTGGTCTCCTTCATCACTGGGCAAATGATTTTGGTCTCCTTCGTCACTGGGAAAATGATCTTGGTCTGCTCTCATCACAGGGCAAATGATCTTGGTCTGCTCTCGTCACAGAGCAAATGATCTTGGTCTGCTCTTGTTACAGGGTAAATTCTGTAGATGCCAGCAAGTTAAGGGTTAAATCTATACCTAGCTTATATAACAATCAAGTGTGAACAAAAAGATTAAAAAGTTTGATTTATTTCTTGTTTAGAATGTACATCCTACTATTGGTAAAAATCACTGTGAGAGACGTGTACAGAAATTAACAGAAAGTGCTGGTCTTGATTGTCGTTGATGCATCAAGGCAAGTCCTATTGCTCATAGTTAAAAATTAAATCATTTCTGGAAAGAAAATCACAAAAATAGCATAGGAATTTTGGAGTGTGTCTTATTTACTGACCTTTTTTATGCCGCCGGGCATATAGTAATTGAACCGTCTGTCCATCCATCCGTCCGTCCATCTGTCCTTACGAGGTTAACCTAGAACGGCAAGTTGGATTTTTCTTAAGTTCTACCTGTACCAATGGCTTCTAAGTTTACACACTTACTAATCAATACAAAGTACATGTTCTGGACAAGTTACATAACTCTGGCTTTCATCTTTACCAAGTTATTGCCCTTTTCAGCAATTAGAAAATGAAATTAGAATAATAGTTAACCTAAAACGGCAAGTTTGAAATATCTTGAGTTTTATCTATACTAATGGCTTTATCATTCCACACTTACTTATCAATACAAAGTACATGATATTGCCAAGTTATATAACTGTGTCATCCATATTTCCCAGTAATTTCCCTTTTTTCACTTTGAAAATAGGGCCTTATCTGGTTAACCTATTTTTCGGCAAGTTGGATTTATCTTTAATTTCTCCTAATTGCTTAATTTCTTTGATGATATCTTTCATATTTAGTAGGTGGATACCTTTGATGGTCCTCTAATTTTTTGTGGAGTAAGCGGTCTCTAGGGTCAAGGTCAAGGTCACTGGTTTAAAAAATAAATATAAACATTTTTGCTCGTACAGCCTTTTTTTTTAGTTGATGTCTTAGTTTAATAAAAACATACCAAGGGAGGTCCTCCTTCTTTGAGTGTAGTAAGGGTTCATTTGAGTCAAGGTCAATGATACCAATGTCAAGGTCACCAATGTTAAAAATAGATTTTTACATTTTTACAGGTGTATTGACCTTATTCTATAGACAGATGTTATTTATAATTGATAAAAACATAAACTTTGATGGAGTTAGTGGTCTTTTGGGTCAAGGTCACCAGTGCTAAAAATAGATTTTTACACATTTGCTCATACAGCCTTTATTTATTGACAGATAAATTTCATATTTGGTAGGAAGATAACTTGCATGGTATTCATCCTTTTGATTGGGGTAGGGATCAGTGGGTCAAGGTCATTTGTGCTTAAAATAGATTTTTACACTTTTGCCCATATAGCTTTTATATATTGACAGATGTATTTCATATTTGGTAGGAAGATAACTTGCATGGTATTCTTCCTTTGGATGGTGTAAGGGGTCAGTTTGGTCAAGGTCACCAGTGCTAAAAATAGATTTTTACACTTTTGCCCATACAGCCTTTATTTATTGACAGATGTATTTCATATTTGGTAGGAAGATAACTTACATGGTATTCTTCTTTTGGATAGAGTAAGGGGTCAGTTTTGCCCATACAGAGCAATAACTTGGCAACTTACATTTTTCACAATTACAAAATGACATGACTTTGTCAAGCTATATAACTTGTGTTTACAATTTTTTTGGCAATTTTTCTGTCCATAACTGAGTGAATGGGTAAACATTTTTTTAAATATTGCTACTGACAAGAATCAGAGCCGGGGGCATTTGTGTTTAACAAACACATTCTTGTTTTTTTCAGAGTTTGTGTCCATTTCCTGCTGCCGAGTTACAAAATGAAATGAAAAAATACTCTAATGCTAAAGGTAAGTTCTCACTTTAAAATCAAAACTTGGTTTCATTTATATTTATTTTCACATTTATAACCTTCACCATGGTAAATTTGTGTATACGGCTTTAAATTTAGAATAGTCTACTGTTATTGTGAGAAGATTTGATGTTGAAATGTTCCAATTCCAAAGACGACAGTATAGAGTCTGGTCAGTCTGCATGGATGTGCAGGCTGGATTTGTATACAGGGATACATAGTGTATTATTACTGCTGGTAATCAGTCTCAGTCAGTACACTCCATTTGAAAAGTTTATTATTGTATTTAATTTTTAGGCAAAAGATCGAAGTGATTTCTGTGTTAATTGAAATATTACATAAGTGTATACTTATTTGAAATTGGCATCAAATTAAAGTTGTAGCTTCATTATTACATGTTGTCTTAAATTCAATTTTGTGACAAATGATTTGTTTTCAACAGTGATAACAAACAGTAATTTCAAACTTATTTAACAAATTAAAACAGTGGGCAAAGATTATTAAATAATTTTATTCCAGAATATATTTGGGCACAAGAAGAGCATAGAAATATGGGTGCTTGGTCATTTGTTTCCCCCAGATTTGAAAATCTAGTTGGATGTAAGGTATGTTATAATCTTGGTTAAAGTACAAGTCATGAGGAATGTTATATAAGGAATGGTTGTAAGGTAGATTATATTTACTGCTGGTATTCAATGGGTTAATTAACACTCCACTTGAAAAGTTTAATTATTATATAAATTTTTAGGCAAATGACTTAGGTGATTTCTATTGTTAATTAAAATTACATAAATTGATTCTTATGGAATGGTCTTAGCATGTGACAGTCACACTTAAATTTGCTCATGTTATTTCAATTAGTCCTTTTTAGGGGTCAACAGAGCTAAAAATAGAAAAACCTTAAAACATCTTCTAATACAGAACTAATTGATGGATGATCACCAAACTTTGTCTGTAGCATTCTTAGGTAAGTCTTTTATCAACTTTGCTCATATTAATTTAATTGGCCCCTTTTAGGGGTCTCTAGAGCTAAAAATAGAAAAACCTTTAGTCATCTTCTTCTACAGAACTATTTGATGGCTGATCACCAAACTTTGTCTGTAGCATTCTTGGGTAGTCTTTTATCAAGTTTGCTTATATTAATTTGATTGGCCTCTTTAGGGACCGCTAAAGCTTAAAATAGAAATACCT